GTTTAACCGTTAAAACCAACAATTCTAAAGTTCACAAATTCTTTGTTAACGCTGATTTTATTCTTTAAATTTTTAAATCGCTCCCTGCGCAATAAAAGGATCCCAGTAAAATAGTTTTTGGTCTTGAAAAAGCCAGCACACGTGTTGACAAAACCAAACAGTTTTAAATAAATGTCAAATTTATAACTATTACCACGGTTTTTGAGAAAGGACCGGAATTGAACGATTTTCTTTATTGGAATCGAGGGTAGTGTGAAGAAGTTGGGTTTGACAAAGGGCTGTTCGGGGCGTTAAGACCGATTTGTTAAAGAAAAGGAACGTTTCTTATTGTGAACAAGGAGAAGTTGAGAAGCCAACCCCAAAAACCAACCCCGCGGCTATTCAATTATATTCGCGGTCATAGATATCAATAGATCTTTCTATGTATAAAACTTTTCTTAATAATTTATTTTCAAAAATATATTTAGAACTCGCCAACAAGCTGATTTGCGTAATAAACCAATCTCTACTCATCACATCTTTGAACGTAAGAACTAAAAGCATAAAAAAAGTTGTTAAACACCTGTTTAGAGTGCACACGGGTTATAATTTTCTACAGAAGCCGTTTGATGTTTTACCTCCAGATTTTATCACCTCATCTCTTGGTTTTATCAACTTATCTATACCTTATCTACATGATTGTTTCTTACAGGTTAATTGGGTTGTCGACTTTGTGAATTATGCAACGAATCATTGAAATAGAAATAAATTATGATTAACAGGTTGGTTTTTTTTAAATTTTTTGGTATTGGTACAAAAACTAAAAATGATTAAAAGTCAATAAGGAAATGAAGGAGAACCGGTTTATTGGTCTTTAAGTAAAAGTAACGGTAGGGAAATGAATTAAAAAGATTTTAGAACGATTCGTCGTGGGAATTAAAACCCGTAAACGTCGTTTCTTAACGAAAACTAGATCATTTTGAAATCGTCTATAAATAAACTTCCATTTATATTTATATTAACTGTTTATAATTTATTAAACGTCAAAAAATAACCTCAAAATGTTATTATTTTTAGGGTGCGTTCTAAATTGTATACTTAAAAAAAATTGGTTGGTAGCACTGCACATTTTACATATATACTTGTCGTTTTTGACGTATTGTTTAACAAATAGATAATTGTGGTTATAAAGGCTTTTTAATTTACTTCGTTAAAGGGATATAGCTGATTTATTACAACGTTATAAAGGTAAAAGCCAAGGTCGCTTGCGGTCGAGGCTTCAAATTTATTTTGTTAAAGAGATATTAGTTGATTTATTATAATGTTATGAACACATAAGCCGAGGTCGCTTACGGCCGAGGCTCCAGATTTACTTTATTATAGTAGCTAGTCTGGTCACCTACAAATAGTAACCCTGTATACTGTTTGTAGGTGACCAGACTAGATACTTGCGACTGCATGCGACTACATGCCTGCTCCTCTAAGGAGCCGAAGTCGCCCATGGTTCATATATCAAAGTACCCTTAAAATTCACTAAAGAATCATCTCTTGAAGTTTGTTGCAGTCATTCAGATACACCTGTATATTCTGTGTCAGTATATTCTTATAGCCTTCCTTAAGCAGTTACAAATCTTCTGGCAGCAGAATCTAGTTTAGTGCAATCAGTCTAATCTTGCAATCAATCTCTAATATCTCTATAATAAAATTAATCTAGAGCCTCGGCCGCAAGCGACCTCGACTTCTGTATTTATAACATTGTAATAAATCAGCTAATATCTCTATAATAAAGTAAATCAAGAGCCTCGGCTTATGTCTTTATGACATTGTAATAAGCTAATATCTCTATAATAAACTAAATCTGGAGCCTCGGGCGCACGCAGCCTCTGCTTTTATCTCTACAATACGACGTTGTAATAAATCAGCTAATATCTCTTTAACGAAGTAAATTAAAGAGCCTTTAATTAGTATATAATTCTATTGAAGCAATATATAATTTTTCGCATTCCTTTGCAGGTATCAATCAGAATTTGGAAATAACTTAATATTGAATCCAACCCACAACTTTTAAAGTTCTTGCGCTGTTAAGATTGCCCTTCACAGCATTTCCTCCATAACTAAGTCTTTGTAGTCATTTTATATTAGAGATTTCTTCGTCCTTTTTTATCATTTCTTGTCTCCAATACATTACTGAAATTCTTTGTATGAATTAGAAAAGCTGAGAAAAAATTAATCCACGTGTATAAATATGACATAAAAAACTAAAACGCCAAAAAATTGTGGAGAGTTTACCAAAGTTAAATATTTGATAAGGAAATCATTTACGATTGGTCGAAATTTTTGGCAAACTTAGACAACATGCAGTTTCGCAATATTTGCCAATTTTTGCGGTCGAGAAAAAATTTTCGACACGTGTATTAACTCGCAGTTTATTTTATTGATTTAGTATGGATAAAAATTTGGTAAAAATAGAATTCGATTTTGGGCCATTTCAAAACGCCCTTGGGTTTCTCCCCTTATTTATGATTATACAATAATAACGAAAAAGAAGTAGAAAACAAGTGATCCGTGAATTTATCTCTTCACCCCGAGAACACAACAAGAATTCTACCTGCCCACAAAAATCCTCCACCCCTATTAAGTGAGGGTTTCAAATATCAAACCCCGTGTTGTCCTCGTTCTCGCCGTTCCTCGTCTACCTGCTCTTTCTCTGCGGGCACAGGTCATTCAAAAAAACCGTTCGAAACCAATCTTTACGAACGAAATGACGACGGTCGTCATTAAAATTTAAACTAAATGGTTCTTTTGCACGTGTTCAAATTGGACGTTTCCAGTTTAGATAAAAATCTTAAATCTTACCCACCCCAAGCAACTAAAAATATTTGAAAATATTTTTTGTAATTTTATAAAAGTTAACTTGGAACAATACGACGATGACTCATCCCCGTTCCTTAAAGAAACGAGAAGAAGAGATTTTACTTTTTTTTGGTCTCATTTTCGAAGAGCAGCTGCCGAGTAAAAGTCAATGACTCACGCGTACAGGTTTCGACGTGTCTCTTAAGATCTCCAACCACCTCATTTTCTTTTTATTCGGCTATTTAAAGACCTTGACACGAATTGAAATAGAAAAAAATTATTTATCGGACACGCGCATTTTATATAAATATAAAAATTATGCGAATGTTAAATATTATCTAATTACGCGGAAATTATCTATAATTTGTGCCTTAAAAAGCAAATCAAATAATCCAATATTTACTTAAAGATATAAATAAATTATAATGATATCATTTTTCTCCCGTGTCATTTGTTGAAAAAAAATTCAAATAAATTTGAAATCTAATTAAAACTAAGTTAGTTTAATTAAACTAATTAATAATTAGTTTAACTTATATGTGTTGGGAAAGATAAAATGTCTCTTATAAGTAAACGTTTAACCTCAATTCGCCGAGGTCACTTGCGGGCGAGGAGTTGGATATGATACAAAGTTTTCAGTTTTGGAGAATTCGATTTTGAGGCGAAATTGCTCTTTATATATTATCTTGGTAAAGATACAAGTCTGAGTTTATACATCATTTCAAAATCATCAGTTTTGAAGTATTCTAACGCCTCGCCCGCAAACGACCTCGGCGAAATGAGAGTACCATGACTTTACGGACACACCGTATATATGGTTCTAGTGATTAAAAGTTAAAAGTAGTAAATCTAGAAAAAAAATAAAACTAAAACTAGAAACTTTCGGGCATAACACCCGTTTTTTTTCAATTAACACAAGCCGTGGAAGTCTAGGAACGGTATTATGGCAAATTCGGGTTCTGATATGAATACTGCAAAGAAATCATTGCTTATTGCCTTGTAAAACTTGAGCCACTACCTCGACAGCATAGCTGCCTGGGTCTGTATGTACAAATATTAAAGAGAAATTTTTTCTTATTGCTATATAATACTTGATTTATTGCCTTGGCAGCATAGCTGCCTCATAGCTTGCAGATTCTGATATGAATACTGCAAAGAAATCATTTCTTGTTTCATTTCTAGAAACTTTCGGAGGTTATGAAAGTATCTAGTTTTAGTTTTATTTCACAATTTGGCACTGTATGGTATGATTAGCAAAATTTGGAACGCTTCCCCGATAACTAAAGACAAAGATGCAAGAAGGTTGCAACATGACCTCCGAAACGTCAAACACTTTTTCAAAAATAAAAGTCTTCGTAGTTAACTTTTAAATTGTGCTAAAAACGTGTACAATTTAAACAAGAAAAAACGTGATAACGAACGTGTTAAGGAACGTGACTTTACCACGTTGTCCGAACAACAAAACCCGCCGGGAATTTGTAACACAAAGGATCGTTTCTTTTTGACGCAAACGTGCGTCCCTTTTCTGTTTATTTGGAAAGGGAAGGATTTCTAAGACAGCACGTGTCTTCGAAATCGTGTCTAGACTTGTTTGGTTACGCGAGAAATTCCAATACTTCCTTTTTACGTTTTGAAGATTTTCTTAAAAATTACTTTTTGAAAATTTTTGCAAAAACTTAATTTTCTTTTATTTTAATAATAATCGAGTAAAACGGCAAAGAAATCTTTAAGGGGTAAATTTAAAGAAAACGAGTTGAAAAAGGGGGTGGCATTTAAAATCCTTCCCAATACAGGTAGTATTATCCGACGTAGTAAAATTTTTTCATTCTATTTACAATCATCCCTGCCCACGCCGACCATCTGTCCTCTCGAAGTGTGGGAAACTCTGGGATCTCGCGATTCCCACGAAACCCGGACACCCCATATCCACACAACAACAAAGTATGTATATCAAAAAAAAATTTCCTCTCACTCTCAAAAGCGTGCATAAACCCGTATCTTCCCTCTCCGTCTACCTTTACGTTCATACTCAGCTCTCGAAATACGCACACCTGTCCCTATACCGCCTTGCCATAGGTCCATGGGGTTTCGCCCCCTCTACAACATTGCTACACCCTTAGGGATCAGAAATGGTATAAAAGCAACCGAACGCGCCTAACTAAAACCAGAAGCATTCGTGCCTTTAACAATCACCCAACGATTTTCAAAGAGTTTTGATAAGCGAAAAAAATGAATTTCAACGAGTACTACATTGATAACATCTCCAACGAGAACCAATTGAACGCGAAAAAGGCGCGTTCCACGGTTCATCAATTGAAACAGCTGATCAAGTCGTTTCTAAGAAAGAAGAAGTCATCGACGTACAAGAAAGAAGACGAACCGGATTTTTTCGGCGACAACGCCAGTGAGATCGACGATAATCTTGCCAACGAGTTACTCGAGGCGAGGATCTTCGAAGAGATCGACAATTGTAACGAATTCTCGGCGGTTCCGGTTTACGAAAATGGTAAAATGGAGATTTTGCCAATCGCAAGAGGCCAAAAGTACGTTCCCGTTAACTTTGCAAGAACAGAAGCCGGCACCTTTTTCTGGACCTCGATGCATAACGGAGCCGACTGCGATATTTCAACTTACGGTGATTACAACGCCATCTCTCGAGGTCAAATGGCACAGATTCAAGTTCCTCAAGACAGGTGGGCTCAAGCTTAAATTCCATCATCATTACGATTCAACCTGAAACAAGATTATGTAGATAAAAATGTTGTGATTTTTTGATCACATCTTTTTGTGATCACGCTCAATTTAAACTCGCTTTAAGAAGAATGGTGACTTTTAATTAGAAAAAGTTGCCGATGTGATATTTATAAATAAGGAATGATTTTATGTACCTTTTTTAAAGGCTTTAATTTTTTTAATGATTTGTAAATACGCCGAGAATTAATTATTTTTTTTTAATTAATGTGTTAAGATGTCTTCCATTTTTTGATTAGCTTTTAAGGATTTTGAAAAATAAATGATTTTTTTACCATAATTTCTACATACTTTTAATTTTAAATACATCCCAAAAACCACTTAATTTTTTTGTTTCATTTCACATCCACATTAAATTTCAACCCCAAAGCGTATAAAGATTGGTGATCAGTAAAAAAACAAAGTCATTCTGACTCACCCTGGGGCTATTCACGTGGTTCTTTTTCGAGAACCACTTTGCGGGCCTTGTTTAGAAAAAGATAGCAACGATTCAAAGATAAACTCCTCCTTTTATTAGGTGATCGACAATTTTATCCGATCCTGATGCTTTTTTGTTTGTTAGTTAGTTAATTCCTACTATCATTTCACTATAGCATCTTCTCTGTTATCTCATGGATAGTAAACCATCCATTTTTTGAGTATATCGCCTTGTTCAGTGAGAATTCGCTCCTCTTTGCCCCTGCACTTGTTGTCCTAGATTTAAATCTTTATAAATTTATTCTGGCATAATTTTCTCGTGTCCTATTATGTTCTCAGTCTCTCTAATTCTTTCTAATAAGTGTATATTAAAGCTTAACTATTACAGCATAGATGCCACGGCCTGTATTGAATTGATACTGATATGCGTACCGAGACAAACCGTTTTTTATTGTTTTGCAACACCTGAACCACTGCCTTGCTAATGGTATAGAGGAATACTGCAAAGAAATCATTTTTTATTGCATACTTGTATGTAATACTTGAACCACTGCCTCGGCAGCAAAGCTGCCTCGGTCTGTATATCATACAAATATTAAAGAGAAATCTTTTCTTATTGCTATGTAATACTTGAACTACTGCCTCGGCAGCACAGCTGCCTCGGTCTATAATAATATTGATATGAGTACTAATATAAGATAAACCGTTTCTTATTGAATTGCAATAATGGAATCACTGCCTCGGCACGAAAGCTGCCTCCTACTTTTAATTGTTTTGTACTACTTGAGACACACATAATGAATGAACGTTGTTATAAAAAAAATATAAATTTTAATAATCGTTTTTATCCCGCATAACACGATGTAAATATGTGCCAGAAACACACCGTTTCAATCACAGCGTGCTCGTTTTCTGAGTGTGTGTGTGTGTATAGGAACGAGCCGACCACGTGTTCACCGTTCGGTAAGGTTAGTACCGTGGGATTCCGTTTCGAACCATGTGCCCCCCATTGTAACGGCAACAACCAGCACAGGGGAAGCACGCGAAAGAGACAAAGAAGGAACGAGAAAAAAAGAGGACGAACCGCCGCGCGTTCCTCGGTGTTGTGGTGGCGCGTTGTTGCCTTTTACGGAAGACAATTTGGGTCGTTTCTGTCGTCGCCCTCTCGAAATTAGAACCCACTTTAACGTCATCGTGGGAAACGATTTCGAGGAGGTTATTTTCAACCACCATATGTTTTCAAATATTTTAATCCATTATTATTTATTCTGCACTTTATTTATTCTCGTAGAAAGTGTTTCAACTCGGTTTGCGCAGACTAAGTAGTAAATCTTCGAGTTGAGAGAACGTGCCGGCTTCTCTTCGTGACCTCCGACCTCTTCGGCACGGGTCACCTCCTGGGAAACATTCGCCGGCCGCTGTCTTCTCGTCGCTTTTATTACCCAGCACGCGACTCACCGAGCGTGACGTGAACGCCATCTATCCGAACACCATTAAGTACCTCGTTCCCATGACTTCTACACATCCAAAGATATTATCATGCAAAAATAAAAAACTCTTATTCTTAACTTTCATAAACAAGTTTTTTTTAATAAGAAAACAATATTAATGATGGCACTTTGTTTGTAATAAGTTAATATTTGCGGAGTTAATCCGGACCTGAGTGGCGTGATCAAAAAATAAAAAGGTAATAAAAAAGAAAAGAAATAAAAAAAGAAGGAGGTAACAGGAGCAGCCCACTACGGATGGATAAACGACGACGAAGAAGAAGAAGAGATAATAATGCGAGGCGAGTAGATGCGTGATTCAGGGCCAACGTAGTATGCACGTAGAATACACGCACATCTGCCGAAGTTCCCACGATTCCCAGATCGGGTGGTACACGTGTTTTTAAATGGATCGACGACGGCGATTGTGGCGCGCGCGACAGTAACGCGCCACGCGGTCAACACGCGAAATGCAACATAAAGAAAAAATAACTCCGTTTCCTCAATTAAAATAATTAGAAATTTAATAAAATTCAACCAACATCCTTTTGTCGTTACCTGTTTTGTGGTTTTTGGATACCGGTGCGCGAAAATTTTTCTCCCCCGATCAGAAGAAAATCCCGTTATAATAATACGGATCATATAGAACCGCTACAGTGGTCGATTAAAGAAGACCACGGGACCGCTTACAATTGGCGCACTTGAATATTCAAAACGGATACGGTTCCATCGAACCGCAACCGCATCGCATAGGTTAGGTATTTACTTGTTAAGTATTTAATAAGTCGTCAAAAATTGGAGGGATATCCTCGAGCGGTTGCGTAACGCGACGTCGCCTCGCGGTGAATATCGTGGGAACGAATTTGTAACAGCAGGAAATTATTACCTCCACACCAAAGAGTATCGTCGAGAATGGTGAAAGCTTTAATACCAACTACTAAGTGGATTATTTTATGCCAAAGTGTAAAAGTAATCTTTTTACGAAAATAAAAAAAGGCTTAAATTAAAAATTACTGATTCCCAGTAATTAGTGCCTTTCCTATATTGCTTTTTAACACTTTCTATCCTATACAGCATAATCGTATCAAAAACTAAATTAAGTAGGTAATAAGAAATGGGTTCTCTTTAGTATTTAGACATCATTACAAGCCGAGGCACTGGCTTAAGTAAACAAAGTAAGAAGCAAATGTTTGTCTGCAGTACTGATATATTATTACAAGCGGAGGCAGCCATGCTTCCGAGGCAGTGGCTTAAGTGAACAAAGTAAGAAGTAAATGTTTCTTTATAGTATTGATATAGTATGAGATGTGCATGAGTGTATAATATTACTATCACACTACTAATAATATCATTAAAAACCGAGGTAGCTATGCTACCGAGGCAGTGACTCAAGTAAATAAAGTAATAAGTAAATGTTTGTCCACAATATTCATATATCATTACAAGCCGAGGCAGTGGATCAATTAAACAAAGTAATAAGTAAATGTTTGTCTACAAAATGCATGTATCATTAGAAGCTGAGGCAGCTAAGCTGCAGAGGTAGTGGCTCAAGTAAACAAAGTAATAACTAACGATTTCAGTATTTACATATTGTTATAAACCAAGACAGCCGTGATGCCAAGGCAGCGGCTTGCTTATTATAGAGCGATAAGAAAACGTTTCTCTTCAGTACTTATTATATGATAACAGGCCGAGCAGTGTCTCAAGTACTACAAAACAATAATGAAAGATTTCTCTTCAATATTTATATATCATTAAAAAATAATATTTTTATTATTTTGTAATACTTAAATAGCTGGCTCGGCTTATAATGATATACCGGGAATTTCATACAACTCGCAATACATGAATAGTAACCATAGTTACGAAACTAACATGTACTTGCACTGTCCCACATAAAATGCAACATAGCTTTTATAGTACAGGCATTGAACAGTTTTGTAAAGGAAAAGTTTTGCTTGGAAAAGGAGACGTTCTTGTGGTAGCTCTGACTTTCCATCTTAAGAGACGCACGGCTAAACCCGAATGATTCTAGTTGTTGGTCTAGTGTTAGTTCTACTTTTAGTTCAATAAGAATATACAACAATCTAGCACTGCATAACAATTACAACTAGAACTAACACTAGACCTACAACTAGAAAGTTTTGGGTTTAGCCGTCTTTAGAGACGTGCGGCTAAACCCAAATGATTCTAGTTCTAAGTATAGTGTTAGTTCTAGTTTTACACTTGCACTATCAGTAGAACTAACATTAGACCTACAACTAGAAACATTCGGGTTTAGCCGTGCGTCTCCTTATCTTATTGCTGTGCAATACTTGAACCACCGCCTCAGCAGCAGAGCTGCCTCGGCTTGTAAACATTAATATTGAATAGAAACTTTTTCTATTAATAATTAATATGAATAACACCGAAACCAAGAAAATCGGTCTGATGTCACAACAATTCCATAGAAATCAAAAAAAGAATAAATCCGTAAATTCTATTAATAGTAGCTATCTTATTGATGATAATATGTGCTTTAAGTAAAAGAGGTCTCCGTTAATAATTGTGACGCGAATCGCGACGATATCGTAGCAGCCGGCACATGCTCGAATTCTTTCGCTGCCTCTTTGAAGCGAGCGAGCCTTCGAGGACCGTGGGAAACAGTGAACGGACACGCTCCAAGGCATCTCCTCCTTCTCCCGGCTGAGGAGAGTTGCGAACGAAAACACAGACACACGACACGAAACCGCCGTTTTACTCTCTCCCGCTTAATCCATCCCTCTCGCACTCGCTGTTACCAGGTATTCGCATCCCGGTTTCTCTTGTTGTGACTGCGTGACTAATCTCAATTGGGGTTTTCCCTTTCAGCTTGCTTTGTGCGCGTGCTGAGCACGGGATCATAAAAGATGATTGTAAGAAAAGTCGGTGTACTTAGTTTTCGGGTACGATTAAAAAATTTTATGAGTAAATAAGAAGACTTATAAGTTTTTGATTCATAATTTTTTATGTAAACAGGTTTTGGCGTGAAATTTCATCTTCAGGGTGGGTGTGTAAATCTCGACAGGATTTTTGCTTGATTTAACTGAAATAAATTTTTTTTATTATTTTTTAGTTGAGTATTTTTATGATGCAACGATTGCATTGTTAAAAGATCATAACAATGCGTAATTCATACACGTGCAAATATTTTAGAACTATGCATTGGTGGTGTAGTTATTTTTGGCGTCAATAAATGTTCTTTTTTGTTTCTTTCTTTTTCTATTCATACCAACGACAACTTGATCCGGTAATCACGCGCCGATCGGTTTTCTTGTTGTGTTGTTGTTTCTGTTGGGACCCGTGCCGTCGCCGTCGTCAGTAAGCCTTGAGAGGGAGGCGAAGAGGTAAAGGGGCTTTCAACTACCGTGGGAACGGTGCTGTGAGCACGTGCGATCGCCCGACCATCTCTTTCTCGCACACCGTTTCGATCCTTTTCTCTTTGCTTTCAAACACCGTTCGCCTGTCATTGTTTAGTAAACGGTGGTGGCGTAGACAATTAAAAAGAGAAAGAGGTATGCTTAAAGCACCGGTCACGGTTGCGATTAGGTTAAAATCGAATGGAGCGAGACGTGGGACCACGACTTGTTGCGACTTGATTCAGGCACGCGGTCAAACAATTAAATGATCGCGTGGGTTTTTAATATTTCTGTAAGATTTATTGTAAACATTGTAAGCGTGGAATAAGTGTGTCGAACGCATGCTTTATTTATTTGCAAAAGAAAAGAAGGGGAGAATAATAAAAGGGAGAGTGGGATAATAATAAGAAAAGGGAGAAAACGAATCCTTCCCACGGTGGTGAATTCCTTTTGATTCAAAGGCGATTTGAGCGCCTTCTACGGGCGGCATATGGCGAACGGGACGGAATCCCGGCCCCGGTGTTTTGGGTCGTGGGAATAAGGGCGAGATTGAATGAGTCACGAGCTACAAATCATCTCAAAACTTAACCCCAAACATTTAAAGTAACCAGACAATGAGTTAAATTAAAAATTAACTTCTTAGTACATACCTGTAACGAGAATCGCACACAGTGTTAACAGACCGTGGGAACCTCGTAAAAAAAACGGCGCTCGAACTCGTGCCAGCGATGTCCCCCTTTTTCGTCGTTCCCCCTCGGGGTCTCCTCGATTCTCTTATTCCTCTTTTTGTCCGGCATGTGTCTTGTGTACGTAAGAATTTTGCTGAAGACTACAGCGACGCTCGAGCACGTGGCATCAACTTACACAAAAGGCGCTCCTCCTAAAAGATTAAAAAAATTATTAATAAAAAATTGCACGCAAAATTTTCGGGTGTTTATTTATTGCATAACGTTCAAGTGGCATGTGGTGTTTATTTATTGATATTTATCGTTTTTTTGCGACATTTCCGTACACATTTTTACTTTTAGTAATCTCGAGTTTTCGCTCAAATTTAAAAAATTATTCGCAAAAGTATCAAAGGTTTATTTATTTATTTATTTACGTTTATATTTAGAGTAAACTCGAAAACGTGTGTTTGTTTTGCGGAAAATTTTTTTCAAGACTCTTTTCATTCGATTACATCAATTTAAACCTTCACAATAATTCTACAAAATATTATTATGACGTTTATTCTATTGTGCAAATTAATTTCGGGTTATTATTGGGTGAGTATCACGCGTTCATCTTATCGAATCCTATTGTCCCCGAAAAAAACGAGATAATAAAAATCGTTTTTTTGGCCCATTGTTTTTTGGCTTAATTTCGAGAGTCGCAAAATAACCGATAACCCGTCGAAAATAATACACAATCAGCATTCGAATATTTCTAATTGTTTTTTGGGGTACTTACTTTTTTTTTGGGCACGTGTTTCGATAACAATATTATCTAAATTTTAATAAAATTAAAGAAATTTTAATTTGACGTAATAAAAGGTTGGGTTATGTTTTGATGAAAACTTCGTTGATTAATTTCGGCCCAAGAATTTTCTTCCCGCAACTTAAAATCATGTTGAATAAGTAATTCGGGCGTTCTAAAACGTATTTTGATTAGTTGTTTGGTTCAATTATAACTTTTTTCTTGTAAAATTTAACAAATTTAAGGATCGTAATTGACGGATATAAATTGTCAAAACACCACTTAATATGCGTAATTATCGCTAGATGGAGTGATAAAAAATATTATTTATAAGATTAAGAAAAATAAACTTAAAAATTACTTAATTATTAAAAAAGAAATCGTATATTGTAGAATTAATTAGAAATTAATATAAATTAATATTAATATTAATCAATTTACTTTGCGTTAGTTTTAATAAATCACCTGATAAAACGTGAGGTTATGTTTTGAAGACAACTTCGTTGATCAATTTCGGGAACAAAATTTCTTCGTGGTGCCCAAAATCACGTTAAATATATAATTTGGGTGTTCTAAAACGTATTTTGATTAGTTGTTTGGATCAATACAATTTTTTTTTATAAAATTTTACAAAGTTAAGAAGTATCGCAACCAAAGATCTCAACAGATCGCAATTGACGGATATAAACTGTCAAAACACTAATTAATATGTGTCATTAACGCTAGATGGAGTGAGTTTGGATTAGAACATTTCGACTTAGAAAACTGACAAAATTGACACTTTCAGAGAATTCCAGAGAATTCTACCGCTTCACCCTCAAGCAATCTCCCTCCAAGCGACCTCGGCGAATTGAGGCAAAATCGTTTTTTACATGTCTTGGCAAGAATACCAAGTCTTTTATAAGATGACATTTACCCTCAAATCGCCGAGGCGCTAAAATTCTCCAAAATTAACTATTTCATATTGATACATCAAAACCGGCGACTTGCCCGCAAGCGAACTCGGCGATTTGAGGTAAATGTCATTTTAGAAGAAATTGACTTAATAAATAAATAATTTAACATTAATTTAGTTATTTTAATTTAATTTTTTTAATAAAATTAAAAAATTTTAGGTAATGATAAATGTCAAAATTCCGTCTAATATGGGTCATTTCCGCTAGATGGGATTAAATGAAATCTTTGTTTTTATAAATCCTGCCAAAAAAAATTAGGTTATGTTTTAAATAATATAAGTAAAATAATCATAATAGAAGAATTTTATTTTTCAAAGTATCTTGTGTCGTTTTAGAAAAGGATAACATCATCTCGTGAGAGTAACAACAGTAACAACGGCAAAGCGGGGCGTTCAGAAGAATCGTAATTGCCGCGACATTTCCATAGCACGAACCGAACACGAGCCGCGCCGCGGACGCCGCCGAATCACTACCGACTCGATCTACAACGACAACGATGAGCAACGAAGACAACAAACGCCCAGAGGGGCCCCCCAATGGGAAAGAAAAGGAACGACGACGATAGGGAACTTATAGTGGAGGCAGGCAGCTGCACGTGTGCTTATAGAAGCACAGGTGGCCTACACTGTGGGAACGCCGCGCCAACTGCGATTCCCACGATCCAACCAACGGACCCAACTCCTATATAAGCCCAATCCCTCCACCGTTTAAACCACATTTCGTTTTGAACTAGCACACTGTTCAGATCGAGAGAGTTTCTTTCAAACGAGTAGTGAATTCGAGTGATTACTATTATTTTATTTTATTTACTTGGATTGTTATTTTCAAATAAAAATGGCAACGACATCTTACGAAATTTTATCCGCCGAAGAACCACAACCAATCTCAAGAACCTATCAATACAGAAAAGTAATGAAACCGATGTTGGAACGTAAACGACGTGCAAGAATCAATCGTTGTTTGGACGAATTAAAAGAATTAATGGTGACGGCGCTCCAAAGTGAAGGCGAAAACGTTTCTAAATTGGAAAAAGCCGATATCCTCGAGCTAACGGTTCGTCATTTACACAAATTGAGAAGACAACAACGTTTATCTGCGAATCCTGTGATTGAAGCAGACAGATTTCGCGCCGGTTACACTCATTGTGCAAATGAAGTGTCGAGATGTTTGGCCTCCATACCAGGAGTTGATGTTGGTTTGGGTACCAAACTGATGACCCATCTTGGGTTAAGACTCAACGAAATGGATAAAGTGTCACCTTTAACTGTTCATGTTTCAACAACGACACCTTACACACCACCCGGAACGCCAACCCCAGAAAGTGTTTATCAAATGCCTTTAACACCGGCTTCTTCAACCACCTCTTCAGTACAAGCACCCGGTTCGCCTATAGATTGTTCAACAACGGGACTTTTAAAGGTAGCCCAAAATAACGAACAAGTTTGGAGACCATGGTGAAAAAGTGCAAAAACTTTCAAAAAAATCTTCTTTTTTTGCTCAAATTAGTTTTAAGTTCTTTTAATAATTAATTTTCGGATTCGTCCTGATCTCTTCCAGCGTTTAAAGCTTTAATTAATCTTAGTATCGAAATGTTTTTATTTTTGTCGAAGAATGTCAATTTAAAGAACATTTTATTTGTTAACTTTTTCTGCGTTTTGTGATACCGATTTAGTCGGTTTATTTTTTAATTAATTAATGTTTATTAAAATAGTTTTTTTTGTAAGCCCCGAACGTTGTACCTGTGATGATAAATCGTTTTTTTTGTATAGAGAAAATGGGGTGAACAATATTTTGTAAAACGGTGCCTTAAAAACCCGTTAAGAGTTTCTCCTAAGTTGTAAATAGAGCGGTACTGTGATAGCGAGTCTATATATATTTTTTTGATAAATGATTCAAAATAAATCAATTGTTACTTAAAACTAAAAAAAATGAGTTTTCTTTACATATATTTGACACATAACGCCATCTATCTAAAATCAACCAAAATACAATTTCATTCAAAATTACACCACGGGATGCTGCTAGTTGATTCAATATTAATTCTTTTTAATTAACTTAATTCTCAACTTAATCTGATTCTTAATTATCTATTATTCATAAAAAATAATAAAATCAAATTTACCTCATATAAATCGATTTTGATTAAAAATTTAAATTTTAATCTCATATTAACGTAGATATGACCATGCTAATCTTGTACATATTTTCGAAAAATACACGATTTACTAAACCATAAAAATACATTTAACATACCTTGACAATTCAAAAATTTTGACATTTCTCTTAATCGTGAAAATAGTTTCATATCATTTTATTGTTTTTAAATATAAAGTTAAATAAATTAAATAAATACCTTGATATAAATGATTAAATAGTTGCATTTGGCATAAATAAATAAATTAATTTTATAAATTAACTTTTCGAAATTCAACGTTTGCTACTAGCGCCACCTAATATTGTTATGTTCAACTTATTACTTATCAGAATATAGAATCTCTAATTAAAATAGAATCTACATACAAGGGTTAAATTAATCATTTATTGCTCAAACTGCATTTTATCAATACTTAGCTTTAAAAAAGATATTCATTAAAATATTATTTATTTATATTTTCGATTTATTCGTTTTTTACTACCAACCTGACAAATCAAAAACATTCAACATGTCATTGTCACTTTGACATCAACATCAAAATTATTTTTTAACATTTTTTTTATGTTTATCCATCTCAATGACCCTGCGCAAGTAATATTGGGCTAGGTCAGTTTTGTTTACAGGGTAAATGACCCCTAGGCATAAAATGTTGGGTAAGGTTATGGTAATTGCGCAATGGTATTGGGCAGGGTCAGTTTTATTTATAAGGGTCAGCGACCTTATTTTTTACCTATTTGGTATTAATTATTATATGTAGATTACAACATTGAAATGACTACAACCAAATAATGTATTAATCGTAGTAATCGTCACAAATTTTGTGATTTATAGGTTAGGTTGAAATGAATGAAATTGAATTTCAAGAATTATCTTATTTTCTTTAATAGCGCCATCTATGAGGTTTTTGTGACATGAATTTTGTTGATAACTATTTTCTTTTAACTACTTACGCTTTTGACATTTAAATAAATCTTTAATGTATTCTAACTAAGGTTTATCAATTAAACTTTTAATTATTGCATCTTTTCTAAAGTAAAACCAAAAAGAGATTAGAAATCTTGGTAAGTATAAAGTTGATTTAACCAATACAGGGATTTGGCCAATAGATGGCGAATAAAAATTAAAATCAACAAATTAATTAAAAATTAAAAAGAAATTGTATAATATACAATAACAATAAAAACTTATAAGAGCTTAAAAGCAATCGTTTTTTATAAAACTTTAATTAATAAACTCAAAGTTATTTTCTCTTATAAATTTTTAATTTTTTGAGGTTGGTACTAAAATATTGTTGGTGGGTTAACCCCTTTTAAATTAACTTTTTATACCTTAAAAGCACCTGTTTTATATTAATAACAGGTAAATAAGTAAAATGATGTAATATTTTTCACATACTAAAAGAATTGTTTAATTAAACAAAATGTTTTAAAATTTGTTTTAGATATCCTAAAAAAATAACCTCAAAAAAATGGAAAAGCGTTCCTTTGCAGAATTCGCTTTATATTTTAGTCCTGATTAACGAAGATTTAATTGAAACTGAGTTAAAGCATCAAAATGAATCGATACAAGCATAAAACGTAAAGTAAAAATAAATCGTCACCTATTTAACGAGAATCACCAATTATGATGACCACCTTTGAGAATATAATTGAATAGATGTTGGAATAAAAATGATTTTCAAATATATTAATCGGCAACTTAATAATCACAATGCATTTTTGGTTGCCCGTTTTTATTCAATTCTTATTGAAGAAAGTATGCTACGATTTTATTGCGTTAATTAAGATAACGAATACATAAATCAAGAACAATTCTTGGTTTGTGAAAAACATGTTTGATAAACCCTTGTATTTGATTCTTTTAATATTTCTTTCTTTCCAATCGTTTAGGAAATATGGTTTAAATGGGGAAGAAATAAATTTGGACCTTGTTGTATCCGCTTTTGAAAAGACCGTTAATTATATTCATAGGAATAAAAATAAAATGAACGTCGATGCAATGTTTTTAACGGTTTTAACTCAAGGTACGATTTTATTTGTTCTATTTGATTCTTTTAATATCAGTTTAATTTTTTAGCTAATATAAATTATTTGAAACTAAATAATGTTATAAAGAAAAAGTATTTTAATAAAATTATTAATGTGGAGAATAAAATTTTAGATGCACATTCGAGATTAAAAGAAATCGAAAGGGAAAGCTCAAGAAATTATTTATGTAACTCCTTATTTTGTTTCTTTATAACACATTAACAGTCTTCTTTTAGTTAAAAACACTATTTTAAATCCACAAATTTGGAATAAACCAATACAATTCAGAAACAACACCTTAAAAGCAAATAAATTTAACAGGATTAAAATAAATAATTTGAATAAATTATTCGATTATTACAAAAAACAACGGCTTAACGAACAAAATTCCGATGCTTGTTTAATGGAATTGTTACAACAATCTCATCGTTGTAAACAAACCTCCATAATGAGCCCATTTTGCATTAAAACAATGGGGTTATTAAATAATCAAAGCTTCGATCGTGGATATGGAATAACCCACAGCTTATTATACCTTCAAATTGCAAGATCTCAACGCTGCAACATCAACGAGACCGGTTTAAAAGAAAAAATCAAAAACTTTTGTTCCGTTATTTTATGGGAGATGAAAAAAATCGCTGAATTTGGGTTTCATGATGTTTTTGATGATTTAGTTTTAGAGCAAGGTAAGAAGAATTATTATTTAAATTTTTAATAACAATTTTTTTTTTTAAGTGACCTTATGTGGATATGAGGGATTCTCCGAGTTCTTTTCAAGCAAAATTATAGATCATATACTAAATATTCAAGATGATTTGGGTTGTTTTGGAATCGAAAAGGATTTTGTGGGAAGAATTAAACGAGAGAGTAATTTTTTTAACGATGGTTGTACTGATCATGCCACTGGACTTGGACTTTCCGCTTTATCGCTTATTTTACGTTTTATTCTACGATAAAAATAACCTTTTTTATTAAAATTAAATTTTAAAAATAAAAAAAATGTAGCAATGAATTTGATGTGTATATTGAGTTGCCTACCTTTTTTAAATTAATAATTTTGAATTAAAAGAATCAAAACATTTAATTTTGACCTTGGTTAATTTTTCCTTATTCAGAACAAAATTATAGGTCAAGCATTAATCTCGCGACGACCTCGTCTCGAGTTCTTGGTGTCTAGGTCGAGAGAGAGAAAGACCTCAAACTCAAGAGGTAAAAGACTCTCCTCACTTCAAGTTTAAAGCGACATTCAAGAATGTTCCTTTACTTTGCATCTTTCAATTTCAACAAATTTCTTTTTTAAACAAATTTGAATTAAAATTAAACAATTTCGAGTTAAATTCGTAAATAAAACCGTTCTCTTCTTTTGGTAAAACCATCATTTTATATAAAAGGCGATGTTAACGAGTTCGAGACTAAATTTGGAAAGCGGCTTATGAGATTTCAATACCATTTTCGTGTTATAGCACAACCAAATACTTTTATGGTCATCTATAACAGTTTCTCTTTACTTTTTTTGTTTTATTTTTTACCCAACGTTTTTATTCCATTTATTTCATTTTATTCCATTCAAATTAAGTGACGTAATTAAATTTATAAATAGGACGATTGTATTATTATTATTATTCAAGGTGTTTTTCTTTATTTCTCGATTTAATGGTTCGTTTATGGATTCGTTTACGTCACCTATGAATGTCATCGATATTGAATCATAACTAAATTTTTTTAATTTTACATTCCGAGCATACTCAATTTTTTTTATATAAAATTGATTCGTCAACGCCGATTAAATTACTTTTAATGCTGATTTAGCCAATTGAATTTCCTCAGTATTATTTAAAAGACAAATTAATTTACTTTGACGTTCATTAAATAAAAAAGTTAGGTTATGTCATCCTAAAAATTGTAATGATTAATTCTGGGGGGAAAATCTGTTCGAAGTACCTAAAATCAGTTTAATTAATCAATTAAATAAATAAATTGAGTGTTCTAAACTCAATTTTGAACGATTATTTTGGTCTACTTACCCTTTTTTGCGAAATTTATTAATTTTAGGAGGAAATGTAAGGGGTTGTTATTAAATGTCAAAAATATGATTTAATTTGGGTGGTGACCGTGAGATGAACTATTTAAAAATATTTTTTTTAAGATTTAATATTAATTAAATTTATCAATTAATTAACGATAAAGTGATATAAAGTTAATATATCTTATTTTGATTTTGATTTAATAAATTACCACGATAAAAATATTGGATTATTTCTTAAATGTCAAAGATGATTTAATTAGGGTTAATATCGTTAGATGGGGTGGGTAATTGTTTAAATTTAAATCAATTTTTATTTTAATTTATTAATAATTATATGTTGGAGTTGCAATTAGCACGTGCCGGATATTATTATTAACGACCACCGTTAGTGGAGTTCTTCGATCCGAATCTTCATCATTTTCTGCGTTTTAAACCCAACGAAACGTGATAAATTGTTATTAAAAAAATGTATTTGCGCTCGTTGCAAAGCGGTTGTTAAATTTTAAAAGAAAATTATCCGAGCTTGAAAATTAATTTAATTAAAACCGAAAAGGTGTAAATAAATTAAATCCTTTTCGAGAAATGTTTATTGCAAGAGAGCCTTCGCCTTTTTTACCATTTATGGACAAAAATCGAATTGTGTTTATGTGTCAATGTTTATCGCATTTTGACTCAACACTTATTTATTATGTACATTTCCGTTTTAGGTTGGATTTTCCGGGATTGTGTTTATTTAGATTAACAAAAATTTTTTTCAACGAAATGAGCAAAAAATATTGATCAAATCGAATATACGTGCCGATTATAATTCATTTCGATTATTAAAGTTATAAATAATAATAAATAAATTAGGTTAATTATTATAATAAAAGTTTATTAAAAATAAAAATTCTTCATTTGTGTCAATTAATAAAAATAAATAAATTAGCTTAATTATCATATTAGAACAAACGTTTAATATTAAAACATTTTATTTATTAAAAATAAAATTAAAAATTCTTTTCGATTTACAATTTATATTAATAAATTGATTCCAATTAAAACAATTTTATAAATTAAAATAATTTAAAAAAAATAAATTAGGCGAAATGTCATATTGCATCAAACGTCAGTTATGACGTTTAGTAGGATTATTTTTGAGGTTAAAGTATTTTAAATAAAAATTGTTAAAATAATAAAATTGTTTGGGTTTCCTGTTAGATTAAAAAATTGTTTTCAACGAAACGAACGAAAAAATATTGATTCAATCGAAAATACGTGGTGATTTTGAAATATTAAGATAAGATGTTTTATTTTAATATTTGGAGATTTCTTAGTAACTACATATATTAATAAATAAACAAATAAAAAGATTTCTTTCGCTGGAAAATAAAATAAAATGTGTTTTTGCTCTAATAATTAGAAATCAACCTGATTGTATTCGCATTCGACTTAATCATTCTGCGTAATTGAACGATTAAGTTGTATTCCATTAAATTCTTGTCTTATCTAAATGACTATTACTAAAACTTATTGAAAAAATGAGTGAATTAGAGTTGTGGAATCTACTCAATTCAATTGAAATTTATTATTAAAAAAAGTATGATTGGAACTTGAATGTAATCCAATGTAATAACCAATATCAGATAAGATTAAATTACACAGAACCTTATCTTTTATCGTAATACTTGATAAATTCATTTAAAAAAACAATGACTCTTACATAAAACGTATTACACACACAACATATTTTTTTAACATTGCAAAAATCGCTTAAAAAGGATAAACCCCATTTTTAGTCTTCATCCGTTGGAACAGAACCGAATAACATCATCTCGAGTACCGTTATCCGCTTCAGATTCCACTCTCACAGCCTCGCAACAACGCGAAAGAGACAATAAAACGAGAATAATAAGAAAATAAACGACGAAGAAAATAGAATCCTATTCCATATTAAAGACGCGTCTCGCATCCATTCACGGAGAGTTCGGTTCTTTCGCTGAATTGTGACCAAATATAGAAGCAGTCGTCGGTGTCACGTGAAGAGAGTCGAAACGGTATCGAAATGTCTTCGTCTTCATTTTAAAATCAACTCTAAAGAAGAACGAAGTTGAATGGAAACTCTAAACCTATACCTACCTCAACCCGGGGAGAGGTGAATCATCAAACGAAAAATCGATATCTTTTACCCCCTCATTTCCGCGTTGGTAACGAAATTCGGAAAGTTTTTCGATGACTCAGCTTCTCGTTTTGATTATTTATCTTGGTTCCACGAAGGGGAACTTGTGACTCAATCTAATGCTTCAAGTTCTCTCATTTTCTGATTCATCACATTAAATGAATACAATAAATGAACGGAATGAATACTAAATAAAAATAATTCTATAAAATTAGAATTTCTCGGCCCTAAGAAACGCTGTTGTGTTCATCGACCTTAAGAAGAGCTCGCGCGGTCGCAGTTGGGTTAGTTGCAGACCAAATTGTTACCATATATGGTAAAGCGATCCTCGAATCGACCACCGCTTTAACTAGACGATGAATGGATCGGAATTGTATCCAAGGCGAACAAATATCTCTTTGTAGATAACCTAAAAAAAACACATTACTCTATACGTTAATTTTTAACGCTCTAATAAGTTAAACAAAGCGCAAATTAACTTAAATTTTAATTGGAAATAATACGAGAAATATTCATGAACGTGGTTGTTAGAATAAAATCGAAGGGGGGTTTCTAAATATAGAACGAAAACGGCTTCAGGTCGACCACTTGCACCGAGCGGAATCGAAGCGGTGCTTTGACGGGATCTCCCTTTTCATCTCTTCCCCCTTCGTCCAAATCCTAAATTCAGCACCCAACAACGTCTGTCGTAAGTCTACCGAAAGCTTAACTCGTGCCAAAAAACATTTTTTTTTTCAAGATCAAGGTTACAAATAAATATCTGCTATTAATAAATTAATTAAAACTTTTAAACGCAACTAAATTAGGTTATACGTTAAATTTTGACAAACGTCAAGGTGACGCTTAATATTTCTTTTTATTAAGAAATAAATAAATCAATAAATAAAATCATTTCGATTATTAATGTTATAATTATATATTATAAATAAATTAATTCGAATTAAAACGATTTTAAAAATTAAAATAATAATTTCAAAAAGAAATAAATTAGGTTTATTGTCATATTAGAACAAACGTTTAATAATAAAATTTTTATTTATTAAAAATAAATAAAAATTCTTATTTTGTCACATTTCTTTTCGACTTCTTTAGTTTTTATCAACTTCCTGCGTATCCCACTTCCTTTCACTTTTTTTCCTAAAATCGCAGCCTTTGGGGGTATCTAGCGCCTCGCCCGCAAGCGACCTCGGCGATTTGAGGCGAAATCCTTCCTTATATGTCTTGGTAAGACTACAAAGTCTCTTCTAAGATGATATTTATCCTCAAATCGTCGAGGTCGCGCTGGAGTTGATATATCAACAACGAAACGGTCAATTTTGAAGAATTCTCGGCAATTTGAGGCGAAATCGTACCTTACACATCTTGTTGAAGATACAAACTATCCTATAAGAAGAGGTTACTTGCCAACGAGGCGCTCAATTTGATACATGAACTTGAAATGGTCTATTTTGATAAATTTCAAGAATAAAATTAAAATCCACTCTATTAGATCACACTTTGATTTTAATTTAATAATTTAATAAATTACGATCAAAAATTAAATTTTCTTTTCAAGGTCAATTTAATAAAGTCAATCAATTTGACGTCTAATTAACGGTTAATATCAGTTAATATTATATTAGAGTTTAGTAAATCTTATTTATTATAAAATAAATAAGTAAAAATTCTTGGGTTGTCTCGATTCTTTTCGACTTCCTGTTTATGTTTTATCAACTTCCTGTGTATCCCACTTCCTTTCGCTTTTTTTTCTAAAATATTTATAACTTTTAAATTCTTCCAATTTTATTTTCTTATCCTAATAAATTATCTCAAACAGAATCAACTACAACGTATTGGAACGTATTTATCACATACATTTATTTCAACGACAGTTATAAATTCCTGTACCGTTTTAGATCCACATTTCCCAGATGTTCTACGTAGAATCTAATTATTAAACACTTTTAACGTTTATTTTATTATTTCAACAAAAAAAAAATTTTTAATCAATATTTATCGAACGTACTCAATTAATGACATTTTTGACATAAAAAATTTTTATTTCCCAAATACATTAATGCATTTTTTTGCTTTTAAACAATAAAATTAGATTAAAAATAATTTTATTTTTTTTTTAAATTCCTGTTAGGATACAGAAACCGTCGTGTACCGTCTGTTGCCGTTGAAAACCCGACGTCCGAAGCGGACCAATAAGATCGCTCCGTTCGTTTTATGCCCAAATATGGTAACGAAAAGGATGAATGAGGCATAGAACCGAGGCGGGGAGGCGCGCGAAAATCGCATTTAAAATTTAAAATAATAATAATATTTAGGCGGGCCATGGAAACGAATGATTTGGTTGTTATTTTGAATTTGACAGTTAAAAACGTCAAATAAGAAAGAATTTTTACAAGAATTAAAAGTTATTGAAACCCCCTTTTACAATTAATTAATTAATAATAATTAATCTTTTTGGTATTTTTCGTAAGGTTAAGAAGGACATTTCTCGCGGTGAGTACAAAAATTTTTATTGCGATTACGCGTTTAGGTTAGGTTAAGGTTATGTAAGGTTTATTTACGCATTCGAAGCCGGTAAACTTGGAAATGTTCCAGCAGGTGGTTGTTTTTGGGACCGATTTAGAAAACGTAATTTTTACTCAAATTAAAATTAAAAGAATGATTTTTTTTAAACAACTGGTGATTATGTCGAGTTGTTATATTTTAAAGTGCGATTTGAAAATGATTCGAAAAATCTATGTCATACCGTACAGTTTGGAGAGTTATACTCGACGTGGTACGAAGAAGCGGGGGAAAGGAGGATTTTAGGTGCGATTGTGCACCCGAACTCCATATATGGTAATGTCTGGCGTCCGTGGTCTTCCGATTGGTCGGGAATCCACTGATACTGCGCCGTAATCCTGGCGGGGGTATCACCCTCCAGTTCGGGTATAAAAGCTGCGGGGCCCTCAAACCGGCATTCATTGTACACTTTCTGTGATAGTACAGTACAGGTGTTCCCGTAGCAACCAATTCGTGTGGATACACATTTTTTTTCTACTTTACTAATCAATTTAAAAAAGTAAGTTTTAATTATTATTATTATTATCAAATTCTTTTATAACTCACCATTTCATTTTAACCCACAAAGTCGGGTGAAATCAAATTGTGGAAAATTTTTGACAACGCCGGTTATTAATTGGGCGTGGCTGTCACTTTTTTCTTAAACCGACTTGAAGTTAGCTACAATTAAAAATTTTATTTTAATAATTATTAATATTTAATATTTCATCGGCGAATTAAATAAATTAACGTTTTTTTTTTATTTTTTCCAGCCTAATTCAAAATGTGTGACGAAGAAGTTGCCGCTTTAGTTGTAGACAATGGATCTGGTATGTGCAAAGCTGGTTTTGCTGGAGATGATGCTCCAAGAGCCGTGTTCCCATCGATTGTTGGTCGCCCTCGCCATCAAGGCGTAATGGTCGGAATGGGACAAAAAGATTCTTACGTTGGAGATGAAGCCCAAAGTAAACGTGGTATTCTTACCTTAAAATACCCAATTGAACACGGTATCGTCACGAACTGGGATGATATGGAAAAGATCTGGCATCATACCTTCTACAATGAACTTCGTGTCGCCCCCGAGGAACACCCAGTACTTCTTACCGAAGCTCCACTCAACCCAAAAGCCAACAGGGAGAAGATGACCCAAATTATGTTTGAAACTTTCAACACCCCCGCTATGTATGTTGCGATCCAAGCTGTACTTTCTTTGTATGCTTCTGGGCGTACCACTGGTATCGTATTGGATTCCGGAGATGGTGTATCCCACACTGTACCAATCTACGAAGGATACGCTCTTCCCCATGCCATCTTACGTCTTGATTTGGCTGGCCGTGATTTAACCGATTACTTGATGAAGATCTTGACTGAACGTGGTTATTCTTTCACCACCACCGCTGAAAGAGAAATCGTTCGTGACATCAAAGAAAAACTTTGCTATGTCGCTTTAGATTTTGAACAAGAAATGGCCACCGCTGCAAGTTCGAGTTCTTTGGAGAAAAGTTACGAACTCCCTGATGGTCAAGTCATCACCATTGGTAACGAAAGATTCCGTTGCCCAGAAGCTTTGTTCCAACCTTCGTTCTTGGGTATGGAAGCTTGCGGAATCCATGAAACCACTTACAACTCCATCATGAAATGCGATGTTGACATCCGTAAAGATTTGTACGCCAACACTGTCTTGTCTGGAGGTACCACCATGTACCCAGGTATCGCTGATCGCATGCAAAAAGAAATCACTGCTTTGGCACCATCTACAATGAAGATCAAAATCATTGCTCCACCTGAAAGGAAATATTCCGTATGGATCGGTGGATCCATTTTGGCTTCTCTTTCTACTTTCCAACAAATGTGGATCTCCAAACAGGAGTACGACGAGTCTGGCCCGTCCATCGTCCACAGGAAGTGCTTCTAAAGAGGATTTGGAAGTTTGTAGCCGCAGCCGCTGTCGCCGTCTTCGTCACCGTCGTCGTCATTCCTACATGTGCATTCCACGACAACATTGTATTATATCTGAGTTCGGGGCCCGCCGAGCCGGCACACGAGGTACTTCTATAGCCGTGTTTTTTATAAAAACAGCGAGTGACAATTCCGCTAGGCCAAAGTATTACTGTCTTAATTTCTCTTATTTTTTTTGTAATTTATTCCATCAGATTTTGAAGACTATTATATTATTATTATTACTTTTAGGCTAATATTAATGGGATAATTAAAAAATAAAATCACAAAAATAAAAAAATCTTCTGTATTATTTTCCTTACCTCTAATTCAATTTATTTAAACAAAATTCTTCCAAGATTGTGCTTATCATATAATATAGATTAATTTTTGGAATATAAAACGTAAAATTAAAGTTTAAACAATTGCAAAAAGAATACTTTAAATTTAATAAATAAGTGACCTTAAACTCTGCCATCTAGTAGTAATATCAAATTACTTTTATTTACAATTTGTTTGGCATATTATTCATCAAGAAGAAATCCATTTTCCGCTTGAATTGATTCCACAAAGTCTCGCTTTTTTTTATTTCAGAGTTAATATATTTTTGAAATTTCAAATTAAAGCATTCAGTTAACACATTTCTTTGGCGCCATCTATGTTCCAATCATTTAATACATATCGAATGATAAAGATATCTAATTAAATTTAAGTTCAATATGCCTCTAAAAAGAAATAATATACAAAAAAGTATTAAAAAATATCTACAAGTGATTGATTTCCTTAGAAACTTAAAATTATTAAAGTTTATTTTCTGATTTTAATATATTTTTTTTTGGTTATAAATAATTCATCAAAATTCCGGAGTTGTTTTTCTCGAGAAAAGTACCACCCACGCAGGGTGCGAATAAAATTGCGTGGGATTTATTTACGTAAACGGGAGGACAAATAAAATTAGGGGAGAAAAGCGAGATCAACCACAACTTCGCCTCTTTTAGACCGGTAGGTTCAAATTTTACTAAAAAGAGATATCCTCAAGTATTTTTATCTTCGTTCAACCAACACAACCTTCAGATTTATCCTCTTCATTCTCGCCTCAAAACTTTAACATTTCCGCAGCATCTGTAACGTCAAAATCGTTGTGAAACGTCAGTGTTTAAATCATTTTATTCAGTTGTAGGTTAGGATCGTGCGCGAGTGTAACATATGCAACATTTTCTTTTTCCAACTCGCTCAATTAAGTTCTGTATGTGCTGGTGATATACCATGAGGAAATACATGAACATTTTGACTTTACTTTCTGTGATATCAGCTACTCGACCTTTATTATTAGCAGAAGCCAGGGTACGTTTGTAGATTAATTCCATTATTTTTAAGAAAGTTTATGTTTACGATTAAAAAATGAAAGTTATTTGCTTTACGTATTAGTTGGGTTCTTGTAAATCCTCAATTCCATTGATAAGAATGATTCATTGGAAATTTGGACTTATCTAATTCATAATAAATTACTTTCCATGCCTTTTTATTTTTATTACCACTTCTTCGTCTTATGATTCTTCATGATTTCCTGAGTTAATATTTAATTAACCTGGAAAATACAAAAATTTTATTGTTAAGGTTTATATTTGGAAACCTTTTCACCGCAATAAATTTTTTAATACGTAATGAGCTACAGTAAAGAATATCTTAATAATTTTTGAGTTATTATTAACTTACTATGTTTTGCGTACGTTTTAGAACGCTTTGTAGTATTATTATAACAAAATGAAAGTCAAAACAAGTACCAACCTAATTCTAAATTTTTTATTAATTTATTATTATTTTTATTTATTGAAATTTCATTAAACAATTAATCAATTAAAAGTTATTAACAAAACACAAAATTTATTATTGAAATAAATTTATAAATAAATTAAATTAAATCATTTTTTTTTAATAAAAGTGAAATTAGCAACTAACAATTTTATTTATTATAATTCCTTTTTATTTATGAGAATTCATCAAATTTTCTTATAATAATCATTAAAACAAATTAAATAAAACCGAAAAATAAATTGAATCATTTTATGTCAAAACATAACCTATAATAAAAATAAAGCAAATTAAATTTTTTTTAAATAAATTTCAATTTATCTCAATTTATCTTTTCAGAGTTCTCATCAACCTCAACGATTATCCAACACTCAACTTTCATATTTAACAAATTTATCTAACGTAACTCATTTGAACGATCTCCTCGATAATATTTGCATACCGAGGGTTGTGGGTACAAAAGGCCACAATAAAGTGTTCGATTACATCATTTCGCAATTAAGCGCCCTTGGATTCGACATAGCCATCGATAAATTTGAAGAGAGGACTCCGACTCATGGAACATTAACGTTCCGGAATATTATTGCAAGTTTAAATCCGGACGCCGAAAGATATTTGGTTCTAGCTTGTCACTATGATAGTAAATATTTTAAGGATTTTGATTTTATTGGTACGTAATACTCGTAAAAAGGTCAACGAGATTATCGTTGCAAAATAATTTCGAAATTACTCTTTGTTTATTCATATTCAAGATAATAATGTTTATATGTTGCAATATGATGGATTTCATTCATTAATTTGGATGTTTTTTTTTTTTTTAATTTTAGCTGCGACGGATTCAGCGGTACCATGTGCGATGTTAATAAATCTCGCAACCGTAATGAAACGGGAATTATTACAATCGGTAACAAGAACCGATTTAAGTTTAAAATTGCTGTTCTTCGATGGAGAGGAAGCGTTTAAAGATTGGGGCCCAACCGATTCAATTTATGGAGCAAGACATTTAGCCCAACACTATGAAAATCAAGAAACGTTGTTAAAAAATGGAGAAAGAACGAATGAACTAAATAAAATTGATGTTTTGGTTTTGTTGGATTTACTTGGTACTGCAAATCCTTCGTTTCATAGTTATTTTCCGGAAACGGATGGGTTGTATAAAAGATTGAATGTTGCCGAGAGGAGATTAGCAGCTTTGGGGTCATTACAAAAATATAATAAAGGAAGACCGAGGTATTTCCAAGATAGACAAGTTCAAGCGCAAATCGATGATGATCATATGCCATTTTTAATAAGAGGTTAATTTAAAAAAAATTATTTTAATTATAAATAAATAAATTTGTTTCTAGGTGTTCCAATTCTCCATTTAATTCCATTACCGTTTCCGAGATGTTGGCATAAACCTTGTGATGATCGAAGCATTGTTGATTTATCAACCGTGGAGAATTTGAATAAAATCCTGAGGGTGTTCGTCGCCGAATATCTTCACCTGTCAGTAAAATCTTCTTGATTCGTTGCACCTCAAATGTGACGTCCCAAAAAAAAATGTACCGTCTCAAGTATTGTGTCTAAACGTTGTTCGATTCCATTTCTCTGTGATTAGGTGTCCAAAATAATAATTAATATAATATAAAAGATTAAAAGGTGGCAGAACTAAAAAATTATATTTATGAAATAATAATACGTATATTTTTCTTATATATAAATAAGCTTCAATTTGATTAAAAAAAACTCACTTATCGAGTACTTACAAGTTGTTATCTACATGATCATTAAGTTTTCGTTATAGTTTTTGTTGGAAATGGTGGAGGGTTAGTTTGTTATCGGAAAATCAGGGTTGATTTATTTCCTTTTATAACTCAAAAACTTTTTAATCTCAATAAATCATTCCTAAAATGCACAAATTCATTTCTATTAATACACCAAAGTTGATTTTCTTTATTATTCAGTTCAGTTCTAGATGACGATGACTTCCAGGAACCAGTGGGGCACGAGGAGTTGTGACTTCCCGTGTTATTATTCTTGCAAGAGATGTTACGAAAAGTATGTATGATTTTGCAAAACTGAAAATAATAGATACAAAAGATCATTATTTATCATTCGCTACCGTAAATGTTATTGTATTTTTGTAAATGAATGTATTAATTTAACCGTTTCAATCACAACTTAAAATCCGACAGGGAAAGTGTTAAAACTTATAAGATGAAATGTGTTGTAAATTAAATATTATATAAAATGTGTTTATATTTATAATAATGGTTGTTGGGTTATGTAATAACGTTGTCTCTTGAATGTGTGAAATAAATATTAAATGACTTTTAAATTACACAATTTCTTACACTTTTATTATATCATTAACTCATTATAGTCATTATCATTGATAAAACTTATTATCGGAGATACTCAATTGATCGGATAAATCTATTAAGAACGATAATTGCGTGCTGCACAAACGTTGAGGATAACGAGAACTCAAATTAATAAGATAGTTAAAAATTAATAAGATATTTATTATAAAAACTTAATATCAATTAAAATTTCTTAAATATTTTTTTAAGGTTAGCTATGTTGTTTCGATATAAAATGGTTCTAGTTAAATTTATAAAATTAATTTATTTCTAATTTAATAATAAATTTATTTAACAAATTTTTAGAGATTATTACAAAAAAAAAATTAATAAATTTAAATAAACAACAAATAATTCAAATAAATTAGAATTAGTTTTAGGTTGGTAACAAATTCGACATTCATTTGTTTTTAGACGCTTCCGACCACTTCCGACGCGTAAGTCGCACATTCAATTAATGTATTTACCGAGTTAGTTATTGAGTTAATTATTGAGGTAAGTGCTTAATTTATAAATTTAAATGGTTATTATGACACTATTATTACATCATTACGTTTTAATGAAGTAAAAATATGTTTAGAATCTAGGAAGCGTTATCTCCCGCGCTGAAGCTATTTTTAACCCCGTTGTTCCAATTCATGTTTCCAATGACGTTTGGTGAATTGATTCAGGTAAGATTAACAAATTATTAAATAAATTTATTATTAAAAATAAAAAGTAATTCTAATTTAAGTTGGTACCTCTGAATCAATCAATTTCTTTAGTTGTCATTGTCAAAAAAATTTGTTGGCAGAAAAATCATTAATTGCTGGGATCTATCTTAATATCAGGTATTAATTTAATCTTAACATTATTTAATTTATCCTAAATTGAATTCACACTAAAATTAGATGAAAAAATTATTAATTAAATTATTTTTAGGGATTTTTAATAATTTTATTTTACGTTGGTATTATTCAGTCAACTACAATTTATGTGTCAAATTTAACAATACTTAAAATTGAATACATTTTATGGAAGTTTAGTCGCTATCCACGGCAATTTTCCAGTTTTTTTAAAACTATAATAATCATAACACAAATTTCCTAAAACCAATAAAATCATTAATCCTAAAACCCCGTTGAGTAAGTTTAAAGCCTTTTCGGTGTACGCCGGGGGTGTGTGACACATTTTTTGAATTGAAAGTTGTATGATCTAGAAATAAATTAATTGGATTAAATTAAAATATACTAATTAATGTATTAATTACGCTTTGTAACGAGTTGGGATCTCCCTTAACTTGAGCACACTTAATTTGGTTTAAGTCTTGTATAAGTAGCCCGTATTCCACCAAAATGTGTTTTTGGAAATTCGGGGTGAACGAGCAGGTGCATTTCCAGGGGTTTTCGCTTAAATACAACATAACAGCGTTGGGAACATTCGGGTTTTGATTTAAAGCGTTCGTCATCGCGTAAGTTGGTACCTAAAAAAATAAAAAAATTAAATTTCTATTTCTTTTAATTTATGTATATTTATTTACGTCCGTTAAAAAATTCCCTTTAAGCGATAAAATCCGAAAATGCCTCAACCAATCGGTCCCTTCCAAAACCTCAATACTTCGTATTTGATTATAATCCAAAAATAAATCGGTGACATCGTTATAATAAGAGTTCCGTATTAAAGGCGATAAATCCTCGATTGAGTTGTTATTTAAAACGAGCTTTGTGGTGTGCTTCGGGAGTGTTTCCGGGAGCGAAATAAAGTTCTTTTTGGTACAATTAACTTGTACAACGGGATGTAATTTATTTGTTTCTGCGTTAAATGTGACCGTTGTTAAAAAGCACGAGCAGTTGTTGGGACAGGATTGTGATGTGTTCTACTTGAAAAGATAAATGAGATTAATTTGGGGATTTTTAGGCGATTCGGCCATTTTTACGTGTTTAAGAGTGGCCACGTATAATAATTTTTTGTTATCAAAAGGTTCTTTATGACATAACGTGGAGTTAATATCCTTTAAATTGTTTAAATCTTTCGCGTTGTAAATCCAAGCGAGATTGTTGCTGCAATTCCATGGATTTGCTAAAAGAAATCAACGTTAATAAGTTTGCGTAGGTTTTTGATAAAGGAAACAATCGCGTTTAAGTGGGTGATTTAGTGTTAATTGTTTCAATTATTAATTTGGAGTGAGTGTGTATCAAGCAGTTTAGTAACGGATGATGTGGAACACCCCGTTGAAATTTTTTTTATTGATAGCTGCGCTGCTACAAGATGTTATTGCCCAAGGTAAGTATTTTTATTAATACCAACAAATATGAACGTCCCTAATTTTTTAGATGACCAAACGATAATTAACGGAGTAAATAATTTAGATGGAAGTAATTCGAACCAAGATGGTGGGGGAATACCCCCGACTTTGTCTGGGATGGCTGGATTATTCGGGGGAGGTGGTGCGGCCTACCAAAAATCACAAGATACAAACGCAACTTTCGGACAATTCCAAACTAAAAAGCAAGAACAAGGAATCGTTCAAGGCGGCCTTTTGGGCAACCCTCCACCACTAACCCCACAAAACCCCGAACCACCATTAAACCCAGAACCACCATTAGAGCCCGAACCACCAATAAACCCCGAATATCCATCAAACCCCGAATATCCATCAAACCCTGAACCACCAGGAACCAATAACCCTGATATTCCGCAATTCCCTGATGTGTCTATATACCCACCAACAGGACCAGGGGAGTATGGCCCCGAAGTAAACAGAAACACAGAAAACGAGCGTGATTGGAAATGCATTATTTATTGGTTACAAAAAATTTTTGGGGACAACTCTCCCGTTATAACCTGGTTTTTGAAACTCCGCGAATTAATATTTTGCGATTGCGGCGCTTTAAGGAATAACCCCAACTCAAAATCGGGGGTTCAATCGATTCGAAATCGCCTCGATAATATGAAGCCTAATTTTCCCCTAGGAAATGTTTTAATCTCCATCATAAAAGCACCCATAAACCTTGTTTTAACCGGGTATAAATTCGGGGAATGTATGTTTACTTGTTACGCTTGGAGATTATTTAAACTACACTTATGGATAGCTTCATTAATACCCTACACAGATCCCGAAAAATTCTATTCGTATATCGTCGAAGATATGGTTGATATTATAAAGAGAGCCACGGAGCATCAAATTCCGTTTTGTCCATCGGAAGGTGAAGATAATGGAAATGATCAAAATCCTCCGGGGTCTGAAGAATTACCTTTTGGCGGGGGAAGTTTTCCGGCAGATTATAATGCCGGTGGTGAGGGTTTTCCCACCAGCGGAGGTGAAAATGAAAATCCTGATGGGAATTTAGAAGGGAACTACATTGATTTAGTAGATCCGATAGATTCACAAACTCGATCTGTGGGAGATAACTTGGGTGGTCGACAAGGAATGTATCAATCCATGTTGTCTCCGATGCATATCACGCAGCAAATGACAGTTCGAAAAAGACGAAACGCGCCGATAAAAAAAAGTAACCGGATAAGACGCCACGTTCAGGGAAAATCTCGGCGCGGTATATTTTAGAATATGTTAATTATAATGAAAAGTGTTAAGGTGGATAATAAATGTTTGAAATAATAATAAGCTTTTTAATTTTAATTAAGTAAAATATATTAGAATATAGAAAGAACTATTAACACTTTAGATTAGTTAAGAGGCCGAGGTTGCTAGGCAGCCGAGGCAATAGAGATTACTTATTTGTACAGAAAGACATCAGACTATTTTTGAGATGAATGTACTTTGAAGCTGAGGCAGTGATGTATACATTAATAAAGCGCTATTAAAACGTTTTAGAATTGTTGAGAAGCCGAGGTAGCTGAGCTGCTGAGACAATAGAGACTGCTTATTTATAGAGAAAGACATCAGACTAAAAGAGATGAAGAGACGTTTGAGAATTATTGAATAGTTTATTTTATAGTTTTTTTTTATACATATATTAGTTGGTATATTCTGACGTTGGATGGGGATCTTTCATGTGAAGTTTGTATTATATGTCAAAATGATAAAGTCAAAGTGACAGGTTGTAACGTCAAAATGACAGTTTAAGATTAAAACTAAATCTCACCAGATAAATAAATGCTTTCTAAACGAAACAGTTTCAACAATTTCTCTTCGTGGAGACAATGAAACGAGTTGTTTCTCAAATCTAACACTTTGAGTTGTTTTAAACTTCCCAAGAAGCTCTCTTTTAAGTTTCTAATTGGTAACTTGTTCAATCTTAGAACCTAAAATGGAATTTTTGATGAAATTTTTTTAATATTTGGCTTAAATTACCTCTAATTTTGTTGTTTCAGATCCAAACCCGTCAATTTTTGATAATAACCCTCGTGAAATCGTTAGATTATTTAGATAAGGAAATGATTCTTGCATCAAAGTGAAGTTTAAATAAGTTGAGTTATAAAAGTCGAATTCTAAGTTTTCTATTTGATTTCTTAAAGATGGCGAGATTAAATTAATTTCTTCGATTGTTGTGGTTTGACATTTCAAATTTGTTGTGGTAATAAGGGAACATTTTAAGTTTGAATTTAATTGTTGATGAGTTGTGGCGAAATTTAAGGCGATTAGGATCCTGGAATTAATTTAAAACGACTTATTAATACAAAAAGGATAAGTGCTGCACCTTTTTCTTCATTATTTCTTTTTGAATTAATTCTTGCAAGGCCGACTGGTAAAGAAACGACCGAGTGACCCCATTTTGAGGACTTTTAGATCCCTCAGCCTACAACCTCTCATTGTATGTTTGATTTGAATAAAAAATTAATTAAATTGGAGCAATTATAACAAAAAAAACGGAGTCAAACTTACACAAATTTAAACATTTCGTTTTTTAAGCTCACTTTTATCACTAAAATAATAAAAAATCGCGTCGTCGTCTCACGATTGCCGTACTAATTCTGTTAGCAACTTAACAAGTCGATGTAAGTTCATTTTGCACGTTTACATTTCATCGCCTCAACAAAATCGATTCAAAAAATGTTTTAATAACCTTAAATTAGAATCCAAAAATAAAGTTCCTTCTTATACGCAATTATATCCAGGGAATTGGGTCAGTATTTTTGGGAGTCTTGGAATCATTCTGAAATGATCAAGTTGGTCAAAATCATATAAAAGAAGTTTAATGAAGGATAGTTGTACTCAGAAAGAAGGGTTTTGAATGTTGTACAAAGCGAATTAATTCGCTTTTTTAGATTAATTAGAAAGAAACGCATTTTAGGAAATAAATAACTATTAAATTAATTTTTAAAATTTCACCGCCATCTATCGTATTTTATTAAAAATAAATTTATGAAGTAAACCCAAACGATTTTTATTTTTTAATGAATTTATTCACAAAAATATTTTAAATTTAAATTGACACATTAATAATTAATTACATTTAATTCGATTTTATTAAATTAATTATTATTAATCTTATAATTAGTAGCTAACTTCACTTTAATTTGATTTGTTGTGGTTCTTCCAAATGACAGTTTAAAATTTTAAACTTAAGAATTTATTTTTAACTATATTTCTTTAAAAATTAATTCTTCTCGTCTAATTCCCTTTTTAATTACTTTTAGGGTTCAATAATAAAGCCACAAAAGTTACCTTTTGGATGTTTAAAGCACAACAATAAATAATTTCGGAAAACATAACCTCTATAACCTCCAAAAAATGGGAAAAATTAAAATATAAATAATGAAGAAAAAAGTGAAATTGTATTCGAAACAAACCTTTGCGAAGGTTGTCCAAAAAGGTCTCTACAATAAAAAAGTGAAACAGGAAGGTCACATTTGTTCGATTAATGATCCGCGATTACGAATCAACATAAGATGTAATAGCAACAAATACTTCACCATATCGATTAAAAATCCCGTAACGAAATGTTTCTTTCGCAACAAATACGATTTATTTAAAGAGAAGCGACGTCATTTGGAGCAAAACACTTTCGTAATTCACCCGTTGAGTAGATTTAGGTATATAATTTCAATTAATATGAAACAATTATTAATTTAATTATTTTTAGTATGACTTGGTGTATCATCTTGATGATATGCTACATAGTTTCGTTATTTGTAATTCCTTTGGAGATTTTATCGTTACTGGTTGAAAGCACTTGCAATATGGATGTGTTTAGATTGATTACATTAATTGTGGACTTTATGGGAATTTTGGATATAATGAAATCCTTTTTTACGGGAATCGCAACAATTAAAACCCAAACAATATTGTTGAAACGAAAACACATTGCTAAACAGTACCTAAAAACTTATCAATTTTACATCGATTTTATAACATGCCTCCCTATTACTGCGCTATGTGAGTTATTAATTGTGGATTATGAGAACGTTTGGTTATTCTTGAATATGTTCTGTTTCTTGAAAGTGATGAGATTAAAAAGGCTTTTCGTTATTATCCATCGATATGCCGTAAGGTATAAAAATGAATGGAAATATATTTTAGTAATTATTTTTTATTTCAGGTTGAAGTTGCATCGGATGTTTATAATTTAGTGGTTTGCATAGTTCTTATGTTCGTTTGGTTGCATTGGACTGCATGTTTGTTACCGGCTTTGCCCTTATTTATCGCTGAGTTACAACACACGGATATTTCAAAGCAATCTTGGTTATCAAATGTACCCGTTGACATGAACAGCTTATCTAGCATTTATGCGCAATCATTTTTTTGGACCACTGCAATGTTTTTATGTAACAATACAAAAAATATTATTTAAATTAACTAATTTAATTAATTAAAAGGTGTCCGACACACTGGATTAGAAGTTATCGATCCAATGGAAACTGTTTTAATGAGCTGCTTTTACCTTTGTGGTTACATTGGGTGTGCATTCTTATTCGGTAAAATTATTCAATCTAATTAATTATATTTATTTATGTTTTAATCAAGTTTTCTTTTTGCAATTGGTTGAATCATTTGGGGATCAATCCCTCAAGTACGAAGCGATGACAAATCAACTCTCAAAATACATGAGTTACCGCCAACTATCATTAAGTCTCCAAGAAAAAATGCTTATTTATTACGAGCACAAATCTAAAAGCATCTATTTCCGAGAGGGAAAATTAATGTCTGTGCTCTCTGATCAGCTTCGCAAAGAAATTAACCTTTTTAGTTACGTCACATTAATGAAAAGCGTCAACATTTTACACCGGATCAGCGATAAAGCAGTCCAAGAAATCGTCGCTAATTTAAAAGCGGAACTTTTTTTGCCCGGAGATGTTATCACCAAAGCCGGAATGGAAGCTGATTGCATGTATTTCTTATCTTTTGGTACTGTTGCCATTTTCACCCCGATGGGGAAAGAAATATGCCACTATAGCGATGGATCTTACTTTGGGGAGATCGAGCTTATGCTCAAAGATAATAAAAGGATATGTAGCGTCATCGCGATTGAGATTTGTGAGGTTTATCGGCTTGAACGGAGAGATTTTTTAAGGGTTATGGAGAATGAGGTTGAAACTTATCGGTATTTAGAAAAAGTTGCTTTAGATCGCGCTACAAACACCGCTTTCTTAGAGGAATTACACAAGAAACATATTTTAGAGAGAAATATGGCTGTTAATTATAATCATTAATAAAATTTTTAAAACACCGCCATTGAAATTGCAACAAATTCATCAAGAAGTTAAAAAAGTATTAATTTATTCACAAAAAGTTTAATTTAAATCATATTTATATTAAAACAACAATTAATTAAAGTTCTAATTAAATTTTAAATTAATACTGTTAACTAACTTCACTTTATGGCTTTAGTTTGATTTGTTGTGATTGTTCCAAATGACAGTTTTAAAATCCTTAATTTAATTGTAAGTATTTAGCTGTAAATTAGTTCTTTTTACTTATATTCCTTTTAATTACTTTAAGGGTTGATTAACGAAGGTGCAAGATAATTTTTCCATGTTTAAAACTTAAAAATAAATGTTTGGGAAACAAACAAAACAAAACAGGTAAAAATTGTAATTTATTTTCTATTTTACATTCTCATATAATTTTATTATAATATAAACGAATTAATATTGCATTCTTACGCGGGTATAAAAATAAATACGAAATAGTACAATTTTAGTACAAAAAAATGATAGAGAGATATAACCTCAAAAAAAAATTTAACCTTAACATCTAGCAACTTAATAAATTCAATAATAATCAAATATCACAATAATAAAAAGAAACCTAAGAGCTAAAAAAACTGATTTTGATTATTTTTTTAAAAAAATTTTTGTTTTAATCATTCCGAACAGTGACTAGATGAGACAGAACACCGTCGTGCTACTTTGAGTGTAACAAAATTTTATTTTTAATTTTAAAGCTAGTACACGTAACGGAGTAACTGACGGGAGATGGTAACGAACGATATTTATGGCAGTGCGAATTTTTTTAGTATAAAAATTAATTTTAACGGAAAAGATTGATGATCGCATAAACTAATATACTTAATTTTAGGGTTGGTGGACTTTTTGTGGCAGCACTGGAATGCTCGGGAGCTGTGTAAGGTTCCTTTTCGGGTTGATTCGACCAATTTTGACAACCAAGGAAGTACGGACCGATTGGTTTTGGTTTTTCGGTGTCTCTTTGCTCATCGTTGAATTTAAAGTAGTGCTTCCCTTTAAGAAAATAAGTTTTTCCTGAAAACAAATTAATCATTTATTTATTTTTGCTTTAAATTATTTGATTTACCATCTTTCCATTGGAAGACTGCGTCGATATCGTTGGGAAGTCCCCTCCAAAATCCTTTAATAAGCCTGGGGTAATCTAATTCAACTTTCGCGTGGTCATCATCAACCCTATGAAAATTAAAATTTGAATTAATTTATTATTATTATTTATTTATTTTTACCTCCAATAGAAGTGTTCGCTGTAAAAAAAGGTTTTTCCGTTGTAACCCCAAACGCTTGCTCCATCTATTTTATTAACGGTTGATGGTAAACCTAAGTCTGTTAAGGGTTTTGGATACCCCGGTTCTAATTTTATCCTGTTCGTCATAGAGAACACGTAATAAAACCGGTCGATGAATATAACAATTTTGTTGTCAGGTCTTTCGTAAACTGCATCAATGTGGGTTAAATTCGATGGTAAATCGGTGAACATTGATGTTATTAAGAATGGGTAACCGATGTAGAGACCTCTATCACCAATTCTCCAAAAATACTAGAAATTAAAATAAAATTTTTTTTAATTACAGATATGATAAAGTTTTTGGAACAAAAAGATGTATCAAGATATTAAAAGGTATGAACTATAAATAAGTTTAAAAAGGTAGTTTTGAAAATAATAATGAGACTAAATTAGTGAAATAAATTTATTAATATTTGTAATTGATAAATGACAATTCATTTGACAACATCAATAAAATATCCGATTTTCAAAACTACCAACTTTAAATTAACAAAATTATTTAAAATTTTGACGTTTTAGGTTATCTATTAACGTTTTCGCTATGTTCGTGGTTCGAATTTTATACTTAATATCTTGAGGTGAGTTTTAAAAAGTTATTTTTGATATTATTTATTTAGGTTTAAAGCTAATTACGGGGAGGATGGAGTAATCGGAGTGAAAGGTGAGTACTTACCCTATCTTTAAAGAAAAAGACTTCACCTCGGATTAAAGCGGCAGCATCAAAACTAGTTTTACACATATCGGGTTTTTCATTTTCTTTAATCGGAGGATACCTCTCGACCTTTTTCGTGTGCTTATTCCTTTCTTTCCGATCATCTTTTTCTTTCGATTTGTTAGTTTCTCTCCAAGGATTAATTTTTTTCTTTGGAATGAAGGGTGTGTTAGGGTGGTAATTTCTGTTTTTATCGTTATCTTTAGGTGTATAATATTTCCTTGTCCACCTCGTTGGTGGGATTGTCCTCGTTGTTGTTGAAATCGGTCTTCTTGTCGTAGTGGGCCACCTTGTGGTTGTTGTAGGCCTCCTTGTCGTTGTTATTGGTCTCCATGTGATTGTTATTGGTCGTTTAGTTGTTGTTGTTGGGTTGAGTCTCCCCCATTGTCGGACATCTTTAACTCCGTACAAAGCTCGGATACCTCGTTTATCATCTTCTGGGAGGTCATAGTCTTTTACACTAAAAGCTTGGTAATACGGTGTCATTAAAGCCCCATCGACGCTTGAATGTGATAAGCCGAGAGAGTGGCCGAATTCGTGGGCGGCTACTTTAAATAAGCTTGTACCTAAAAATATAAGGAAAAAATTAATTTGATTTAATGTTATCATTTTTATTTATTATTTGTGAATGGGGTTTGTGATAATGTTGGCTTTATACTGAGAGCTGTTTTGCGTCAGTTCTAAAACTGGGTTTATTTTTAGAATGTTTCTGCCGGTCTAGTTTAAATATATACCGCGAAAATTTCGGCTTAAATAAAAATTAACGATTGAAAAAATTTAATCTAAATAGGATGCTGCGCTTATCTTTTTTTCTCTTTTATAAAAACTCCAAATGAAGCACTTGCGTGGTAATAAACAAACAGACGCCTGTTCTGAGCGATAAAAATATCCTCTTCCTCTCGTTGAGATAATAAAAACCTTTTTTTGTTTATCTTTCAAAGCGGTATTTACCTTCCGCGTTTGGGTCATCATCTTCGGTCGTTACCCAATATTCGTCGCTGTCGAAATGCGCATCTCCACCTTTACCAGCCCCGGGAAAGAATGCATGCGCTAATACTTGTCCTCGACCATCAAAAGTGAAGTTATCACCATGGTCCCCACTAACAGAAACGCTTGTAAGTACAAAAAAAAAATGTTTAATAAATAATTACCTGAAAAATGACACAACGATATCGGCTTTATCATGGTGTACCTCTGTAAACGTTAATTTCGAGTGTTTCGCCCATAAATCTAAAGCTTTCGCTAACACCTGTCTCGCTTCCTCCCATTGTATATTCGATGGGATTCCGCTTCGAACCAAACTACAATTTAAAAATAATTTGTTAATTAGCCCCTTTTTAACTATTGATTCGAATTAATTTAATCAATTTGTTTAATAATTTGGTTATCAAGCTGCAATTGTCCACTTGGTCGCTCACTCAAGGAGGTTGTGATGACTGCAAAGGACACATCACACCCAGGTTGAGTGAGTCACCTACGTGGACACCCTATATCTTATAAAGAACCCATAAAAAATCTTCGATTCACTTCTAGTTGCAGTTTTCAAATACAAAAACCTATATACAAGAAGATTTAATAAATCTTAATAAACGTTTCAATTGGTTCCAATACGGGCCCGGTCAAGTATTAATAAAAGGGGTTATGGTTTTAATGAAGCGCCATCGTGACTTTGAACGTTATTTTACTTGGGTTGCAACATCTCGAAGAGACGGGTTTCCGTCGTCGTCGCAAAAAGTACTTAGACCCCACAAACCACTTGAGAAGAGGGTGACGTCTCGAGTGTGTCCTCTTCAGTTTTACAGGAGACAAAAGAGAATGTGAAAAAGCCCTTGCAGAAACGTGTCTTTGAATAAACTTGGTTAGTTTCCGATTCTAATTCGAAAGTAATTCGGTTTTTGAAACGGGATGAGAGAAAATGAGGAAGTCGAACAGTTCATTTCCTGTTAAAAGGAAATTATTTGGAGGGGTGAAAAAAAAATTAGTTTACGAAATGAAATTTCAAAAATTGATCTCTTTTAAAAATAATTTAAGAGAAACATACCAAATAAATGTTGTCGACTAAAAACGTCTTGTTCCTCTTGGACTCTCTCGGCTCCGAATACAAACTGAAGCCGCACAACGTGCTCCGCGCTTTTAAAACCGGAAAGGCGGACGCATGCGTCCCTATTCCGGGCCCCTTTTCATGTCCCCGCGGGACTAAAACACCCACGTATCGGGTTACTGAACACCAGAAAACTGCACCAGAAGTTTCCAGGAAGATAACACCACAACTAAACGGTATTTTGTCTTTATTTTAAATGTCAATTTTGTACCAACATATCTAACGTTTCTGAATAACATAATTGAATACTTTGATAACCAAATTTATTTTTAAAAAATATTTCAAATTAATTCAATCATATAGTTTCAAATCAATTTAATTAAAACTTAAATTTATTGATTCATTAGAATCAAGTTGGAAATGTGAAAATAATTATTTGAAATGTCAAACTGAATTTGTTTTATGCTTACTAAAAACAAATCAATAATTATTATTAATTAAAATACACAAATGGAAAAAACATGCTGCTAATTCTTGGAACACAATGTTACCCCTCCAACGAGAAAAAATACTTAACCGTCGTTTGGGTGGTGTGATTTTTAACCCTATCGGAAAGAAGGGAACCTTCATTGTTTTCTATATATGTTTTAAAATCTATTTATATTTTTTTAATATAAAAGTAAACCAAGTATTGTGTACTTGGTTTACTTTTGAAGATATCAAATGAACGATATCATTTAAGAGTGCCGAGTCACTTGCATGCGAGGTAAGATGATTGCTAAGGTTTCATATGGCCGTGGCGCTACATCTTACATGGCGATGTTACCTGATAGCGTTCATTTAATGTATTGAAAAGTAAACTAAGTGTATAGCACTATTTTAGTTTCACTTCGCCGAGGTCGATTGCGGAAGAGGCGCTAGAGCTGATAGTTTATACTAGCTTTATGTTGATGTAATTGCATATCCAGCGTCTGGCCCGCAAGCAACCTCGTCGCCATTAGATGATATCATTCATTTGATGTCTTAAAAAATAAACCAAGCGCATAACTCTTTAATATATCCTCACGTTGCCAAGGTCGCTTGCGGGCGAGGCAATACATCTGATAGTTTATATCAACTTTATGTTGATTATATCAACACAACTACTGCTTCGGCCTCAAGCGAACTCGGCGAAGGGTGAGTAAACGATTTTTTATTGAAGTGTTATCCGTTTACATCAAGGTTATCCGAAACGTCAAACCTTTTCTTAAAATACGCACGGCAAAGCCCGAAAGTTTCTAGTGTTAGTTCTAATTTTAGTTCAATTAGAGCTGATAATATTATATACTAGCTTTCTGTTGATATAATTACATATCCACTGTCTCGGCAAAGTAAACATAAACGATTTCTCATTGAAGTTTGTACGTTTTGTTCATTTTCCAAGACATTAAATGATTATAATTATAATGTTAATATGCGTTGAAACATATCCTAATATTAATGAAATCCTTCTTTCCAACATTGAAAGACTTTTCCATGACCTTTAATCGAACCAACCGACAGTTGACATTTGAAAATATAGCACGGGATTAAATCAATCTACTCTAAAGGTAGAGATATAAGAGGGGGCAAAATCAGTAAACGAAAATTTTTATTAGTCGAAAAATGATATCGTCGAGAGCACTTAACACATATCGGCAATCAAACCCCGACGGGGGTTGACACCGAGAGGTGCTACATAACCCGACGGTGCCACTCTCGAACGTCGCTAATTAACCGTTCCAATTAAACGCGGCATGACGACCCGTCTAACGCACGTCTAGGCCCTTCGGTAAAAACCCCAGATTATACTGTAGAAATCGCGACAAAACGTTCCATTTCAACGAATAATTAAAAAAATAGTACCTTTGTGTTTCCATTTTGCAAGGAGACAGATGGTGAGCGCGTTAAAAACTTTTATATAGTAGGAGGTATAACGTTTCATTATCGAGGCATCAATTCGATTAGTTATTACAAGAGGACGTATTAAATTAAGTCCTGCAGCTATCACGGCGACAGAGAGGGCTTTCATCTTGTTAATTTCGGAAGGTAACTAACTACGTTAAGGAGAGCACTAAAGACACCTTTATTAATTACACAAAAAAATGTTCATATTGATCTTAAAGTTGCGCCGACCCGTGCGATTCCGTTCGATTTTGATAAGAACAAATTATAATGAGGAATTAATTGAAAATTTCGCGATGGTAATTGCCGGAAAATATTGAACCCGGAACCTCTTTCTTCGGGCTTCTCTGGCGTGCGGGGCAGACGTAGAAGAGGGTTTAGCGACGTTGAGTTGCCCCTGGTCTGGGGCGATAAAGTCGGTCTACCGTTTTTACGTTATCCCCTTGCTTTTCCCCCCCCGACGCTTTCTATTCAACACCATGAGGTGAACAATGGCTCTACTTCTAAAACCAGACGGTTTTAGAAATTTCGGAATCGCACTAATAATAATAATAATATCGAAAAAGGAGGTATTTGAAGATATCTTTAATTAAGAGATAAATTTCTGTTTTAAATTGAATTTTGATTTACGATTAAGATTTTTTAAATCAACACTCAGACACACATTTCATTCTCATTCATTTCACCCTCCCCATATAAAACAACCCTCATAACTCGAGGGTAATTCCCTAAAACAAAGGAAGGCATAAAACAATACCAACTACTTCTTTAAAGAGATGGGGACCAACCCTTTTTTTTCGAGTTTTTTTTGTCCCCTTGGTAACAACATTAAAAAACATCCTCACACCAAGGGCTCGAAATTTCAAAATCTATTTCCCATTTTCGCTTGTAATAACCACCTTTCTCCTAATAACTTATTACGCGCCTTAATCAATTTACCGCTTAATTTGCGTCCCCTTCGATCTTCGAGGACGCATTTTCCCTCAATCTCAACTACCCGATATTCATTCCAGCCTCGTCTTTGACTTGGCCCCCTAACTTTAAACTTAATTACCTCAAAGTGCACTAAAATGAACCCGTTTTAATCGAATTAACACATCAAGTTGTTTAAAAATTAATTTATTGATTACAGTTATCTGTACTTACGTCCATGTTAAATCGAGGTGATCCCACGGCCTGCCGTGATGCAACGCGTACCTCCGCGGTCGCCCGTTAGATGGCTCTCGATCGGGAAGCGCGCATCGTCGCACTTTCATCAATTTCCTCGTTCTATCGTCCAGTTCTCCCGTAACGGGAATGTTTGCGAATTCCTGCATTTCGCGGATTGCGGCTCGTAATGATTCTTCCGTTCGTAGGGCGGCGACACCGTCGCGTATTGAGCTTAGGTAGCCGTATTTCATTAAATAGGCTTGCTGAAAAAAAGATGGCGTTATTAAAAATTTTTTTTTGTGATGTTTTTTATAAATTATATTAAAAAATAATCGTTTGTTCGTGATGAAAGTGAAAACAAATCCATTATCGATTCGTCCTTGCGATAAAAGAGCAACGTACCAAAGTGGGACAAGCGAGCACGTGCTTTTTCTAAAGAAATGAAGTTCTAATAAAAAGAGAAAGAATTACGCGGAAGTCGCAGAAGGCCGTACCATCGTTTAAGGAGGTTAAGAATTATTTCAATTGTTGCTTTTAATTCTCAAATGGTGAATCATCGTTAACCCATTTCCGTTTTGTAAGATGGCGCTATTAATCGGGGTGAATCAGAAAACTAACAGAAGAGAAACAAATAATAAAAGCGGTTGGTTTAAAATTAACTGACCCACCTACGGGTGCTTCGTAGTACTTCGTACCGTTTCATTTTATTTTATACAGGGTGGTCGTTTTAACATATACGACGATCGTTGAACCTATATCGCGTATAACCTCGAGACGAGAACGAAACGAGCTGTATTTACCCAATCCTTGTTTATTGTTGCCACCGACGCCGACGCCGCCTTCGAATCAGTTATGTTTATGGATTTTTTCCGGGCAACAAGTGACTGGGCCGAGAGAGTGCACCGCGCGCCATCTATCGGCGGGCCTTGAAAAGTCAACGTCCTTTCCGCGCGCTCAGAATGATTTTATTTTTAGACCAAGACGTTTATTGGCGCCGTCCTGTGTTGTGTTTTGTTGGAGATCGGGCTCGTTTTCGCGTAAATATTTTAATTCCAAAGAGAGAACCCTACCAATAGGATAATAAGGGCGGGAGTTGAGGAGTCTAGACTTTAGATAAAAAAAATTTATTTTAATTTCAATGTTTATAGATAAATTCTAAAGCTGTAATAATTAGACGTCTAGACAAGTTGTTTTAGTTGAGTGGACCCCTTGAATTTGAAGTTCCTGGAAGTACCCAAAAAAATAAAAAGTACTTCGTGGTCTTCTCTGACTCAAAATTAACACATTTTTTCCCAATTTTTTTTTTATTTCATGAACTTTACATTCCCCCGCAATGATTAACGCTTCGCTATCTCGAGGTCAGTGGAAACAAACTGTATTTTTTCTTGCAGGACCTTCTTCCTGTCTGCTGTTAAAACTCGTCGCCAAGATTTTTATTTCAATGACACTCATCGGTCTTCCTAAAACCTTTAATAATTGAATTACTTATTCCCCGGATCGATATTGTAACTTCCTCCTCGTATTGATTGGCAGACCTAAAAACCACTTAGTCATCATCACCGCAGGAACTGTACACACACATACACGATGAAACGTTTTTAAACGAAGTGCTTTCGGTGACAATGACCTCGTATCAACAAAAACGGTCTCTCTGTCTCTTCTGTGTTCTGCACACACCCACAAAACAAGGTGTGTTTTCAGGCGTATAATTTTTGTCGTATCGGGACAATATATTTTGAACACCTGTATAAAGCCTACTTCCTTTATGTGACAAAGTAAGATTAAAAAATTTTCGTTTTCATATTTTTAAGTGTAGGAAGAAGCAATTTGTAGTCGGTATTCAACACGTTTTTAGTTTGTGAACCCTGAACCGGAAGAAGCACATTAAAATCTCCGCAAGATAAGGCGTGCATTTGTCAAGTCACGTTTTTAGGCGCCTCTTAAATTTTAGCCTGGAGTTGGAGTTGTTTTTTGTGTTTGGGTTTTTTTGGTGGTCCTTTTTGTCAGCAATGTTCTTTTTTCTTTTAAGTTTTAAAAAATTTCATGGCCATGAAAGAGATTTTTTGTACCTTATTCTGTATTACGACAATGTCACGAATCACCATGATTTATGTTACTTCATTTTGTATTTATTTTTCGCATATTTAACATAACGAAACGACTAAGTACGGCTCGGCTTAATACCATTTGATCATTCAGTTTTTGTCATTAAGATAACAGAGGTTGCTTGCAGCCGAGGCACAGCAATATGTTATCCAATATTTAAAGGGATTAGTGTCAACTTAATAAAAGTATCATATTCTTAATTCTACGTAGAGCTGAGGCCGAGGCGCTGCAATATGGTGATCAGTTTGAGGTTGACCGTCAGAGATTTCGGTGATATTAACTGATATGATTCATTTGATATCTTGAAAAGGGAACCAAGCGTACAACACTTAAATATGAAATCGTTTATGTTCACTTTGCTGAGGTCGCTTGCGGTCGAGGCAGTATATATTATTATGTTAACATAAAGCTAGTCTATATTATTAGCTCTAGAATATTGAAACTTAAATTGATGTCTTTTATGAGTTCTTTATAATTTCTATACCGTATTTCATGATGTACCTTATCATGATTAGACCCACATATAGAAAGAAAATTTCCTGCCAAGGTTAACCATAAACGCAGACATCCGTATCATTTTTTGTAGTAAAATTGTGGTTTTCGTTATGAAACGCGTCAAAGCAAATAACCCAAATTGAATTGTTAATGGGACTTTTATTTATGAATAACCAATCTTATGAATCAACGTTTTAAACAAAAATCTTTATTTAAAGTTCTTGTATTTAAAAGTTTTATAAAAACTTTCTCTCACAATCAGTAAAAACAACCGTCTACATATATGATAAATTGTTTTTAATTGAGAATTGAGGATGTCCTTAAAGCTTAAGTGGAAACTTGCAAATAAAATAAATAGCCATTAATTCATTGGAAAGAATAAAATAAATATTTTTACTTTAAATATTTACTTTAGATCAATTTTGAAAAAAAGGAAAAATATATAAAGAAAGAAATTATAAGCAATACAGGACGTTTGGAAATGTTTGCGTTGAAATATCTTTAAGAAAATAACAACCCAAGGTAAACGCACTCAAAACCTTGTTTGTATCGGGCTATCATGCCAATTAGTTAACAATAAAAAGCAATAAAAATTATCTTTTCTCTTTCACAACTAAAAAATAACAACTAAATTTGTCATAAAGATTACTTTTTAATAGTAATAGGATTAAAAAAATTCTCTAATATCTGGAGCAAAGCTGTAATTCCTTTTCTTGCGGAATCGATACGCATTGCACTTGACCTCGTTGACCCAAGAAACATCTGCGTTTGTCTCAACAACTCAACAACTTTCTTAGTTTTAAGACTTCTTTTATTTCTAAACATCGCGTAGAATCTTTTAAAAGATCAAATTAAAATCGTTCCAAGTTTTCTTTGTTCCGTTCTTTTCGTTGTGTCCTCGGATGACTAAATAATCGCTGGTGTGACGTACGACAACTTTTCAATGGGCGCAGTTTTCTTTCTTTCGATGCTCTTTTTGGCGACTCTAGACCCACCGCTGCGGTTGCTTGTGTTGAAACAACTTCTGATTTGTATGCCGTGTTGTGGTCCGCCGGGAATCTTTTACGTTATCCGGTATCCGGTTCTGGGAAATTTCGCCAATCAAAAAATTTTCTTTCAATCATAGTCACTTCCTCTTATTCCACTTTAGTAGTTTCGTACTACTAATCCATTTTGAAACCGGTGACGTTATTGATTCGAATTAGAAATTGGAAAGGTTTTCGCAACCAACCATCTTTGTTAAAACTTAAAAGTTATTTCCTTTCTTAATCTTTTGCAATTTAAGTCCCGTTTTGCAACGTCATTATCCTTGACTAATACGGATATTTTAGAGGCGTGCTTCTTACGAAAGATTCGTATCTTTGTTCTCGTTTAATTAATAATCATTCCGATAACATACAAAATTAGCCACAAACACACGGTAGACATAGCGTCTGGTGAAAACCGTTTAAAACGTAAATGTGAACGTCCTAAGACGGTTTACGAAATTAACAAAACAACGATCAGGATTCCTAAAACTCTACTCGCTTTCCCAAAAAACAAGAATTAAACGATTTATGTTCTCCGTTATAAACCAAGCGGACTTTTAAAAAGATTTCTTTCAATAGGACATAAATCATCGTTTTAAAGTAATGGATCTTTTCTTTTTGTGGTTGTTTCGTTTTAAAGAAAGCTATAAGATGGTTTATCGAACGAGCAAACTGTTTAGAACTGTTGGTGGAGGACTTAAAAATAGCCCACGGTTTGATAAATGTTTTGACAGTGCTACAGACCGACTGCACTGCACGTTCTATTTTCGCGGCCCCAACTGAAAGTGGTAGTTGGAGTGCCGACTGAAATCGCAGACGGAAAATAGTTAGGATTACGTAGTACTGTGATCTAAACGACAGCTAAGATACACCTGATTTCCTACATTCCATTTTTTTTCTCTCGTACAACGTTTACAACATTTAATAAAGCTGAAAATATTGTGTAGATAATTAATTAGACACTATCTCGAGACGTTATTATACAAAGTGTGGTTATGCTGATACCAAATCAACTCAAAGCTGCCTAGTAAATTGCAAGTAACCTCTGCAAAATGTAGAGACTAAATGATCAAATCTTATATAATATGTTTGCTATACTTGAAAAGTGAACCAAACGAACAACACTTCAATCTCAAATTTTTATACACACTTCGCCAAGGTCACTTGCGGGCGGGGCGCTAGATATGCGTAACTATATCAACGTAAAACTATCGGTTCTAGTGCCTCGTTCATCTATATCTAATATCAGGCTTGGAAAGTGAGAGAAACGTACTTGAACATAACTTGAATGAGAAAACGTCCATCCTCACTATGCCGAGGTCGCTTGCGGCCGAGGCAGTGGTTATGTAATAATATCAACATTAGGCTAGTGTATACTATTGGTTCTAGCGCCTCGCCGATATTAGACAGTATCGTGCTTTTAATGTCTTGTAAAGTGAACCAAGTGTACAGCAATTGAATCAGAAATCTTTTATCCTCACTTCGCCGAGGTCGCTTGCTGGCGAGGCGCTAGAACCAATAGTATACACCAGTTTTATGTTGTATAGTTACATAACCACTGCCTCGCCCGCAAGCGACCTCGGCAGAGTGAGGATAAACGGTTTCTTATTCAATTGCTGCACTTAGTTCACTTTCCAAAACATCAAATGAACGATACCACAGTAATAGCTCTTTAACAATGTATAGTTCTTTAAAGCTGTAATATGTAGTGCCTCCGTTTTATAAAGTTAAACATCCTTGAAAAGTATCCAAGTTACTACACTAATATTGTTGTCAACGAATTCAATCTCAACGAATTTTTGGCCATTTTTTAATTTCCTCAATACCACCATTACACTGTCCCCAATTTAATGATTTTAAAATCAACTAAGACACATGTTCTCGAATATGTAATGATGTAGGTCGTTCTCAGATCTTCACTCTTTAAATATTTTAACAATCTGTGCACACATTTTCTCCGAACTCCCAAATCGACACTTTTATATGGCACAAAACCTCGTGTTCTAACAAATAACGATAATGTTGATTTTCTTAAAACCTTCAATATTTTAAATTGACAGGAAAAAAGTGAGGTTATCTAAAACTTACCTGATTAATATAGGGTTAAAAAATCTGTTCGCTTAACCTAGAATCATTTTAAATAAATAATTTGGGTGTTAAATAACCTATTTTGATGAGTTTTACGTTTCAATTAACTCTTCATTTCCTTAAAATTTCACGAATTCGTTAAGAAATGCAACCGGTGGATTTTAAATGTTAAAATAAATGTCAAAAATATGATTTAATTTGAGTGGTTTCCGCTAGATGTTATTAACACATAACCCGTTCTAACGTTACAAAACAAGCATTTTTATGTCTTTTTTGATAATTGAGGTTATTAAAAGTGATTTTATTAGAGCACTCGCTCCAGATATCTCTTTTTAAAACATTCAAGATTCAATTATGGTTTATTAATGGATCTCTGACCGAGCCGGCGACGAAGACTGCAACGAAGACTGCGACGAAACTTTGACGAAGAAGGCAAAAGCACAGAAGACTCTTTGTCTATGGACGATCGTAATAATCGCGGTCGTAACTTTGGGTTCGTTCTAAGTAGTGTGGCCAATTAAAGTCAAAAGATAAACGGTTTCTATGGAAATTTTAAAAAATATGGGAAGTTTAATTTTTAATTTTTTTGTGGGTTAGGTGTGAATAAATTTAATTACTAATACATATGGGAACCACGTTAAAAGATTACGTAAACGCTTCTTGGAAGCGCAGAACTAAAATATTCGTGTCGAATCAAAGGTTTAGTTGAGGAAGTCGGGTTATGCCACTTCCGGCGAGGACCGGATATAAGATTCATAGACACCTTTTTGAAAGATAAAAGTTATCTTGTTTTTGGAAGCAAAAGAAAAATTTTTTTTATTGTAATCAACCCCCTTTAAAACATCTATTTTTAAGAATAGACGAATGTATTTTTGTCGCATTTTATTCCGATAAAAATAGAAAAGATGACACGTTCTTTCTATTTTTATTTAAATGATCAAGTCTAAGAGAAATTGTTAATAAATTTAAATAAAATTATTATAACCTAAATTATAATGTAACCCCAAAACGTTATTTTGACATTTTCAAAAAACTAACCTCACTTTTAACTGTCAACTGATATTAATGATAAATCCTTCGTATTTTTTTAAGAAGATAACAAAGAAATTCATCATTTTAATAGTTTTTGCTTCTTTTTTAGATTATTTCGTCTTCTTACCATATCATCATCGACGAGGTGTCCCTTTGGAACGGGGGCGACATCGTCAGCTGCACCAGCTGTAGTTACTGGAATTCTGACGAAAATCATAACCTCCAACAATAATAGTGATACCCAAAAAGAAGAGACAACGCTCGTATCCGCGGGGCCCCGCATCGCCGGATCTCAGAGGGCATCAAAGTGGCCCCACGGCTAATAAACGCAACACGCACGCACGTAATTTTATTTTTTAATATGAATCACTCCTCTTTACCCCCGCGCACTAAACGCGTCCAGCGGGAACATGGTACGCGCACAACCAAAACACTTTTCTGTTACGAACGAGGAAGAAATGAGGACCCGGAGATAGAAGAGCAACAGAGAAAGGCCCCTCACGGAGTTTACGACTGAACTGGGGATCGCCTCTTTGTACGTGCCGTGTTTATTGTAAACGGCAGCGGTCGAGAAACGTGCGCTTGGTTTGTGTCGTTTAAAGAGGAGGTGGGGGACCACATAAAACAAGGAAAGATAATTTAATTTAATTTGGAATTATACAAAAAAATTAATAAATAAAACTAATCCGATTATAACATCTTTTTTTCAGGGCGTTTCCTCTTCGTTTTCTTCAAACCAGATTGATTAGGTGTCAACTAATAATACACTTTAAATCATTACTTGTTGAATTGCCCCCAGTTCATCCCATTATCCTTTTACGTTTCTTGTAAAGCAAATTATATACAGGGTGGAAAATAGCTTGAGGGGGGTCCTTATATGGAGTATTGCAGCACGAACTCGCCTTTATTTTTTTCTTTTACTTTCCTTGAGAGCCGTTGCCGCAATCGATTCGATATGAAAGTCATTGCGATCTGGTTGGAATCTGGAATCAGGGTTATTGGAGGTTATGTAACGAATAATACCGTGTTTTATTGACTTATTTTAATCGGTTAGAATTATTTAGGTTTACACTAATTACAAATAACAAAAAAAATTTTATGAATAGGATTTGAACCTCGATTACCTTCACAACAAGGAATTCCATCAACTTTATAACCAAGAGTTAAACGGAGAGATAATTCCTTGGAGGTATAGTTTATTTTATAATTATATAAATTAAATTAAAAGTGCTATATTATATTTAAATAATATAATTATTTTAAATTTGAGGTTATATTGTATAAAATGACGTTTATAAGTCAATACAAGTGTCAAATAATTTAAAAATTAATATCTTTCAAAATATTATTTAAACAATTTAAGCAAGCCTAAAATCGCTTTAAATAAATAACATAGGTATTAAATAACGCATTTTGATGGATTTACGGTTCATTCAATATTTTATTTTTGTAAAATTCAGTCATAAAGAAATTCGTGCTGAATTTAAATGTCAAAAATATGATTTGATTAATTGACGCTAGATGTGGCTAGTTTATCAAATTAAATTAAAAGAAGGTTTCTTCTTAAGTTTTAATTTATATTTTAAATAAAAATTATTTCTTTTCATTAAATAATTAATAACAATTTATTTTATAAAAAAAATGTATTAATATGTTTTAAAATTTATGAATAAAAAAAATGAAATAAAAATATTTATAATATTTTAAGGTTATGTTAGTGACAGCAAAATCAAAACATAACCTAAAAATGTAAAAAAACATCTAAAGACCCTTATCTTATCTCATTTTATTAGAATAAAATGTAAAACCGACCGATTCTAATTGCAACTTTCAGCTTATCACCTCATTTGAATATCTACGCTGAATTTCCTGTATGCATTTCCTCAGTAAGTTTCAAACCATCAACGGAATCAACACCACCAACTAACAAAAAGTACATTTGAAATTAATTTTCTAATTCAAATCCTTTTTTTGTATGTTTTAGTGTCCGAGTTACCAAACGATGTTGATTCGCATCAAAATAAAGAAACTTTAATTAAATCGGATCACTCTGAAAATAATTTACGAGAAGATAAAAATGATTTTAATGACGTTCAAGACGTAAATAATAAAGATTTAAATGTTTGTGAGCCGATTTATACTCTAGAAGGGTTGTATGAGACATTAAAAAAGCCTCCAATGTGGGTGCAAAATACGATTCCATTAAAAGAAGGGGGTAAATGTGTTATTTTGAATGAAAAGGATGATTGCCATGTTCTCGAGGATAAATTTGAAGCGAAAGAAAGAATTAATAGGGATGAAACCCCCAAAGTTTTAATTTGCCACGATATGATGGGGGGATATCTCCATGATAAGTAATTATCATTACAAAAATAATGATTTAACACCTTTTATTTATAGATATATAAACGGGGTAAATGAAGGAAATGGATTTACGTTTCACCGTTGGGCAACAACGGATATATTTTGCTACTTCAGCCATCATTTCATTACAATCCCAACTTTACCATGGATAAACGTTGCTCATCGTTTTGGTACGGCTGTAATTGGAACAATTATAACCGAATTTACACGAGGAAAAGCATTATGTGATCAATTCCTTAAAAGTGAGGCTACTTACAAACAATTTGCTGACGCCCTCGTCGAAATTTGCATCCTTTTTAAGTTCGAAGGGTGGTTATTAAACATCGAGAACCCAGTTGATGACCCAAAACTACTTTTAAGTTTTGTTAAGTATTTGACGGATAAATTACACGTAAAAATCCCGAAAGGTTATGTTATTTGGTACGATAGTGTAACAACTGAAGGAAATCTCGAGTGGCAAAATGAATTAAACCCGAAAAATAAATCGTATTTTGACGTTTGTGATGGGATTTATCTCAATTACGCTTGGGATGAATTAAAAATAAAAAAATCCCGCGAAATGGCGCTTAATCGTAACTTCAATGTTTATGTGGGGATTGATATTTGGGGTCGTGGATCTTACGGAGGTGGTTCATTTAATGCGTATCAAGCTGCTAAGGTAATAAACAACCATAAAATGTCCATGGCTATTTTTGCGCACGGTTGGGTTCATGAGAATAACCCAAAACAACCTGAATCCGATTTTTTAAAACGTTATTATTCCCGAAGTAGCTTATTATGGAAGCTTTTTTGGCCGTACATGTACACAAGACCCATCCAAGAACCATTTTTAACGTTTTTTAGAACGGGAGTCACCACAGATCATTATAATTTAGAATTACAAGACGTCCAACCTTCGTTTTTTCCATCACATGCACTGACGAAGGAAACTATTCATGTGGATGTCGCGAAAGATGTTTGTAGGTGCATTGAGGAACGGTTAATTGATGAACATCGATGCTTATTGGTTATGGATAATGATTTAAAAGATAGAGTGGTGGTGCATAGGTTGTTTGCTTTGGATATTGAGATTAAAGGAAAAGTTAGAATTGATGCATATACCGATGCTTACAAAGATTCTAATTTGGATTATGAAGTTGTTGTTTTATTGAGGGACGCGAAAAATAGGGATGAAAAGGTGGTTTGTTCATCGAAGATGATGTTGAATTTGTCACATCCAAGAAATTGGGAGCATAGGTAATTTTTTTTTTTGAATTAATTTAAGCGTCAATTTTATTTGGTTATCATGTCAATTAATGCCGATAAAGTAGGAATTTTTTAATGCGTCATAATTAATTTATAACTTTTTCAGAAGATTTATTTTGGATTATCCCGGATGTAAATTAATGGAAATAGGTGTGAAATTAATAAGTGGAAATTACCTAAATATTTATGGGTTCGGAGTGGCTCTAGAATAGGTTAATAAAACTCAACAATACATTTAAAAACAATTCAAAAAATATATTTAAACATTTCATACATGCGAAGTAACATAATTTAAAAATAAATACTTCTATTGGTAAAGCTCTAATTAAATATACCGAATTAAAAGAAAAAAAAATCATTTATAACCTAAAATTTTCCTCCGATTATCCTCCGGAAAGTCCTCAAAAGGCCACTTTTACACACCAATTCATCAATTAATTTAATTTTTAATGTCATTTAACCCTATACAATATATTTATATCAGTCTTTCGATTACATCGTATTCACAAAAATTGTAAATCCATAAAAGTGACCTTTCAGAGTTTGTTAAAATAAAAAGAATTTAGATTTTTTAGTAATTAGCGCCTCCGATTCACCTGAACTCATAAATTTGGATGCTGTGCTCCTTGACGTGGGTCAAATTTAACGATTGGTACCTAATCGGCAAAGATAATTCAATTTAAACATCGATAACGCTTAAAATTCTTACCACTCTGAGCTACGATGATAATAATATCCCTCGATGGTCGCATCCGACTTCTTAAAGCAGATATAATAAAATCCAGCGAAAGAGGCCCCACTGATATCCTTTATTGTATGATCAGGTACAAGAAAATGTTCTTTCCACCGCATAAAAACGTAGTCCGTATCGGCTAAAGATTTATAATCGAAAGAATCCGAGTTAAAAGTTTTTGAGTATTGATCAAACGAAGAAAATTTCCCCTAAAACCAATAATTAATCACAAATTTAAAATGAATAAATTCATACCCAATGTTTTCGATCAACATCCTCATCGGCATCCCATTTCCTGGTTAAAAACGGATACTTTTGGCTGATTATTTCGCCGTCAAAGAACGTGGTAAGTGTTGGGTATTCGTCTGTTAACCCGTTTATTTGGAGATAACCACAAAGGTAAGAGTTTTCTTCGTCCACGTGCTTAAAAAACCAAATCAATTTGAATTTCGCGCCAAAAATTCTTTTTTGGGGCCAATATTTTTAGACGCATTGTCGAATTTAATAAGGGCAGATTTAATTTACCTGAAGTACGACCTCAACTTCGTACGAGTTCCCTTTGGATTTCTGGAAACCGTGGAACTTGGACCCGTTGTACAACAGAGACTTAGTAACACCTGGTTGCTTTGAGTTTGCCGGCGGTAGCGGTGTTATATCCACCTTTACGGGCATATTTTCAATCGGACACTTTTTATTAATTACGTTGGGTGCTTAATAAATCCAGTAAAAGAGTGGAAATCTCTGGAAAGCTGATACAAAATACGAAAGGTGACTGTTTGTAGCGCTACTAGTGGGGGTTATTAAAAGTACTAACTTCTCAAATTTTTTTTATTAATTTATAAGTACTAAATCAAATTATACATTCAATTAAAGCATTTTCAATAAATTAATTTATTTATATTAATAATAATTAATTAGGTTTTAATTTAATAAATAATTTTTTTGATATTTGACCCAACTCGATATTTCTCCTAACGTCAAATTAATCGCGTAAGTGACGCGCATGTCCAACAACTAAACAAAAAAAAAATATTCTTAAAACGTCAGTTCACCTCCGAACTCATGTCATGAGCGTTTCGTGAAAGCCCCATTTTTTTTTATGGCGAATTTACGGCAAATCCCCTTAACCTGCAGCGGCCACACGCGCCCCGTTGTCCATTTGGATTTTAGCGGCATCACCGAGAGCAGTTATTATTTAATATCCGCGTGTAAAGGTAATTTATTGTAATTCTAACCTCAACCTGTATCAAGAAATGTCAACCTTGGCCTCATTTTAGCCCAGACAACCCTCAAAATTGACCTTATATCGTTTAGACCTGTTTTTATTCTTTAATTCTTTTTGTTTTAACTTCTTTTGTAATTTATTTCTTTATAAAATAGATGGAAAACCAATGCTTCGACAAGGAGATACCGGAGATTGGATAGGAACCTTCGAAGGTCATAAAGGGGCCGTTTGGGGTGTAGCCCTCAATCAAGAAGCCACAAGAGCCGCAACCGGAGCCGCGGATTTCACGGGAAAAGTTTGGGATGCAATTTCCGGAGAAGAACTTCACTCGTTTCAACATAACCACATTGTTAAAAGTGTTGGTTTCTCAAAAGATAGTTCTGCTTTAGTAACTGGTAGTAATGAACGTCTCGTGCGTATTTTTAACTTAGAAAACACCGAGTCTTGTAAGTTTTTTAATTTATTCAACTATTTATTAAGTCCAAAAATTATTTTTTAGCGTCCGATATATTTTCCGGTCATTCCGCTGGTGTTCGTCATGCTTTATTCTTCCGTAACGATCGTTGTCTGGTTTCTTGTGCTGATGACAAAACGTTAAGAGTTTGGGATCGTGCGAGCGGCCAAGAAATACAAAAGTTGGACTTTCCAGCTGTCCCAAACAGTTTAGAGGTGTCTCGAGATGGTTCCGTTTTAACAGTGGCCCATTCCAAAACGGTTACTTTCTTAAACGCGGATAGTTTGCAGAAAATTAAAGATTTTTCTATCCCTACAACGGTTAATTCCGCCTCTTTACATCCCGATAAAACGATTTTTGTGGCTGGAGGGGACGATTTAAAAGTTTATAAATTTGATTATGTTAACGGAACCGAAATTGGTTAGTTTTTTTTTTAATTGTTGATTCAATTGAGTAATTTTTGATTGTTTAGAATCGTTTAAAGGACATTTTGGACCGGTTCATTGCGTGCGATTCTCCCCTGATGGTGAATTATACGCATCAGGATCTGAAGATGGCACATTGAGGCTTTGGCAAACTACCGTTGGGAAAACTTACGGCTTGTGGAAATGCGTCGATGGGAATCAACTTAATAATGATAGCTTAACTCAGAAGGAGGTCATTGCGAGTTAAAACACTTTTAAATTCTCAATATATGATTTAATTATGATTAATTTTTTCTTTTATAATTTATTTACGAATGTAATTCTGTTTTGCGATGTGTTGCAGCAGTAGACATTGTTCGATTTACTTTTTCTTAGAGTTTCTACTTTCGATAATAAAAAAAATGTTTTCTCAGTGTTTTTTAAATTTTATTTCTACTTATAACGATAAAATAATAAAAAAAAAAAATTTATAAATTAATTAAATTTCCGGTCACTACTTCCTGCATTTTCCTTTGATCGTGTTTCCAGCTGTTATAATCAACAAGAATTGGTCTCCCGTATGAATTATGCAACTCTCGGAAAGTAATGCTTGCCTTTGCAATTGAATCTCTTGAAGTAACATCTTCAATCCTATCTAATTTATTGATTTAAATCAATTTTGTGTGTGTTTTTAAGAACTAAACTTACTTTGCCTTGATCTTATAGTCACTTGAGGGCTACTCTCAGGTTTATTAAAAGGGTTATGTCGTTGTCTTGGTGGTGGAACCGGAGAACCAGCCGCTTGGGCTAACGGTAATGGCTGCTCTAAATCAACATACCAAGTACTATTACTATTAGATTCATTTAAATTATTCATTGATTGACAAAAAAAAATTAAGACAAATTTCTTTAAAAAGTAGGGTTATGTCAATGTCATATTTAGATAAGATTAGATATTATTGTTTGAATTACCATCTATATCATCCAACTGTCTCTGCAAATCCGCAACCATTATCTTCATATAATCATATCCAGCACAAGCCAAAGCTTTCATCCATTGCTCCATTGATTCCTGCGATTCAGCTCCCAGAACATAACTGCGATTGTTAGTCCCGTGGAATTCGATTTTAAAACAAAACTGTTCTTCATCCTCGGCTAATTCTACGATTAAAATGAATCAGTAACTTTATTTATTCGCTTATTTTATAGCACCTATAGTGCATCCTTCCAAGATGATCACACCAACAGGTTCTTTGTCGCCCTTTTTATCGAAATAAAACAACAAGTTCCCTTTCAACACAAAATAGCGTTTTTGAAAGCTTTTATTAACTTCACCCCGCTTATTTAAATAACCCTCTTTATCCACTGGGGAAGCCGAAATCGCAAAAGCACACAAGTTTTTCTCGTTAATCTTCATGTTTTGAGAGCGACTTTGAGGTTATGTTAGATAAACTTTCGGTTCTATAATTAGCGATAGATGGTGCTCATTTTTATTTCTTTACAATTAATTTATTTAATTTCATTTTAATTTAAAATTAAACTATAAATTTTATGTAACGTTAAAACTAAATTAATCATACCAATTTAGTTTTAATTATTTAACGTTGGTGTTTTAAACTTGAATGAACTGATTATAGATGGCGCTTATATACTATTAATGTTAAAGTCCCTAGATTTACAAAGTTTCGCGGTTCATGACGCCTGTTTTCGAGCCAAAATGGCGGTTTGACAACATGTCACTGCGTCTCACCACTTATTTACAAAAATATTGCCGTCTTGTTGCCTTTGGAGTTACAAAAATAGCAGTAAGAAGGACTTTCGACTCTTCCAGAGTACCACGAGAAAAAAGAAAGGAATTTTGGCGTAATGTTATCAATAGAACGACATAGTTTTAAATTTCCCGCTTGACTTTCGAGCCAAAATGGCGACAAACTGCGGTACTTTGTAAATCTAGGGACTTTAATTAATTTTAAATTAATTTGATGGTCAATGTTAATTATTTATTTATATTAAATTGCATTTTAACCATTTTGCCGAAATCAATTATATTATTCATAACTAAAAATATATTGCTAAAAAAAAGATGGATTGAAAACATTATAAATACATATTTCATATTCATATTTCCCGCCAAATTACTCCTGGTATTTTAATTTAGCTGTTCTAATCTCGCCGAGGTCGTGCCGAGGTCGCTTGCGGGCGAGGCGGAGGAATTGATATTATCACTCCTAAATGCGAAATCATTAAGTTAAGGATTGTTTTCAAAATGTATTAGTATCAGCGTCTCACCCGTATATACTTAAGATAAATGGTTTGTATTAAAGTGTTAATTTATATTCAAAATCATCAATTGAACGATTCAAAGGGATATTACTTTTAATTTAAATACTTTGATTAAAAATATTAAACGTCAGTGTCAATGAAAATAGGTTATTAGTTATTCTTCTACTGCAAGGTTTATAGAACATAAGGTTACCTCATTCCCTATGCCTCTGTAGTATCGATTGTTACCCCGCAAATTGACGTCACTGGTTCGATACAGTCAAAATAAAAGATAGCCTATACGCGCCTATACTGTGGTACAGTCTATATAAAATATTTAAGCCTCGCATCGTGTTGTGTTGTTCCCAGTTGTTCCTAGAACCAGCTACGTCACTGACCCACCTTGCCTCTCAGAGGAGGAGAATCGGTATTGGGTAACCTTATGTTCTATAGACCTTGCTATAGACCTTGCTTCTACTGGTATGGTTTTGGAGTTCGAACTTCCGAATTTTAAAAATGTCAATTTTTAAATGTCATTAGAACTAAGTGACATTAGAGCTAATGGTAATGTCATTTGTTAAAAAAATCTAATGTAATTCTATTTGTAATTTTATCTCTTTTTGAGGATAAAGCAAACGATTTCGTGGATTGAATCGATTTTATATCAACATTAAATGTATTTTACCAACCAAAAAAAAAAAAAATAATAACTCAAGTACCATTTTATCGCGCCATTTTTAAACTAACTAATCTAAGCAAACATTATCTTATTTGAAGTTAATCCACCGATTTAAGTGTTGCAATCATTTTTTAAACTATCACTTTATTGACAAGCGAAAACAAAATATCAATTAATTCTAAGCATACTTAGAAAACATGAAGGTGCTCGTTTTCGGTTATTTTTTATTAATTCAGATCGTTTCAAATCACGGATTTCCCGCTGAATGTGCAAGTAAGTAACTTTTAAACGTATTTTTTTAATTAATTAATATCAAAAGAATAATTTGCTTTTTAGTAAAAGTGTCAAGCTTTGCTTATAGCGAGGACACACACGATGGTTACATAGTATGGGAACAGGTTAGTTCAGAGTGTACAACCGACCCTCATTACAGAGTTAAATACAAAATTGGGGACTCTGAAGAAATAGGGGTATCCCCGCTTCCATATGTCCAAATGGCGATCATTCCTTTACAAAGCGTAACATGCGAACAAGTTGAGGCACAGGTATACGTTATCGTAAATGGTGAGATAGCTGGGATGTCTATTTGGGTTAAAATCATGCGAGAATTGGGAAAAGTTAAAGAATTAAAAGCTACGCAATCTCCCCAGGGAGTCGTTGTGGAATGGGACCCAATAAATCTTGGTGAAAATTGCGACGAAACTTATTTATTTCAATACAAAATTGATGGTGCAGAAGTGGAACAAAAAAGTCTTGTTGAACCTAATATTTTAATTGAATTAATTGATGATACTCCTTGCACCAACATCGAAATACAAGTAGTAGCAAAAATTAATGGTTTCTCATCAAAACAAGCCGAGATAATCTACGAAATTAAAATCCCCCCTGTTGAAAATGTAATTTTATCAAATAACAACGGAAGAGTCCTCGTCGATTTCAACCGAATTACAGTTGCCCCCGCAAAATGCGGCGATTTCGATTACAGAGTAACGTTTGAAGATTTAGGATGCTTCAATACTTCGTTTCAAGTCCTCCCAGTATCAAAACTAGGCACCGAAGGAACCGCGGTCACCCAAGAAATCGTGCGCCAACCCGGAGTCGTTATAAATCCAACAATAACCAAAGAAGGCGACGAAATCGTCTTGAATTGGTCCCCTCCTAAAGGAGCCGAAGATTGTAACATGATGTATTTAATCGAAATCGACAAAAAGATTTCATCAACCCCGTTAACGACGTTACAAAAATATGTTGAATTAGAGAGTTGCGTTGAGGAGAAAATCGCTAAAATCACCCCGGTAGTTATTTATAATCAATTTGACGATGTTCAAGGAATTAGTGTTGATGTTCCAATAGAAGCGGGTAAAAATAAATTGTTTTTTAAAAAATGATTTCATTAAAATTGATTTTTTTAGAGTTAAAAGAAGTTGCGAATTTAGTATGCGAATTAAATTCAAATTCTGTTACATGCACTTGGGATAAACCCAACGGGAGTGATAATTGCGAAAAAATAATTTACAAATTGAGTTATTATAACGGCCAAGAAAATCACGAAGATGTTGAAGTAACCGATTTTAATTTTGAGTTGATTAAAAAAGAATTTTGTGTGATTTGGTTCCATGTACAACCGATTGCTTATTTTAATGGGAAAGAGTACCAAGGAAAAATTAAAGAAGCGGATATAACGGGATGTTCAACATAAAAATGATTCGTTGATAAAAATAAACGCATTAATTTTTGTTTAATTTTTATCTATTCGCTCCACAACACACGCTTTTAAGATAACACTTAGACCAATCGCGATATAAATCAAACTTGATCAATATCTGAAAAAAATGTTTATAGACTCATGATAGACTCCAAAAAAATCAAAAAACACCTCTCGGCTATCATGTTTTCTATTTTTTAGAAAAAATTGGCACACTCCCACTTCAAAATCAAATATTACAAAAACATATTGCAACATATTTGATGTAATATTTGCACCCTCACTTGCAGACAAGACATTATAATTGATAATTTATATTAACTTTACGTTGATACACTCCCTCGGACGCAAACGCCCTTGGCAAGGTTATAATTTTCAAATTCTCTAAATATCATTAAAACTAATTGTAATGTCACTTAACGTCACTGTCAAAAATCATATGTCATTTCCGGAAATAACTTCGTTAATAAAATTGATGTTACATAAAATTAAATTTTTTCGATTAATTTTGATTCTAATTAAATAAAGCAAGAAATAATTAAAGAATCTGGAAAAAAATTACCGCTTGCAACATAAAAAACATCGTTAACATCTAACGCGATGGGTTTGCAGCAATCACAGATACAATATCACATCTCGCGGAAATCATGTCATTTCTGTAACAACCACTTTATCCGATTTGGACGATTGGATAGCGGAACCCGTTCGAATATCAAAAAGAGAAATCTTACTAAAAGTTAGTACAATTATGTTAATTAAATTAAATTAAATTTTAAATTGACACCAGAAAAAAGTGGTTAATCTTTCTGTCAATTAATTAATACGATTAATGACCAATAGATGGGCTAAGTAAATATTAAAGAAAAAATTTTTAAATTTAATAACAATAAAATAAAATTTAAATTATATAAATAATCGAAATTTATTAGATTTTATCAAAAGATTAAAACGAATAATTTAAAACTAAAATGTATGTTAGTAACTATGACGCTAAGTTGTCAACTTCTTGAACGTCACATTGAAATATAAATCTTTCAAAACTAGCGATTTCTTAATCCATTGCCCGCAAGCGATCTCGGCAATTTGAGGTAAAATCGTTGCTTTTATTATATTGCTACATATAGTTCATTTTTTTTCTATGATACCTGTCAAATTGTTGTAAAGTTGGCAAAATTAACAGGGAGTTTTGTTTTATCATGTTTTGAAGTAAATATGTCACATTGACGTTTGAGCTTTCGTTATTCAAAAAGAAAAGGTGCATAAAAAGTGTTGTGGGGTGTTTATTTTCCATTTACTTACCTAGAAAAGGTATTTTATTCTATTTAATTACTTTGTAGCACGTTTTTATAACAAATATGTACTTCGTCAAAATCGTATTTATCTAAAAATTTATTAGTATTTTAACCTCAACTAATTAGTTACTGACATTGTTACTAAAAATCATGAAAACAACATAAATTTTATAAGGGTCCTAGATAATACCAACAGAAACCCTAAATAATTTACATTGACAAGTATTATAGAAAAAAAACGAACTACCGTATTTTCTCGAATCTAATCCGCACCCTTTTTACAAATTTTGTATGCTCTAAAATCAAATGCGGATTACAATCGGATGTGGATTACATTGGAAAACCAACTTTTTTTACCATCATTGCATTTTTAAAATCGAGGTGCGGATTAGATTCGAGTGCGGATAAGATTCGAGAAAATACGGTATATCTATAAAACGACCCTTACACATTAATTATATCTTAAAAAATATAGATCATTTGTAATGTCAAATTTCACGTTACGTTTGACGTAAAAACCATAAATAAATTGTTGTGAAGTTGGATATTTTGTTGTCAATTTTTAAATCAATTTGTCACTTTGACGTTTATACTTTTAAATATTCAAAAAGTCTAATTTAGTTTTCGATTTTATAATTACACTTAAATAATTATAATTAAAAATTAATAATAAATAATTAATAATTAATAATAATAATTAATTATAATTATAATGTAGTATATAAAGTATAATGTAAATATCTTTTTTAAGAGATTTTGCATCTTTACTAAGATATAAAGATCGATTTCGCTTCAAATCGTTCAGATCGCTGGATTTAAATATATTAACACGAAGTTGTCCGTTTTGGAAGCTTCCGGCGCCTCGCCCGTAAGCGATCTCGGCGATATTGGATGATATCGTTCTTTTATAATGACTTGGAAAGTAAGTTAAATACCCAATAGTTGAATAGAACCTCGTTTATCTTCAATTTGCCGAGGTCACTAGCGGGCGAGGCATTGTGTATTATTAAAACGTTTAAAAAAATATTTATAAGTTGCACTATTATTATCTAAACATTTTTTATCTCCTTTCAAGTATAAAATGACAAGAGCAATGTTTGTAGATGTAGTTTTCGAACTTAATCACCATTGAAATGGGGAGTCTAAATTTATTCGTGTTTTTTTTAGCGATTATATCTATCGTTCGATCTATCGATGATCGCGAATTATTTGACGATAATTGCATGGGTAAAATCATTCACATTTTTCTATTTTTTTTAATTAACTTAATTAATTTAAATAATTTAATGAATAATCTTTGTAGTAACCGGAGTCAATATAGTTACGAATTTGGGAGTTATTTACGTAACTTGGATCCCGGTGGATTTAACATTATGTCCCCACGCCAAAGATTATCGTTTAAGCTACCAAGTCGAACACGCAGAATGGGTTGGACCACTTACAACGCTGACACCCGATTCCACCATCATAATGATCGAGTATGGAGAGATATTTTGTGAAAAAATTAGGTTCGAAATACAAACTTATAGTGATGAAGTTACTTCGTTGGCTACGTTGGATCTTTCATATGATAGGGGTAAGCTTTGGGGGTGTTGATTTGGTTTATTTGATTTAATCGATTTTTTTTGTAGATTTACCAACCCCGAACGTAAATGGGGTCGAAGAAGTTGACGGAAAATTAATTGTGAAGTGGGATCCTCTATGGGATAACTCAAAAACCGATTGCGTTGTTTCTTACTCAATAAAATACAACGATCAACAAGCCAATATCACGGAAGACAATTATTTCGAAATCGACTCTAACGATTTAAGCGTGTGCACAACATCCCCAATTGAAATTGTTGCTTCTAGTAACGGATATAACTCATTACCCAACAATTATCTTTATAAAAGAAGTAATTAAATATATTTTGGTTGCCGGTTGGCGATAAAAACAATTATTTAACAAAAACTAATTAAATCATTTTTTTTAGATCTCCCCGCACTAAAATTAATCGACTCACCCGACCAAAGCATCATCTTTGAATCTGTTAAAGACGCGCCAAGCAATTGCGGCGAAATCTCCTACAAAATCATCCAAAACGACTCAAAATGTTTAAGATATTCATACACAGTAAAAGCATCAACAACCAGCGAATACGAATCCGAAGAAAGTTACGTTGAGATCCAAAAAATTCCGGGAAGCGTTCAAAATTTAATCGCAAAAACCACCGAAACCGAAATTAACCTCACTTGGGAACCCCCAACGTTCTTAAAAAAATGCGACGTAAAATACAAAATTAATTACGATGAAAATTCAATAACAACTCACGTTACTAATGTTAATTTGGATGTTAATTTGATTTCTTGCGTTGGATACCCCGTTGGTATCTCTGCAATTATTGAATCTGAGGGAGTACCGATTGAGGGTGAATCAACGTCGATTTTGGCTTACGGAAAGATTGGAAGTGTTGAAAATTTAAATTGCCTCTTAAATAGTAATAGGAAGGTTGAGTGTTCTTGGGATGAACCTTTAAATAGCGAAAAATGTGAAACAATTAATTACCGCTTGAATTATTTTGATGGAAACGCAATTGTGAGCACGACCACTGCAGATTTATCGATTCAATTGGAAGGAATTGGTTGCGAATCGGGTTGGGTGTCTGTTCAAACATTGCAAATGGTCGGTGAGGAAATTATTAATGGGGAAGAAGTTGAAACTGCAATTGAAGGTGAATTAAATCAATTAATTTTAAAATTTTAATATATAAATAATTAAAATTTTTTTTAGGTTGCGCTATTACAACAAAACTTAATTTTAATTTTTGGTAACGAAATTTTTAATTAATAAAAAAAAATAAATCAAATCGATGAATAATTTTTTGAAATAATGATAAGTATATGAATAAACAATAACGATAAAATCGTGTTTTTATTTCATTATTCATTATTATTAAACAAAGTTATCGAAAATATCAATGAGTTTATGATTGATCACTTTATTGATGTGTCAACAATGATCTGTGTATACAATCGTGAATGAACTTTAGGTACAAATCAAGGGGTACAAATTATTTTTAAAATTTTTATTTGCTAAATTGGACCTGTTATCAATTTTAAGCGACCTTAGATTTACAGTAAATCTTTTAAGATTTAACACCAAATTAAAAGAATAAAGACAAGATTTTTGACAATGACGTTTCGTGACATTAACATTAGTTCTAATGAGATTTAGAGATTTTGAACGTCTTAACTTGTACTTTAATTAGAATGACAGTGCCATTAAAGGCCGGTTTATCAATATCTAGTTAAGACGATTTATCTGTCAATTAAAATTGTAGCTGATAGATAACGTCGACGAATTGTTTATCCACCCGTAGTTTAGGGTAATCTTATAGATAAATATGACATTTGGATACCCATCAGATTGAAGTACCGGTTAAGGGTTTACCTATTAGATATTGTCAAAAGAATGTGAGCACAAGCACAAGGAGCACAAGTTTAGTTGCTGGGTGAAAGGAAATGACAATAAAATTAAAATATAACGTCAAAAATAAATTAAGCTTATAATTGTGGTGATGGATAAGCAAGAGAAAGAAAAGCTCATCAAATTTTAGTACATCAGAAAAGAACTTGCTGATGGATTTGGCAAACGAATATAAAAATGTTATAGAAAATAAATAATAATTCTTTACGTTATCGGCTATACCCGATATATTCTATACTCTGTTTTTAAACCAGGAGGAGTAAACGCGAAAGTCAGATTTACACTAGGAAAAATCACCAGAAAATATCACTAGATATTTTGGCGGTAAATTTAAATTAATAATTATTATTATTTATTTATTTACTTATTATTGTATTTATTTTCGTTTGTTATCGTCAACACTAAACATACAAATTAACATTGAAGTTATGAGTGTATTTATTTCAAAATATAATAAAGAAGGGTTTAAGAACACAAAATTTACAATAATGACACGAAACTGTCGAATTGTCAATAACCTAACCTTCAAATTCAAAATTGCCTGTGTGTGAACCTTCCTCGCATTCAACCAATCACGTGCAAGGTCAATCTGGTGACAAATTTAAAATACTCCTGGTTTAAAAACAGAGTATAGTTCTAGGTCTAGTGTTAGTTCTAGTTTTACACTAGCACTATCACTAAAACTAACACAAGACCTAGAAATAGAATCATTTAGATTTAGTCGTCTTGAGAGACGGCTAGTTTTAATTGTTATTCAGCGTTAGATTGTGGTATATATTATTTTATTGAACGAAAAGTACAACTAACACTAGACCTAGAACTAGTATCATTCGTGTTTAGCCGTGTGTCTCTAAATACGAAAACTTAGAGTTATCATAAGGATGTCACCTTTTTGAAGTAAAACTTTCCCTTTGCAAAACTACCCAATACCTGTATTATTAAGGTATGTTGCATTTTATGTGTGACGGTGCAAATGCATAGTAATTTCGTAATTATGGTTACAGCATTCATATATTGCGAGTTATATGAAATTCCCAATATAATTAAAGTAAAAGTTATGAGATGACATTCAAAATCTCTAAATGTCACTAGAACTAAACTTAATGTTAAATAAAATAACAATGTCTTCTGTTTGTACTTTTATTAAAAAATGGATTATTTGTTTTTAATTCTACCGGTTTCGGTTTTCGAACGAAAATTGACGAAATTCGAGGGTTCCTGAAGATGGTTCTACTATTGAACCGAAACCGGTAGAATTAAAAACAAATAATCCATTTTAATAAAAGTACAAACAGAAGACATTGTTATTTTATTTAATGCTTTAAAATGGAAAGAAATAACGAATACAACAATATAAACTTAATGTCGCTAAATGTCATTGTCAAAAATCTAATGTCATTCTATTTTTAATTTTTTTTGTTGTTAAATCTTAAAAGATTTATTACATTTGCTGTAAATGCTGAACTTTCTAAACAAATTGGGCACAAATAAGGATTTAAATTAAAGATTAAATAGATAACATAACTTTATTTTTATTACATTTACATTAGCTTATTTATTATTTAAAAGCTTCTTCTTAACATGTTGGAACTGAAATTAATAAGAAAGGTTATTATTTAAATTATAAAAAATGATAAATAAATACCTTCAAATTCGGTAATTTCTCCGACACTAATAGTTTTATAAACTGGGGTTACAATGAACCACGATGCCGTATTACAATTCATTTTGTAGGTATGAGTAAGTTCCTTAATTTTCTCGCTATGAACACTTACTCCATCGTAATAAGTTAAGTTATATTCTAAATCACTTCCGTCACATTGTTCCGGCATTACCCATGAACAAGAAACTTCGTCATTTTCGTGTTTGCAATCTAAACTTGTTACTTTCTCCACACCTACAACAATAATTAAATGTAATTTAATTCCATAAGTGTTTGTTACAACTGAAATAGTTTCTTACGCCCTGGGATTTCTATTTTAGCGGGAGAACCGTCCAATAATGAGTCATTTTCTTGTTCTATTTGAGCATAAATCGAAATTGTTGTCGATTTACAATCTTCTATGTGCAGGTCGCTTACAGCAACACTTGCCGTAGTGATGTGAGTATCGCTAAAGAGTACATTATTGTCTTTGTCTTCGCCCTTGTACACCAAATTACAAGATTCGCCGTCGGATGGAGGGTTCCATTTTAAGACGACGTAACCGCTGGAAATTTGAGCAGCGAGATCTTCGACTGCGGTCGGTTTATTTTGGATTTCTATTTCCTTGCCTTGTCCTTCGTTCTCTCCCATTACAGGGAATACGGTGTAACTGTTCTTGAAACACGTTCCCGGCTCTTCAATGATTTTGTATTGGATTACTGCACCAGGAGTTATACAACTAGATGAAATATCGTCTTCTGCTAAGGGTGTAAAAATTATTCCGATTTCATCTGATACTATATCGACGTTATCAACTCCTTTAGGTTTGTAATTGAAAGGTACATCTACAGACTGTCCCTTAAGATTATTGGCTTCAGTTACAATTGTTGCAATATAATTAGTGCATGCCATTAATCCTAAGGCTTCGAGATCTAAGTTGCACTCTCCGTTCTCACAATCCACTGGTCCCGACGCTTCTGCGATGCTTACTTTGAATGTAGCACCACAAGTATCTATGTAAGCTGTATCAATTTTCTCATAAGTAATAGTAAGAGTTGTGCCTTCTTGTTTTGTGTCGATTACTTCTATCTCAGGCATATCTAAAATTTTAATTATAAATAAAAAATATAAATGTGCTTAATCATTTAAACTTACATCTGATAACTGTTTCGGGGTCTGATTCTGATTCTACAATATCAGTACCGTCTGCACCAATGGCTATAATAGTTATTGTAACGTCTTCGCAAAATAACTTAGCATCTAATGCAATGATTCCCAATGAAGCTCCAGGCATTGCATTGACACTACCGTCTTCGCCCCCAATCGTATACTTTACTTTATAGCCTGCAGCGGAACAATCTGCCTTAGGCGTAAATGAAACTATAATTTGCATATCACCGTCATAGGCCGCACTCGAAATTACAGCTGAAAGGTGAAAATCATGAAAATCCTCTACTCACCCATGTTTCCCTATCTCCGCATGCAAAAATTATTTCAATTTTTCGTTACCTTTGCAGTCCTCATCTCTAGGTTGATTTGGTAGTGCTGAAGCGCTCCAAAAGAGACCTACAACCGCCAAAACAACGAAAACCTTCATTTTGGTTCGCTTACAATCTCTGAACTGGCGCTCAACTAGGTTTCGATCCTTTTATAGTTGCTGCACACAAAAAACATGCATTGTCCCTTTTTAATAGAATCCTTGAAGTACTTCAAATATTGCATAGTATCTCTCACTTTTTTTTTCGATCACTTCGTTTTCAAGTATTTAAAGATTATTTTTAAAAAAGTTCGATAACAAGCAATATCAATTAAACTTTGATATTTTCAAAAAAAATTCTCATTTAAGTGTTTCCAAAACATCAAATGATATTATCTAATATTGCCATGATAAATTAAAGTCAGCGCCTCGCCCGCAAGCGGCTTCGGCGATATAAGACAAAATCGTTCCTTACATCTCTTGGTAAAGTTACAAAATCTCTTATAAGAATACGTTAACCTTCACTTCGTCGAGGTCGATTGCGGGCGAGGTGCTAGAATCTTCCAAATTTTGTGTTGATTTATTAAAACTAGTGCCTCGCCCGCAAGTAGGTCACTTGCTACTTCGATATAAGAAGAAATCGTTTCTTATCTCTTGGAAACGATATAAAGTTTGTTATGACAAGACTTTTGTTTTCACACCGTTGAAGTCGCTTTTTTATAAGCACATTTATAACCACAAAATTGTCAGTTTTGAAAGATTCTGGCGCCTCGCACGCAAGCGACTTCGGCGGAAGATTATATTTTAGATTTAAGAAGATATACAGATGTCCTGCATCTTTCGCATCAGAGCATTATACGGTTGTAGGATACATTATTCTGAAGCAATCTTTCTAATAAAATTTTTCCGAAATGTTTATAATAACCGCCCGGTGACTGTTGGTAACTGTTTAGAGTTGTCCAGGAGATCGTAAATCAGACCCAGGCAATCCCTCCTACCAATTTCACCTATCTCACGTGTTTATTTCTCTTTCCGTCGTCGCTATTGGACGACTTTAAACAGTTCCCGTGCGGTTATTATAAGCATTTCGACATTTTTTTATTAGAATATCGCTTCAAAATAATGTATCCTTCAACCGTATAATGCTCTGATCCGGAAGATACGGGACATTCTGTATAAGGTGCGATTTTGCCTCAAATCGCCGAGGTCGCTTGCAGGCGAGGCGCTGGAGTTGATATATCAACACAAAATCATTAATTTCAGACAACTCCATTTAATGTCGCCGCAATTTTTGTTTACTTTTTATACACAAAGTCAAATTTAGTTCAGATTTATATCTATATCGTATTAATTCTACCGCCTCCCCCGCAAACCGTTTCAATGAAGCAAGAATAAAGATTTCTTTCAAAATTTTAAATCCCTTTTAGGTTATTTTTAATTTAAAATAATTAAAAATATTAAACGTCACTGTCAATTTAATTAAAATATAAGTTATGACGTTCAAAATCTCTAAATGTCATTTGAACTAATTTTACTGTCACAAAACGTCATTGTCAAAAATCTAATATTTTATTTTAAATTAAAGAATCGGTGTAGTATCAATATAAACGCCGAAGTTCCTAAAAAAGTTCAGTATTTAATAAGGATTTAAATTAAAAATTAAATAGATAGTATAACTTTATTTTTATTGCATTTACATTTACTTACATAATTATTATTTAGAAGTTTGTTATTTACATGTAGAAACTGAAATTAATAAGAAAAATTATTATTTAAATTATATAAATAATAAATTAATACCTGCAAATAAGTTAATATCTCCGATACTAATAGTTTTAAAAAATGGATTCTTGATTAAGATTTTTAGCAAGTATTCTGGAATCCGATTTTGCAATTTTCCCATAGACTAAAATTTTTATAACAACTTTTTGAGATAATAAGGGCTCAGATAACTGAATTATTCCCAATCGATGTCCTTTGCGTCATCATCAATTTCATAACTTACTTTGTATGTAGTAGCATTAGCACAACCCTCCGCAATAAATGTAATTATCTCTAGTAGTCTTGATAAAGATACAAAATCACTTAAAGGAAGACGTTTACCTTCACTTCGCCGAGGTCGCTTGCGGCCGAGGCGCTAGAATCTTCCAAAACTGATGATGTTGTGTTGTTAAATCAACTCAAACGCCTCGCCCGCAAGTGACCTCGGCGAGTTGAGGGTAAATGTTTTCTTTTAAAAGATTTTGTAATTTTAGCAAGAGATATAAGAAACGCTTTCGCTTCAAATCGGCGAGGTCGCTTGCGGGCGTTAATATATTAACAAGAAATCGTTAATTTTGGAAAACTCTATCGCCTCGCTCTCAAGCGACCTCGGCGAATTGAGAATAAATTGAAATATCTATTTGATTGTACCGTATAACCAAGACTACGTCTTTTTGTTTATTTCAATTTATTTTTAATCTGACATTGACGATTCAATTTTAATTTTTACAACCTAATTCGCCCCCAAAAAAGAAATCATTCACGATGGCCGCGGCTAACGTGTCGTTATCATTGCCGCAGATGATCGATTACGCGGTCAATTTCCCGGATGTAATCCTCCCAAAGAAATAAAGAAAATCTGAATTTATCTAAATCCTTTTTATTTTTAGAATGGAAACGTAAATTACATTTTGATCCAATCGGTTCTTCAGGTTCTCGTGCAACAATTGGAGTTGGATAAGTGCAACGTTGAGTTTAAAGGGAAAGATGGAGACGTTGTCAGAAAGATTGTCGAGTGTACAAAGAACACGAGCAAACTCACCGTAAAAGAATTCGTGGTAACCCCGCAAAAAGATGCAGGGAAACGAGTTAATCGCGGAAAAAAGGATGCGGACCCAAACGCTGTTAATATTGATGACGCCCCAGCCGATTTAAAAACGGTTGTTGTGTTGGAAAGGGATGGCACAAGCGATGATCCCAACGCCATGATTCTTTCGAAGGAAGGCATGGATAAATTGCATAAAGAAATCGACGACTTAAAACAGGCCTTAAAAGAATTAGCGGAGATGCCAGCTAATCGCACCTTAATCGATGCTATTCGCCAATCGGAAAGCGGTAAAGGAGCCCCAATTTTAGAAGTATTCCAATCGGTTTCATTAGTAAAGAGAATGGACGCAACTGATGAGCAAGTCGAAAAGTTAGCCAAGATGCTTGACGAATTAATTCGGAGCAACCCAAATTTGGGGTGCCCTCCTGGAGCTGACGGTAAAAAATAAATTAATTCTTAATATTAATTACAAATCTAAGTTAAATTAATTTTTAAGTTAATTATGGCGGGGTATAAGCATCCGGCAACTCTGAAAGCTCCCAATTAATTTCGTTGTACCACGAATTCGATTCATAAGAAGTTGTCGTTATAAAAACGGTGTATTTAAAGAAAGGAATTAATTTATCGATAGTTATCGAGCAAATCTCGTTGTTTTCGCAATCAAATCTCTCTGTAAATTCGATTAAATTACACGAAGGGGTCGTGGATAAATTGGGATTCTCTAATTTCCCCTCAATTCTAATTAAAAAATCGTCTAACGGGCCGTTAGCATCGCAAGGAATTTTCCAAAAAATGTTTGTATTCACCAAGTATGATTCCCCGTTATTATACTCAAGGGTATCGGAATAAAAAGTGATTTCCCCGGGTTCTCTCTTATCCGTTATGTAATATTCCCAACTGCTCGTGTAAACGTTGAGGCTCCCAAAAAACGTTTCGACTTCAATCGAATAATTATGATTGGGAAAAATTGGGTGTACTATTAAAACTAAATCTTCGTGAGGTTTTCTCTGTTCCATCCAGAATAATGGTTCTTGGTGGCAACTCTCCGGGATGAAATGAACCGGGCCCATATCTCTCACTAGGATGATGTGGTCCGTAACGAAAGAATTCGGGTATGATTGATCCCATTGGATGCGAAGACCGTTACCGTCCGATGTAACTTCCGGATGAATCGATGGTTCATCCATATTGTCTAAAAAATTAATTAATTAATAAAAAATTAATTTAATTTAAAAAAAATTACGAGTTTCAAAGTTAATGAATTCGCTATCATCCCCGTTAGTGCCCGTTAATATCCACCTCGCTTTATACAAATAATCCTTATTAGGCTCCAAGTCAATTAAATTGTAAAACGAATCTTCACTTTTATCGAAACTTTGGAAATTGAAGTTATTCGTTTCTTTGAGTGTCGTTAAAATATAAGCGAACTCGATTTTTTCGAAATCGCAAAGGTTGTCTTCTGGTTGTTCGTACCATTTCACTAAGGCTCCGTTTAGGTTTGGTCGCGTTGAGTAATGATTCGGGGGTAATTCTGAAATAAAATACAAAATTTAATTAAAATTTTCACTTTAATTTCGGAGATTAACGTATATTTTAATTAAGTTGACAGTGACGTTTAATATTTTTAATTGAATTGTTTAAATCGAAAGTTATTTTGGAAAGGATTTGAAGTCCGTTTTAAAAAATCTTTATTTTTACTCTGGCGCGCATGCGGGCGAGAAAATGATTAAGACAACAATGTTCCTTATTACCATAAAAAACATGTTCTGAAAAAATTTGATTACATTGCTCAATTCTACCCACCTTGGAGAATTCTTTTACAAAACGTTTACCTTCAAATCACCGAGGTCGCTTGCGGGCGAAGCGTAGTATTTAATATATCAACACAAAATTGGCAATTCTGGGAGACTCTAGCGCCTCGCCCGCAAGCGACCTCGGCGAAGTGAAGGTAAATGTCTCCTTTAAGAGATTTTGCATCTTTACTAAGACTTTAAGGAAGGATTTCGCCTCAAATCGCTGAGGTCGCTTGCGGGCGAGGAGCTGGATTTGATATATTTAACACCAAATCGTTAATATTGGAAAACTCTAGCCTCGACCTCGGCGAAGTGAAGGTAAACATCTTTTACGATATTTTGTATCTTTACCAAGACATAAGGAACGATTTCGCCTCAAATCACCGAGGTTGCTTGCGGTCGAGGCGCTAGATTTAATATATTAAAAGGAAATCGCGTTGAAAGATTATATTTCAATTTGACGTTTAAAAATTGACAATTTAACGTCATTTTTACCAACATACATTTTTGGTTTAAAAAATTTAAATAAAATCGTGAATTAATAAATTTCGATTATTTATTAATAAATTTTATTATATTTGTTTTAATTTTCTTTTTTGAAATAATTTTTTCTATATTTCCTCACCCCATCTATTAGTAATTAATCGTATTAATTAATTGACAGGAAAATTAACCTAAAAAATTAACCTTAAAATAATTATACTAACTTGTAGTAGGGCCTCGATGTCTTAGTTGAACGGGTTCCGCCATCCAATCGTCCAAATCGGGTAAAGTTGTTGTGACAGAAATTAAATGATTTCCGCAAGGTATTAACTGAATTTCGTTTTCTGTGAGTGAAACTATTTCTGTAGTTGAGTCAAACCCCTCGCGATCGGTGTACACGATGTATTTTACGTTACAAGGGTCTGAATTTTCTGGGGGATTCCAAGTTAATCTGTTTTCGGTTATTTGTAAGTTTTCGATTTGACCGCTACCTAAAATGATTGAAATGCGATTTTTGTGGTTGTTAAGAATTAATTGTTACCTGCGATTCTGCTAGTTTTGGTCGCATTAACCCATTCTAATGGTGCACCGTTCATCGAGCGAGATTGGACGGCAAATTCGTATAAAGTACAGCTTGCTTTATCTAATTCTATGTAGTTATCTTCAGAGAAACCGGAATCGTTTATTCCGTTTATTCCATACACTACGTAAAATAATTCAGTGTTGCATTGCGTCCCAAGTGGGGGTTCCCAATCTGCTCTCATATGAAATTCGGTTTCGGTTATTCTCAGATTTTGGATTGGGCCGCAATCGACTTCTTCCTCTTCTTGTCCCGTTGTAAAAACAATCACTATCGATATGATTAAGACGAATATTACGGAAATTGCGGTCATTTGGAAAACTTTTCTGATACACACGATTCTGCGGAAATTTGAGTCTTTCATAATCTCGCGAGAATCGCACCTGTAATAATAAAAAAAAACCGTTTACGACGTTTTAAAAAGAGATTTATCTCTACGCGGGATTCTCTTGCTTTAATCTTAGATAAAATTATATATTTAAAAAAATGATATGTTACGAAAACAATTTTAAAAAGTGAGTTTGAATTAATTTGACACCGCCTCAATAAATCATAATAAATTCTTTTGTTAATCTCGATCTGTTTAATTGTTTACGTATTTATTGCTCTCCGGCTTATCACGGTCAAAATAAAATGATAGAAGACGTATTGGATTAATTTTAAAGGTTACAACATTTGAGGAGGAAGTTGTTTTTGTTAAAAATTTGTTTTGCGGCTTATTTGTCGGAATCTGAATTGCGCCTACAATAAAATGCCGGGATTAAGCGGAAACAATTTATCGCAATTAAGAACAAACAAGAATTTCTCAATAAAAAAGATAACTTTCTTATAAACAATTTGAATTAAGATGTTTTTAATAAATCTCAATTTAATTTTAATTTATTTTAATTCGTCGATGAAGCAACAAAATCCCCACGTCAAAAAGAATTTTTATTTTACTTTTGGGGATTACAAAAATAATTTTTCCTGGAATCTGACTTTCTTGGAAGTAAGATACAATAAAACCACGTCCCGATAAAATTTATTTTGAGTCAAATCGACGTTTTTATTGTCGCCGTATATTAACCAATAATAATTATAATAACATCTTAAACCAATTTATTTTGGGAACTTACGCCAACGTTTATTTTATTTATTTTTTTTGCGAGTACCTTTTACGATCCCTTTGCATTAAAATTCCTATCCGAGATTATTTAAGCAGGTTTATAAACTTAAGTAAGTATGAAATGTTAATCGTCGAGTGCGCTCAACTTACGAGATTTTGAAGTTATCTTCATCGTCGTATTATTGTTTTGTTTAAAAAAATGTAAATCTATTCAAATTTTTCCTACGAGCTAGACAATAACTATATTATCTATTTGATATCGCGTTGAATAAACTCTCGAACTTTCATTCAAAAATATCTAAATGTGTCTCAATTTTTTTCGATTTTAATCATGAGATTTTTTTAAAACGCGACTGCCTTAACGCTACATATCAATAAAACGAACCTTACATGTCGATAAATAATACAAAATTTAATTAATTAAATCTTAAAAATACTAGATTATTTGTAATGTCAAATTTGACGTTACGTTTGACGTAAGAACCATAAATTGTTGTGAAGTTGGAAATTTTGTTGTCATGTTTTAAATCAACTTGTCACTTTGACGTTTATACTTTTAAACAATCAAAAAGTCTAATTTAGTTTTTGATTTTATAATTATACTTCAATAATTAAATAATTATTTCATTTCGTTTGTTCCTACAACATTTTTACTGAAACCAGTTGTTAAAAAAATTTTACTAGAAATCGGGAAGGGTATTTTATAGGGACCCTAGATAGAAACCCTAAAAAAATTGACATTGACGTTTATGATGACGTCTATTAAGTGAGGTTAAATTTTTTTTCTCCTAAACGGTTTAACAATTATATTAACACAAAATCGTTAATTTTGAAAAACTCTAGCGCCTCGCCCGCAAGCGACGTCGGCGAAATGAAGATAAATGTCTTTTTTTAAGAGATTTTGTGTCTTTACCAAAACATATAACGAACGAGTTCGCCTCAAATCACCGAGGTATCACAAAATCGTTCGTTTTAAAGAAAAATTTAAATATCACCTATTAATTCATAAACGTTAAATTAAAAGCCTATTTATTATTCATTTTATAACATCAATACATCTGTTACGTGTATTAATTAGTTTTCCATCTATCTTTTTAAATTTGAACTAAATTTTAATTTTAACATTTATAGAATGTCACATAACATCGACATTAAATCATTAATTTTTCTGTTTAGCAAGTCTCACTATTTGCGATGTGTTGAAATCTTTAGACGAGAGATTATCTCGTATCGAAGCTGATGGAGGCGGTGGCGGCGGTGCAGGGTAAACAAAAATTTTTTTTTTCATCTCAATTCTTAAATCATCATTTTTAGGGCCGATGGAATGGATGGCGGAGGAACCGTGATTGGAGAAGTTCCCGATTTCGCCGACATGACCCTCGACGAATTTAAAAAAGCCGTTTACGACCAATTAGTCGAGATAAAAACGGACCTTAAAAAACTGTTTCGTATGTGCGCCAGAAGAAAATCGGTGAAGGAAGGTGAGGGTGGTGGTGGGGCCGATGGCGACACTGAAGATCGTTTATGCGATTTAGAATCGCTGTTTGAAAAGATAACGGAACAACTCTCTTCATTGGATACCACGTTTAACAATGAATTTGCAAATTTACAAGCGCAATTCGCTGAAATGGAGAAAGAATTTGGGAGCCTTATGGAAAAGATTCATGTTGGTTCAACGATGGGTGATGGACAAGTTTCGGGCGAAACCGTTGGGGAGTTGTATGAGAAAATTATGGCGATTCAAACCGATATGGAGAATTTGGCAGAAACCGCTTCGAAATTAATGGAAGATAAAGAAGCTAAAGAGAAACTTATGGATGTAAATGAATTAATTCATATTTTTGTTTAATTAGTTAATGTTTTAATTTTTAGCTTCTCACCGAACAAATCGATTTACTCAAAACAATAAAAGCAGATAAAGAAGAATTAGAAGATGCCCTCGCCGATAAAGCGGACGCTTGCGCGATTAATCGCAAAGTATCTCACGATCAATTCGATACAGCTTGCGATGAACTCTCGAAGGGCATCGAGGAAGCGTTAGCCAAGTTAACGCAACAAGAGGAGTTGTGGCAAGCCGCTTTGGATGAGATTCAACGAGAAATCGGAAATAAATTGGACCGCATGGAACTTGGACCTCTCAGAGACTTCATTAATCAAAAATTAAAGATCCTCCAACAAAAACTTAAAGCTTTAACAGCGTTGAAACAAGAAAACGAAGCAGCCGGAACAAAGAAATGCTTAAAGAACGTTCAGTGCATATCTTGCGATAAAGATGTGGTTATGAGGAAAGAATTAGATCCTTCGGTTCTCCCCCAACCTTATGCGTTACCCCCAACGAAGAATATGGGGCCGTATTTAGCGTACGAATTAGACGCCTTGAGGAAACAACAAAAAGCTTTACCTAACAGTAGGAATTTGAATCATTTCGAGACTGCCATGCAATCTAAATCACCGAAAGGGTAATTTAATTAATTTTTTTGTTATTTTAAGTGATATTTGAATGTTTTGTTAAAAGGGATGATCATATTTGTAACCGTTACTGCGGAGGGAGTCACACAATAACGACTCCACAACAACGAGTGACTCGTTTAGGGCACTTTTTGAATCAATGGGGCCCGGAGGCGCAACCCGTTTGCGAGCAAAAGGAGGATGATGTTCCTTTGGTGGTGACGGGACGTGGAGGAGTCAGTGATAGGAAAGGATCTGCTTCTAAAGAAGTTCGATGATTGTAGCGGGCAATTAATTAGAAATTATTAATTAATTTGTTGTAGGGCGCCGCCGGAGATGCTCCACCAGCTGATGCGAAGAAAGATGTATCAGCGAAAGGATCAAAAACGTCTCGGGGATCGAAAACTTCAGCGGGGAAAGTTTCACCGAAAGGATCCGCGACTAAAAAACCATCCCAAACTAGTAATAAATCAGGAGGGGCCAAGTATTTCATTAAATATTATTAAGGCCCACTTTTACCATCTTATTAAACTATCTAGAGGGTGTCTCATTGATGGTAAAACTGGGCCTAAGAGTTTAAATTAATTTAAATTGTATTTTAGACAAAGCTCGAAAGTAAATGTACCTGAAAAGATTCCGGAAGAACCGGAGGGGAACCCTCCACCGCAAGAAGCACCCCCTGAAGGAGCTCCAGCTGAAGCTCCACCTGAGGGTGGAGAAGCCCCAGCTGAGGCTCCCCCTGAAGGCGGAGAAGCCGCCCCTGCTGAAGCTCCCGCTGAAGGCGGTGAAGCCCCCCCTGCTGAAGCTCCAGCTGATGCTCCCGCTGAAGCTCCAGCCGAAGCCCCCGCTGAAGCAGAATAATTTTTTAAAATTAACATCAAAATCGTGCGTATATATTATTAAAATCTTTTTTTTTACATAAACCACTAATTATGTTTCTTTTTCAATTTATTACAACAATTTGAGGTTATGAAGTAATAAGTAGCGCAAGAACAAATATCGATTTTGTTAATATCAATTTTGACATTAGGTTTGACGAAAGAAACGTAACATCATCTGAGTTACGTTAAAAAAATATTTTTTTCTACGAAACTATAGGACATGAAGCAATGAAACGTTTGTGAATGAAACAATTTTGAATTGAAGAATTGATTCAAACTTGAAGTTTCAAAAGTAAATCATTTTGAATAAATTTTTAAAAATAAATGAAATAAATTTTATAAGGACCCTAGATAACACGAACAGAAACCCTAAAAATTTGACATTGAAAACGTTTGACATTTATTAAGTGAGGTTAAAATTTCTGTAAGGTTAACAATTTTTTTTGCATAAACCACAAATCTTTTTTGTAATTTATTAAAACAAAATTAAGGTTATAAATTAATAAGTAGCGCAAGAACAAATATCCGGTGGGGTGATGACCAAATCCTTCGTTAAACCATCAAAATCAGCGATTGTATTCACCGATACAACATAACTAAAGAATGGATTAATCTCTTTGAGTTCATACATGAAAACATCATTGGGGGAACTTGCAGGAACGTCGAGGGAATAATCTAAGGTATGTTCATTCCCTCCTAAATCAAAAGTAGCCGAAACTTTAACTCCGAATCGTTTTAGGGATCCGTGAAGATCGCATGGAGCCGACCAAGTTATTTTTCCCGTTACATTATAAGCGGCTCCTGGTTGATAATCAAATTCGATTCCTAAATTTTCCGGTAATCCGGGAACTAAAAAATAATTAAATTAATACAAATATATTTTTATATTTTAAACTCACCATCGGATAAAGTTTGAGTGTTTAAACCATCACTTTCATCTTTAACCCCTAAACTACCCAAATTATAATTAGTTGTTAACGAAATATCGTAATCGAAAGCCGGGAAACCATTAACGAAAACTTGGGATTCATCCCCACCTTTTAAAGTATAACTAAATTCTTCAGGTTCTACTTTATCACAGAAATCAGCAACTTCGTAATTCCTTCCGTTGGATTTAATAACCAATTGGTAACTATTTACAAATTCTTTCCCATACCCCTCTTCCCAAACTACATTAAATCCGTTTTTACTCAGATCAACAACTTGTAATTTCTTAGTTGGGATCGGAATAGTTCTAAATCTAAAATAAACCCACTCGGCGGAATTGGCCCATCTCAATTTACAATCGTAAATCTTATCGGTTTCTAAATTAACCACATCTACATCAAAAGTTCTCTCATCATTATCATTAACTGCTATATTAGTTCCAAAAGCTGAATCATCTCCGTCTTTTTGACATGAAATTACAGCCTCGGTGATTGGGCATGAATTGATTTCTTTTCCCTCGGCTTGTAAAGTTACAGAAGCTAAAGTGAAATCGGGGATGATTTTTAAAGTTTCTGGTGCGCCTAAATCAACTGGATCGGCTACAAATTCAAGTGAGGCTTCTTCGCCGGTTATCGGGCCCGAAATTCCTTTTACGATGATGGTGTTTTGAGAACATGGGATTAAATTGAGTGAGGTTTCTGTTGTTGAAACGGTATTTACAACGCTTCCGGTTGGGCTAATATGAGTCACTTCGTATAAGAGGCCGCATCGTCCAGCGGAAATTGGTGCGGACCAAGTGATTTTGTCACCGGAAACAGCCAAGTTTTCAACTTTTCCGATATCTTGGATATCGGATGAAGAAAGATTTACGTCGAGTACAACCGGGTTTCCTTCTTTCCCATCGATTATTACGTATATTTCAATTTTATTTTCACTACACGGGATTCTTTCTAAACCGACGGTGTTTTCGACGGTTTCTTTGTGGTCTTTTAGTTCCCCATCAACGTAATGATCGACCGCGAACTTTACGTTACATTTTCCTATGTTTATAGGGCTCCAAGAAACGGTTAAACTTTGGCCATCATCGTTTGTTGATGCTCCACTTACGGATTGAGTATCTAAAAAAAATGGTTTAATTTTGTTTTCTTGTCGTTTTAAAATTATTTACCATATGTTGCTTCGTACAATGCTGAAACGAAGGATCCGTGAGTTCCCGTGAATGAAATTGGGGTAACCGAAACGTTGTATTTAGTGCAAGGGACGATTTCGGCGTCTAAATCGATGAATACATCAGAAGTTTCTTGTTCGTGTACTCCTAAGACTTCGTTTTCGTATTTGACGTGGTAACCAACACCGCACTGTTCTGAGTTTAGGGGTGGTTCCCAAGTGGCTCTGATTAAATTGTTGTTTTCGGTGACGGCTAAATCCCTTACGGTATCCAAATCTAATAAAGATGTTTAAATTTTAATTGTCATATAATTACATTGGCACCCCTTATCAATTTGTAACCAACTTCATCGTGACGCTTTAAAATGTCGACAATAATAATGCGTCGTAATGTGATAAGATAAAATACGAATAAAATGAATTAAAAATGGAAAGTAAGTATCCAAGTAAGTATACTTACTTGACCAAAATTGCACAGCTTCACTAGCCGGTGTGAATCCCCCCAAAGTAACAAACATATAACCATTACAAGTGTAATAAATATCTGGTCGAAGCACCGTATTTAATTTAATATTGAAAATACGATTTTCTTCGTCGGTTACTTGTTGAGGAACGGTAAAATTATGAGTATCTGATAAACAGAATAATTGAAAATGAGTGTGGGTACACATATTTTCGTTGTAAGATTGTCCTTCCCAAGTCATCTCGATCGAATCACAACTAGTCGTCATATCCAATAAAATAGGGGCCGTTGAAGCTAAAATAAAGGAAATAAGTTAAATAAAAAGTAACAAAAATTAATTTTTAACTTTACTTATAGTTGCCATTTCTTTTTCTTGACTCACTTCGGAGCCTCCGCTAGTTTTTACACCAATTTTAGTAATCGAGCATGGCACTAACTTGTCACTTTCAATGGTGTATGATAAATCATCAGTTTCGAACGATAATGATTTAAAATTAGGGGCGCTCGTCGTGTAGGAAATTGTGTAAGTACATCCGGATTCCCCGGATGGAGCTTTCCAAGTTATTTGTAAATCGTTTGTTGTCTCATCTTCTTGTAGGTTTAACCCGGATATTTGACCTAAACATTAATTATAAAAAAATAATTGATTAATTATTAGTTTGTGTTAATTTTACCAGAACAAGCCCCAGCGAATGCGTGGTTAATTCCTAAGAGTGTTAAAAAAAATATCGCTTGCTTTTTCATATTTAACACTTGTAATAAAAGGTTTTTTTTTGGAAATGAATTTTCCTTTAGCGACTGTCTTTATATACGAAAGATAAACGAAAAGCACTTGAAGATAAGGGTATGATTAATAAAGGTGAAAAAATGTATTTATTTTATTTATTGCATTAAATAAATTACAATATTTTTTGTGTAGTTCACCTGTTTCTATGCTTAAATTGATAAGATTGGAATATGGACGCAAATCTCAAACACTAAATTTTCCTAAACACTAACCCACCGATAAAATAACTATCTTATTATTCATTAAATGCCATAGAACAACTTTTATCTTTATTATCTACTCGAGAATAAAGTTATTTTAGAGAAGTTTTGATAACTATTTAAAAAAAATTATTTTTTATTGAGATAAATTCTGTTGAAGTGTTTGTGTTTATATTTTTTATATAATAAGGTTGCGAAATCATTTTTTGACGTTTTTGGGGGAATAACCAATTTTATTTACTTAAAATGAATTAATTAAGTTAAATATCCATCTTGATTAATTCTAGTTTCAAAGATTTTTGATGAATCACCTTTGTAAGTTTTAACTTCTTTCAACATTTGGTATAAACTTAATACACAAAACCACATGTATAAGAGGTAAACTAAAAATGAATTGAATTATTAAATGTAACAAATACATACACCAACCTAAACTACTAAAACTAGAAGTAACACTAGACCTAGAACTAGAAACACGGCTAAACCCGAAACTTTCTAGTTCTAGGTCCAGTGTTACTTCTAACTCTTTATGCAACAACCTAACGTTGAATAATAACTATAACTAGAACTAACACCATCACCAGAACTAACGGTAGACTTGAACTAGAAATATTCTGGTTTAACCGACCGTCTTTAAAGACTGCTAAATCCGCCTCACTCTCCTCAGATCACGGAAAAAGAACTCATTCACGTTTTGTATAAAGTGAGATTAACTGATGTACTAGAATTATTGAAGGTGAGCGACATATTTTTGAAATAATAAACACTAACAATCAACATACAGCCTTATATCCAGTATTTGTTGGCTATAAGGCAGCGTGTTAGGCTGATGATGGCGCCTTAATATCCGAGGACGAATACGATTTGCAGAATTTATTATATAGATTCGAAACAAGAGCAAAAACGTTCAATGTAATTATTTTAATTATGTTAAAATTACGTTAAATCAACTCTGACAAAAATATTGCATAATGTTAGGGCAGGTCAGTTTTTCCAATTTAAACGTCAAAATGACATTTCCCGAAACTTTCTAGTTCTAGGTCTAATGTTAGTTCTAATAATAATAATACAAGTGTCAATTCTAGTTTTATTTTAATTAACACTGGGCCCTAAAAGCCTACATACTTAAATCAAAAAATATTTACGTAAAATTAATCCACCGATGTTCGTATAAAAAATTAAAGCTCCCAAACCACCAGATTCTTTCTTTTTGTAATTAATCATTAGAAAAATATGTTGTAAAGTCATTGAGATAATATATAATAAATTAACGATAAGGAATGGTATTAATAAAGCCGATTTGCACTATAAAAAGGATTTAAGGAAATTTAATTTTTATTTAAGAAGAAGCAACTTACTTTGAAGGCTCCAACAACCATTATGATCGTCGATACGAATAAAAGGGACACCAAAACGTTTAAAACGATCAAATAAATGTGGGGATCTCGAGATAGATGACTTAAAAACGAATTTTGGAGATTTAAATTTTCTAAAAATATTTTTAAAGTTTCTCTGACTATATCTAAATTATCTAAGCTTATTATTGAAACCATAAACCATATTGAACATTGAACCTGAAAATTGAATTGTTATAAAGCATTAATAAAACTCATATTCTTACTAAAGTGATTATTCCAACGATTAATGCCCCAAATCTTGTTGAAAACCAATAACAAAAACGGTTTAAAACCACCATTTTTTCAACTTAATTGTTGTGGGGGAACTGAAGCTCTTTGTGGTTGTAAATAGAGCTTTTATAACTTCTTTTTGTAACGCGTGGGTTTATTTCATTGTATTGTTGTATTTTATTCACTATCGATTGAAAATTACCTTATTTCTTAGACTTTTTTTGGTTAATTTATTAGATACAAATTATTTTTGGAAACACGAAACGTTTCCTTTAACTTAATTATTTATGAAATAGCCACCGAAATAGAAACGATAAACTAATTATTATTAAAAAAATCTCGTTTATTCCAGTGTGAAATTTTTCAACGAGATACTCGACAAATTATTTTTTAAATTGATTGAACTGGCGACATAATCTCGATTGAATCATTTTTATTGAGTAATAAATATAATTATAGATTATTTTCGGAAAAAGTCCTACGCAGACTTCTGAGAAAGTTTAACAAAGCTCAAGTGGTTGTTTTAGCATGTTTTTTTATCTCTAACAAGTTATTAAATTAAATACAAATATTGGTATGTTTGTTTTTGCTCAAAATAATATTAATAAAATCATTAAAAATTAATTTGAGCTGTTTTAATATTAAGGTCACATCACTTGATAATTCGCCTCCTCCACCAATCCTACTTGTTGCTTGATTTATGCTTAATATACATGTTTAAAAAAAATACACTGGTATAAAATATCAGTTCTAACGCCTGGCCCGCAAGCGACGAGATCGTTTGCTTCAACCTTAAAAAGAAATAAAATGAAAACTAAAATATTTAGATTATTTGACAATGACATTTAGTGACATATTAAAATTAGTTCTAATGTCACTTAGTTCGAATGACATATTTTATATACATTTATAATTAACATATTAAAAATAAAAACCACGAAGTAATACTACTTCGTGAAAAACACACTGTTCTGTGACGACACTGACGACTGAAGCGGCGAAAAGAACAACAATCAAAACATTCGTTACCTTGGTAACATTCATAATTCTTTTGCTTTTTTAAAATTAAATTTTAATTCATAGATGGCACAAAATTGACGTTTAATTTCAAAATGAGATTTTTATCAAAAATTCAATAAAAACATTAAAAGGAATAATAAATCATTCGCCCGATTATTACTGAGAAAGTAAAATGTTGTTGACGAACTCTTACAGAAAGTTTCTTTATTTTTCGCAAATAATTGGAATTTTTCCTTACAAAATAACGATTCAAAACGACACAATCGAATTTAATTGTGACAAAAACACGGAAATAATTCGATTATTAACTTATTTTATCGCCTTTTTTTCTTGTCAATTCTATATTTGTTATGATAAGTTGATTAAAAACCCGGTTTTAAACGAAGTAATTTTCGTAGCGTGTACTTTTAATATATTCTTGGTGTACGTTTTCATTTCGATAAGAAATTTAATTAAACGAGAAGAATTAATGAAGATTTTTGAAGATATCGCCAAATTAGAAAGAAAAGTTCCGACGACGAATTTATTTGTGGCAATCGAAACGGCCTTATTAACGATCATCACTTTGTATTTATTTTTTATTTATTTATACAATTACGATTTTATCTTCACCGCGTTATTTACCGTTGGTTTTACGTTTCCTAAGATTTTTATCGGAATTCATTCGTTGATTTACTCAAATTATTTCATTTGGGGAACTAAAATGTTTCGATTGAATCAAAAATTTAAAAGCATCAAAATTTATGATGATTTATGTGGTGTTTTGGGCAACATCGAGGGATTTTATGGAATTGAGAACGCTTTAGTCTCAATAATTTACGTTACTTGGTCCTGTTATGAAGTGTATCATTTAGTTTTGTTATTAAATTTAAATGAAATTGTTGGATTTGATAGGTTATGTTATGTCATTAGAAAGTTTTGATTAAAATAATATTTTTTTTCTCTTTTAGGACTTTGATTTTATTCGCAACTTCTTGGAGTTTATTTCAAATAACTGGGTTATTCGTTTTGACCGTACCCTACTCGATTTGTGACTATGAAAAAAGGAGATTTCTTTATTTGTTGATTAATCGAAATAAAGAAGATTTAAATGGGTTTTTGTTGAGGATGATTCATCAAGAAGTTAAATTTAAACTTAATTTTTCAAGTTTAATTTATATTTTGGGGGTTTTTATTACATTTTTAGCCTTTTTTGCTCAATTTAGTACCGAATTATAATTAAATAAATAAATCGTTTTTAATGACAAAGCGCCATCTATTAAATTAAAGTAAAATTATTCTGACAGATTATATTTTTTGAGGTTAACAATGTTTTTGTTGATCTCTTTCAACAATAATTAAAATAACCCAATGATTTATAAAAATTAAGTTAAATTAAGTAAATATGAACATAGACGAACATAACGCTTACGGAAATGGATTAACTTACGTCGGATTTAATCAAGATCAAGGTGATTTTTAACCTAACTTTTCTTGGATTAATCTCGAATTAATCGGTTTTTATTTACTTTAGGATGTTTTGCTTGCGCTACAGATACCGGGTACAGGATATACAATTGCGATCCATTAAAAGAAAAGCAAAAACAACATTTTTCCGAAGGTGGTTTGAGTTACATAGAAATGCTGTTTAAGTGTAATTATTTAGCGTTAATCGGAGGCGGGGAGCGACCTTTATACGCCCCAAACAAAGTGATAATTTGGGATGATCTAAATAAAACGACCCCGATTAATTTGGAGTTTAAGGATCGCGTCTTAGCCGTGCGGTTACGAAGGGATCGAATTGTCGTTGTTCTTGAAGCAATCATCAAAGTTTACACATTTACGCACAAACCCCAACAAATTCACGTCTTCGAAACGTGCCCAAACCCAAAGGGTTTGTGCGTTTTATGTCCAAATAGTAATAATTCAATGTTGGCTTTTCCAAGTCGAGGAATTGGAAGGGTTCAATTGGTTGATTTGGCAAACACTGAAAGACCATCGTTGGATGTTTCCGCTCATGAGGCAAAGATTAATTGTATCGCTTTAAATTTGCAAGGAACTAGGTTAGCCACGGCTAGTGAGAAAGGCACTTTAATCCGCGTTTTTGATACATTGGATGGACAAAAATTGGTTGAGCTACGTCGAGGGGCTAATCAAGCTACAATTTATTGTATTAATTTTAATCACTCATCGACTTGTTTGTGCGTATCATCCGATCATGGAACTGTTCATATCTTTTCGTTGGATGACCCAAAATTAAATAAACAATCATCTTTGGCGAATACTTCGTTTTTACCTAAATATTTCTCGTCGAATTGGTCATTTTGTAAATTTTCTGTTCCTAATGGACCTCCTTGTATTTGTGCTTTCGGCGCGGATTCAAATTCAGTTATCGGTAAGATCTATTTATTAATAAAGAAATAATTTTTTAAATTAATTTATTTTTAGTTATTTGTGCTGATGGTTGTTATTACAAGTTCGTTTTTACTACAAAGGGTGATTGTACGCGAGAAATAAGTGCTCAGTTCCTCGATATGACTGATGAGAAGAATTAAATGTTTTAATTTATTTTGTAGGTTAGTTCTTGACAGATTTAATTTTTGACAGATTATTTTTTAGGTTAGTTTTTATTTGATTATTTTTTAATTTATATTCAAAAAACTTTATAAATGCACTTAAAAGAGCTTTTAAATGTAAAAAAAATATATCTTAGTGTTTACATTTTAAATAAAAATAAATTATAAAATAATTGTTTAAAAAAAATAGTTTTTTTTTTTTTTTAGGTTATGTTATTTTAAAAGGATCATAATTTTCTAATTTACAATACTTTAAACTTTCAATCCATAATCTTTCGGCGTCCCCTCTATGAGTGGCTTTACCAGCGGCCCAATGTCTCTTACAATCAGCGTAATAAAACCCGGTTTCGTTTTGGAGGTCTTCTTCAACGGCGCAATAAATGGTTGTTTGGGCCCCCTCTTCGGGGGTTTTCATGAATATCCCTCTACTGGTGAATCGACTTAAAAGAACGGATATGTTATCTTCAATAAATCGATATAAATTTGTTTTAACAACTCCGGGATGGACGGCGTAAACATTGATACCATGAATATTCTTGTAATATAATCTCTTAGCGAGTTCCCTGGTGAACAATATCATGCACAATTTGCTTTGGGCGTAGGCTTTCGTTGAACTATATTTCCTTCTTTCCCAGTTTAAATCGGTGAAATCTAAATTTCCGTATAAGTGTGCTATCGATCCTAAATTAATAATCCTAACGGGGCGACTTTCGATTAATTTTGGTAATAATAATAAAGTGAAGAAGAAATGTCCTAAATAATTAACACCCCATTGAATTTCGAAACCATCGCTGGTCTTCGAAAATGGACACGCCATTATCCCAGCGTTGTTAACCAATAAATGTATTGTAGGTTTTTGTTGCAGCAACATTGCACATCGCCTTATTGAAGATAAACTTTTTAAATCCATTTGAACATGATCTAAAGTTCCAACTTTACGACGTCTCAAACATTGTCGTTTTATATCATCAATCGCTTCTTGTGCACGAAGCGGTACTCTACACGCAATTATCACGTTACATCCTACATTTTAAAACATTTCTTATTAATCTCATCGAATCATTATTTATCATCACCTCGTAAATAAAAATCTTTCGCCGTTTCTTTCCCTATTCCCGAATTACCACCAGTTATGACAGCTGTTTTTCCAGTTAATCGTTTCGGAGATAAACACCGTCCAATTGAAAGTCCCATGATTTACAATCCTTTAATTTTGTCGATGTTAATGGGGCCTAAATAAAATTAATTTAAAATATAAATATTTACTTTTCTACTTACCTAAAAGAGGTTATTTCAAAATGTGTCAAAAATGACGCGTTTAGCGACATCTATCAATAATGGCCAAACTATAATTATTCAAAAATTAAATAATTCTAATAAATGTAATTACTATCACAATTTAAATCACAATTATAATAATATTAATACTTGATAAAATCTTGAACGTTGTGCTTATCAATTACATCACGAGCTTCATCAATCGTGTCGAAACAAACCAAATTTTGCGGCTTAACCCCTTCCAAAGTGTGTAGAACTGATGGTTTTATATTAATAAAGAAAATCGGTTGATTTCGTTTCGAGAAATCATCAAGTAACGATTTAAACACCTATAAACGATAAATAATTTTAAATTTTTATTAAAATTTTAATTACCTTAGCCGTTGTAAAATCAGCGGCGTGAATATGTTTAGCATCCACAACAACCGGTTTATTTTCCTCTTTTCTCCCCGCTTTTACAACGATCGATCTTACATATTCAATCGAAGGGAACGATAAAGTCCTATCGGGTGTAATAAAAACATATTCATTCCCCAATTTCGTCTAAAAAAATTGTTCATAAAAAGTGAGGTTATAAAAAGTGACTTGGTTATGTTACACTTAATTTTTTGATTAAAATTTTTGGTCGAGCTGATGCGTACAACAAAAATACAACATTAATCAGGATTCCAACTAATATTCCAAGTTCTAAACTAACAAATAAACATGTTAAAAATGTAGCAACGGCCGGGATTAAATCGATTTCTAAACAAAAAATAATAAGTAATAAAAAATAGCTTCATTAAACAATTACTTTTTGTTTTCCAAATTGGCTTGAACACGTGTAACTCAACCATAAAGATAACAGCAGACACAATTAAAGCCGCCAAAGTTGGTTTTGGAATAAACTCAAAGTATGGTGTTAACACAATCAATGACAAAATCACTAAAACTCCAGTGTAAATCCCACCGAAAGTTGTTTTAACTTCACACGCGTAATTCACGGCTCCTCGAGCTAACCCACCTGTTACAGGAATTGAGCTAACGAATGATGATGCGATGTTACATAAACCCAAAGCTAACATTTCTTGGGTTGCATCAACTGGTTGACCTTCCGCTAAAAAGAATTAAATTAAAATCAATGCAAGATAATAATAAGAAATAAATAAGATACTCACAAAAAACTTTCGCTAAAGCTATATTTTCTAATATTGAAATTAAAGGAACAACAATTAGCCCAGTTCCTAATTTAGATGACATTTCGAAGAAATTTAAAGTTTGATTATTGTTGATGGTTGTGGAAAAATTGGGAACGGAAAGACTTGGAAGCCCCGATGCTACAGGACCTGTTAAAGTAAACGGTTTCATATCGTTCTTTTCGAAAATATAGGCCATGAGGGAAGTTAGAAAAACCAAAATTATGTTTATCGATATGTAGAGGAACCAAAGAGATTTTTTGGTGATGCTATGAATTAGTTTTTGTTGTGAAATATCTTTAGGGCCAATTTTTATGTCTTTTAATTTCTGTAAATTAAAAAAAATTGTAATGAATAAGACAATAATAAAAATTTATTGAAAATAAATTTATGTTAACACAAACATAACCTTACTTTTTAAAAATTGAGGTTATGTTTTAACTATTAAAATTATTTTTATATTTATTGTTGTTTTTTGTTTAAAATTAAATTTAGTTGATGCAATATAAAAAAAAATAATATAGGCAACCAAATTTGCATCAATTTAAATTGATTAATTTTAAACAAATAAAATACTTACTCGACACGTTAAAATAGTTAATATGCAAGAAACCCCCAAAATAGCATCATAAATATTAGTTTCACTAATTTGATTAAAAACAGCTTTCCAAACTTCGATAAATTTCCCACTAGAAATTCTAATTCCTAATAAATCTTTAATTTGACTCGTTGCTATTATAATAGCAGCCGCGGAAGTGAAACCTGTCGAGACTGGGCCTGATATAAAGTCGATTAAGAAACCTACAAAATAGTTATGATTAATTTTTTAAGATTTAATTCTTGATCTCACCTAATTGGAGAATTCCCATTAATAATTCAATGCATCCGGATAAAAAGCACAATAAAACGGCTCCATCGAGACCTAATCCGTTTAAATTTTCTCTGGTTAAAATCGTCGCGATGGCCGTTGGCCCGATTGGGGACACTTTACAACTTCCAAAGATGACGTAAACAAAACAAGCCATAAACGAGGAGTACAATCCGATTTGGGCAGGTAACCCAACGACGTTTGAGTATGCAATACCTTGGGGGATCACGGTGAGGCCTATGGTTATCCCAGCGACTAAATCACAAAGCGCAAATTGTTTATTGTATTTGGGTAACCACTGCAAAATTGGAATTCGTTTTAATACTAATTTTTTTAAGTTAATTTGATTTGATGTGTTTGTTTGATAATGATTTGGTGAATTATCTTGAGCTAAAAAATTAAAATGTTAATTAAAATTGGGTTAAAATTGAAACTTACTTGTGTTATTGACGGCGTTTTCATCATTATCGGTAGTAAAAGCGGTTAAAATCACTTGGTTTTGCTTAATTGGTTCATTTAAATTCGTCATTTTATACTTTCTCATCCCAAAAAATCCACAAAGATGTAATTTTTTTCCTAAAATTTTAAATGAATAAAAATAATTATTAACACAAAGACAAAGAGATTCATATCGTGATGAACAGTGATTTATTTTTCATTCTTTATTGCGTAATCTAAGTTTTTTGTGATGTTTTAAGAGGAAATGGAGAGTTTAATTACTTAATTATAAATAATTATTTAAAGATAATCTTAAAAACAAAAATTCGTACGTGATCCAACGAAGAAAAATCACGAAACAATTTTATTCGTTTAAATACTTTTATCTCAAAGTAAAATCGCGAACGAGAATTAAAATAAGCACTTTTTTGGTGAACAAAATCTTTTCGATTTAGAGGTTCGCTTGTAAAACGAAGGAATTGAATCGGTAATAAAAACCGGCCGAAAACTTTCACATTCGCGGCCGTTCGAGCGACTGGCACCGCTTTATAACGATCAAACGATTATATATATTATTTTGATCATAAACGAGACGCGAATGGTGTCGGTGCAAGAGCGAAACATTTAACAACAATTTTTAGCGATTATTGAATAAACTTTATTTATTTCTTAGTTTCTCCTAAGCAAATAAAAAGAAATCGTGGATTGAATTAAAAGAGAAATTTTTTTGACGTTTCAATATAGTTGACGTTTAAACGTAAAAGTGACATTTCTAACAAAAAAATACTTTAAATAATGATATTTGAAAAAGCAATGCTACCAACCTAAACCAAACTTCTAATTTGAAATTTGGCGTTTAAAAAAAATTCGAAACATTTTTTAGTAATATTAGGATAAAATATAAAATTAAGTACGATTAATAAGTTATAAACCTAGTTTTATGATTTGTCTACTAGATGGTACAATTTGGTACCTAGCAACACAATGACGTTTCTCAATTTTGGCATTGCACCAAGAAAAATATTTTTTTTAATTATCGTTAATGGTTAAATACGGTTGTAGCATCCTTCGTTGTTTATGTGGATGTTGTAAGTACTTTTCATTATTAATTAAAAATAAATTTGATCGATTTTAATTCAATTTTTGAGTCATAATTCGCCAAAGAATCGTCGTGTCGACTTTATGTTTGTTAGGAATCGTCATAACCTACGCGCAAAGGGTCGTTTTAAGTATTTCAATCACCAAAATAGTCCCTTTAGAGAAGAGGTTATTTATTAATGAGTGTTTGGCGGAAGATGAAGAGGCTTCAGAAGAGATGGTAAGTGTAAATAAAAAAATTAACTATCAAAAAAATTTCTTTGAAGTGACACTTAGTTAACCTCAAAATTTGATTCGTCAAATGACAAGAAACATTTCAATTTAGATAAAAACAAAAATAAATTTCCTTGAGGGTCCTTCAAAGATAATTTCACTTCAGATTTGTTTTTAATTATTAAATTAAAATGACGTCTTTATTAATTGAGGGTCCAACAGCAGATTGGTCGGAAAGTGTCCAACAATACGTGTTGTTATCATTTTTCGCGGGATATCTGGTGGGTCATATCCCGGCGGGATTAATATCAGATAAAATCGGACCAAGAATCGTTTTCTTTTGGGGCGTTTTCGTTTCTACGTTAAGCACCGTAGTTACACCGGTAACTATCGTTTACACCCATGCAGCCGTTGTAATCGTAATTAGAACGATTGCAGGCCTGGCCCAAGTAATATTTTGAAAACTAAACAATAAAAAATTATCTAACTTAATATTTTAGGCAGTTCTTTATCCCTGTACGAGCATTTTAATCGCCCGTTATATCCCCCCGCAAGAGCGAGGTGTAATGGGGGCTTTTTCAATGGCTGCGCCGTCATTAGGAATGCTTTTTGGGAATTTAGTGACCGGGCAATTAACGTATATGTATAAAGATTGGCAATGGGCTTTTTATTGTTTCTCGTTACTCGGGTTTATTTGGTGCATTTTTTGTTGCATTTACATTTATAATGGAGCCGAATCTAACCCGAGAATGCTCGAGGATGAAGTTGAGTATATTAATTCTCGAATAGCGCCCGGATTACGATTAAAAATTCCTTGGAAAGGGATGTTAACTGACCCAGCTGTTATTGGGCTCATGTTTGGGTCGTTAGGGTCTGATTTATGGATTTATTTGATGGTAACTAATATTCCTAAGTATATGGGGACCATTTTGCATATGAATATGAACGAATTATCATTAGCCACTTCAATCCCATCCCTCTTTTTGTGGATATCAAGTGTTATTAGCGGTGAAATTGTTGATTGGACTATAACAAAGAAAAATACCAATTTATTATGGAATAGGAGAATTAGTTCGTTTATTGGTATGCATTAAGCCAGAATAAAACAGTTTATTTTACCTTTTTGTTCCAGGTGTTTTTATCCCGTTAATTTTTACAGCCGCAATGGGGTTTGCCGGTTGCGATAAAGTCCTAACCGTCATTTTATACAGTTTAAGCAACTTTTCGAGAGGCCCTTTTTACTGTAGCTTAAAAATTAACCACTTAGATTTAACTTCGAACCACGCTGGCATCATAATGGCAATAATAAACGGATTTGGATGCTTCTCCGGTATCTTCGCACCACTAATCGTTAAATATCTAGCCTCAGATAACACCTTGAAAAGCTGGGCGAACGTTTTCTTCACAGTTTGCGCCATTAACTTGGGTTGCCATATTATTTACATGGTTTTAGCACGAGTCGAAAGAGCTAAATGGGATACAGAGGATGAATAAATATGTATTTCTATTAAATTATTTAATTATCTTTGTAATAGTTTTAAACGTCCTATCTTTAATAAAAATTTAAATTTAAAAACCTTCAAAATGGAAGATTAAACGTCAAAAATGACAGATTAAAACGTCAAGATTGACACAAAAAATGTTGATTTAAAGAGTTTGATTTAATCCTCAAAAATTAATAAACAATTTCCAATTTAAATAAAATAGCGATTTAAATTTGAATGTTGAGAATTAATCGTGAAAAGAAATAATTTTCTGTACCTTACGATACTAATATTTAAGAATGAAAATTGTAGATGTCGCCACTTAGTTAAAAATTATTAATTTAAACCAAATTAATTTATTTAAAATAAATTACTTAATATTGTTAATTATAAAAATATTTGTTTATTTTGATAACATTTCTTAAAATAAATTTTTCGAAACCCTTGAAACATTAAAACAAAATTAATTAATAGATGTCGCCACATTACAAAAATAGAAGCACGTTGTGTCAAAACTGGTCAAAACTTAGCAACAAATTTGTATAGGTTATGTTTCTTTAAATAATTAAAATGCCATCGAATAAAAAGGTTAAAAAGCGTAAAATTAATTTGGTTTTCGATGAAGATAAACGTCGCGAATTCTTAACGGGCTTTCACAAAAGAAAATTGCAAAGGAAAAAGGAAGCCCAAGAAAAACTAGAGGCACAATTAAAAGAGGAACGAAAAAGGCTTAAAAAGGAAGCGAAAGAATCTTATAAAAAATTGGTAGTTTCAAATAGAGATATAGTTTTAGAACATGTTTTAGAAGAAGAATATGATGACGAAGAGGTTACGGTTAAAATAACGGAGATAACAGCAGAAGATATTGCTAAAAAAAGCAATAAAATTGGATTTAATCATGTTCAAAACGATGATGATGATGACAAAGATGATGACGAAGTTGATAATGAAAAAGGAGAAGACGGAGAGATACCCGGAATGGAATTAAAATTAAAAAAGAATAAAAATACTCAAAAGGAAGATAAAAAAATGTTTAATTCCGTAAAAGACGTGAAAAAGTCTTTAAAAAAGATTGCGACCCAAAAAGTAAAGAAAAGCATTGTTTTTAAAAAGAAAGGAGAAATGGAAAGGAAGAAAATGTTGAAGAAATCGTTAAGGAAAAAGAAAGAAAATTTAAAATTAAAAAATAAACACAAAAATAATTCACGTATTAAAAGTTGTTAAACACATTAAATTATCGTAAAAAGAACAAGTTCCGATTAAATACTGAGCTTCATTTCTAATTTTTTTAATACTCTCCAAAGATAACCAACTCCAATCAACACCGTAAACTAAACTTTCATGTTCGTTATAACCCCCAATTATTTCACCGCTACAATCATTAATTTGAACGATGTGAGCACCTCCGCTCATACACCCCGCTAATAAAAGATTATCTCCGAATGGATCCCATTTTAATCGCCATAAAGTACCGGGTAATTCCAATTGGAATAAGCAATCCTTTAATTTCCGATCATCCCAAATTCTTAAATAAGAATCGTAACTTCCGGTTGCTAATAAATGCTCTCGGTGAGGATTGGATTGGATTGAGGTAACCCCGGCAGTGTGGGATTTATTTTTAAAGGTAAAATCACCAATTCGGGAATCATGGGAGAATAAAAATGTGTCATCACCGCCGGAATAAAAAATGTTTGAGTTGAAATGATTAAAAGTAACACACCAACATTCGAAATCGTGTGGTTTATAACCGTTTAAGTAAGTTAACTGATTATTTTGGTAAATTAATCGATGTACACTTCCTTTTGAGTCGCTACAAACAATCTCTTGCAATCCAAAATTCGTTTCTGAAGATGACCAATCCAATGATAATAATAAAAGTTGTGGAATTTCACTTGGAATTGTTAATTTACATTGTAACACTAAATTAACATTTAAATTTAATACATAAATTTCGATTGATTTCGTCGCGTTCACAACTCCCAAAATTGATCGATTTCCAATTTTATTTCGGCACCATTTTGTGTCCAGTACTCCGGAACATCCGATTGTTTGTAATAAATTTAAATCATCCTCGATTGAAAATAATAATAATAATCCTTTTCTTGTTTGAGATGTTTCATCTGATTTGTTATAAAAATTAGAAATTAATGAGAAAATTAAAAGTTAGGTTAACTCACCTTTTTCAAGTTGATAATTGGCGCAAACGAAAACGTTTTGGTTGGGTTCGTGGGGACAAAACTCGAGGGAATCGGCGTTTAATTCGGTTTTATACGTGTTCAGAGTTAACATTATAATAATAATATATTTTATATTTTAAAACATAACCTAAAGTAAGAAAATAAACAAAGTAGCGCCATCTAGTGTCAAAGGGTTCATTTAAATTTAATTAAATTATATTATAATTAATTCAATTAACTATTAATTAAGCCATAATTACGTACTTTTTTTCTCAGTTTTGTACTTCTTTAAAGTTAACATTATTTGTATTATTATTTTAAAATACTTTAAAACATAACGGTATCCACGGTATATATGCAGATAAAGTGGCACCATCTAGTGTTAAAGAATCCATTTAATTTGCACTTCAATTTAAATATTATTAAATTCCTTTACCATTGAATTAATTATTAATAATTTCTAATTGATTATTTAAGTTTTAATTTATTGTTTAGATTTTATTTTTATATATTAATTTTTATATAATGATAAAGTAGGAATCGCTAAAAATGAAGGTTAAAGAGAAGACGATTCAAAATTTTAATTTCAAGAAACTAATCAAAACCGTTAATATTTACATTTTACATCAATAATTGAGTATTTCCTTGTTGAAAATTGATTTTATCGAAAAAGAAAATATATAAATACATATTCCGATTTAATCGAGGTTCAAGTTGGTCAACAGCGTTAATTCAGGTTAAGCTGGTTGTATCCTCCCTTCTGTATCTGTTTTCAGTCGTTCTCCAGACTTGGTACGGTGAGCAATGTGAATAAAGTTATACAAGGAGACGCTAAAATAACACATATTTGATAGAAAACATTCTAAAGTTCAAGTTAATAAACATTTATTTGTGCAATTGTATTCTTTTTAGTTATAGTTTTGAGTTTTTTGTTATAATCCGGTTTGATTTGGCATTTGAGTAAGTTAATTCATGTTTTTGTTGCTATTTTCTTTAATTTTTATAGATTTAGATTAGTATTAGATAAGATCATATGATTCAAACGGATTAAGTTAGATCTAAATTAATAATAAACCTTGATTCATAATTTTTTATCATTTTGCGTGATATCATTTCCGTTAAAATGTTTAAACCATCAAGAAGAATGTCATAAAATCAAGAAACTTATGTAATTATTTGTATGTCACATATTTTCGCAATGATTCATCGCAAATCCAATAAATTTATTTGAATTAATTATCTGTAAACAATTTTATTTTATTGATAACTCAACGAAAATTCTCGCTAAGGCAAAGTAACGTTTAAAAGATTATTTATTTGGTTGAAAAGATTAAAATTCTTCAGTAAAATGACCTTTTAAAAGTTCACGGTCCGAATTAAACCCATTCTGCTGATGAGACAAAACTATTTTCACACACAGCACAAAGAAACAACTTTGTATCAACATGAATAACAACATAATATGGAGAATTAAATTAATATTTTTCTTAAATAATTTACTGAATATGTCTTCAATAAACATAATTATTTTAAAAGCCGCAAAAACCATGAGTTTCCTTTCGTTCTTATCGTTATAAATTTTCCTTTTGTGGCTTACAACGCGATAATTATAATTACCACAAGAAAAAGATTGAATGATACCAAAGTCGGTTTGTTGCCATTTTCTTATCTCATTTTAATGCATCACGCGTACAAAATCTCACTACAACGGCAACAACATACATGTTCGCTTTATTTGTAAATTTGTATTCACGTCACAACTGCGTACATGTTTCCACTTTGTTTGTTTAAGCATATAAAGGTTCAGGAAAGATCCTAAATCCTTTTTGTCGTGTTTTACAACTTTTTTTTCGGATGAAAAATAAACAAGGTTGTTTTCCAGATGTATATCGAGTTTAGATTATAATAATATCGTTGTTATTGTTTGCATAAACTTGTACAAACTTGTTTTTGTTGTCGAAGTATAAAATGTATGCGTATTAAATTTTACTCATTATGGTTCTCTCCTTTATTCCGAGAATTTGATGTGATTCTTCGAAAAAACACTCGTTAAAATAACTTTCTTATTCATAAAAGAAATGAAATCTAAAAAAAATAATTCTAGGTTATGTTATATGTTTAATTTAACGTATTGTTTAAATCAATTTATTTAAATTTAACAATCGATTATTATTAAATACATCGTTTGGCGAAAATTTATGATTTTATAACAATGATTTTTTTAATCATCGTTGTGTTGTGAAGTTAGTATTGTCAAATTTGACATAAAACTTTTTTGTTGTTTAATACAACCTCAATTATTAGGTTTCTTTATGATCACAATAAGAATTAATTATATGGACCAATTTTCAAGATCTGTGTCTCGGAAAATTGACCAGAAAACGGCGTATCATCATCAAACGTTTACAGTTAGATCAATTCTTTTCTTCATGTAGTTCTTTGGGGCCGGCGCGAACCAATGTGTCTACCATATGCTCACTTCTAACTGTGCATCTTGATTCTCGACGCCGCGGTTCGCCGTTAATGAACCGAAACGGTACTGTTATTAATCGGAATGCAACAGGATTACGCAAGAAAAATTTTTTATTTCACAAAGAAAATGGTTGGTAAAATGTCAACGTCGAATAAGAAGTTTAAAATATAAAACACCAAAACCAGTCTTGTTTTTGAGTTATTTTAAGACCATGCGGTGTTGATATTTCGGTCCTAGCACGTCTAGACGTTCATTTTAAACGTTTTACTAACGACATGTGGGATTATAAAGACTCGCCCCCAATAAAACATTCTGAGTCACAGCGTTTAAAATTTATAAAACAAATTTTCAATATTAAACAAATATTTTCTAGAAGAACTTTCCATTTCTTTTCTCTTTACCTACTCACTTAATGAACTCATTGTTCTGTGTAGTGACTAAAGGAAAAACTATATAATTATAATTATTTCTCCTCTCGATGGATGCGTTCTATATGGATAATTCCATTCAAAACAGCTAAAATAAGAAATTTGTCGGGAAACGAAAAGAAAACGTGTTATTGTGAATAATAAGAGTGGACAATAACGAAAAAGAAACTTATGAATGAATTGATAAAGTGAGGTTACGTTAAACGTCAAAAACGCTTCAATATAATTTTTTTTAATTAACCGATAAATACGTTTTAAAAGAACAATTTCTTTGTGAATTTTCTTTGTAAATAACTGGGTGAACCAATGGTGAAAGGTTTAACCTTCTACAACAAACCTTGAATAAGTCGTACTTTGAACATTACCGTTCTTGTTCCTCCTTATTCGATATCTTCAAGATATAAAAATACAAAACCCAAAATTAATGTTGAAATTAAATTGTTTAACGAGTTAATTTTCTTCTTTCACTCTTTCTCCAACAACAGTTTAAGCGTTTATTGTTCATTATGTGGTGAAAACGCGATAAAAAACTTCCTTGAAGTTTAATTTGGCAAGAAAAAAAGTTTCGGCGTACTGTTGCAAAACCGGAAGAGGTATGCCGAAATTCGGAGCTAAAAAATTCCAAATGTTGAAGAAAAGTATGTTAAATATGTTAAATGTTATGCCTCATTTTCTTCATATCTTTGTTTATCTATGTTTCAATTTAGTTCCCACTTCAATTCTAACCATAATAATCTTCATCATAACAATTCGATGATTTATTTAGTTCGATGAGCTTCATTAACCATGTAATTGGTGCGTAACCTTTAAAATAAAATAAATAAATTAACTTTCACGTTCAAATGATTAGTATATATATATAATTTAAAGGTTAAACGTTTAAGCTTTTCACTTTTTTTCCTTATTTCGCATCGATTAGCACCATGAGAGCGTGTTAAAGATTAAAAAAGCCGCAAATACGAGGAAATTAGGATGGCTCGTTTATTTTTTCGGTTTCGAGCGCACTCATCAGTTAAATTTAAATCCCAGGAAAAGAAATTGGTCAGCAATATTTCCTAGAAGAAAAAACCTAAAAATATACAATTAATTATTAGGGTTACTTAATTAATTCACTTAATTGTTACCCCGAAAAAATGAAACTTTCTAATAACAATTAAGACATTACAATTAAAAAAAAGCAATTAATTAAGTGAATTAAACAATTAGACGAAGATTTAAAAGCAAAAATCAAATTAAATTGAGAGATCTGATAATGTATGGAGTTATTACTTACAGGAAATGAGTTTAATGTAAAAACTGTGTCAGCAACCTATTCAAATCGTTAATCAAACTGAACGAGTCACTGAAGATGTCGGTCACTGTAAAATAATGGATAATAATAAATTTTCTTATTTCATATTCATTTTGAGGTTATGTTTTCTAAAAAATTAAAACTTATTTAATCCATTTATTGACTTTACGGAAATGGAAAAGTTATCGCAATACTTATTAACTTCGCATCGCTGAAATCGATTTAGAAAGAATTTTATTTTATAAAAAGCTTTTTAACGAAATATTTACGAATTTTTAACCATTTTAAAACTCATTTTTTGACAATCTATAAATAATGTGAAGTTACCTACCAAAATTAAATTTATGATTATTATTTATTTTTTATTATACTAAAATGTTTGTTTTAATTATAAATGAATAAATTGTATCTGTTTTCATAAATAAATCAATTATTTATGTCGAAATTAATTCAGGAATTGAAGCTGAAATTAAAACCAATAGATGGCGATACATATTTTGTTTATATATGTTATGACATAACCTAACTTAAAGTTTGAGTTAAAATAATTTAATTTTTTTTTAGAAATGTTACAACAAATTCTCAAAGATCTTTACGTTGACCCAGAAATCTTAATAGAACTCGACGATCAACAAAAACAAACGTTATTTTGTAAGATGCGAGAAGAACAAGTTCGGAGATGGAAAATTTGGGACGAAGAAATCAATAAAAACCACCCACAAAAGACAAATAAAGATAATAAAAACCCGTGTAAAAAGAAACAAGTAAATTTTTTGATAGGAATTGATGGTGAACCTTGGGTTTGGGTAATGGGCGAACACGAAAACGATAAAACGATTGAGGAAATTCTTCGAGATGAAGCGTTAGATAAAGCAAGGAAAATCGCCGAAAAAGAAGCCGAAGAACTTCGTAAACAAGTTGAAGCGAATATTGAATTAGAATTAATCGATCTAACGCCAAAAATCGAAGATAATGTTGATATTTATTGTTCTGTCGATGAGTTAAGAGAAAAAATGAAAAAACCTGCTAAAAATGCATGTAATAATTACAGTATAAATCGATATCAAAATAAAAATAATAAGATTAATTTAATGGATAGGGACGTTTTACAAGAAATTACTTTAAATAAAAATAAAGTCGCTCAAAGGGTCGCGTTGTGGGAGAAACGGATGACCGAAGAGAGAACTTGCGAAATTCTTAAAAAAATGGAAAAGAAACAAATGGAAGCTGTTCGAGAAGCGGAGGAAGCAGAGAAGAAACACGAAGCTTTATGGAGAGAACAAGGTACATTTTTATTACCGATTCTAATTTGGTTATTGTATTTGTTTTATTTATAGAAAGAAAAGCTAAACAAGCCGAACAACAAATCAGAGAGATTGCAAGACGGGCTAGAGAAGAACACCGATTAAGTTCAAGCAATTCGAACAATTTAGAATTAGATACAAACTGTTATATTACTCCGGGGGTCCCACCTAATAGACATGCGGTTATTGATTGGTACAAAACTAAAGAAATACCCAGAAATGCTGGGTTAGATTCATCGAATAAACCGTTAAATTGGTTTCATGGTACCTATTTTTTTAAATTTTATACATATTAATTAAATTAATTTTTATATTTTTAGGTTTAATTACAAGAAAAGAAGCGGAATCGTTATTATTAAATCAACCGGATGGGGCTTTCCTCGTAAGATTATCAGAAAAAATTTGGGGTTATGCAATATCATACAAAGCAAAAGAAAAGTGTAAACACTATTTAGTTAATGCGAATCAAAATTATTCATTTTTGGGTACTAATCAGATTGAGCATAAAAGTTTAATCGATTTGATTAATCATCATTATGAATACGCGTTAACGGGAGGCGAAAAGCTTCGAAATCCGTGTCCTAAATGCAACAACGAAGGATTCAAAGAGATATTTTGAGTGAATATTCTGTGATTAATAATGATTTTTATTTTTTGACTGCTTATTTTTTTGTATTGTTTTATTAATTAAAAAGATTTTTTTACATAGTTTTTTACAAAATTATTTAAACAGCATCATCCTTAATTAGGGCCAACTCCCTTTTCGTTCTATCTTGTATTTCTCTGGCAGCAGCTTCTTGCACCAACCGTTCAATTTGGATCTCTATCGATCGAATTTTCCCGTTCATATTTTCAATTTCGTGGAAATTTTTCTCGATGGCACGTTCCAATCGCGTTTTAACGTCGACGTAACTTTGAAGTTTCACCTGGTTTTTCTCTAATAACACTTGAATCGTTTCCATACTTTTATTACCTTCCGTGTAATTTTTAGAAACACCTCCCATTCTAATTATCACTATAATTTTTATAATTACACACAATTTTGAATAAAATTCATCCAAAAAGCAAAAAAAAAATTTTTGTTTGAGCGTTGCTAAGACAATTATTAATTTCTTTTTAATCCGACATCATAACCTAAAGAAACTAAATTTTGTGTTAATATGTTTAAAGAGCATCTTATTTCTCCGCTTGAAATCATTCGAATTACTAAAAATTAATTTAGTTATATTAGATAATTAAAAAGTAATTACGTACATCCTATTCCTTCGTCTTCCGCTAGCATCTTTGGTTCTAATAGTTCAGGTTGATAACCAAAAAAGGTTCCAAAATAACCTAGCAAAGAGCTAGGTTGTGGTCTTGCTAAACTAACATCGATTAAATGGACCCCGGTTTGAATGGGGATGTGGATTCTACCATAACCTTTTAATTTGAAACCTTCGTAAACACTCAAAATTAGTTGGGGCCCTAAAACAAGTCGGTGTAAAATATAATTTAATTTTGATTTGTAATTTTACATCCGAAGATATTCGATGATTTATAAACGATATCAATGGGGTAATTTAAAACGATTTTGGAGCAATTTTGGGTTATGTTAACTGTTTGTGATAAACCAAGTTCTAAACCACCAACTATCTTCCAATCTGGGCCGGTTATTAATTCGTATTTGCAGTGCCAAGATGTTCCGGATGTTGTTAAAGCGGTTATGTACTCAATTTGGCCACTTATAGATATTAAAAATGAGCCGTTTGTCATTGTCGGTAACAAATAGGTTATGTTTGTTAGATTTTTAGGTTATGTTTGTATTACAAGAATGATTACAAATGGATTACAAGATTAGTTTTGGCGCCATCTATGGGATTTTTAAAGAAACGAAATGACATATTTAAAATTATTTTATTTAAAATATCTTTTTATTAATTTATTATTAATAATATTAATTTCCTGGGTTAAAATCCAAATTAATATACTTGCGTTTTGCCTTTTTGTATCTAAAATCCTATAAAGAAAAGTTTATAATAAAATTAAATATTTACAAGATTTATATAAATATAAACGATAATATAGCTACATCGAAGGAAAATTTGCGAAGATTTTTGATGATTGATGAGACGTGGATGATTTAATTCTCTACAAATAAAACTCGTTTCACATAAAAAAAAAGTTAATTCTTAATTAACTTGAAATATTTACCGGAGTGACTTCATCACCTAAACTTTGCTTTTTCTTCGTTTTATTCGGACTCACTGTTAAATTTGGGAGTGAAAATTCGTCTTTTTGATAGTTTAAATTCATTTTTGTTGTTTTTTGACTCTTCTCTTTCGCCGTAATGGGCTCTAAATTCATGAATATCGAATCTAAAACAATGTTTTTATCCAGTTTTTTCAAAATATGCCCCCCTCTTGGAGGATGAATCAATGGAACTTGATGGAATGTTTGTTTAATTGAAGTTCCTTGAATATTTTGAAGAAAATTCGGCGACTTTTTAGTATCTTTTAAACTGTTTACGCTTAAACTGACGTTTATTTGTGATGGTTCAGTTTGGGGAGACGCATCTGGAGGGATTTCTTTTATTTCAGAGTACATTATGTTATCGAGAGACCTTTCCAATTTTGATTCGCTAATTGATTCAACTATTAATTGTTTTGGTTTTGGTTTAATGAAATAACTCGAATTGATTTGATATTTTTGGCTTGATTTTTGACTAATGCTTTTATTTGAATTAAATTTATCGGAGAGAGATTCCGATGTTATTGCATCGCAACTAAATTTCCTTTTAATGCTTCCCTCTGTTAATGAAACCTTCCACTTTGGGGGTTCAACCTGTAACGATCTTCTTTGGCGAATCTCCTCTTTTTTATCGGTTGATAATAAAACATCGGCTTTGCATTTTCTTAGAAGGGGGTTAGAGTTGAATTCGATTAAAACTTTCTCTCTTAAAGCGGGTAAAAATTTGTGAGGGAATCTATCGTGAGTAAAATAATTGTGTTTTAATAATTCTTCAGACGACGGTCGTGAAATCGGATCCATTCTCATGCAAGAAACCAAAAAATCCAATGTTAAAAGAGACCAACTCGAAAACTTTTTGTACAATCCGTTTGTTTCATTCATTGCCGACTTCATAATCGATCTTAAATGACTACACTTCGACATTTGGCTTTGGTGACGCGCACAAGGCTTTCCAATTAACTTTATTATAAGATATAATTGATCAATATCACTATCACCGGGAAATAAGGGATCCCCTGTCATCATTTCAGCAAATAAACAGCCGATGGCCCAAATATCGACGGCTGATCCATATTGCTGCTCCCCAACCAATAATTCAGGGGCCCGATACCACCTCGTCGCTACATATTCAGTACATGGCTCCCCATTTAATGATATTAACCGTGCAAAACCAAAATCGCATAATTTTACAACTCCAAGCGATGATACTAAAACATTTTCAGGTTTAACATCGCGATGAATTATCTAAAAAAAATTATATTAATAACCTCAAAAAATGTTTAATCTAAATTATTTGACAGTTTTGATACTTGAAAGTTAGGTTATGAAGTAAAATAAAATTATCTTATTTAAATATTTAACATAGTAATTTTTAATATCTTACATGATTCGAATGGCAAAAATTAATCGCCCTCGTCACTTGATAAATCCTCTCCCGACAACGATCATCCCCTAACCCCGAAGGCATTTTTTCTAATTCATCCAAAAGCGTTCCCTCTAAATATTCAAAAACCAAATAGAAACGTTTTCGGTGTCGAAACACCTCGATCATTGTCACCAAATTTTCGTGGCGTAACTTCTACAACAAAAGCTAATTACCACAAAATTCTAAATAATCCTTTTTAGAAACCTTTAACATTCGTATTTCCCTCAAAGCCATTCTTCTAACCGCCGCATCTTCTTCGGTTTCTAAAAATTTCTTCACCGCAACGATTTGATCCGTTTCTTTATGTTTACATTTTAAAACTACACCGTAAGAACCTTCACCGACCATCGCAAGTTGTTCATATTTTTCCATCGCTCTTCTTTTACTTTATTTCGTTCGTTCAATTGTAAAATATATAAATCATCCAATGATGATGATGAAAAAGAACATTAGATTCATCTGAAATAAAAAAGAAATAAAGAGATAAAAATTTATTGAAAGTGTATGTATAAAGCATTTGAAATCAATACAAGATGTGGGTTTATTTTATTATGATTAATTCAACGACATGATAGCTTTTATTGTTGCGGTGATCAATAAACCAGTCACGCAAATTCAATTTGAACTTTAATAAAACTTAATTTTAACCTCAATCGATCAAAATGAATAATTGTCATTTTATGCCAAATTGTTTTGACATTAATTTCTAACTTCACTATGAGTCTGATTATTTTATTTAATGAATTACTAATTAAAATAATGAATTAATTTTCCAAATTTATTAAATCGCTTTTGAATCGATTAGTTTATATTTAGACTATTCTTTAATCGTTGCGCAAAGTTTATTTTTATAGTACCAAAAATAATTTCTTGAGTTAGGCAACCAAATTTGCTTTGGTTTAGACTTTAATCTTTGTTCTAAAAATAAATAAAAACACGAAACCGGCTTGTTTCTTTAATAAACACGAAGTTTATAACTCTTTTGATCAAGATGACTTTAAAAGTTTATTTAGATTTGGTGTCTCAACCATGTCGATCACTTTACATGGTTTTAAAAGCGAGCAACACTCCGTTTCAAATGGAATCGATTGAACTCTTTAAAGGTTGTTAATTAATATCTCTAAATTAATTAAGATAGCATATGGTTTAATTTTTAGGGCAACACTTGCAAGAAGATTACTTAAAAATAACCCCTCTCCATAAAATACCGGCGATAACTGAAAATGGAATGAATTTAATTGAAAGTGTAGCTATTCTACGTTATTTAGATGCCACAGGAAGAATTAATGAGAAGTGGTACCCAAAGGAACCGATGAAAAGGGCCAAAGTTGATGAGTATTTAGAGTGGCATCATATTAATATGAGAGCAGTGTTTTTTACTCTTTTTCAACGAAAAGTAATTAATTCGTATTAATTAAAACAACCAACGATATTAATTCTTTTAATTTTTTACAGATTATTTTCCCCAAATTCTTTAATAAAGTAACTTCACCGGAAAGCTTGGCAAAGTTTGATGAAGCTGCCTATAACGCTTTGGATACTTTTATTGAACATTGGTTAGGCGATAAACCTTTTATAACCGGAAATAATATAACAGCAGCTGATCTTTGGGCTTCATGCGAAATTGATTCGCTTCGTAAGTTAATTTTAAATAAATTAATTAATTATTAACTTATTTCATTATTGTTTGAAGCTGCCGTTAAAATTAATCCATTTTCTGATGGACGAGAGAAGTTAGCCGACTATATCGTAAGAGTTAAAAATGGTGCATCTCCTTGGTATGAAGAATCATTGGAAAAATTAACGAAAACGTTTAAAGCCCAAAAAGGGGAAAAATCTAAAATGTAAAAAAAAATAAATTTTTAAAATTTAAACTCTTTAAAATAAAGAATTTTAGTTTAACTCAAATATTAATCTACTTAATCAATGATCACGATAAGGTTTGTTTTATAATCTTTTTTAAATAATAATCAATAAAAACTAATTATTAAACTTCTTCTTCACAATGATAAGGTAATGGGATTTGGAAAATTATTAAACTTAACCTCAAAAAAAATTTGACAGAATTGACATTTGATAATTCAAATTTAAAAGTTAGGTTATGAATTAAAATAAAATTATTTTTAAATATTTGTTTTTTAATTTACAGAAAAATCGAAGGGTTGGTCAGCTTTTTCAAGTTGAACGACCCTTTGATTAGCTTGACCAACATATCTCCCCGTCCACGCGAAATCTTACTTTAAATTTATCCATGAATTTCGTTCACTTTTTAATTCACACAATAACATACTCTTGAACTTGAAATTTAACCGTTTTTAAAACCCCGTTCAATAGTTTCGAAACTATCCCAAAATAACACAGCGAACACTAATAATTTCAACTTTATCGTTTACAAAGTTTTGGAAAACTTTTTGACAGTTCCTTTTTGCGTTTGGTTTTACATTTCGTTTAATACATTCGTTTTATACACTCGTTTCGTACCGTTCGTTCGGGTTCCCATCAGGTAGACGACGACGGACGTCATAGTACTGCCGAACTAGCACGTAAGCGTAACGTAAAAGAGAAAAGTTGAAGAGAAGGGAGAAGGGAAATCGGCGTTTCGATTTTCTACACGAACCTTCGAACGTTTTCCACAGGTGCTCTAATAAAAATCAATCAATATTTATTTAAATCTAACAATAAGATTCAAATCAAATTTTTTTTTAGGTTAAATTGACAGCTTTTAGGTTATGTCAAATTTGAAAAATTCAAATTAAAAAATCTTATTACAAGAACTAATTGTTATATAACGTTGAAATAAAACTCATTTTGAAGCAAATTTTAAGAAGATCTTATTATTACTTTACGTATTTGAAACGTATTTGTTTATATTGAAGCGATAAAAATTGAGGTTAGGTAATACTTAACTTTGAGTTGTAGGTGCTGAGTTTGGAATTAAATTTTTTTAAATGAATTTGAATATTTTTGAAAATTTATTCGTATTTCTATTGAAAACCTATATAATTTTTTCGATTTATTAACATTTTCATTACAATTTCATAGAAACGTCAATGTGACTTTTAAATAATTAATTGACAAACTTTTAAATATGACGTTTTAATTTAATTTGAGGCTATTTACAATAAATTTATTAAAAATGTTTTTTTATTGCAATTTAAATTTTTATTGATAAAATGTTCCAACTGATTTTAAATCTAAAAATGTTTTGGTTTATAAACTATTTGGGTGACTAAATAGCATGCATTTTGATAAAGGCGTTTCGTCATAGTTTATGAAGAGTATATAAACATTAAACAGTAGAGGTCTTAGCGATAGTTGTAATAGGTACGCTTAAGAGTGAAGTAAAACCTTCTCGATGGCACTTTCATAGTCAGGTTTGAATTTTGATTAATAATATTTAAACTATAAGTAATATTTGATTATAGTCTTACCTTGAGTTGAATTGATTCAGTTGAAGCTGCACGTTCTATTTTGTAGAAATTGTGTAAAAAATAGCATAAACAATTAATTTTTTAATATTCGCGTTTTATTTTGCGCACTGTGTCAATAAAATTAATTTGATTAATTGATTTGATTTGATTAAATTGACAAGGCATAACTGTTTTATGTTTTCTTTTAATTATTTTAATATTATTTGAGAAATTATTGAAATAATTTAATACTTCTTATCGAAACAGTGATAGTTTAAGGTAACTCAATACCAAAATGATACTCTTAGTATTCGATAAGAAAGTATTAAGTGTCAAGATAATTGGAAATTTGAAGATTATTTCGAATTTAATCATTCTTTAAAGTTGCGTTAAAAATCCTGAAAATTTTCTATTTCAACTCGAATATAAGAGCTACGATGAGGGTATATTTTTAGATTTTCAGCTGCGTTCCCCACTCTCAAAATCTCTCTATTTCTCTTCACCGTATGCGAAACACCAATGATTTTACTATTTCAGATACATTTTGTCCCTATAACACTGAAAACTTTGTGTGAGTGCGTGTGTGGAGTCCAATTCGCCAAAAAAATGCCTTCATAAACCAAAAACACTCCCTAAAAATCTAAAAATGTCAATAAATGTCCTGATGAGGGTACAAATTGTGCCGAAAAGTGTGAAAAAATTTTAAACAAACTTTCGTTCTGTCATTTAGAGCCGGGATCTTTTAATATAAATAGATTTTCTAGTTTAAGTAAGTAAGTTTTTACTCAAAATAACATTTTTTCACCGTCAAAATCAAAAAAATTAACTTCACGTTGGAAATTGTAAATTGTCGAATGAACAGGTGCGCGAAAATCATGCCAAGATTACAAAATACAATTTTAGAACGTATTTGAATCTCACTAATCGGTTAAAAATTAGATTAAAAAATTAACCTCAAAAATTTTTTTTGACAGCACCAACTTCATTGCATTCTTTCCAATCAAATTATATTTTTTTTGACAACTTAAAGTGACAGCTAATATCGATGAAAAATAATGATTAAATTAATGAAAACATTTACAAACAAATCTTTCAATTGAAATCGTTAATTCAAATTTAAACAAACATTAACCTAGAAAAAAAACTTATAAACAAATCGTTATGATCGTAAAAATAGGTATGGAATTACGTCATTTAATCTTTCTTCTGTAAATGAGACGGTCTTTGTGTGTTTAATTGATAAATTTTCGCTGAACCATCATGAATAAAAACGCCAACACCACAACAAAAACCATTCACGACTTTTTTAACGATTAGATTCCAAATGGCTCCAACTGCAACGATGATTTCACAACCAAGTTTAACCATTGTAAAGCGTCAACCCGATTATAACGGAAATACGAATTCGATATATCATCATCATCCTCACTCCTCATACACATCTTCACCGAATTGGTATCAATATTTAACCATAGAACAAGGATTAGATTCATATTCAGTACAGGTAAAGTTTTTGAACAAAATCGCCATCTATGTGTCAAAAATGAAACTAATTAATGTCATTTTAGCCTAAGTTGTTATCTCCAAGTCCGGTTTGGAATTCGTATCCAACACCGCAATATAATTATTCAATTTATAATAACAACGCGGATATATGCGAATTAACGGAACAATTAAGTGATTTAAACTTAAATCATTCGAATCGACCAACAAAACGACCTCCTGCTACATATATGTGTCATTTATGTTTTCAAAAAGGCCATTATATAAAGGACTGTCCAAAAGTAAGTAATTTATTTAATTTTATTTTAATTTATTTTTATTACTTTATTAGGCACGACCTAAAGGGGAGGGAAAGACGCCTTATCAAGGTAGAAAACGTTGTTTTGGTGAATACAAATGCCCAAAGTGTAAGCGGAAGTGGATGTCGGGGAATTCGTGGGCTAATAAAGGACAGGAATGTATTAAATGTCGCATTAACGTTTTCCCACACAGACAAGTAAGCTTTCTTTTAGATTAATATAATGTGTGTATTTATTTTTACTTTTAGCGACCATTAGAAAAACCCGACGGTTTGGACGTTTCCGATCAATCGAAGGTACATCCGCAACATTTGTGCCAAAAATGTAAAGAACTCGGCTTTTATTGCAGAAGGGTTCAATAAGGATTATATTTCTATGCATTATTAAAAAGTACTCTTATAAAATTTTATGTAATTATTTTATTAGAAATCAATAAAAATCTTCATTTAAAAAAAAGTTTCCTGTAATTCTAACCTAAAATTAAATTTCAATTTCAAAATAATAACTAGATCACTGTGTGTTTTTTTCAAATTTAACTTAATTTTGAATTATATTAATTCTGTAATACCAAATCAACGCAATTAACTTAATAAACATTTTATTTTAAATATCTATTGAGCTCAATAAATCGTTAAATCCATCGTTAAATAAATCATAACCTAAATCTCCTTCATCATTTTTATTCTCCATTTTTAGCTTCTTTTTAGGTGACTCAAAATATGAACTAATATCCAAAGTGCCACATTCAGTGTGAGAACTTCCCAAACAATTCTCCAAACAGTTTCTAATCTCATCGGATTTCACTAAATGTTGCTTTTTAACTTCGACATTTTGATACGATTCCTTCGTTAAACCAATTTCGCTCAAAATTTTTTGTTTTTCTTGTAATAAAGGCCACATATAGTCATCGGCTGTACCAGGGGCTAATAAATACCGCACGGTTACTTGTTCTTGTTGGCCTATTCGATGGGCTCGGCTTTCGGCTTGACTCAAAATCTACAACAAAATTTTGAAGATAAATTTAGATTTTTGTGGTGCAATAATTTACGCTTGGGTTCCAATGCAATTCGGCGAAGATAATTAATTGGGCTTTAGTCAGGGTGATCCCTGCGTTTGCCGCTGTGATTGATAGTAAAGCGCAAGTATAAGAATCGTCGAATTGAAATTTATCGACGTTTATTTTTCTTTGTTCTGAGTTACAATAACCATCAATTCGGATGAATTTTATCTTTCTATTGTTTAAAATTTTTTGTACTGCGTCTAACATTTGCTGATGATGGGCAAAAATTAAAAATTTCGATGTTGTATTTAATATTTCAAGAACATAGGAACTAAAAGAACTTAATTATTATTATTAATCAACGCTTCTTTTAAATTATAATCACCAAACTGATGGGATTTTAATTCTTGATGTTTCAGAAAAAAACGTAAGTAAAGCACTATGTTTTTCCAACGCTTTTCCCCGATTGAACTTATCGGATAAAATCGTTAAGTTGTTGCGATCATTTTCACTAAGTTGATTTAATTTAACGTCTAAAACAACGACTTCTTGTACTTTTTTTGACAAACTTTGTAAAACGTCAGCTTTCGTTCTGCGGATCATAAATTTTTTCCTCAAAACTATTTCTAATTCTTGTAAATTTGACTGTCCGGTTGCATCCCAACCAAAACTTGTAGTTTTACCATCGCAATAACGCGTTGAATAACCTATAAACCCCCCAAAAAATTTCGAATCGATTAAACTTAACTGGGAATATAATTCGTTAGGTCGTGATAAAGCCGGTGTTCCAGATAATAAAACGATTCTTTTTGACTTTTTTGCTAATAATGTTGCAACTTGGGTACATTTAGCTTTAAAATTTTTAATTGTGTGGGATTCATCGATTATTATCACACCAAAATTTCTTTCCAACAACTTTTCACCACACCTACTCATCATATCATGGCTAACGATTAATACTTTTGCATCTCCGATGTAGTCTTTTCTTGTTATCATGTATTGAGTTTCCATTATTGAAACGCTTGGTAGATATTTATGAATCGTTTCTTCCCAAACATTCCTTAAATTAATTTTATTAAAACAAATTAACTCGAAAATCAAATTTTTACTTCATTGAAGCTGTTGTAACGATGAGTAAGGGCCAATCATCTCTGTAATAACTAGCTATTCCTAGCGCTTGGAACGTTTTTCCCAACCCCATTTCATCAGCAATTAAGCAACGACCCCCTTTATCAATTCCAAAACTATAATAAAACACAATAAGAGAAAATAACCCAAACAAATTTAACCTCACCAAACTCCTTCCTCTTGAAAAGGCATTAACGCACTTAACAATTCATTATCTATTCTAGATAAATCGATTTTATCATCGCCTTTTTGTATTTTAACAGTTTTAATCACAAATTGAGGTAGTTTTACAAGGACAACTTGCGGGTGTAACAACAATAATTTTTGTTCCAATAATTCGTAGTCTTTTAAATCAAAATCCCAATTTTTACTTTTAGCATCTTAAAATATACCAATAATGATAATTAAATTATTTAGCAAGTAATTATAAAACATACTATAATTTTTTGAAGAAATTGATTTAAATACATGTACAGATGCCTCATGAAAATCAGATGAGTTTGCAACAAATCGTGACTCGGAAATTAAGCTAAAACTGATCGTTACGACTTTATTAGACCCGTAAAACACCTCAGATTTCGATTTATTGTACAGCTTAAAATTAAACTTGTTTTGGTGATTTAGGCTGGTGGATGGAGAGTTATGATTATTAATTGGGTTGTGCTGAGATTTCGCTAATAATTTTAATTGAGCTTGTCTTCGTTTTTCTTCAATTTCAGCAGGTGTACACTGCATTTTGTTATTATTATTAATTTTCTTTATATAACCTCAAAATTATCCTTCAATCTACAAAAGTACCAACATAAACCTTACATGAACCTTACCCATTATACCAACTGAATAACTAATAACAACAAGTCCCCCTAAATTAATTTTTAAAAATACTTTATCGGTAAATATCAACATTAATTAAAAAGAAAAAAAATTAATGTAATCGATTTGTATTAATCAAGATTTTATCGAGATTTAATTATTTACAAAAATAAAGATTTTTACTCAAATTTCTTTAAACTTTACTCAAATCGTGTCATCACCATGGAAACGAAATAGTGGCCGTTAAAAACAGAGGTGACATAAGTTAACCTCAAAATTATTTGCTTTATTTTTTTATAAAAAACGATTTAATTGGGACTAATTATTACTATTATTTAAAGATAACGATTTAAATCATTTCCCCTTTAACGATGGACGAATCGGATAAAAAAGAAGACAACCCTGAAACCGTAAGTTTAAAAATAGATTGCTAAAACATATGTATACATTTCTGGAATGCCCGTTTCCCCCTTTTTGTTGCCCCTTATTTCTTTCGTCGTCTAAATTTAACGTTGGCCGGTATTTTACAGCACGGCAAATCAAAACAGAAGGGAGAAATCCTTTTAAGCGACGATTCCACATCGATCAGTTTGAATTCGTTTGATCTTCCCGATAACACAAAACCTCAAGAAGCCGTTTCCGAGTCATCTACAATATCGGAGCATTTAGATTCGCTTCAAAGTGGAATAGAAAACGATCGATCTTTATCGGAAATTAGCTTAAAACAAGATTTTATTGATAATGTAAATGACTACGAACGTATAAATAAATCCGAATTAAGTTTAAGTTGTAATAGTGACGGAAACGAAGCTGCAAATAACGTTCAAAGTATCTTAAATGAAATTTTAAAGGATAAACAATTTTCTTCGCGAAGTGATGGAACTAAAATTGAAAAAAGTGATTCATGTAGTAGTAGAGACGTTAGTTTAAATATTTTCGAAGGTGTTAGTTTAGATGATAGCAGTATTAATAATTATGTAAGTAAGTTAAAAGGGTTTAATCCAAGCGATGAAGGGATAAAAGTAAAAGGATCAAGTAGAAAAAACTCCGAATTGGGTAATTTAAGTGTTGAGTTTGATGCATCGAGTGTTACGAGTGCAACGGAATATAAATGTTATCAAGATGATTCTTCTAATAAGGTATATTAATAATTATTCGAGAACATAACCTCACTTATTTATTCTTATTTGTCAGATTGTGAATTATCAGGACGCAATTTCTCATCGAGATCGTCAAATTCGCCACTTAGAGGATATTCTTCAACAAATGTGCGAAAATCGTGACGAGTTACAAAAGCAAAGTGAAAATTTTGTGAGCAAAATCCACCAATTAGAGAAACAATTAAAAGAACATTCAACAGAAATCAAACAACATCAATGCGTTAGTGATACTGAACAATGGAGTCCAAATAGGAAAGTTAATTTAAAATCAACTCACTCAACGGATTCTTTGGTAGAGATCGAATCAAGTTTGGATCAAGAGAGAAGCGAAAAAGTAAGCGGAATGGGTATCAACAAAATTTTTCGGAAGCTTGAGCAGGTTTTGAGCCCACATCAATTGGTAATTTTGAGTGAGTTGAAAAATTATTTTGAATTTTACGTTCAAAAACGAATCGATGTGGTTCAAGATGAACATAAAAAGGAAATTAAAGAAATCGAGGTAAAAATATGATGTCATAAAATTAAATTTTTATTTAAGTATATTTATAGGTTGAATTAAAAAAAGAATTGGGTGATAAACACAATCAAGAATTAGAAGATTTAAGAACTTATTATGAAAAGAAATGTGTCGAATTAGAAAAAAATTACTCAGAAGAAATTAATCGAAAAATGTTAAACGATTCATCGAATCAAATGGCTTATGATCAACATTTGGGGCCTGGCGGTGATACTAAATTAGAATTGAAACATCTCCAAAACAATTTAACATCTCAAGAAGTAATTAGTAATGAGTTTGAAATTGTTGATGTTGTTAAAAGCTACGAACGTCGGTTACAAGAGCAAATCGATTTAGCTCGAATTGATATTTTTAAAAACTTAATGCAAGAAATTAAGGTAAATTAATATTAGTTATTTATACATTATTATTGAGGTAATTTTGCAGAAATTATCTCAATATTCCGATGATACTTACTGGCCGAGAGAGTTACTTCAAATAAAGCGGTGTTTCCAAGAGAAATATGAACGCGAAATTGAAAATTTAAAAGAAAAACACGATGAGGAGGTGAAAAATTTAAAAGATTCTTTTAAAGAAAATGAAAAAGAAGGGGAAGTTTCGATTGATAGGTAAGTTATTTTGAGGTTAAATTCTAGTTGTGCTATTCAATAAAAGATGGCGCTATTATAAAAATGATTTATTTAATATTTTTTCGTTTACGTTTTTTTCGTAAATAATTTTCTTTTTTCCTTCTTGGGGCAAATTCAATGAAACGTTTATTTTTCGAAAATAAATTTGGAACATTCTCCACCAATTGTGTCGTATACTGCAATATTTTTCCCTCCAATTTTTGAATTTTCTGGTTAACGTCACACAACTGATCTTTGTGTAATTTAATCGCGTGCTTTTCACAGTGTTTTTGCTCTCTCAAACGTCTTATTCGATTTTTAAGCTCATCGATATCGTAATTTAGTTGAGGTAACATTATTTTTAAATAAAATAAATAAATTTAGGTACTCGTAATTTTGACAGATTAAAATAAACAACAAATTGAAAAGAATCGAAGTGATCGTTAGAAAAATTTGATTACGTCAAAATTTGGTGGACATTTTTTTTTAATTTAAACAAAATTGACTAAATAAATTTTTTAAAAATAAAAATGGGTTGGGTTAAAGGTTCTGATAAAGAAAAAACGATGGAATCTATTCAGGTGAAATTGGAGGAGAATCAGGAGAAATTGCACAATTACACGGAGGCTAAGAAACGGCTTGAACAAACCATCGAAAAGAATTTCCGTGAAATTAAATGTTTGAACGGCCGTATTGAAAACGTTGAGGAAGAAATTGAACGGTTAGTGCAAGAAGCGGCGACGAATGAATTTCGGGACCGAGCGAAAAAGGAATTGGCCCTCATCAGAAATGAAAGTGTCAACTTTCAGAAGCAATTTTTTTAAAAATTTATATTTTTTCTCGCTATTTTTCGTCGTCGGGTTATTAATTATTGATCTTATTTGTGGTTACTTTGTAAATTTTTAATGTTTTTTGATATTAAAATTTGAAACGTAAATTTTTCGAAATGTCATTTTTTAGAAACGTCAACTTAAGAAACGTCAAATTTAATAAGAAAATAAAATACACTTAATTTTTTGAAATCAAATACAAAATCATTTTTGTTAATCAATCACACGGTCTTTTACACTTCATTTCTTTGCACTCTTCTAATTTTTTCATTTTATCTTCGATTCGTCGTTTGTACTTTTTCAATTCGCAGTCCATGTATTTTTTGTCCTCCTTAATCATTTCGATTTCCTCTTGCATTCTTCGTTTGCTCTCCATGTTTGCCTGCGATGTAATGAGCTTTTCGATTTTGCACTCCAATTGATGAATCCGTTCGTCGATGCATCGTATTTCATCCAAAGCTTTCATCAATTCGCATTCGTAATTTTTTTTGGTGTCAATGAAACACTGCAGCTTTTCGTCGGCTTTTTTCAAGCGTTGTTCGTCGACGTGTATGCTATAACAATTTCGGGATTGTGGGGCGGAACCACCCTGGTCAAGCTTTCGTTTTTTACATGTTGACGGCAACGATTCTTCACTGGAATTTTTGGACGTTACCATTTTTAATTTTGATAAATAAATTGTGTTTTTTTTTGGCACGAAACTTCAATTTTATTTGATATTTTATTGACAACTCAGTTTATTATTTTTTGGTTGTTACAGGGATGGTTTAAAAAAATCAAACGTGATTTTAAAAAACATCATTAACGAATTATTGAAATATTTCACCAAATGCGAGGACGAATTAAATAAAACATTAATCGATGAAATTTTAAAACAGGGATTCGAAAATAATCAACTCGACCAAAACGAAACCCTTGATAACTCTTCGATAACCGAAAGTTTCATAAAACGAGTCCATTTTACCCCTAATTTAAACTTCATTGATTCATCGATAGATTCGGTTGATTTTAAAAATGAACTCGGAACTTGTTTGGATCGTTTAAAGTCGGATGCAAACACTATTTTAGCATTATCATCAAACATAAATCAAAAACCTCACAAAAACGACGATTTTTTGTTAGAAAATAACCAATTGAAGGAGGCAAAAGAATATATTAAAACGTTAGAATCGGAACGAAATCATTTAGAGAACCAAATCGAACACTTTATGGTAAAACAAAAAACTTTAGAGAAAGATTTAGAGAATTCCAATCGAAAAATTACTGAATTAATTGAATGTGGACGTAATGAAATCGTTTCGGAAGGTTACGGAGAGAGTAGCTTGGACGGCAAACCGGGGAAAATCGGAAATTTAATCGAGTTACAAGAAAAAGCAAGAAATTTAGCCGCCGAATGGAAAAGTGGGGCGGATCACCCGCTTTTAGAGTTAATCGAGGAACTATGTAGGGAAGGGGAACGAATCGATGATGAATCGAAGAAAGAAAAAAGGGATTTAATACAACAGGTAGGTTAAAAATTAAAGAATTACCTCAGGTTGGTACCATTGTTTTTTTAAAAGTCATTTTCTTATTCATAAACATAACCTCATTTATAATTTTTAATCGAATTTATTTAATTCCTTAAAATTTTTGATAAAGTAAATTTATTAAAAGTGATTAATGAAATCTTCCGAATAGTCATTTAGTTGCATTGACACATTTTTAGTTTTAATTTTTACATTTTAAATTTAATTATGAGTTTAGGTTGGTGCCACTTCTTGTTTCAAACGTCATTTTTTAAAAAGTCATTTTCTTATTCATAAACATAACCTCATTAATAATTTTTAATCGTATTTATTTAATTTCATAAAATATCCGATAAGTACAAAATAAATCCAATAAAAGTTAATTAAATTCCTTTAATTTAATTCAATATATTTTAAATAAATATTGTATTAACTAAAGATGTCGCCAAAAAAAAGCTTAATTAAACCCTTAAATTTCATTTTAATCGCTTTTAAAGCACGAATTCTTCGCCTTCTAACTCATAATAACTTGTTTTCTCGTTCGTGTTGTTTTTGTTGTTGGAATAAACCCGAAATCGGTGTTGTTTTTAAAATTTGAGGTTATGTACGATTGAGTTTATAAAATTTTTGCTTTTGCAATGTGCTTTTTCGCTACGTTTAGATAGAAGCTGCCGAGAAAAAGTTGCGATCGACGAATCGTTTTTTGGAAGAACAAGCGATGGAGCGCGAACAAGAACGGAGCGATGCCCAAAAAGAAATTGAAAGTTTGAACGAAATCCTTAAAGAAAAAGAAAAAGAGAAGCAAAATCGTAATTTAATGGTTAAAGAGGTGTGTACAGGCTTTATTAATTTTCTGTTGAGGCGCTTTAAGCTTTTATTTAACATGGTAAATGGGATTAATTTTTGTGTAGTAACTTTTTGGATTTTTGCACTTATTTAGGATGGAATTTGGAAGCTTAACGAATGCTGCCACAACGCCATAAATTTTGTTAATAGCACCGTGAGTTTTATTTTTAAATTTATTAAAAAAAAAACATCCTCTTTCATCTTCTTAAACACCCCGTTTCTATTCTATAATTAAGTGACGTTCTATTTTGGAACCTTTTCCGTTCGCGCTTGGATCTGATGCACTTTTAGTCTTAAGTTAGAACTTAAAGAGAGCTTGTAGCTACATAAATACATTAAATTTAAATCAAAAAAATGTTTATCATGGTTTTAAAATCAATTTTTTTCGTTTCACGTCCAAATAGGTCGAACATCTCGAGCGTCAAATGCACGAAATGACCCGATTACAAGAATTGAGCCAGGCTAAACATCAAATAATTGAAACGGAACGTAAAGAAGCGATTGATAAAATTTCCGATTTGAGGGATATTATTAGGGATTTGGATAATCAAGTGAAAGAGAAAACGATTTCTGAAAACGAGTTAAAAGAGATCATTTCGAAATTGAATCCGGTTGTTAAACAACAATCGGAGACGATTGACGAGCTTTACGAGCAACTAGAAAATTATAAATTAGGCCCGGATGTGGAGTTTTTTAAGGGAAAAATCGTCGCTTTAGAAAAGGAAGCTCAACAATTGAGGTTAAACAGCGAATTGGCTGGAAGCGAAGGGGTTATTAAGGAAATCCAAGTAAGATTGTACGAATTAGAGAGTTCCATCGATAAAAAAACTCGGGATTTGGAAGGATTGCATTCGTCATCGACAGGGTGTTCAACTCCATCGGATGAGATGTCTTATAGGGACCAAGTAATTCTTTCGTGTTACGAAATTGCAAATTTATATTTTATTATTTCATTTTTAGGTTCGCCCAAACACCCCCGGAGCCGTTTTCGATGAGTGTGACGTTCCCCTTCAACAATTAGCCCGGTTAAAAGAAAAATTAATTAAACATTCCCGAGCCGAAGATGCGGCCGTCAAAAGAATTCGCGATTTAGAGATGCAATTGAGTAGTACTAAACAGGAATTGGAGGTAAATAAATTATTTTAAACAAATATAAAAATGTTATTCAAATGTGTGTTGTTCGGTTTTAGTGTATAATTACAGGAAACTAATAATCGTTTTTATGCGAGCAAGAGCTTTAATAATTTATAAAAATTACGTTTATGTTCTTTTTTATTTCTTAATAATTAATTATATTGTTGTTTTTGAACCGTTTTATAAAATATTGATTAGATATTGAATTTTTTTGATAATTATGAACGATTATGATTGTTTAAAAAACGAAAATTAAACTGTAGGGGTTTGACAGAAAATATAACCTTAACGGCGTTTTGACGCCGTTAAGGTTATATTTTTGAATTTTCTTCTTAATTTTACACTTTTTATTCATTTTTTTAGGATTCTCAAAATGAGAAGGATCTTCTTCAAGCCCAAGTAACTGAGCAAATAGTTTTATTGTCCTCGTTACAAATGCGTCTGGACGAGCAACGGTTAAAAGCCGAACAAAATCAGAAACAAGCAAACACATCTTTGGAATTAAAAATTTACGATTTAGAGAATGAGATACAAGAATTAAAGGATACGATGCATGCTAAAGATAAAAATTTAAAGCAATTAAATAAAGTAATTGATGAGACTAAGAAACGGTTAGAAGATCGGGAAAAAGAACTAAATAATCGGGAGGATGATGAGATTTTATTAAATTTTGAGAAGGAGATGATTAAATTGAAGGAGGAGAATAGGTTTTTAAAAACAAAGATTGAAAGCGATGCTCAAAACGCTCAAATTTTACCTGGATTAGTGGATAATATTATTGCAGATAAAAACTCGGATATAGAAAAGTTAAGGTTAAAATTAGATGATACTCAAAAGCAGTTAGAATCGTTTTTATCATTAAATTTAGATTACGATCAACTAAAACATATCAGTAGAATGAAAAGTTCCGAAAGGGGTTTCTCGGATTTTCTTAATTTAACTCCTATCGCAAGAAGAAACGAAAATATAATCGATAGCATCGAAAATTCAATGAATTTCAACCCGAGGAATCCAAACGAAACCAAAATCGATTTTAATTTAGTCCAAAACTCGACGGAAATCCAACACAAAAAGGTTCATTTCGATGACGAGGTAAAATTGGAAACAAAAATTCAAGAACTTACCGAAAATGTGTTAAAATTGGAAGAAAATTTAAAAGAATTAAAAGAAAACTTTGAAATCGAAAGGAAATCGCTTCAATTAGAACTAGCCGAAAAGAAAATGAAACTCGGTGAGGTTGAAAATGAATTAAAATCGTCTGTTGATGATCACAAAAGAAAAGACGAGATGTATTTTAATCTAGCAAAGGAAAAACGCGATTTTGAGATAAAAATTAACGAAATTAATCGCGTTTTTGAGGAGAAAAATGGGGTAATTAAACAACTTGAAGAAAAAATTAGAAAGATGAATGAAAATTTGATTGAAATCGATCAAATTAAAGCTGATTTACATCTAAAAGAGAACGAATTGATTCAGATAAATACAAATAACGAAAGTAAAAATAAAGAAATCGAGAAATTATTGAAAGAAATTAAATGTTTCGAAGGGAAAATGAACGAAAATGAAGTTGAAATGAGAAAATTAAATGATTTAATCGTTGATAAGAACTGTGAAATTGAAATCTTGAACGAAGATATTCTCCGGTATCAAAACGATCTTCAAGATTTAAAAGGTCAAGAAGAAATTTCCGAAAAAAATATCGAAATAATTAAATTAAAATCGATTCAAGACGATTTAAAAAAAGAAATTATTCATCTTCAAGAATATCTACAAGAAAAAGACAACATAATCGAGCAAATGCAAAAAGATACGGTTAGTTTACACACAAATTTAGAAACGATTCAATCAAAAATACAAGAAACGGGAAATATCGTTGATTTAAGAAAACGATTGCAAGAAGAGAAACATTTAAATGCAATATTAAAAGAGGAAATTGATTCATTGAAGAGTTCTGAAAAAGAAGAAAAATGTTCGTCAATTGAAGATATTCGAGGAGAAGTACAAAAACAATTAGAAGTTTCGGCTCATTTAGATTTAAATTTAATACAAGCTTTAAGTTCCGAGGACGAGAAAGATTTAAGAAAGAATGAAATAAATCGCTTAAAAATTGAGTTAGAAAAAAGTGAGGTTATGTTAGAGAGTGAACGTCAAAATGTTGTCAAATTAAATACGCTTTTAGAAAAAGAAAGGTTTTTATTAAACTCGATACAAATCGAAGATTCTAATTTAATCGAACAATTAAGAATTAAATTTGAGAGCGTTTTAGATCAAAAGGATGAATTGGAATCGATTTTGGACCAAGAAAAAAAGATTCGCTTCGAGTTAGAAAATGAGGTCAGAAAATTAAAATGTGATTTAAGTTCGAGCACGACTGAATATAAAAAATTACCGAGTTTAGAATCACAAGAAATTGTTAAGTTGAAAGAGGAAATTAATCTATGTAATGAGAAAAATGAAAATTTACAAAGTGAGGTTAGAAACTTAAAGAGATCTAAAGACGAATTAAACTCGAATTTGAAGTACACAAAAGAAATGTTGGGCTTAAAACTAAAAGAATTGGAAAATTTTGAGATAAAACTACAAAATTATAAGATAAAAGAAGAGAATTTAAAGGAAAAATTAAGTGAGGTTAAGTTTGAGCTGGATCGGAAATGTGAAGAAACACAAAATAATCGGATTTTATTGAATCAAATGGAGGAGGAGAGGATTAATTTAAAGAAGGATCAAATTATTTTAAATGAGCGTATTAGAGAATTGGAGGAAGATTCGAAAATTAATGATATTTTAAACGAAGAAAAAAATGTTAACTTAAATTCACCAGTTCCTGAAAAATTATTGAATAAAATGCGTGAATTAACAATCGAAATTAAACAACAAATGGAAGAAAATAAGATTTTAACAAACAATTTAACTAAAATCGCTTTGGAACGATCAAAACTTTTAGACAAAATTCGTCGATTAGAACAAATTAATACAAATTTGAATTATCAAAACCCTCAAAATCATAAATCGCATCAACTTTTCGCTAAATATCTTCGAGCAGAAAGTTATCGGAAAGCTTTAATTTATCAAAAGCATTTTTTAATTAAGTTATTAGCGTCTTATCAAAAAATTAATACCAACGTAAACGTTTTTCAACCTAAACACCCCATTAAAATAACCGAACCTATCAAAAAATTTAAAAGTTGTGTTATTGCGATTATTGCTATGAAAAGAATGAAGTTTATGGTTCGGAGATGGCATACAGGGGTTAGAAATTATTCGAGTGATGAGAGGTATCACGAAAATGGTACAAAAAATGATTATGAGATGAAATTTGAAGTTGGACAACCGGTTTCTAGTCAAAATTTTCGACGGGGTCAATCAAGGTCGCCCCAATTGATGGGTTCTTCTTGGTCGGGGAGTTCGCCACCACAAAAAGAAAGGCCTTTAAGCACACAGTAAGTTTGATTTTTTTTATAATAAAAATTAAGTTGTACATGATCAGAATTACGTCCCAATAAGAAATTAATTTCAAATTGACCATCAAGTTGTTGATTCAGCCAAGAGATGTCCTCATTTCATATACTTAAAGTTGGAGTGGGGATTTTTGTATTTATAGGTTATGTTCTAAAGTTATTTGCTGTAAGAAGCAAATAGGGAAATTTGTTGAAATGAAATGTTTTGGTTTTAATTTAAGAAAATTTATTTTTACATATATTTAATTTTTGTTTTAGAAGCGATTTTGCACCCCTTCAAACCCCGCTACTCCTTTCGGAATATGTGCAAAGATTCGATGAGATGCAAAAACGGCTTGGATTGACGTTTGAGAAAATAAATAACTAATTTTTGTTGTGTTAAAAGTAAGGTTAAGTTGACAAGTAGATATTTCTAGTCACTTTGTTTTAAAATTATCTTTGTATTTTTTGTATTTTGTGATAATTAAGAATAATTGTAGGTTAGATTTAAAAAGTGCCTTTAATGAAATAAAAATAATGATTTCTTTTTAAAATCGTTTTATATTAATCAAAAAGTTAAGTTTTAAGTACACGATAAAATTTATTGCTTTTAATGTTAACATGTTGAGTTGAGTCTTTATCGTAATCATCTTTTAAGCTTCTTGTTTCAAAATACTGACAAATTTCTTTTACGGGGGCGCTATTAAAACTCAAATCGTGTAAAGATTTAGCCCTCTTCGTTGCACCTCCTCCTTCGAGTTTTTGCGAAACATCCTCCGTACTTCTCACTTTTCTTCCTAGACGACACAACGTTTCAAACAGTAACAATTTCTCTTTAACAGGGACATAATTTTCGGAATTTTGACACTTTTTTAATAACACCTCCACGGAATTTTCATCGGAAGCTTTAGGTTCCGTTGAATTTCTTGACACAGCGTTACAAGATTTACTTCTTATCCTTAATTTTTCATGCGTAACGTTGTTATGGATTATACTTGATGATGATGTTGGAATCGGGGATAAATATCTTCGATGTCTTTTGTCGAAATCAGTTATTTTTGGTAAAACACTTTCTTTTTGTTGTGTTAATAAAGTTTTTGGCTCTTTTATTTGTACTTTCGATTTATTTAAACATTTTATTATCGTATCGTCGATACGATTATAATTAGCGTTTTCATCTTCCTTCGTACCCCAACATTTCTGAATCGTTAAGATATCAAAGTATTTGATGTCTTCTAAAGGAGTTTGTCGTATCAATTCTATTGCTATTGCTTTTACCCATGTATCAAACGAGGATTCCGTCGTTGTCTAAAAAAAATAATGTTAAATTGGTGAATATACAAGAAAATAATTTTCCTAACCTGCAAAGTGACAACAATGTTTTGTCCTCGGATTAGTGATAAGCTATTCGGTAACGATCCCGCTGATAAACTAAGTCTTCTTAAAGGGATTTTTAAACTTGTCGGTTTAATTTCTTGATTATGGTTATTACTTGTCCCAGAATCGCCGCAATTATTGCTGTTGCTGCAACCCACCAATAATTGACCTCCTCTAATACAGACTTTACGCGGACTCCAAGGTTGTTCTTTTCCATACTTGACCAACAATTCACCTACGATAAAACAATTAAAAAAGGTGTACAAAAGAAATTCTTTTATTCATGGGCGTATTATGTCGCAATAATGAGGAATTTATAAAAAATTCAAATACAATAAAGACAGATGTTCCTAGTCGTTTTAAAAGTCGTCGTTACGCAAACAACGAAGAAGAATATCGATTGTTGTTGTTAAAAGGTTAATAAAAAATAATTTAATAATTCAAAATGTCAAAATTTTGACGTTTATGTTGACAGTTTGATTTTTATTTTTGACAGTTAATTTTTACACTTAATTTTAAAGGTTAACCTTTATCATATTGCGCGTTAAAATTGAAAAAAAAATCCCAATACAATCATATCTATAAGTAACATTAAAAAAACCTTACAAAAACGTGTTTGTTTTTGATACGTCTCGCGTCGATGTGTTTATATTTATTTTACACAAAGTTCTTTGGCCTAAAACTCGTACATACATACATGAATGAGACGCATTCAACTTATCTTAGCTTAATAAAAAATATTTATCTATAGATAGAGATAAACACTTGGAGACGATTACTTCTTAAATTGGTTCTCTATTTCTTGTATGACGTTTAAAACAAAACCAAAAATGTTTAATAAAGTTGGATGTAACTTTCTCGTTCCGCCAGCTTTAGACTGAAAGTCGCCGACTGAAATTACGGGCCGTACACAAGTGGTATTAGGGGGTATAATTAGATGAAAGTATCGCGGAAAATTCAACAACGAACGGTAAAAACGCGCCTGGATGTATACAGTTTTAATAATGAAGTCGCGGAAAGAAATAAAAAGTAGTTATAAAGAACTAGTTACCGTGACCGATGAGGAAAATGTCCTTTTCGTTAATAAATCTCAATTGTACTTGTTTTTTTAAATGATTGTTATTATGGGAATAAAAAGATTGTTAAAAATAAAAAATTTATTGTTTATTCAAAGTAAGAAGGTTGTTTGAAAGCAGCTAACGTTTCCACCGGGTGTAATATGAATCGAGTTTAGTGATCGATATGATAATGAACTTCATGGTCGTTTTAAAGTGTGGGCAGGTATTTTGAAATGCGATCGGAAATTAAATAATCGTGGGTATTCAAAAATCGTTTAACAAGATTTAAGAAACGATTCGTTTAACAATTAAAAACGAGGGGCAAAAAATAAACCGGTTTTAACAAGGAAGGTTTAGGTGCATTATTTTTTTCATTTTATCTAAGAAAAGATAACGTTTCGTAATCCAAAGTATTTCCTGTACAGATAAAAAGTTGATGTTTTAAAGTCTTAAAATGAAGCAGAGTTTTAAAAGATAAAAGAGTAAAAAAAAATTTACCTTAATGAACAAATTATTTATAGGTTACCTGTCAACTTGACATAAAAGTCAAAATGACGTTATCGATGACAGTTGTTAATGTCAAAATAAAATAATTCATATTTAATAAGATTTTTTGCCCAAGAACGATTTCGTATCAAAACGTTGTAGAATCTTCCATAATTAACGATTTCGTGTTAATATATCAAATTAAGTACTTTTTTTAATCAAATTTGACGTTATAGATGATATAATTTTCCAAAACTGACCATTTCGTGTTAATATATTTGCGATTTGAGGCGAAATCAAATAAAATATACGTAATACAATTTCTTTTTACAGCTTAAAATATCTTTCCGCGCAAACATTAAGTAACACCAATTAAAAAGACTTTCGTAACGTTTCGTACAGGATGTCGTTTTAGAAATTGCAAACTTTTTACTATCTAAGTGATTTCCTCCTATTTAATTTGGTTTATTCGTTACAAATTTGTTATCAAAGGAATTGTCATATCTCCTATAATACTTTATATAAATAACTCATACATTAACCAATGATTTCTCATAAATGTATAAATAACCAGTTCTACATTTCGGCACTGATTATTCACAACAATTACCAAGAATTAATTATTTATAAACCCACAAAGTTATCAACATTATTTTAAAATTCAAAAAATATAAGTTTATTGCGAATTTAATCGATTTCATCGCAATTTCCTGCTGCAATTTCGTATAACAACATATTCAACAATAATTATTAAAAAAAAAACGACTTTACAGTTTCACTTTCGTTTTATGCAACAAGAACCGTATGTTTCTGTAACTTATTGCTCTATTAATTTTTTGCAATTATTTTAAAATCGTTTTATTCCAAAGAGGAGAAATTAAATCATAGTAGTATAATTTTATTCGAATAATCTTAAAGAGATTCATCCCCTTTAAACTTTTTAAGAATGGGGTTAGGAGAAGCAGGTTAGGGTGTGAAAATAAGGGGGTTTTAGAAGAATAAGGAACGGTGAAGGTTCCCATATTAATAAAAATAAAAAAATCGAAAAGAGAAAGAAGTTGAACCCTTAAACGGAGTCTTTAAATCTCAAACGGGGCTTTTTTCAAGCTAAGTCCATTATAACAACACAACCAACCCTGTTGTACAAAGGTTTTTAAAGGCAAAAAAATTAACCCTCTTTTGGTCACTTTTCAAGACGATTTTAAATCATCCCTTAGTCAACTATTTAAGATAATCCTTCTTATATTTTAAAATTTATATTTAAATTAAATATAACCTAAAATTTATTTGACGTGTATTAAATCGAAAATAAGAACGCACCCTTGGGGTACGTTCCGATGTTCCGATTTCAATTAATTAAACGTCAATAAAATGAACTTGTCAATGTGACGTTTGTTGTCTTTCAAATTTAACGTGTTAATTATTAGAGAAATTAAATTTAAACCAGCAAGTCAGCTTATAAATTAACACGGTAGCTAAAACGGAAATTCCTAGAAGCGGTTCATTTCCAAAGAAATTCATAACGGCACCGATTTTCCAATTAAACCGTTTTAAAGTCGAAACTATTTGGGAATACAACAAATAACGGTAATACCAAATGAAAAGGAAACCGATTGAGCAATTTTAAAAGATGCATGGAACAGAAAGAAAAGGAAAAAACACTTTAAACACGGTAGATGAATAGATTAAAGCGATTAAAGAACAAAGAAACATCTAAACATATCTTTAATAAAACGAGAATTGCATCCATTTCAAGGTAATCATTAATCCCATTTAGATGACTCAAAAAAGTGAGTATTTTGACAGTTACAAAAACATTTTTAAGAATCTAAATCTTCATTTACGCACAATTTAACACCACAACAAGAATATACCTGCCCTTTTTTGTCACTATCAACATCTGCTCTAACCATTTCTAAAAATAAAAATGAAATTGAAACCTTTATTTCAATTCAAAATCATTTTGTTACTAAAAACACGTGTTTTAATTTTTGTTCAAACGTCAATAAATGACAGTTATAAAATCTAACCTTCATACATTTTGACAACGTCAGATTAATTACAAGTGGGGATTTTTTGTTTGAAACTATTAAAGCAAATTGGTCTAAAACAAATAATTAAATACGAACTTTACACTCAATAATGATTTGTGTGGCTTTAAAACGGAGAAAATTGCATGCATAACTAATCAATAAGAAAACTAATCGATGTGAAACCAGTTAACGTCGTTTATTAAGCGTGTTTATTTGCAAAAGTGCGTCTTGTTTTAAATGGTACACAAATTCGAAAACGATCATTAATAAACATTAAAGTTTTCTATTACTTTCCCCTTTCTTGTTTGCTTAAACGGTTTAAAATAAATATTAATAATTTAAATAATCAAATTAGAGTATTTTGATTTTAGTCGAAACGTCAATAAGTGACAGATGTAAAAATCATAATTAAAATTAGGCAATCTTATAAACGTAATTAAAAAAATAAACATTAATTAATGATAATTAATTAAATAAAAATTAGCATTTTATCACTTTAGTCTATTATGTTTTATTTTTTGGTGAATTACGAATATAATTAAATTAATCGAATTGGAGGATTTTGATTTTAGTTCAAACGTCAATAAATGAATTGTCATAATTCTATTTCTAACCTTAATTTAAAATTTGACAATGTCAAAAATAAGAAAGAAAACAGGAAGTGTATTAAATTAAAGAAAAATAATAAATATAGATTGTGTTTCACACGCTGAATCACCGAAACTGAAACCACATCTGTGCAGCGAAAAAGAAACAAAAAAAAATGGTAATAATAATCTTTCGTTATTAAAATTTTAATTAAAAATTGTTTTACCACTTAATCTATTTCTGTTCTGGTGATCTTTATTCAACTTGAAATTGGTGTCTTCTGTTTTTCGAACTTCCGAAATAACCCTGGGACACGCTTCGTACGGATGAATAAAAGGACTGGCAACTAGCATTATTAAAAAAAATAATAATTCAAATCAAAACACGCGCACAAAGAACACCAAACCACAAAGAAAAATTAAAATCAAATTAAACTTTTTTTTAAATTAAAACATTGTCCAAATTTTGCGTCGTTAAACATAAATAACGATTTGTGAAATGAATTATTAAACGATGTGCATCGGCGCGCTGTTCGAACGAAACTAAAACGACATCGTTTTCTAAACGAGAGAGTCGGAGTCAGCTGGATCTTGGGTTAGAGATGCGGGTTTCTTTGTGGAACCGGGGTTTGTTGAGTGGAGGGTACGTTTCCGTTTTAAAGGCTGTGGGGTAAAAATTTGTTATTTTACACACCAATTTCTAATATTTAATCATTATTTGAGTATCAAAAATTCATTTGATAAGATTAAAACGAAAATAGAACAAGATTTAAGTGCATCTCAACATAAATCTTCAATTATCACCTGATTGAAAAACCCATTGTTATAAATTCATAAATTAGAGAGATAAAAATCAAAAAATCACGTTTAAACCATCTTAATTTACACTTTAAAATGAATAAAAAACCCATTATTTGCCACTAAAATGTTATTAAAGTTCTAATGTTTTATTGTTGTTGTCATTAAGCGTTTATGCCTTAAAGATTCGTTTTATTTCTATAAATTAATAAATCGTTTCTTTCTTTCCTTTAACAGTGTGGAAAATGTAGGTTACGTTGAGGCTCTACGACGACACCGATTCAAACGACTCTGTTAATAGAAAAGTGTCCCCAATAAACAGGAACTTAGTACAGGAAGTTAATCTTTGTATTTCCATTTATGTTCTAAATAAAAAAGCTTAATAAATAAATAAACGAATTTATTTACACTTGACGTTTGACATTCAAATTGACATCTTACGGCGACATCTCTATATTTTTTCTATAACTGACAAAAATTAATAATAGTAATCAAATAAAATAAATTTATTTTTTATTAATCGTATTAATAATTGTTATTAAAAATAAAATATTTCTCCTTATAATCATTAATAATATTGGAGTTTTATTTTAAATCGTTTTTTGGAAATTTAGAGAGCGCCGCCATCTTTGAGTCATAAAACGCATTACATAACACAGATTTCAATATTTTATAATCAATTTATTAAAAAGTTAATTTTTCTTAATAAAAACAAATTTATTTTATAATATATAATAAATAATATTTTATGGTGTATAATTAAAATTTTATCGTTTTCGGAAATTAATTCACGTTTTATTTATATTGATGAACTCGACTAATAGATGGCGAAACTTGTAAAAATTACAATAAAAAAAATTCAATTAAAATTGCAAATAACATTAAAAAAATGTATTAATTTAATTAATTAACTCAAATAAAATTATCTAAATATTATTTTAATATATTTATTCATCAAATCATTTTATAAATTTCATAAGCAACCCAATATACACTATAAGTAATAATAAGAATCAAAAATATAATAATTATTAAATTTTATCCAAATTCAACTTCATAAGTATCAGCAACACAAGTAAACAAGCTAGATCTATCATCATAAGCATAACTGTAAGCTTGGGGACAATTTGCTTTAAAATATTTTGCCGAATTGATGTTCTCCGGCCAATTATTTGGGTTGCATCGATCAGGTCCGAATTCTCCAGTACAACAATATTGCGGCTCATTTCTCAATAAACAAGCACTTTTACAACCAATGGTCTGACCATTGTAATTAAGACGTAACTCATTTGGACAATTTGAATTCAAATCGCTTTTACATTGTAATGTTGGACATTGCCCATTTCCATTAACTGGTCTAATCTGTATAATGAAGGTTGATGTAATTGTAAGAGATCTTTTAAGTGATAACTTACGAGAGCCTTTGAGTTGAAACCATCCACTAGGGAAATGTCATAAAAATCTTGCCCAGCATGAGCTCTTAAATTGATTTCAACTAAAGTAGCCGGTGGAGCACCTCCATTTCCGTTACATTCAATTATATTACCACAATCACCGGTTTCACAGTGATTGCCATTAACACACCATGTTCGTGCCCAAAATCGTCCGGCCCAATCATTAGGTGCATCTACAAATCTCTGAAAATAAAAAAGGATTTAATATATTTAAAATAAAATTAATTTAAATTATATTACTGATGCACCCTGATTTAAAGTAAATCCTCCACCCGCCAAATGAGCTTTCCCAGAATTTCCTTGAATTCCAACGTTAATCGGACCACCATGATAATTAATTATGTTAAATTGTACTCCTAAACTGTTGCCGATAAGGGCCAATACAAAAATGAGAAGTTTCATCGTGTAAAGTGAACTCTTCAATGTTATGAACTGGATTCGCTCTTCTTTTATACATGTCCGTTAATGTAAAAATGCTGTTATGATGGGTGGAAATACCCAAAGTTTTTATGTCTGCTTTGTGGAAAAATTGCATGAATATTTAAGAAGATAGATAAGAACACAAAGAAAAAGACAATAACAACACTTATATGTATTAATATTAATTCTTAAAGTTGCGTATTTTCTTAGTAATAATTGTTGTGGGTTTTACGTCAGGTAAATTAATTTTCTTTTCTCTTAGGAAAAATAAGATTATTTTTGATTGATGAAGCATTGAAGGTTAATTTTCTATCAAGGTTATCTTGTCTTATATTGTTTTTGGATCCAAAAGGAATTTTCCAATATTCCTTTTTTTATGCGAATATTTGTTTATTTAATATTTATGAACATAAAATATTGTTAATATCGAAACATTTCGTTGTGGTAAACAACATTTCGATATATTTCTTTGTTACGTAAATTCTTAAAGCGTTATGATTTATTTTTATCAGAAATATCTAGGTGAACTTTAGAAATAACTTAACTTCTTGCTTTCTTATCTTTTTACATTCTTTTTAAATACAGAAATTGCTGCACGAATAAGTATACAAAAACAAATTCGGTACATTTCATAAATATGAAATTGTCATTGGAATTTTGGCAGCGCCATCTAGTCAATCTATAGTACAAACTCATAACGTCATTCTTTGTTTTTATCAGATATCTAAAGTCCAATTAAATATTGGACTTTAGAAATTACCTTAACTTGCTCTAATCTTACTAGTTACATTCTGTTTAAAATTATTAAAAGAATTTAGTCAGCGCCATCTATTAAATTAATAACACAAACTCATAAAGGAAACTGTTGCTAAATTAGCTTCTTTATCATTGTCCAAAGCCTACTAAAAATATTATTTAGTATTTCTAGTAGGCTTTGCATTATCATAATGAAAATATAATAATTATTTTACATAGTACGTTAAATGCTAAATTTAAAGATTTTCGTGTATTTTAATAATTTTCGAAGATTAATTGAAGACGCTCAATTTATTTTGACAACTTTCATAATCACATTCAAAATATAAAAGTTAAATTAAAAATAATGTTGTTAAAGGAGAAACGAATGAAAATACTAATTACAATTAATTACAAAATATACTAATTAATTATGAATCAAGTAAATCTTGTAAGTTAGTAATAAATTAATTGTTGATTTTTATGGTAGTACCTAATAATTCGAAAATGACTAAGTACTTAAATGTAGACGTAATAGTGGCTTTAAGGTGACCCTGTACAGTCATCATCTTTTACTTGTTTTTGCGTCTAATGTAATTCCGTGTGAATGCAAACGAGTGAGTTAATTGTTACATTTTCGCATATTGTAAGTTCTCATCCAACTGTTAAAGGTTAAAAGGCTACGATGCTGTTATTACTTATTACGTAGATTATGTAAGTGCTCTTTTTTTATTTTATGTAAATGTAGTAATACTCTAAACTAGTCATAATTTTAAATATCGATAGAAATCATTGCAAAGTGATTCACCGATTTTGATTCATTCACTTTAATAATGTTTTGAAATCGATTAATATAATTCATATCTTTGTAATTACACAATCGTCTTTTTATAAACACAAACCTCACAACCTGTTCTCTATAAAATTTGTAACCATTTTTTATGGTACATGAATAACGGTGGGGGAACCAATTGTGATGGTTCAAACGGTGGTTAAGACGTAGAAGGAGAGTGTGGATTCACGTTAAAGTTTACCTTCAGTTTCAGTAGTCATACCGCGAAAGCAACAAGTTAAATTTTAAAGATAGCAAAGAAAGATCAACAAGTGCAAAAACATGGCTTTTAATAAAATCGCGTTGTTATTGTTTACCGTTATGTTAATTTCTCTTATTTATACAGGTATGTATTTGTATTTTGTTGTTATTGTTTAAAAATTTTATATAAAACGAAAAATTAGTTTAAAATTACGTTTTAATTCATGCAGTTTTTTAAATATTCTATGTGGGTTACGTGACAGGAAATGCACATACATGTTTATCGTTGTAATGTATTAATTTGCGAAAACTACCTATTTTTTAAATAATCATTAACAATTATTTTCGGTTACATCATCGCAAACAGCAAAATATCTTAAAATAACTTGTTATTACACCTTCTTGATTCCCCCCACTCCAAAAAAGAAAAACTTTCTGTTTTTATTATTATATTATAGGTAGGTCAAATTGGCGCACCTAGTTTCGAAGTAAATAAATATACGTTTCCGCTCTACTCTAGATTGGAAATAAAGACTTTTTTTATTTATAATTAAAAATCTAAAAATTTCATATAAATATAAATAATTATATATAATTATTATTATAATTTTTTTTAGTGGATGCTTTAAAATGTTACAAATGTACCTCTTTCGAAATGGAATTATGCGCTGATTACTTTAACCAAACAGACATACGGAGAAGAATGATTTATGGTCCTAATTTTGCGGATGCTCAAATGCCGAAAGAAATCGATTGTGGAACTGAAGTTTTTGCTTATCCATCGATTAATCAGCGAGCAGTTTGCGTGAAAAAAGTCGAAACAGGTTATAAAAGAGTCAATTAAACAATTTGGGTTGGTTTATAACACTTTTTTGTTTAGAATACGGAAGAAAACGATACTCAAGAGAATGTATGTTCATCAATAGAGATTTAACAACTTTGGAATGTCCCCAAGAATCGAGACCAAGCAGTCATAAAACCCTAGAATCGTGCGACGTTTGCGATACGGATTTGTGTAATTCATCCCCGAAATTGTTTTCACTTAAAAGTTTCTTTTTATTAACTTTCTTAACGATTTTATTGCGAATATAAGCATTTAATCAAATTAAAATCATTTATATTCTTAGATGTGTTGTTTTAACGTTTTTTTGTTACTTTGTGTAAATAAAACCTTTGTAATGTTTATTAACTTATAAAATATGAGAGAAAAAAAATTAATTAATAAAATAAATGTAGTACATAAATGGATGGTTTTTATTAAATTGTGGTGAGAAATTATCAACGTAATGATCTCATTACGTTCGAATAAGTTAAGATTGGAACACAAAAGAAGTATTCGGAGGGGGAAAAACCGAAAACGTTCATTCAATTCAGGTTTAATTGAGCTCGTAGACTTATTTAAGTTTAGGTAGACGCAATTATTACCAATTAAAAACGTTTTACTTATTAAGATCCACCGTAAGCTTGTAAGTTTCCGTTCTTATAAGGCAAAAACATCTCCGTTCTCATAAGATCTCGAACTTCGTATGTATTTCCAATGAAATCGTGATTGGAATTTGAGTTATTGGGACAACCATGTATTTCTGTGCTTGACGTCATTTAGGAAAATAATAAAAGTTCTATACCAATATTGATTGAATTACCGGTTACCCAATTGATTCTTTCAAATATTCGGGGCCTAAAACAGCTTGTTTTATGTTATAAAGCGCACCAGACCACCTCAAGATTAAATATAATTTATTGTTATATAGATAGGCAACTAAAAACGTTTGGTTAGAATGCGCAATTCGTTTTTTATACTGTCGTCTACAGCGCTGAAATCATTGGCAGGCGGGAAATATAAATTAAATTGGTTATTTGAAAGTTCTTTTGAAACTTTATTCTTTAATTTTTTTAATATTATTTATTTTAGCAACTCTTCCTCTGTACACAACATAGGTACACAACACAATCATGCAATCAAAAATATTACTATATGTACTATGTCAAACCTGGTCAAACCAGTCAAACTGACAACTCAAAAAATTGTCAAAATGGGTTCTGTAATCGAAAGCAACGCTATAAGTGACAGTATCCAGAATTAAACGTATGTTCCCCACTTCATTAATACGAGTGACTGGTGCATGAACCACCTACAATTTGAGAGATGAAAGTGAAATCTGATATAACCTCAAAATGAATTGTTCACGATCCTTGGGGTTGTCAATTTCATAGTACCAATTTACAAAAAAATAAAGGTACTCAATCTTAAAGTTTTGACGTTATATTGTAACTCACTTAACATAGCAATTATTAATTGACAATTAAATAACAAAAATTAATATAATGGTAGTGTATAATGTAATTAATTTAAATTAAAATTGTTTAAAAAGATTTTATTTAAACTTAGTGATATTTCATTAATTCTATTACCAACGGCACAAGCGCAAGGCAGCCATCACCTCATTTTCTGAGCTACTTCTTTTTTTCGGCATGTTTCGTCTCAAAAACCCAAAAATTTTCTACAATAGCCAAATATAAATGGCTTAAAAGATACAAAATAAATAACTTTGATTTATTCTGAATCGAATAGAACAAAACTCATTCTATTTTAGCGAATAGAAAAGTTTTGGTGACAATTTTGAAAATTAACCTGCTCTTGCAATGACAATTTGTAAATTAAAAAATAATTTAACTCATTTTATATTTCAAGGTTGGTAGTTACGACAGAATTCCCTGAGGAATTAGTTGCCGAAATAGGTTATGTTTTTAACTTTAATATTTATTTATTTAAATGTTAATATTTATAAAAATAAATAAATTCGAATCGTTTAGATGAAGCGCTAAAAATATTTCCCATATTATGGATGAAGTTATCTCATTATGTTTAAACAAGTTAAGAATCGCCCACAAAATGAATATTAGAAGGGAATAAAACCGAAAACGTTCATTCAATTTAGGTCTAATTGAGCACAAAGACATATTTAAGTTTATATAAACGCAATTATTATCAATTAAAAACGTCTTGACATTATTAAAATCTACTGTAAGGTCTTTCCGTTAATCAAATGAATAAATTTTATTTATTTTGTGAGTTGTTTTTATTAAAAAAACTTTATTTTATAAAACTTCTATATATATACGATTTATTATAAAAAGAAATGGACGGATACATGAGATTCCAGTAAAACATCATTAAATCTAGAAATTAATGTTTCTTTTTGCTTCTTTGATCAATTTTCCATATTGTGATATATACAACAAAGTTAATTTTAATAATATCGTTTTCTTTAAACATTCCGTAACAACAAAATCAACAAAAACATGGATACTCCAAACCCTAACCTAGATATTTTAAGCGAATCCGTTCCGTTGCATCCATCTTTACTGTTACAGGTACAATATTCCATAAAAATGTTGTAAGTTCCCGTTCTCATAAGGCAAAAACGTTCGTCACCTCGAATCCCGGGTTCTCCCAAATAAGCACAACTTCGTATGTATCTCCAAACGCCGTGAACTAAAAATTGGTAAAATCAAATAAACGAAAAGATGAGTCACTTTAATTGTGTACTTTTTTGTCGTATTTTTCTGCACATCCTCGACTCGATATCGGGTAGATGATCTAAGCTGGGCGTTTTACTGCAATCAGTAATTGCAAAAGTACGATTGTCGAAAGGATCCGAACATTTTGGGTCAGCATCGCTTCTACATTCCCAACATTTAATTCCGTAACCTATTAATAAATCGTTTAAGTGATTCAGAATTAATTAAATTATATAAAATTAAAGGGAACTTTGAAACTTTCTTAGAGTTTGGGCGATACCACACTAACCTTGTTTAATTAAAACTATTAAAAGAATTGAGATGAAAACGACAATTTTTGGATTAAAATCCATTTTAAACCTTTATAGAGATTTATTTTAATAATTTTTACGAGTTATTATTGAGAATTCAAACACTTTTTGCTGGTTTAAACACCGTAAACATACTTGCATTTTCGGACTAGGTGCGTCATAGCTTGTGCGCGGCGTGTAGAACTGGTGTTTAATAGAATGGGCGTGGATACTTTTGTCTATCAAATGAGTAGTTGGTTCAAATTTAAATAATTTTTACAATTTATTGTTTATTTAAAATAATAAAAAACATTTTTAATTTCTTATCTTCTTAATTAAATAGCAAGGAATCCACCATCCACCGGTAAACAAGATCCGGTAATCAAACTCGATTTATCGCTTAAAAGATATAAAACGGCATCGGTAACTTCACGTACTTCTCCAAATCTAAAAAATTTTAATATAAAGATTAAAATAGAAATAATAAAGAGATAAATACCGTTTTAAAGGAATTTTTTCTTTCATCGGATCAGCTATTTTAGGGTTGCTCCATCCAATTCTTCCCATCGCTGTCATTATCACCGTGGGGTTCACACAATTAACCCTTATGTTGTAAGCACCAAATTCCGCGGCAGCTACGCGTGTAAAAGCGTCCAGAGCACCTTTTGTAGCACAATAAACGCCGTGATCTTTTAATCCGGCCATGGAAGCTTGTGAGGAAATATTAACGATTGAACCGGAAATGTTTCTTGCAATCATATTTTTAGCAATAATTTGTGTTATATGTATGATTGATTTAATATTTAAATCGAAAGATCTTAAAAAGAAAAAATTTGTTATGTTAGGTTATGTTTAATAAATTGAATTAATACTTATCAATGTGTTCTTGGGTTATTTCAAGAATTGGGGCTAAAAGTGCAACGGCTGCGTTATTAATTAATAAGTCAATTGGTCCAATGTCTTTGAGAACATTTTCGGTTTCTTCCCAATTTGATAAATCAGCGGTTTTTATTTCAACGTTAGAAGTTTCCGATTTTAAGGATTCCAAAAGATCTTTCGATCGACTTATAGCGATTACATGGGCCCCACATGCCACTAATTGTTTTACAATATCTCTTCCAATACCTATATAATTGTAAAAATTAATAATATTAAAATATGATGGATTTTTTTACCTTGGCTAGCTCCTGTAACTAAAGCCCTTTTCCCTTTAAAAGATATTTCCATAATTATGTAATTAACGAATTAATTGAGTTTAAAAACGTTGGTTATCACAAAATGTTATGATTTTATTAGGTGTAAGGTTATCAAAATTAAGTAAAAATAATCAGTGAGATATGCAACTTTAATTACATAACTTCTTTTTATTCAACATTTCTCTTCATTCAAAATTAAATTTAGATAAATTCCAAGTAAATCCCAGAAAATCCTTTTACAAATTGAGGTCGGATTTAAATCTAAACGAAATAAATTGAGTGTTTCCCCTCGGGGAATATTAAATGTAAAAATAACTTTATTATTAAGCTTTTTTAACAATTAAACATCAATTTGATTAATAAGATCTTTCATAATTCGATTTTTAATTGATAATAATTAATAATACATAATTTCCACGAATAAAAGAAAAACAATTTCTTTTCTTTTTGCGAAAGAAAACGTTGCGTATATAAACCGGGGACAACACCGTCGTTCGTCTTCAGTGATGTTGCGACTCTTTTGCTGGCTTTTTCTTCTTAACTGGTTTCCTTCGACTGTGGTATGTCGCTGTTACGAAAATCACCTTGTCGAAGAAGTTTTCGATAGTTTAGAGAAAGTTTTAAATTATGTAGATGTGAATAAAGAGTTTATGAACGTCGACGCTGTCTTCGGTTTAGTTTTAGGAGAAGGTAAAGGCATTAAATTAAAACTAGATTTTAAAAAAAACTTTTTGTTAAAGCCCATGTGGTGTATTTAAATCGTTTTAACCAAATCCCCGAAGAATACAAAGAAAAAACTTTTAAAATTATGAAGAAATTTGAAAGAATCGTTGAAGAAACCAAAACATTTTTACTCATAAATAAAAGAAACTTAATTTGTGAGTATTTATATTTTGTGATTATAACATTTTAATGTTTCTTGTTTTAGTTTTAAACACCGTTTTAGAATTTGAGCCCTGGATTAAAAATGTAACCTATAAAAATTTATTGGCAAAGTTTTATTCTTCAACCCCAATTGATACTTATCAAAAGTATTTGAACTTGTTACTTGGGTCCTCTTTTAACGAAAAAATCTCCGACGATTGCATTTTGGAGTTGTTGCAACAAGAAAAAAGTTTCCGCTCTAAACATCTTTGTATCCTAAGTGAGGAATGTTACAAAATTTTTAGGTTAGGTTCCCAAACTAAATTCGATCCTGGCTATGGGATTACACACAGCTTATTATTTTTACAAATAGCAAGATCGCGAATGTGCGAATTAAACGGAATTAATGTCAAAAGGAACATTAAAAAGTTTTGTTCGTACATTTTATGGGAGATGCAAGAAAATGTTGGTTATGGTTTTTTGGGATCTCTCGATGATTTATTATTAGAACAGAGTAAGTTTTTTTCATTATTATTACTTAATTTATATATATTAATTGCACTTATTTGACAGTTACTTTGTGTGGTTATGAGGGATACAAAAATTTTATTACAAGCGAGATTATCGACTACGTTTTATCGATACAAAAACCATCCGGATGTTTTGGCGTCGATTCTGGAAATAAAATCACAAAGAAAACTACAAGATTAAAACGAGAAAGTAATTTATTACCCGATAATTGTATCGATCACACCACCGGACTTGGAGTGTCTACGCTAACCTCAATTTTACGCTATTTATTATATAAACTACTAAATAATGAATGTGATTATTACGATTAATTAAACAAAAGATTTATTCGCTATTAATTATCACTAAAATTAATAATAACATAACCTAAAATTATTTTTCAAGATCATCCTTTTCGTTCTTTTTATCTTTATAAGGATGTAAATAGGCGTCATTTTGTAATAAATCGTCGGAAGCAGACCAAAAGTGCCGTCCAAATTTTAAAATATTCATTAAAAGGCGTAGAGTCATAAAATATAAGGTTTCTATCAACGAAACGAATGAAAATCCGATAAAAAGGCCCAAAAGACCGCCGCAGTTTGCCATAAAATCGGTTATACCATATAATTCGTTCCTTTCTGATGTTATAACCTGCATTTCTTTATAAAATAACGTCATCCTGGCCATTCTTGTTCTAAAAAAAACGATGAGATTAATAATTACATTAATTTTAACATTACCCGGTAAAATCTTCTTCGTTTTCGTAAGCCTCCAACACTTTTACCCAATTAAAATCAGCTTGCGAGGTTTCCGCGTTATAAGTGACGGCTGTGCAAGCTTGTAAGCAATTACACCCCGATTCGGTGGAATTAACACTCGAAACTATGCTTGTCCGAGCATTTTTCATGCAAGCTGTACTGCCCGAGCCACAAATTTGGGTGTGCTCACTATCTGAAAGGAGAAAAATCCCTCAATTGGCTTTTTTTTAAATATATAAGGACCTACGAGGCATATGATAAGCGACACATCCACACATATTTAACGTGACGTTCGTTAAGCACTCAATGTAACAATTTTGTTGGCTGTATGTGTTGTAGTATCGCAATTTTCGCTCGTGCGAGAAATAGCAACCCCTTTTTTTGGGGTCATAACCCAAGAGACTCGACGATGTGGTCATCATATCCGGTTTTATTGCAACGACGACTTCTTGGTCTAACGGAAGCCGAAAAAATTGCATCCCCACTCTCGGTACTTCATCCGGGGGATGCAAAGCTACCTAAAATTTCAAAAAATCAATTTTATTATTACATCAATCTTAAATAAACTACTTTAAATCCTTGAACAGGGCCTCTACAAACGTAATCTAAATCGTTTTCGTTAGCTTTTAAAAGAATCGTTATCCCAGCTTTCGCACCGGCCGTGACGACTCTAAAAGGATATGTTTCTTCGTCGTCTTCGAGAGACGTATAACCGCTTTCTAAGGTCCAATCGGTTGGTTCGCGATTGTGATCAAGAAAATCTTTGTTATGGAACACTTCGTTGGTGTAAATCGCGTCTCTGTTTAACATATTGAACGTGTAACAAATCCCTTCCTCCGAGAGCATTTTATAAAATAAGGTGTCGCACGTTTCGTTTCGATCCTGCCAAGTGCACGACATGAAAATTTCTTTGTAAGGAGGTGCTATCTAAATGCCAAAAAAGAAAAGTGAGGTGAATGAAAATAATTCAAAATAAAACCTCTTCGAAGAAATCGATCACTCCGAAATCGGTGGTTTTAGATCCATCTAAATAAACGTGGGTGTCACATAATAACGAAGCGTCTTCGTACATCTTATTTCTAAAAGGAAATGATTTAAAATTAAATTTTATTTTTGACGTATGTCAAATTTAAGTAATCCCACTTTTACCAACTTGAGATAAATTTAATCAATTTAATTACTTACTCTTCTTCGGTTAAGTTATCATGCTTTCTGTTTCTGTGATAATAACTGGTAAAATTAAAAACGGTTTGTCGACTTTTAGTTTCTGAACAAATCGTGACCGCAGGAAATGCGATGGCCCCAACCGGAGTTGGGCTTTGCGCAAAACTAACGATAACCGGGGAATTCGTCCATTTATCGTGCGTTTTTAAGATCATCATCGTACAAATACTCAAACAAGCCGATATAACAACCGTCCAAAATATCCTTCAACATACAATTGCAATTATGTGAAAATTAAATTAATCTAAAACATTACTTTTCGGGAATCGTTCTATTTTGATCGCCCAAATATTGAAAACCATGTAAACTCGTCGAACTTGTGTATTCACTAAAATAATCTCGCAAATTTTTGACAAAACCGGGATATTTCTTTTTCGGTTTCAAATTTTCTTCGAAAATTTGATCGTTTTTTTCTACAGTCATTTTTGAAACAGTTATGTTACGAACTGCGTTTAATGGTAAAATGGAATCGAATTAGATAAAATTTTCCCTTTTTATACAAGGAGTTTTGGGCGGTGATGAGTTCCTGGGGGAAAACCTGAAAAAATAAAAACGTAATTAGACGCCGTTTAATTCACGTGTTCAAAGAATGTTTGAAGGATTGTTAATTAGCACGGACCAACCCATTTTCCCAAATGAAATGATATGGGAAAAGCTATTTTTTTATTAAATAATTTTTAAAATGAAAATTAAAACAATTTTGATTTTGGCCATCTAGCGTTAAAAGTGAGAATTTTGATTAAGTTGTCAATAAGAAAGTCAAATTGCTGTCATTGGTAAATGACATTTGTGAAAGAAAGTTGTTAACAATATGCCATAAAAATAAAATTCCTAGAGTTATGTTTCCATAAATTCATTATCTAAATATGCAAATAACGTAATTACATTAACTGAGTGTAAATTAATTACACTTCGTGACATGTATGAGTTAGATAACATTTTGTTTGATAAAAACTTGTGTTGAGTTATAATAAATTGTTTTATAGTAATATATCTAATGAAATAATCAAATTAAGGCAAAAATTAAATTTAACTTCTGTGATCCTTATACATAAAACAATCTAAGAAAACATAAAAATGGACAAAGAAAAATAAATTAATAAAACAAAATTGAGTGACATCTCTTACTCAATAGCAGAACTAATCAACCAAATAAAATTTTTTTTATCTTCGAATTTAAATTTAATAAATTTGCTAACACGATTAATTAAATAATAATTACTTAATCAAAGATCATTCATTTTACACTAAATAACATAATATATAAATTATATTAAACATAACATTTAAGCCGAAAATTCTTATTAACCTCAATTTTAGTTTGTATACACGTATTTGACACTTTTGGACTAGCGCCATCTATGAAGAAATATCGGGTAACACAAATAATTTATAATCAATAAATAAATATAGTGTAAAATGTTTTTCTACATTCCACATTTTCTCATTGCTAAAAAGCAAATGCTTATGAAGTTACAGGTTAAATATAGATTTTCCAATTTTCATCATCATTTTTATTAAAGCAAGAGTGGCGACGTCTAGTTTTTGACGTAAACAAAATATTTAAAACGCAAATGATTTAATTTCAGGAGTTTTATTAAAAGATTAAAGATTTTCTGATATGACAACATTTATTCTTTGTTAGCAAATGGTTAAGTACATTAAAATGTTATAAGAATATAAAAATTCGAGTATATCACTACATTATGTGATGTTATACATAACGGAAAAATCACAATTAATATAATACTGATTAAAAAACACACTTTAAAAGAGAATCTACACACTATTATTACACTTATTTTGATTATTTATCTTAATAATACCTGTTAATTAATATTGTGGGCAAGATTGTTTAAATGTCAAATTTGACATTTAATAATATACATAGTTAAAATAATCTTAATCAATAGTTGCTTTGCTAGCAAAAGAAGTTAAAGAAGCGATTTCACTTGCACATGGATCGGTGGCTAATCGGCTAAATTCAACTTCATCCCCATGTTCTCTACAAATAGGTTCGGTGGGCCATTGTTTGTGACTCGGAGCGTACAACATCAACATTGCACAAACATAAACATTCCACATTCCATAAACGCCAGTAAAAACAGCTGAAGAAACCTCGATATGTTCCATATCGTCGTCCCAATTATGTTGACCTTCATAAATTTGTCCATAAATAAATGTAACAATTGTTACAGCAGCACAAATAACAGTGGCAAGCATCAAAAAGTTGAAACGATAAATAATTCCTTCATAATGAAATCGGCGAGCGGAGGACATATTTGGAAGAGTGTCCCTTTTAATAGAAATGTTACGAAAAACTTTCCAAATCATGTAGCACAAGAAAATGAAATAAATACTTGCCGAAATTCCCGCTAAAATTATAAACGATAACGCTAGATTTGTGCCTAAGGGTGTTGTCCATATTGTATAAAAAGGATTTTTTAGTTGAATACCCCTCTCACAAAAATCAAAAATTAATAAAGATGCACAACCGATAATAATCGCTGAGAGATGCTTCCAATACTTTTTAATCGTATTTTTTTCCCCGCTATCTTGAATTAACATATGTTCACCAGCGAAAATTAACCAAAACGATAATAAGGTAGCATAAAAAATTCCCTGGCGGATGTCACTTAATAAAAGCATATACGGCATTTCAAAATATAAAGATAAATATTCAATGGGAGTATTAAAAATTAATAACGATCCAGCTAACGTAATTAACATATATTCCAATAAAGCTGGGGTTCTTGATAAAATATGAACTCTTCGCCAAAACCAAAACATCACAGCTAATAAACAAGGGAATAAAAACGTTTTTAATCCTAAGCAAATCATTGTAAACCCTCCATTCATATAAATAACGTGTAAGCGAACATCAGCAATTTTTGCTTGAATGTTGTTTTTCCCTGCACCACTTGGTAATCGCATATTTAATAAATAATAATCATGGTGTAAAGCCCCCAATTCAAATAAAGGTACGGTGGAACACATGTAATCAGGTAAAGCGTTACCTTGATCGTATCCCGCTATACAATCCATCGTTCTTTTTTCAATTGATACTGCGTAATCATTCCATTTAACATCACCTCGATTCTTATAGGCCAATTTAACATCCAACCCTAAATCAACGACCGGGTCCAAACTAAATGGTGGGACATGTACCAAATCAAACTCCAACACTCCAACCAAGTTTTGTTGCCAACGGGAAAAATCAAACTTTGGCATCCCAAGCGGTAATTGAAACACAAACACCAAGTTATCCGGTAACACGTTTTTTATGGGATCACGACTTGCCAAATCAATTTTTCTTCCACAATCGGTCGTAAACCATTTTTCACGATTCTTTCCGGCCTCTTCGTCCACACAAACAGTCGCGGTTATTCCTTGATGACCCGCTGGCGAAGGGGCGATGAATCCCCCAATCATGAAACACAACACTTGAAGGATTAGGAGAATCGCAACTAGAATACTCAATTTTCGACCGCTTAGATTTTCTAAAACGGTTCCGGCCATCTTAAAAGTTTAATAAGATGGATCTTTAAAAGAATAACATTAATGCGAATAACAAAGCGTGGTGTTGAGCGACAGTTAACAGATTTGGGCTTAAAGCGTGTTAAAACGACATCTATTGAGGAAAATTTTAAATGTAATATGTGTTTTGGGTTGCGTTTTTATTTATAACTAAAACAACTTAATAATTAAAATTCATTTTTATTAATTGTAACATTCTTAAATTTACTGAAATTATAACAATCAATTATAATTCACTCTTAACCTAAATAAATTTACAAAATTACATGGTAAAAATCCAATAAACATTGTTATTAAATCTTGCAATTATCTATAAATAATTAGATAAATAAATACGACCTTAAAAAACAGTCTGAATCGAGTATAAATACAAAAAAAAATTGTTTGGAACTTTTTAAGGTTATGTCTACGACTAATTTTAGGTTATGTTTACGATTACGTTTATGTACAATTCAAAAACAATTCAATTACATCTCATTACATACAACTTAAAAAGCACTATCGATTATCCGTACTATTTACTATAACCCAATCGTCCGGAACTTGATTTGGCTGTGATTGTTTAACACCTTCAAGGTACTTTTTCGTTTCTAACCAGGATTGTTTATCTTTTAAAAGGCGTTCTTTCGTCTCTCTTAATTGTTGCTCCTCCGTTTTTTGAGCAAGTAATTGTTGTCGTTTTGCCGATAATAAAGCCGTTTCAGTTTGTACCTAACAACAAAGATTTAAGTAAAAATGTAATTTGTAACAAAAAATAATTTACGTACCTTACATAATTCCTCTGCTAATTGTAAATGCCTTTCGTAAAGTGCAATAGACATAGGATCGTTATTGTCAGGTGTAGCCGGCCTTAAGTGTGGGTCTAAAAGCTGCATCACAATGTCCGGGTCTAAATTATCAACGTTTGAGACAGTTTGGGTTACGTTTGAACTCTGCATACCAGATTGAACTGAATTTGATGCACCTAAAAGTAATTTTAAGAAATACATTGAGAAAATCGGTTGTAAACAAGGAACTACTTCGTGAAGTGTTGGGTGGCCTAAGTGAGTCACCGAAAGAACGACGGAGGGTTTCATGGAACGATTACGTTTCTTAGAAATTGAGAATATCAATTTGAGTCATCTAATTAAAATTTGTATTCCTTTTAATTCATCAAATTGTTATAAATCAAAATAAGATTTTTTTAGGTTAGTATTTTGAAGTTGTAATTATTTGTCGATAGATGTCATTCATGATGTTTTTTTTAAATATAATAAATTTTATTTTTTTGTTCAATTAATTAATCTTAATTAAATAAAAAATAATTTAATGATTATGTAAAATAATAATTAATTATTATTTATATTTTTTTTATTTTAATGTAAAAGGTAATGTTAAAATTGTGATCTATTTTATCAACATTATTGACAATTAAATGTCGAATAAAAAATTATAAATTTAAAGTTATTTTTAGGTTATAAATAATGATTAATGAAGAAAAATCGATGTTTTACAACTATTTTTCAAGTGATAAATATAACTTTACGTCGACGTTTTGGAGGCAAACACAGGAAGATACCCGTTCTGAGTATTTCGCCTTATAACCTCCAGTTGCCCTACATTGAAAATAGACCGTTTTACTCTTAAGGAATGAATCATCAATGAAAATGTATAAATTTATTGATAATCTATAAATCTATTGAAAGTTTATTTTTTTTTAGTCATAAATTGGGTTTGAACGAAGAAATTGGAAGTGAAACCGAGGCTTCGATGAAAACACGGTTTAAAATTAAAGAAATTGTTAGTTACCTTTATTTGTTCTTACTTCGTTAAAAATTATCCAACTTCTATGGGACTCGTGAGTCGTAAAAACCGTGGGGCAATCACACATCTTATTATTTATGGTCAAACGATTTACACGACGCAAATTTTTGTTACAATAACCGAATCGACGTGTTAGTATCGTGAACATGAAGAAATTCAACGAAATTCATTCGTTGTGTGTAGTAGAAGCACATGCGCGCAGGAACACAAATTGTAACAGACAAAAATAGATGAATACATTGTGGTTTTACATTTTTTTAGCCGAAATTAACGCCTATGTGGGAAAAATCCTTTAAAATAAGCCCTTAATTCGAATTTAAAACCGAATTAATTATTAATTTGAGTTTTTAATTTATTTTTAAGGATTTTTTTTATATTATTTAAATACTAATAAGCATGATTTATTTTTTTTTGTTGAGAAAATTTCACAAAAATAAGGAAATTATTTATTAAAAAAAGTGCGCACCAACCCAATTTATTTAACCACCGCAAACAAACGCTTGGTGGTCCATTTCTAAAAATGCAAACGTGATTCACGTGCTCTATAAACAGAGTGCCGTAGTCGTCATGCGTCCCAGTCCAGGAGACGAATGTCTACCGTGGTCTACAATGAAATATGGCTAACGTTCCCATTAAGTTAATCCCACACGATTGCAACCAAAGAAAAATCTTTTTCTTCCTTTGCAGATTTAACCTTATTAAAAGTTTACTCAAAATTTGTCAAATTAATCAAATTTCTATTGAATTAGTCACAGTGCGAGTCGGATTCATGCCACAACAGGAGGCAATGCTCCACGCATTTTTGACGCTATAAATAAATAAGAAGGAGAAACGGAGCAATTTTAAACAAGATCCAGATCCTAATCACAAATTAAAACAACCAACTCACGTTTTAATCAATTTTTATCTTCTTTCTTCTCCCCCAAACATAAACAATTCAATTTCAACTTGTTTCAAATTGTTTATGACGATTTTTGAATCGATTGAACCGGTTCTAATTAGCGCCTATTGCAAATATAAATTTATTTATATTTTTTTTAATTAAAAGACCTGTAGCTTCGATTAGATCATGCGCTGTGGAAGATGGCACACGAATTACGGTCCCGTGACAATTTGTCACGACTTAGTCACACCGGGGATCGTTTTAGAAAAACTAAATTGAGACTAAATGTCGCCTCGACTCTATTGTACTCAATAAAAATAATCCTACTTATAATTTAATCGAGGAAAACCATTTTAATTTATAAAATAGACTAGAAATTATTGATTAAAACGTATTTCCGGCGCATCCACCAAATATTACTTTTAAAAATTAAAAAAAAAAATCAATTACGCAACCCAAATTGCAGGGACGTTAAGTTGGTGGCCTACTCATTTTAATTATTCAATTCTTTTTATTTAGTCGCATTTAAAAAAATTTGTTGAATAGAAACTCATTAATTGCGAATTCTATGACATTTTAAAAGTTTTTTATGGAAAAATTTAAAGAAATCTAATAATAATTATTAAACATAAATAAATTAATAAATCAGGTGGCGCCATCTCTCGACGCATTTTTGATTTATTCTTCTGTGAGAAGTGAGGTTAAATTTTCGATATTAACTTTAATTAAATTTTATAATTTGCAGACACCATTCAATATTTAACTAAGAATTAACACGGATTGAGAGAATCGTAATAATAACAATGAATTAGGAATAATTCTATATATATATATATATATCTTTAAGATTGGCTATGTCTCTTATTCCAATTAACTTACCATTTCTAAGCACATCAAACCCTGGCATCGTCTTCATAAGACATTCATCACCATCGCCCCAATCATTCTAAACAAATAAAATTAAGAAAAAATATTTTTAACGTCACTTTTTCTTACCTGGTCAACGTCAACTTTAAGCGGCTGAAACATGCTCTCATTTGGTTGAGGTAAAGATGGAGTTCTAATTTCCGAATTATTCCCGTTCATAAAAGGATCGATTTCTTCATAAATATGCTCATCATCTTCGTTTTCGTAATAATCTTCGTAATCCTCATCGTATAAATACTCATATTCGGAAACCACAGGTTCTAAATCTTTGGGGACATACTTCATAAGGGCTTCCATGATTTGAACAATTTGAGTCATTGTTGGTCGCTTCTCTGGTACGGGGCCCCAGCATTGCACGATGAGTTTTGCGATAATTTCGGGACAATTTTTGAGTGTTGGTGGGCGTTTCCCTTGGTATACTGACCACAAAACGGATAAAGTGTGGGCTTTTCTGTTAAATGGGATTCTTCTGGATAAAACTTCCCAAAAAATTATGCTCCAACTATAAACGTCACACTTTTCTATGTAATTTGAAGTGCTGAATACTTCCGGGGCCATCCAAGCTGCTGATCCTTTGTTATTCGTCATGTAAGTTCGCTTATCAGCAACGGTTCCAAAATCACAAATTTTTAAATGTAGACGATTCTTAAATAACAATAGATTTGGTGGTTTTAAATCACGGTGTATTAAAGGAGTTGGTTTCATTAAATGTAAATACTCGACACCTTTAGCACATTGATAAACCCAAGACATTGCGTGTCCTAAGTTGTAGTGACATTTCGAGCCATGTAGGAGTTTGTATAAAGATCCACCATCGGCGTACTCCAAAACAAGAATTTTCTTGTCGATACAAGCCCCATAAAGCTTAACAATATTTTCGTGGCTAGTTCTTGATAATTGGCGAATTTCAATGCTAAATCCATCCTCTTTGTCATCGAGTCCTTGAGATACCCGTTTCATAGCGACGTAAATACCCCTCCATTTACCTTTGAATACTTGCCCGAAACTTCCTTCACCGATAATCTAACGAAATCGAAGGGAAAAGTAGCAAATTTGAAACGCATCACATTAAAACTTACTGAAATCTCCTCAATGTCGTCATACTTGATTTTTTCACAAACCGTTCCGTTTTCGGGTGAAACGTCTGGTGGAGCCATCGAAAATCACTTTATCACATCACATAATTAAGAGATATTATTATTTTTATTTGAGAAAACGGTTGTGGTTAGGTTTTGACAGATTCGACAGCTGACAGAAAAATTTGTGTTAGCTAATTTTTATTTTAGATGGCGACACATATTATATTAATAATAAATACTTATTGATTTAATTAATAAATAAGGGATGTTAAGTAAGTAGAGTAAATAATAAATTAATTACTATAATTGATTTTAACAATAATAAAAATAATAAAATAAATTTTATGTGAAACTTTTAGCGCCATCTATTGGTTTTGCTTAAAACTTTTTTAAAGTAAGGAATATTATTATTAACAATAATAATTACTTATTGATTTATTTAATTGTTTTTGCGACTCATAGAGAATCGAAATAATTAAAAATTATTTTGTTACAATTTTGACAGCTGTCGAATGCGAGTGAAGTTGTCACCTTATGGCTGTTAGTAAAGATATTCAAAAATTAGGAAAATTGGGGAGTGGCGCACCGAAAGAAACTGGTAAATAATAAATTAATTATTAAAATTCATTTCAATAATTATAATAATAAAAAAGTAAATTTAATGCGAAACACATAGCGCCATCTAATGGATTTATTAATAACCGATGATAATTAATGTTATAATTTAAATTTTTTAATTTTTTTAAAGTAAAACAATATGAAGAGAAACTCTTAGTAGCAACTAATCACGGGCATGTTCCGGATATAGTACATTTATTAGAGTTGGGTGTTAACCCAAATTGTTGCGGTGGTGATGATAAAGTGATGCCTTTACACGTTGTAGCCGCTCGAGGTGATATGGTTATTTTTGATGTATTATACAAAACGAATAAACTCGATTTGAACGTTGTGTCGAGTCGGGGAACTCCAGCCCTAATTATTGGAATAACTAGTATGCACGATGTGTTTGTGAAAACGATGGCAGAAAAAGGGGCTAACGTTAACATAACGGATAGATTTTTAAGAACACCCCTACATCACTCCGTTTTTACTTTACAAATAAAGATGATAAAGATTTTATTAGATCATAATTGTAATCGAAATCCCGTTGACGTTTTTTATGGGACCCCTTTATCGATAGCGGCAATAGATGTGGCTTGCTTCAAGATGGTGAAAACTTTGGTTGAAGGCGGTGTTGCCGTTAATTTTTATCGAGGAACTCAACTTTTACCATTAATTTTAGAACTAACCTTACATTGTACCGATCAAAATCGATTAGATATTTGCGAATATTTGATGAAAAACGGCATCGAGATGAACTCGATTGATCCAAGAACCGGGAGAAACGCGTTACATTTCGTTGCGATAAGCAATAACGTGGCGATGGCTAAATTATTATTAAAGTACGGGACGATGGCCACAGCGAAAGATTTAAAATTTTTATATCCTTACGAAGTTGCCCTTCAGCATAAAAACGATCAGGTGGCCTGCATTTTAGAGGCAGCCCATACCGAACGTCACAATTCATTTGGTTTAGCACAGAAAGATCAAACTGCTTTAACTACATTGGTTCAATATTTTGAAGAACAAGACAAAAAAGAAGATATTTATAAAAAAGGAGGGTTCAAATAATTAAAAACGTTTTTTTAAATTATTTATTTTTGTATATGATGTTACATTTTTTATGTTTAAACATCACACTGACTGACTGATTCGATTTAAAATAATTAAACAATCAGAAAAATACATTCAATTTTTTTTCTTAATTTTACGATTATGGTGTTTATAGACATTAAAATTTTTTTTTGGCAAACATCGAGGATATTTATAATACGGCCCTGTGATAAACGGGTACGTTGGGTTCACGTTGATTATTTAAAAGTTGAGCCAAGGTGTAATAATCGTTAACGGAGGGTCCATTTAAATATCTTAACTCCTTAGTCGGGTCGTTCTTCCTTTTCGCGATTTTAAACCGCTTCGGCTTCGACTCGAAAACGTCGGGATATTTTCCGTAAATTTGAGTCGGCTTTTCGTAATAATATTTCGAGTTTTTGTTGCTGTGGGATACGTGGGGATAAACTGGCCCATCCAACCAAGTTTCCTCATCATCGGAGATCCCATTAAAATAATTCTGATTTAAATAATTGTTTAAATCGTTATCGAAAGAGGGATTTCTTTGTCTCTCTTTGTCCAGGAGGCTCAAAACCGTTAAAATCTCTTCGGGGTTTAACTCAGTGTCGCGTTTAACTCTCTCATATCTAAAAAAATAAATTAATTGATTTTTTAAATTTACATAATGAAATTCGAAGATTTTTTTTGCATAAATAAATATTAATCGAAAAATTAATGGGAAATGTCAATTAATGACGTTTTAATTGACGATTTTTAAACGTCAAATTTGACAGTAATGGAAATGAATAATAAATGTATTAGAAGTGTGTACTTAATGCGGTAATAAAATAAAAATTGTAACTAAACACTGAAAAATTAAAACAAAAAAACTATTTTGAAAGCTAAAATAAATTTTTTTTTGTCTTAAAAAATCGATGTTTGGAGGTCGTGTTTCGCGTGGGACGTAGCAACAAGTTTCCGCGTGGTTTTATCGATTTTCCACCTCCCCAAAACCCACCCCGTTGTTTCAATTAATTACGTTTTGTCCGATTTTGGTAACGAAATCAATTTTTAACTTACAATTTGATTAACAATCTTACTTGAGTTTATTTTTCGGTGCCTCCCTCCGTTTTCTCTTCTTCTGATCGTCAACGTAGTATCGATAAGGATTCATCGAGGTGGGTTCCCCATAAATCTCCGATTTTAAAATTGCGTTGCGGAGCGCCTCGTCCAATTTAACCTGATTTTCGGCGTGTTTATACGCTTTTTCGTAATCGGTGAGGGCTTTTTCGTCGGAGTAATCATTCGACCCGATGTAAGTTAGCCCCCCTAAGTTGGGGTAAACTTCGTTAGCCCCCCAATTTGGTACAAGTTGCTCATTTCTTGTCGTATCTAAACAATCCCCTTTTATTTAAAACAAAAAACAATATTGCTACAATTTTTATTTTTACCTCTTTTTATAGCTGTTGGTTTCTTGTAGAAAACGCCGGGTTGGGGTTGGGAATCATGGGCTCTTTTAACTATAACACAAAAAATAAAAATCAAATTTAATTAAATAAAAAAAAAATAACCTTTAAAATTCCTTATGTCATTATCTTTGACTTCTTCGACGATAGATGTCGGTAAAGAAACATTTAAAACAATGAGGCAACTTAAAATAATTGTAGTTTGCAAGAATTTAATCATTTTTATTCGGTGCCTGGGGATCAACTGAGTTCGTGGACGTCGGGGCGGCTTTAAAGCTCGCCTGGGTATCTTGACGACGACGCGGAATCCGTGGAAGAGGATAAAAGTAAGGCGTAGAAGGAGCTGGGTGATGTGGGCGTATTTATCTTTGTCGTCATTGCGCAAAAGAGGCGGAGGAGCCGGGAATAAAAAAATAATCTCATCAGAATAAAAACGACACCCTTTTTGCATCTTATTAACACTTTTATTTAACGATTGACGTATTTGAATTTCAATTTAAATTTACAAATTATTTAAACACCAACCAGTTTAGCTTTAGATCTAGCCCAAAGCTCCTCGAATTTATGATCATCATGATTTTTGGGATGATGTTTCTCCTTAAAAGTCATCGTTAACAATTCCAACCCAATTTTATCATTGTATTCTTCATTGGTGATGTATTTAAATAATTCCTCTTTCGTCATTGTACCAGCTATATGTTTCTTGTCAAAAAAATCAATGATATTTTTGCAATCCCTTTTTAAATACTCAAAAGCATTAATATGGGCGATATCAACGGCTTGACTCACATCGATGAAGTAGCATTTTTGATTATGCCATAAAATGTTGTACTCGGATAAATCGGCGTGGACTAAACGCGCCTTTGTATACATCTTTTTCATGGTTTTGATGATTTGTTCGTAAGCTGAGAAGTATTCGCGGGTGGATAAATTACTTTGATTTAATTTTTTCGCTGGTTTTCCTTTATTACCGATAAAACTCATCACTAACACGTTGTTTTTCAACATAATTGGCTCTGGACATGAAATATACTTTCCCAAGCGTACCAAATTATCGCGCTCCTTTTCCGCCCACAAACAAATTATATTAAATTTATTCATCTTTGAATTATAACGATCCTTATAACGATAATCACCCGCTATGTACTTTTCTTGTTGCCTAAAATCGTGCCCATCGATTTTGTATAATTTTAAAATACAATCGAAGTTTGGGCGCTCATTAATATAATAATACGCTTTATCGGGAGTTTTTTCCCCAAAATAAATCAATGATTCTTTTCCTTCACCGACTCGTCCATTAATTGCATTAAGACAAGGGTTAATTCCTTTGAATAAACTATGAATCGTATCATTCGTACTTTGATCAACTCCGATTAATCCAATTTTACGAATTTTATCTAATTTGCGATCCTTTGTATCGTCTTTATCTTTACGTCGCATATTTTCGCGATGTATCTCATGTTGGGAGTGAAGTTTTAACCTAAAAAAAAAAAAATTCTTCTTATAAGATAGGCAACCAATTTAACACAAACTAATTACCCATTTAAAACGCTATTTGATATCTCCATATGAGAAGCTGCTCCATCTCCTGTTTGGACATTTGGGGGTAAACTCATCAATCTCTTCATATTCCTTTGTCCGTTTAAGCTAACATCGTGTTTTGTCACAACCGTTCCATCTTTATTAAATAAATACCCGCACGGTGGTACGGAATTAAACGTTCTATCAACAGCTTCGAATCTGTCCCAATCAACGTTATCTCCGGGATCAAACTCATCATAATCTTCTTCTCCGTACCCATCTAAACAAAAAATTAATTACTTAATAAAAAAAAATAACAGTTATTTTAATGTTTACCATAATTTTCATATTTCTTATATTTTTCATAAGAAATATTCAACTTTGAGGTCCCATTTTGTAACCTCTCCAATCTTTTTAAACTCTCATTGTACTCCCTGTCGATTTGACCTTGTAATTCCCTAGCGATGGCCTCATCGTTTGATATAAAAGCTTTGCTTAAATGTTCAGAACCATCGGATGCGTTGATTTCTTTCTCAAGTTCCCTCGCAATACTCTCGTCCGTCACATCTTCGTTGTTGATTATTACGAAATCTTCTTCGTGATTACTCATTGTTTATTTATAATAAATTACTTTACACTTTACAATAACTGTAACAAACGTCAAAAACAACCTAATATAGGTTAGATAACGGAATTTAAGATTTGAGACCGCTTTGTAAAGAAAGCACTTATTTAATACGAGTGTAAAGGGGACGTACCTAATTTATATATGTAATGAATCAATGACGAATAAAATATTGTGCAATTTAATGAAACGTTGTGGAAAATGACGAAAAATGATTTGTATTTGTCAATAAAAAAATTGATTGATAGATGGCGCTATAAATAAAATTTTCTTTTTAATAATTTGAGACAATTATTATCAATTTTTTTATAATTAATCTATTTATTATTTCCATTTAATTCTTCTTATTTGATTAATTAAGTTATTAAATTACTCATTAATTAATAAAAGGAAGTATAGTTATATTGAATTTGAATTGCATTCATCATAATCATCCGTAAGATGGCGCTCATTTTCTTTTATGTAATTCATAAAATAAACGTATTACAAATTAATTATTATTTAATTTAATATAGTAGTTAATTAAAATTGAAAAAAAGGCAAATGAATGAAATAAAAATAAACATTTATTTTTTGACAAAATTAAAATTGACATATGATGATATGTCAAATATTTTAGGTTATGTTATACGTAATCATAACAATGTTTACAATTAACAATCATCGAATATTTAATTTAATTAATAATTAAAACATTGTGATTTTTTATTACTTATTAATCGAATTATGGAGAATATTTTCGAAGAAGTGGGTATACCAAAGAAGTACCTGAAATCCACCTCGAGAGAAGATAGGTTTATAGGTTTAGTCCACCGTAGTTGGTTAAAGTAATTTTTTTTTTATAATTTAATTAAAAATTAATCCAAATTTTTTCAAGGTCGTTAGTGAAACATTCCCGGTTAACGGATTTTACGGAAAAATCAAAATTTGATGCTTGGCCAAGTTCGGATGAAGATTTAGGACAATCATGGATGAAAATTTTTATTGGCGTCTATAAAAAACATGAAGTTAAAGTGATGCCTTTGCCGAGAGTACGAAATCATAATGTCAAAGATGAACCACCTTTGTTATTTGCACAGTTAATCCAATACGTTGCCCAAACAAACTACAAAAATTTATGGAAAGAATCGTATAAAAAATACAATTTATATAACGAAAACAACAGAGAATCGCAAATAACCTTAACGGATTATAACGATGTTTTAAGAGAAATTTTAATAAGAACTTATGGGTGTAAAATAATTAATATTTGCGTTCCAAATGAAATCAGTGAGAATTCAAAAACATTCCATGTGCATTCGAATGTTTTACCGGCCGTTTGTGGAGTTGAAACATTAAATGCAATCTTTTTATTGCACATTCCGTTTATCGAGCACAATTTAAACGATTGTGTTACTTTTAGCCCTGCAATTCTAGAAAAGTGCTACACAAAACCTTTATTTATAATATACCAATTATTAAATTGTTTAAAATCATTACACGATCGGAGTTTGACAATCGGTGATATTACTTTAAGCGATATTTATTTAAACGATGATTTATGGTTGATGATTTTTCCACAATTAAAATCGAACTTGTACGTACAAGATCCGCCTATAAAAGATTTTAAAAAATCGCAGAACTCTTCGTACGATTGCTCAAAACACGGCCATGTTTTCGAGAACTTTAAATGTATTTATTGCGGTATTAAAACTTACGATAAAGTACAAGTTAGTAATGAGAGTTTGGAGAAGTTGTGTCAGTTGTGGATTGAAGGGCAAATTTCTAATTTCACTTATTTAACGGCGTTGAATAATTTATCGGGCAGGAAATACGGTGATCCGAATTGCCACCATGTTTTTCCGTGGGTTTCGGATTTTTCATCGAGGTAATTAAATTAACTTATTAATGAAAATTTAATTTCCTGATTAATTTTAGGTGTGGAAAAAATTGGAGGGATTTGAAGAAATCGAAGTATCGCTTAAATAAAGGTGACCGTCAATTAGATTTAATGTATGAGTGCTCATCAAAGGAGACCCCCCATCACGTTTCTGATGTTCTTTCATCGATAACTTATTACGTTTACATGTCAAGGAGGACCCCAAAATCAGTTCTTTGTAAATACGTCCGAACAAATTGGGTCCCAGCCGAATACCCCAGTTCAATTCAACGCTTACAAGAGTGGACCCCCGATGAATGCATCCCAGAGTTTTTTAATGACCCCTCTGTTTTTCGAAGCATTCACGATGATCTCGATGACCTTGAAGTGCCACTTTGGTGCTCTGGCCCTGAGGATTTCGTCGAGAAGCATCGGGAAAATTTGGAAGGGGGACATGTTTCTGAAAGATTACATCATTGGATTGATCTTACGTTTGGATATAAGTTAGTTTGATCCAAAAGTGATTTGTTTGTGTTAATTAAAAACATATTTTTTAGGTTGTCAGGCCAGGCTGCAATAAAAGCCAAAAATGTTTGTTTACAATTAGTTGATGATCACTCAAATTTAACGAGTTCGGGAATAGTCCAACTCTTTACACAACCACATCCCCCAAAAACAATAAATAATTTATTTTGGGGAAAAATCCCGCCGAAAATTTACATCAAAAAATCACATAAATACAGTAAGATAACCTGAAATTTTTTTAAAACCACTTTATAACTTATTTATTTATTAAGAAAGCCGCGATCACAGCTTATCATCAATAACAGTGGAAACTGAGAAAAGTGAAGATGAATTAGAAGACGATCTTTGCGATTCAAACGTTTGTAATTGGTCTCCGTTGGGGTTCACAAAGATTTTATCCCGAAGCCGCTCCTCTCTAAACGAAGAACAAAAAGAGAATAAAATGTCGCGGAGTCCAAGTGGGCAAAGAAGCGCTAGTTTAGGTCCGAAAAATCCCACCTTTATGTCGCACGTTACCCCACAAAAAGCAAAACCCAATCAACTCGCAGTTCCATCATCAACGTTAAACACCGGAATAATTTATTTACCGAAAGAATACAACCCAGCACAATTATTAACCAACTTAGAAAACAAACACGGATTTTATTCAAAAACTTTCCATTCGGAGAAGAGTCGAAAAATAATTTTACCCGAAAACAAAATTGGGCAAGATTTTTTTGGTGATGACACGATTCAAAACGCTTTTACGAATCGGATTTTTACCGAAGCTTTCGAGGGGAAACGTAAAAATTCTAAGAAATCGTATTCATTCCCGATTTATGATCAACCTCAACGAAATAAAGGTAAATAATTCAAATTTAATTTTTATAGAACTGTCATTTAGTCATCATAACCTCAAATTTAATTTTTATAGAACTGTCATTTAGTCAACATAACCTCGAATTTAATTTTTATAGAACTGTCATTTAGTTAACATAACCTCAAATTTAATTTTTATAGAACTGTCACAGTTAAACATAACCACACTTATTAAAATCTTTTTTTAGGCGATTTAATCGAAAATTTCAAAGTAATGTGTAATTATTTGGAAATAATTTCGTCAAGAAGGACCAAAGAATTACAAATTTTGGGTTGTTTAATCATCGAGATCTTCATGAACAAACAAATACGAACATTAAAAAGTACGGATTTAAATCGTCGAGTTACTAATCGTGGATTAAACGAGCGTTTAAAAACTTGCATATCGATTTTAAGGAGTTCGAATGACATCCCGTTTTGTATCCGTTACATCGCCAATTTGTTATTGCAGCCTGATCAAGTGAATTTGAAAGAATTTAAATATCCGGTTGTTACCGATGTTGGGTTACCCCCACCAAGTGCTCATTTACTTTTAGAGCCGCTAAATTCTTCCATTCCATTTACACCGAAATACTTAATTTTATATGGTTTATTAAAAAATATTAAAAATTTCGAAAATGTTTCCCAGGAATTATCAGTTTTGTATCATTTCGATTGCGATGGGTTTTTATGCACGGAATATGAGACGATTGAAAGAACTAAAGTGCTTTTTGAACAAAATATCGGCGAATGCAAAGTAAAAGCGTGCGCTAAAAATATGGAGTTTTTATTAAATAATTTAAACACTTCAACAGAAATTGATTTGATTTATATCTTAGTACCTTACATAAAAACGATGATTGAGTATCCTCCAACTTCCGTTTTGGCGGCTTGGTACTTATTCGATCCGATTTCGCAAGTGTTAGGGCCCCAAAAATCGTCGGAAATATTTTTGGAATCAATGCTAAAGTTGTATGAAAATGAACCAAGCGAAAACACAATTCCTTATAACAGCAAAATCGCTAAATTATATCACCACACTTTTTTGATGCGATTAATCATCCGATTTGGCTTAAAAAGGTTCTTAGATAATTTTGTGACGTCATTGGTTGAAGCTGTTGGAAGATATCGAGATTACGATAAAGTTGATTTTATTTTGCACACACACGAGAAGATAATAAGGAAAACGTCTCATCTAAAAACGATTGATGCCGAGGAGTTGTCCCCAGGAGATGAGTCGAGTGAATCGGAAAAAAATATTTCTATTAAAAAAGAAGTTGAAGTTGTAGTAACGGAACCGGAGGTTTTTGAGTTCGAACAAGAAGGGGAGGAGCCTTTAAAATCGCTTATAGAACATTTAGAATTAAACGTAGCCGAGGAAGTTTATGAAGAAAATTTCGATGATTTAAATAATGCTCAAAAGTTAGCGTCCCCAACGATTCCTATTCCGTCATCATCTCAATTAGGAAACATTTCCTGCGAAATTGGTAGCAAAAAGAGCTTTGAATTCGACGAATCAACTTCGTATTCGGAACCCAGCACGAGCTATGATTCAAATTATTTATTGAAACGTCAAACAACACGGAATGATTTAAAAATATCGGATGCAAGCGCCGATAGCTTAATGTGGTTATCTCATCGTTTGGGGCCCGTTCTTTCCGCGCGATATTTATCGAGGAATTTATTAAAAATGCTCACACTGTGTTATGTTGGAAAAGACAATTTAATGCCGCTAGAAAAGAACGAAAATGGATCATTATTTAATGAAAATTTCGATTTAAACGTGGGAAATTCAAATGTTATCGGAGACCGAAACGCTTCCAAAGTTTTAGATTGTCTGGGAAGAATCGCCGCTTTGTATGGGGAACAATTCATTTTATTGCAATATTTTCCACATATGAGCGAATTAATTGCTTTGTGTAAACGGAAATTAACGCTCAATTTAGAAGGGGGACTTATTTCGTGTTTGTCGTTGTTGAAACACGTTATTCCTTATTTGGCCGATTCAACTTTAATGGAACATTTAGATGTAAGTAAATTATTTATAATTGTTTTGCCGTTTAATAAACGTCAAAATAACGCCATCTATTAGGTATTAAACAAATTACCAAAAGTTAGGTTGTTTAAAAATTTTGAAAAAATTTGTAAATAATAAAAAAGCTAATTAATTAATGTTTGTTAGGATGACATCTTAAAAAGTATTCTCCATCCATGCGTACGTCTCTTAGGATCAACTAAATACGCTTTTCCTAATGGCTCGATTTCACGGAATGTTCTCGCAAGGAAATTTATCGATACTTTGTATATATTATCGTTGAGAATGGGGGCCGATAATACGCGAACTAAACTCGCTGTACCTTCGCTGCAAAGATTTTTCATGATTTTTGAAAAAATTAAAGAGGATGGATATTTTAATACGATAAGAATACGAAATAAGGTAATTAATTATCGATTCGTACCAAAAATATTATTGATTTTCTTTTTAGAATTTTGCTAAAGACAATTTAATTGATACTCTTGAAGAAACTTACATTGAACTTCGAAGGGATGGCTCATTCACCGAGTGGACCGTTAAGCCAGGGGAAATTGTGCAAAAAATTCGAGAAACTGATTCCCCCGATAGTATTTCACCACCTACAGAAACGAATAAATCACAAAATGAAACTACTATTGATCAAGTAAATTAAAAAAAAATCATAACCTAAAAAGAAAAATAACCTAAAAAATTTTTTTAGGCAATGGATGAATTAAAAAGTGTTTTTACGTCCGAGTTAGCACACACTGCCTATATACCATTTTTAAAACAAATCGGTCTCGAATCATTAGAAATCTCATTAAAAAACCACTCAACCGTCCATGCTTTATGTCAAAAATATGTTGAAGATGAAAAAATAACCACCCCAGAAACTAATAATCCCACGATAAAAATCGAAAATCAAGGGCCTACACCAATAAAAGCAAATCAATCGCGAACGAATGTAGCGTTAATTGGAAATCGAATCGATTTACAAACAACATCAGAAGATATCTCCTCATTCCGAAACCCGGATATAATCCAAAATACAAGTCGACATTTACGAGGGAATTGGTTGGCTTATTGGGAACATGAAATTGGACGACACGATAAAGATACAATGTTTAATTTTAAACAAATAAAGCTTCAAAATTTCACGGGGCACACTCATTCGGTAAAATCATTATGCGTTTTAGATAACGAAAACAGCTTTTTAAGTGGTAGTAAGGATAAAGCGGTGAAATTGTGGTCTTTGAGGAGTCAAGGTGATGGCTCTAACATCTGTAACTGCCAATGGACGTACACTTCGCATCGCAAATCAATTTTAGCAATCACTTTCGTCGAGGCTAATCGCTTGATTGCTTCATGTGATGGAACGGTGCATATTTGGGATCCCTTTGTAGGCCAATTAATTGAAGTGTTAGAAAATCCAAGAAGTCCACCTGTTAATACAATTAAAGCCATGCCAGTACCTAGCACGCAAATTTATGCGGCCACAACTGAAGGGATGCTTCGAATTATTGATGTAAGAACTTGTTCGTATACTCACGATTTAAAAGTAAGTTAAAATGCTTGATGATTTAAGTAAAAATTAACGTAAATTAATTTTTAGGTAAATGTAAATCAAGGTAATTTAATAAGATGTATAGCAGTTTCGAAATCGGGATTATGGTTCGCCGCCGGACAATCTTCCGGCCACATAACCGTATTGGATTCAAGAACGGGTCAAATTTTAGCAACGTGGAGAGCCCATGAAAGTGAAGTGCTCCAATTGGTGACGCCGGATGATGAAACGTTAATTTCAAGTAGTTTGGATCAAAACGTTTCCATTTGGAATGTAGCTGATGGGAAATTTAAGTTCTCTATGAAGTAAAAAAATAATAATTAAGTCCAAAACGATTATTGTAATACAGATTATTTTCATTGTGTAGGGGAACCACCGAACCAGTTCACTGCCTTAATCTTTACAATTCCGAGTTGATTTCCGGAACAACTGCGAACCGAATTGGAGTGTATACATCAATCGATGTTGATGCGTCTTTTTCAAGCACCAAATTAAGATCGGATGCTTTTAAAGGGATTTTAACGTCCATGGCGGTTTTACCGTTGAATCGTTTATTACTTCTTGGTGCTGATAATGGAAATATTACTTTAGTTTGTTAATTAATTTTCTTTTTTAATAATAGCCCTAGTCAATTTTCAAATTTAGGATTAGGAGTGAATAAGTATTATTAGATCCCAAAAAAAAATTGAAATAATAAATGAGATTAAATATAAAATGATATTGTTAGGTGTTATGTATATTTGTAGGAAAATCTTTATTATAATATATAAAATTACCCAAGTTCGATTTATTGATTTAAAAAGAATTCTCTATTAAAAGATACATTTAGGAGTAATATCGATTGATGATTCAACGTTGTTGATAATCCTACAAACATATCAAAACGTCTCATCGCAATTAAATTAATTTATATCTTACCTTGGTAAATAAAGCGTTTCATAACCTCCAATAAAAGAAATCTTAACAAATTTAAATTTTTTCAAAAAATTCGATGGTCTCAAATTAAACAGACAAAATGTAAGTACATTGATAATAAATGTCCCTAAAATAAAGAGGGATTGAAATAATTACCTTAAATTTATTAAAACCGTTTTTACCATAACAATTTACTTTTTGATTTTGAGGTTATGTTATTAAAAAAAAAATTTGTAAACGAAGTGAAGTTAGTCACAAAGTTTTATATATTAATATAAAAAAAAATTCGTTTAAAAAGCTTATTTTGTTTGATAAATCAAGAAATAATTAATTAATAAAAATTTAGTGATAAAATCAAAATAAATTTTAGTCATAACTAAGTAAGATTAGTTGCCTATATCTTCATAAATAAAGATTTTATTAAAAATTATTATTTTTAATCAAGTTTATTTAATTAATTACCTAAATTAATCGGATTAAAATAAATTCAAGAATTCCTTTTGTAATAATAAAACTTGTTTTTATCTAATTGCGTCTATAAATAAAAATTCAACAACAACAACGTGTTGGACGCCGTTCACTTTCGTTTATTACGATTCATTAATTTTTTTGTACCGTTTTTAAGTGCATTTACGCACTTGAACTGTTGCATCGATCGGGTAAACAACTCGTAAAGTTATGTCATAAATCACAATTGTTCCGGATAAAATGCGCAGTACGCCCAAAAACTTAAATAATAACATTTTATATTTGATCCAATAAGTACGTTTACACTTATAAATTGCGCAATGAATATAAAAATAATATTTTGTGTAACCGTGGGCGTGGTTCAAGATCATTTCTTTTTGTTTTTTTATCGACGAATCTGTAGGAGTCGATTTATTGCTTCGAAACAGGCGATGATTTAGTTTGTTTTGAAACGCTCAAGGTTGAATGTTTTGGGACACCTTTTATCAATAATCTACAAAGATTACACTATTTAGTCCAAACGAAAACATAAACTACTCTACTATATCATATTTCCTCAATGTGTTTATGGTTTTAGAAAAATTATCTCTAAAATTCTTATTGGGTAGGGAAGGGGACTATTTGCGTCTCAAATATACTTAAATACTGATGGCCTCTCTTATCTACTTTTAGTATTTGCCTACAACTCGCCACGTTAACAAAACGTTTTTTATGTGAGATTATCTCAATCACTTAGAAAAAAAACGTGGCTTCTTTATTAAATGTGTTAATTGATTAGTCTAAATTTGTTAATTAATTAGTTAAAATCATGTCTGCTTCACCAATGGCTAGACAAGTAACTGAAAGCAAATCAATTCCGATTAGAAGAACTATAAATGATCATTCTGAACTGCCCTCTGATTATAGTACAACTCCCGGTGGTACTTTGTATTCTACAACTCCAGGAGGTGAGATGATAAAATATTCTTAATAAAGTCTTCCAAATATTAATTTCACATAACCTCAATTTTCGTTTTTAAAAATAAACTCCTTTAAAATTATTCCATATTTACATACCTTTATGTGTATTATCTTATCTAATTTTTAAACTCAATTGATTTCCTCATTTGAAATAGAAATTAATTTCCTAATTTAACTAGAAATGAGTAATGAAATCGATAGATATCACCTGATTCGATATTATATTATTATTAAAATTAGTCATTTCGATATTTGTTTTAAACATTTTTCATTTTCTGGGTAAAATTCAACTTCCTCGATGTCGTTTTAATAAATTCTCGATTAATTTCAAGTTATTTTTGGGATTGCAAAACATGCGAATCTTTTTTTGGCACCGTCTCAAATTCTTTGCTAAAACACTCCTTTAAATTTAACAATCACGTTTTAAAAGAAAACTGGATAAATAAGTAATAATAACTTTGTTAGGTTATGTTTTTGATGTAATTGACAATTTAAATTTAAGTTCTTTATCGCCAACCTAATTTTTTTTTATGATTTAAATATTAAATTTAATTATAAATAATTTTTTTCTCTAATTTCTTTTTACATTAAATAATTTCATTCATAGTTAATTTTTAATATAACTAAATAAAATTATTTATAAAAATAAATTTTTTTCATACCAACTTAATTTTTTCTTTTATATAAATAAAAGTATTTTTAGGTTAGAAAATAATTATTACTTTAAAAGTATTTTTTAACGTTTTCAAAAGTAATACGTAAATAGTAATGAACACGTGTAAAGATAAAGGCGCCCGTCCAGTCCATTGGCTTCGTTTAGAATTTGGCCTTGAGTCGAAAGCGATTACCATTTTATTATTCTTTTTGTGGTCCTTTCTGACCACGTGTTCTTCTCAAGAACAATAACATTAATTTCGCTTTATTAATATTTATAAGGAATCTCAAAGTTGCGAGATAAAAGTATTAAAAAAGAACGAAAAAGGTAAAGTGAGGTTATGTTACTTTTAATTTTAGGTATTATTCAAGTAAATAATCACCAAGGTGAACTACAACATTGTGGTTGTTTAAAAAAATTGTTTAAATCCCATAAATTTTTGTTCTTATCATTACAATTATATTTACAAGGTTATTTTGCATAAACACTTATTTATAATTTTTTCGAATTGTATGGGTATAACAACAAAAAATTTCTATGTAAACAACTTCCGCATTACTTGGTAATAATTTAAATTAGTCTTAATTATTCGTGTTATTTTCTTTTGTCTAATCGTTATCTGACAAATCTTTGTAAACAAATTATTCTTGTCTGATGGAGATAACTAAATTGAATAAAACTGATTAGATACTCTCGTAATGATGATTTCTTTTTAGGTACAAAAATCGTTTATGAAAAATCATTCCTAATGCATCTGAAAGGTTCTCCGATATCAAAGACTCCACCGAAATTCGATATACCGGAAGCTTTACAAAAAGGCACTAAATACTCACCGCCTAAGCGTGTTCCAAAAATGAATCATCACGTCAAGCGATCCGCCAAAGAAAAAACCACTTTCGAAGACCAAGATCAGTTCGCTTTGGAGCTTTAATTAGAATTAATAGAAGTAATTAAAGCTGATATATTATCAGCCCCTTTTTTGTTTTCTTTGTAACCGTTTTCGCATTTTCCGTTTTATAATTTTTTTTGTAAATATTTTTATGTATAAATAAATATTACAGATCAAAAATGATTTTGATTATGCAACAGATTGTATCGAGAAGTAATTTAGGTTGCCTACCTCGCATCATTGCATTAATTTAAACAAAATTAAAATTATTAAAATCGCAATACCTTAATTTTTTTTAAAGAAACAAACACTATATGTTGTTTATTTGTCATAAATATTTTAATATTTTTTTTTGTCAAAATTGCGATGGAATGTTTCCCATTTTAAATTAAAGAGAATAATAGAATTTTAGAGAATGGTCAAAGTGGGCATCAACGGTTTCGGCCGTATTGGGCGTATGGTTTTAAGAACATGCATTCTAAAGAATGGCAACGTAATTATACAATTAATTTGATTTACAACCTTATTCCCTTATTAATTTCAGAAACAAGGGGGAAATCTGGCCCAAGTCGCCGCCATAAACGACCCTTTCATCAAACCACCTCAAATGGCGTATTTATTTAAGTACGATTCAACTCACGGTCACTTCCAAGGGGATGTTTCGCACGAGGGTGAATGTCTGATTGTTAATGGTAAATAAAATAATTAAAACGACTCCAACATGGTTGTAGTCGTTTTTGAAACATTTTTTTAATCATAAAAACTTTTTAAAGGATGCAAAATAGCAACAACCCATGAGAGAGATGTAAAGAAGATCGATTGGAAAAAAAGCAGCATCGATTACGTTGTGGAATCAACGGGAGTGTTCACAACATGCGAAAAAGCTTCCGTAAGACCCCAATTTTTAATAAATAAAATCAACTAACCTTAAATCCCCTTCAATATAGATGCATTTCCAAGGTGGTGCGAAAAGAGTAATCATTTCTGCTCCATCGAAAGACGCTCCCATGTTTGTGGTTGGGGTTAATCACGAATGTTGGGATCCGGAAATGCAAGTCATTTCATGCGCCAGCTGTACAACTAATTGTTTGGCTCCCCTTTGCAAAGTTATCCATGAAAACTTCGAAATTATCGAGGGTTTGATGACAACGATTCACTCGATTACTTTGTCTCAAAAAACGTTGGATTCTCCGGGAAGAGATTGGAGAGGAGGTCGTGGTTCCATGCAAAACATTGTGCCATCTTCGACGGGTGCTGCAAAAGCTATATCGAAAGTTATCCCTGAGTTGAATGGGAAATTAACCGGAATGGCTTTTCGTGTACCAACTCCGGATGTTTCCGTTGTTGATTTAACCGTGAGGTTGAAGAAAGAAGCCCCTTATGATCAAATTAAATGCAAAGTAAAGGAAGCATCCGAAACTTACTTGAAAGGCATTTTGGGTTACACCGAAGAGGAGTGTGTTTCCCAAGATTTTTGTGGTGACCAACGATCAAGTATTTTTGATGCCAAAGCTGGTATTCCTTTAAACAAGTGCTTCGTTAAGCTGATTTCTTGGTACGATAACGAATTTATGTACGCTTGCCGAGTAGTTGATATGCTCAATTACATTGCTTCTAAGGATTGTTAAAACGGAAGATCTCTGTGTGTAGACCATTACTTTGTTTATGGATGTCCTCTTTGATACATTTTATAAACACTATACATTAGAAAAATTATAGAAAATATTAAAACAATTTATGAATCAATATTTTAATTTTATTTGGAGTTACAAAAGATAACCTCAAAAAAAATATCTTTGACAAGCAATAATAAATTTCAAAATAACTTACTCTTTTTAAATTATAAATCGATATTTCCCGCAATTTGTTTCTCCTAATAAAATTTGTTTAAAATTTCTTCACAGTAACTATTTTGTTATTTTCGTGATGTTTGGGATGCATAACCTATAAATGTCAAAATTAAAACTTTAACCTCAAAATATGTAAAATTTAATTTGTAAAATAAAGTACAAGATTATTACAATATTTTCATAACAAATTCTTTGATTTAATCTCATCTAAGACATTCTTATTGGGATAACTAATTTGTGTCCCTGGTAATGTAGTACTTTTAGATGCGACGAAACCGGCTTTTAAAATAGCTTCTTTTAATGATAGTCCAGGTTCGGAAGCTATAAAGTACGCCAAAGCACCAACAAAAGCATCACCAGCTCCTGTTGTATCAACAGCGTTCACTTTGGGGCATATAACATGTTCGGGATCACTTCCATCGTTATTCATATAAACTGAACCTTCACCTCCTAAGGTTATTATTATCGTTTTGCATCCCATACCAATAAATTTTTTGGCTGCTATTAAAGCTTCACTAAAAGAATAAAATTAATTAATAAATTGAATATAAAAAATTAAATTAATTTACTCAATTGAAGTAATTGGGAGTTTAGAAAATAATTCCGCTTCACTTTCATTGACACAAAAAATACTCGGTGTTGTTAATAATTCGATCGGAAAATCATTTAATCCCGGGGCTCCGTTTAAAATACTTATTCCTTTCGTTAATTTGATGGCTTTTAAAGCCGAGGTAATAGGTGTTTCTAATTGGCACACAACAACGGCGGCGTTCTCAATTTCTTCTTTGGCATTTTCAACATCTGTTTCGCTTAGTTCGGTGTTCGCTCCAGGAACAATGACGATTTGGTTCTCTGCGTTTTTTGCAACCGAAATTTGAGCAATTCCGTTTGTAAATCCAAGGGTTTTTTTAACAAATCGGTGATCAACTCCGACATCTTTGAAATTTTGCAAATATTTTTCGCCCCAAAGATCATCTCCAACCTAAATTCTAACTTACTTAGTTTAACTTGAAAATAAAACGGTCAGAATGAATAAGATAACTTACTCGGGCGATCATGAGAGTGTTCCCGCCGAGTTTCGCAGCGGCCACACATTGGTTAGAGCCTTTTCCACCAAAATTCGTACAAAAATTAGAACCAACAACTGTTTCTCCGTGTTTAGGTAGACGATCAACGTAACTAAAAGAGTTTTATTTTTAATTAAGAGTTTTTTTGTGTTGTTTGAAACTTACCACACAAAATCGATCATGCAAGAACCAATTACAACGATATTATTATTTGGCATCTTTTTATGGAATGAAGAATAAGTGTCTTTTCACCAAATTTTATCAGTTATTACGAAATTAAATGAGATAACATTGTATTTTTTAAAAGAAAATAAATAATAACCTTGAAATGAATTTGACAGGACTAAAAAATGCGCCATCTATGTGGTTACTTTTAAATAATACTTCATTTTATTTTTTTGATTATTATAGATTTATTTGTTGATTACAAATGGGATAATAAAAATAATTAATTTTGGGTGATTTTGAGAGTATAGAATTAAAATTTGAAATATATTAAAAAAGGATTAAATTTAATTGACTATGTGTTTTGGGTTGCATAAACAAGAACTGCCAATTTAAATTATTTAAATTTGAAGGAGAAAAGTGTTTAATTTGAAGTAATTACGTTGTTGATAATTAAATAATTGTATCTTAATATTGAATTATGATTTATTAGATAAAATAGGTTGTGTTTTGTGTGTTAGGTTGCATAATTTTTTCCTCAATATATCACATTTCCGCACTAGTTTTAAATTAAACATGTATAGATAGGATAGTGCACAGACAGAGAACCGTGCCTTTACTATCTGGGTTTTTGTCGAGCGGAAGTAGAATTTCCGCAAGGGTAACCAACACGACGCAACAACACGGGATCAGTAAGTCACAAAGTAGTGCTTCGTTACGCTATTAAAACACGGTTTAGAGACGAAAAGTCGCCGAAAATCTGACTAGAAAGCTCGAAATTGAAAGATTTATTAATTCGGTGCGTACAACTTTGTGAAAAATTAAAAACAAATTGAGTAAGTTCCAAATAAAGGTTGTTTTTGTTGATTTATAATAAAAAAAGTTGGTTGTTTGTTTAAAAATGTGTGGTTTCACTTTTGATAAGCGTTAATCTATAAAAAATAAAGCGCTTTGCATGTTGATAAAAATTCTAATAATCGCTTTGTTAATAATAATAAACGTCATGTATGAAGAGAAATCAAAGTAATTTTTGATTAAAAAAAAAGCTTTCTCTTTTGTGGGGATTCTCTTTAAATATAATCATTATTTTATAAAGATTTTCAGTGATTCTTCACGGTCAATAAACATCTCTAAGTTATTAAAAAAATTTAAATTTGAATCTGGGAGATCAACGGTTCAAAAATAATTAATGTAGGCGTATCATTTCGATTTAAATTGCTGCAATTTAAACCAACTTAGCAAATTAAACTGTGAAGACTGAGTTAATAAAATCGAAGAATCTGTTTTACATAATCATTTTACATCATCATGTTTAATCCATGCATAACAAATTCTCTATATTAACTTCTTAACTTACGTAAATCACTTCTAATAGGAAATTTATTGCATTTAGAGGCGAATAAACCAAGAGAATACAGTGATCAAAAAATATGTCAAGTGAGAAAGATGATGAGATAAATTTGGTGAAAATGTGCGGATATTTAGAGAAAAAGGGGAATAAGATGGTAATAATAAATAATTCGATTGAAAGTAAGTAAAAAAAGTTGATTGTAGAAGATGATGTCTTCCTGGAAACTAAAATGGTTCGTTTTAAAAGGACGCTTATTGCTGTATTATCGCTCCAAAGACGAATACGAAGCTTGTAAAGGCCCGTGTAAAGGCTCGATTAATTTAGGCCCAAATTGTATTGTTAAACCTTTATTAGGAACATCGTGCGTTTTCCAAATAGAAACTAGAGCAAAAACAATTATTTTAGTAAGTATAATTCAAGAATTTTCATTGACATTTTAAACGTCAAAATATTTTCGAATGACATTTAGGTCGGTAGTGCAGTTTTCTTCAAAATGATTTTAAGTAAATTTTTAATTAATAAATCTTTTTTAGAGAGCGAAAAATCGTTTAGAGCAAGAAAAATGGTTACAATCGATTTTATCCGTGTTAAATCAAAATCAAGCAGCATCAAATATTGTCGGAACACAACATTTTCGCTATTATTCGGACGAATTGGTTCCGAAGCAACAACAACCAAAAGAAACGGGGGTGAATCGAGTTTTAACTCGCCAAAATACGATGCCCGAACGCTTTAAATTGAAGAAGCGGCAAACTTTTTGTGGTAGTTTAGAAAACGTTTTATCAAAAACCTGCGAGGAATTAGAAAAAAGTTTAAATAAGAAATGTTTGAGTACTCAAAATATCGAGGATACCACAATTAGAAAAGAAAGTGAAGAAGTTATAAATGATTTATATTCCACTAATGAAGTTGACCAAAAAAGTGGAGAAAATAATTTGAATATTTATTATAGAATTTCAACGGACTCAAATCAACCAAAAGAAGGTGTTTCGCAAGAAAATTTAAATATTTATACTAAAATAAACGATTATGTTACGCAAAATGAAATGGATAACATTGAAAAAAAAAATGAAGAGGAATTGGTTGAAAACGATCAATATTGTACTGCTGCGATTAAAATAATTGAAACGAAAAGTAATCAATATCACGAATACAATTTACCGGGTAGAGATAACATTTATAGTGTTCCAAATGTGGATCAAAATGAAAATAAAATTTCTAAAATCGACGATGTTAATCCTTATTCAATATGCGATATCTTCCCAAAACAAAAATTACACGAAGAATCGATTTATGACACTCCCATTGAAGTTTTCGATAATAAAAAAGGAAAAATCGATGAATTAAAAAGCGAAGAAGAAAAAAAACCTCAATTACCAAAAAAAGTTAATTTTTTAAAGAAATTTTTTAAATTAAAAGCGCGTAAAGAACAAGCCGAAGTTGGGAAAAGCTTAAAAAATGATAATGAGAAACTTTATGAAGGAGATTTAGTTAATAAAAAAGTTTTGGAGGAATTACAAAAATTATTGGTTGCTAAAAAGGCGAGTTTACAGGTAAAAAATAAATTTTAACTCAAATATTGTTTTAGAAAATTTTTTTTTAGCAACAAAATCAAATTAAACCTGATTTAGCAACTAAAAGGATGTTGGAGGAACTCCAAAATTTATTAATAAATAAAAAGGAAGTAAAATTTTCACCAATTAATCTCGAAAACCCACCAATTCCACCGCAAAAACAACCCGAAACAATTTATCAAGAGATTCCAGGTAACATAATCTAACTTAACCTAATTATTCTATTTTTTATAAAAATTCTTTAAGATTCAATTGGAAATATCGATAATCACACATATGCAAACACCGCTTTAATTAAAATCGATAAAATCCTCAGCGATTTAGATAATATGAAAAAAACCAGCAATCCATTTTCAACAGGAAAAGTAAAATCAATCATTGCTAAATTTAATAATCACGAAATAAACGAATCTAAAAACGATACATTTAATGTAACATTAAGGGAAAAAGCTTCAAATACTTCAACAATATCATCGAAAAATTCATCGGATGAATTAAATTTATTGCTTTCCGAGTTGGTGAAAGTAACCAACGCTCCGATTTTAACACCCGGAGTTACAATAAGTTTAAATCCGCCCCCGATTTGTTATAACGATGAATTTGAAACAGATTCAAGCTCAATTACGAAACGGCGACACTCCGAACCGGATTACGACGTTCCGAGGCCGCATTCGAATTTAAATATTGTTAAAAATGAAGTTGATAAAGATGATGTTTTCGTAGCGACGCGGTTTTTCGGTCCCGTTTTATTAAATTATGATGATTTTTCGAACGCTTCGACGAGTATTACGCCGGATTCTTTGGAAATATCTGAGGCTAGTTCATATCAATCGCATTATGGTAAAATTTTGAAACAACCACCTTATTTTTTACACAAACCAAACAGTAATGAGCGAAAATGTGAGGTTAATGATAAAGAGGATCTTTTTGTGGATTCTTTAGACGCCGAAGGAGCTACGTTTTTATAATATAAAATAAATAATTATTTATGTGTTTATTTCTGATTATTTTTAGGTTATTTTTCAAACTGTCAAAATATTGTAACATAACCTCAATTTAAAACAAAGTAATAAAAATTCATTTAAATCTAATTTTTTCGTTTGCCTTTATGTTTCGCCCCTTTATTACCTTTATTATTACCTCCTTTGAGTCGTTTACGAACTCCGGATGAGTTTTCTGTGTCATCTTCTTCATCTCCGTCACCCTTTTTTCGCTTCTTCTTTTCCCCCAAATCTTTCATTTCCTTTAAAATTTAAAGAATGTATTTAAATTAATTTTTTTTATATTTATAATTTACCAATTTTGCTATTCGTTGAGCTTCGGCAACCCTTTCTTGTAAAATCATCACTTCATCTTCTTCCGATTGATACAAAGGAAGCTTTTTTCCAATTAATTCCTCAATTCTTTGATAAAGTTCGACATCATACTAATTTTAAACAAAAATTTCTACTTACTTTAAGTTAAATATAAAAATTGTTATTAGAAAACTATTTTTAATTTACAACATAACCTCAAAATTTTTTTAAGAACCGAACTTACTTGCGTAACGAAAGTAATAGCCCTCCCAGATCGACCAGCTCTTGCAGTTCTACCAACTCGATGGATATAATCTTTACTATGCGTTGGAATGTCAAAATTAATTACAATATCAACATGCGGAATATCCAAACCTCTAAAATTTGTAATTATAACCTAAATATTGAAGTGTTTTAAAAAATGTACCTGCTTGCTACATCTGTAGAAATCAAAATAGATCGGTTTTTAGCTTTAAATTTTGTAAGTGCAGCCAATCGTTTATTTTGGGACATTTGTCCATGTAACGGAACTGCGGTAAAACCTAAATTCCTCAACATTAAAGCTGTTCGTATCGTGTTATTACAAGTAGAACAAAAAATCATAAAAGTATTCCCAGCTAATTCATTTAAAACGTGAACTAAATAAACATCCTAAAAATAAAATAATTAATTTAATTTTAATTAAAATAATTTATGTACCTTAAATTTAACTGGAATAAAAATATAACTTTGTTGTAACTTCTCAACGGTTTGATACTTCGTACTAACTTCGACTTTAACGGGCACTTGCAAACAAGCCCTTTGCAATTTATTAACTTTCTTAGTCATTGTGGCAGAAAATAAAAACGTCCGTCTCTCTCGAGGAATAACCTTCAAAATCTTATCAACCTCCACCTCAAAATCCATGTTTAAAATTCTATCGGCTTCATCCATAACCAAATATTTCAAAGCTCGTAAATTAAATCCCTTCGTATTCTCCAAATGATCCAATAACCTTCCAGGAGTGGCAATTAAAATGTGAGGTTTCTTAGCCAGAACTAAAGCTTGAGACATCATATCCATCCCCCCAACAATAACAGCACATTTTACCCCAATACTTGTGCCTAAAGCTTCAAATTGTTCCGATATTTGAAAAGCTAATTCTCTTGTTGGGGTAAGAATCAAAGCAAAATATCTTTGTGGGTTCTCTAAAAGCGATTGTAAAATGGGGAGGGCGAAAGCGGCCGTTTTTCCAGACCCCGTCTCAGCTAAACCGATTACGTCTTTACCTTGGAGGGCAACTGGAATTGCTTCTTTTTGAATCTTCGAAGGGGATTTCCATTTTAATTGTTCGCATGCTGTACATAAAGCATCCACTAAACCCTAAAAAAATAAGAAATTAATAAAAAAATAATAAAGTTAGGTTATGTTTTATTAAAGAAAGCATGAATATTTAAAGGTTATATTTACCAAATCTTTCCACGAGATGTTTTCTTCGGTTACTTTATCAATTTCGCCTTTTTCGGTCATTATTTAATGAGATTTCGGAATTAAAATGTTTAATTTTTAATATTTTTTTAATATTTTAGTTTTTTTAATTGTACGACTTATTTTTTTAGGTTAAGTAACTAGATGAACAAGATTAAACGAAAAATCCCTAAATTTTTGAGGTTTAAAAAATTATTTTGTTTTTAAATTAATTTATTTGTTAATAAATAAAATTTACAACGTTTTAACATTCTTTAAACATGTTATTTAATAAAAAAAAAACAATAAAAATAACATGTAATAAATTGTTATGATTCTGAAAAAGTAACAAAAAATACTGTTCATAACTCAACATTCTTCTTGTAAAAAAAAAAAAAAAACTAGAAATATCCACGAAATAAAAAGACCATTGCATAAACCCATTTGGGGATTATCCTGTATTCTGTAACAGGTAGGCCTAAACCGTACAACCTTTGACATTCATTGTGCATCTCTTTTTTTAACTCCTCGTTTTCGGTGATGATCGCAATTTGTGTTTCCAAATCTCTTTTAACGGATCGTTCGCCGAAATTCGGGGATCCAATTAATGTTAAACTTGGGTACCTTGAATTTTCTGTGTAATACCACAACCCTTTAGCATGATAAGTCCATCCTTGTCGCAGGTACTCTTGAAACGTCACTCGATCATTTTGACCCAATTTTTCGAGTTTCTTCCGGAATTTTTGAGCTAGTAAACTATAAGCATCGGGAATACCACCTGCGGGGCCTTTTGCACCTTTAAAACCATTCGCCTAAAACAAATTAATTAATTTGATGCTAGAATTAATGTAATAACATACGTTTGGGTGAGCCATCAATAATTTGCACTGGGCGTTTGAATTATAAATAATTGTTTGCATATATCTATGTGTTAAATTAAAATAACCAGTTGCAATGTATAGTTTAGTTGATGTTGGAGCATTAGCTAATAAACACTCTGTTACGAAAGCGTCTTGTTTGACGCCGAGTTGCCCCATTTGCACCAACGGATACACCCAAGTATCATAACCATTTTTTAATTGATAGTTTTGTTCTTCTTTGGTGTCGTTTAAAAATTTCTGAATTAACGCACCGGCTTGTTGAATAAATTTATTTTTGCTTCCCTCATACGGTAATTGAGTCCATCCAGTATTTAATCCGATGTTGTTTAATTTATCAAGTTTTAAGCTAAACGCTTGGACGCATTTTACGAGTCCGCAATAAAAGTCACATATATTTTTATTTTCGATAACAAAATACCGATCTTGTCGATTCGTAAAATAATCTTTTGATAAATTAGCACCACTTATAATCAGGGTATCGTCGAAGATATATAACTTCATGTGTTGTAGTCCGAAAAGTTCATTCCAACGATTCGGGGCTAATTTTTTGCGTAATCCCCTTAAAATCGGCGTGTGATACAATGAAATTTGGCAGTTTCGGTCGTTTTTGTTTAATAAGGGCAATAACATTGTACGAGAATTATTCTTGAATCGGCTACCTCTTGTGTAATCCAATAATACGTTTATATCCAATTGACCATTTATAAAACTTGTATTTGACATTAAAGCATTAACTAAATTTGTTTCTAAATTACCATTACCTAGATATAAACTAACCAAAGTTATTCGTTTTGTGGCTTTTGCACACTTCTCGATAATGGTATTATAAAATTGACAGGGTTCCGCAATTATGCTGATATTTTTTGCTTTTACAGGAAAACATGGAGCTATTCCATTTAACCATTGTAAATGTAATAAATCCTGATGAGTAAAAGGGCTTGTATAAGCTAATGGTTCATAGTGAGGGTTAACCGTACCCTCCATAACCGTGCTAAGTACTCTTCGAAACATCCTCGAACCTAAATTAAAATAAATTAATCACAAATTTTGATTCATTTTAATCGACTAACCCGTAATTCAATAAATTTTTATTTTTAAAACATTTTTATAGATTTTTAGAGATGCAATTTCTAATTTGACACATAAACATAACCTTAAAATCGAATTTTATAACCTCAACAAATTTAATCTACAAGAATCATTTGAGTTTAAAAAATGTTAACGAGCGAATCTGAAACGGACGGTCAATTCCCTGAAGCAGAACAAAACGATTTATATTCGAAAAAATATAAATTGTTGGCGGAAAGATGCATTGATATACAAAAACGCAATCAAAAATTAGCATTTCGGATACAAGAGGTGAATAAGATCACGAAGAAACGCCACCAACAAGTTCAATTCATTAAAGAACGTTTATTCACGGAACATGGTGAAGATTGGGCTGTTATACCGAAGTATTACGACTTGAATCTAGCAACGGACGATGATGAAGAAGAAGTGAAAAATCATAAACCCATTGGGGGACATTCTAGGGTTGTACACAAAAATAGAGAAGAAAAACGAGAAGAACGTAAGATTTATAAGAAAAATAATAAAGATTTAATTAAAAAAAAGATAATTTTTATAGATGAAAAACCTAAGATTGTTAAGAAAGCCCCGAAACGAAAAACCACAAAGGCCGAAAAAGACCCAAACGCTCCAAAGCGACCTTCAAATCCATTCTTTCAATTTTGTCAAGAACAAAGACAATTATTAATGGAACAAATTATTTCAGAATTAAAACCGGGTGAATCCGAGCCGACCAAACAAGAATTAACGCGGCAATTAGCTATTAAATGGAAATCGTTGAATGCGAATGATAAACAAGTTTACGTCGATATGTACGAACGATCAAAAGAAAAATATGCCGCTGAAATGACTGAATATAATATGAAAAAATAAGTTTAAGTTTAAAATAAAACAACAATAATAATCTGTACATAACAATTTATTATTTAATAAAATATACATAAAAAAGTATCAAGCATTATTACGTATAAACCCCTAAAAATGCAATCTATAGCTTTCCTAAAATAAAAAAAAAAATAACCTTTCATCCACAAATTTTTAAATCAAAAATAACCCCCACTTCATTACTTAACCTTTAAAAGTATCTTTTTCTTTACGTATTAATCTCATTGTTTCAATTGCATCCCCAGTTCCAGCGTGTTGTTGTACAGAAGGTTCCGTAACTCTCATAAACGGATTAATTTTTTTCTCATCTCCAATAGTAGATGGAACCGTGGGTTCTTTATTATCTCTTTTTGCTTGCGCCTCCGCAATTTTCTGTTCAATAACTTTATTGTTAGGTTCAACATGTTGAGCGAATTTCAAATTTTGTAACGTATATTCGTGCCCACAAAAAACTCGTGTTTGATCAGGTAACATACTGAGTTTTTCAATAAGCGAGCAATACATTTGCTCGGCGGTGCCTTCGAAAAATCTTCCACATCCACCAATAAACAAAGTATCGCCCGTAAATACAGCAGGTTGTTGTCCGGCTGAATTCATGTAATAACAAATATGTCCAGAGGTGTGACAAGGCGTAAATAAACAAGTAACATGGATATCTCCGATTGCAAATTGATCACCATGTTTTACTTCGTTAGTAAGGGCTCCGATGCGATGATCGCCCCCGAAAACTTGGAGGGCGCCTTTACTTTTTTTGATCAAAGTCTCATTACCACCAGCATGATCCCTTAAAATTCAAAAAATCAAAAAATAAAAAGAATATCATAACCTCAAAATAAAAATTACCAATGATGATGTGTTGTTAAAACCTTTGTAAGATTAACTTTTTCTTCCTTAACAGCATTTAAAACCGTTTCGGGCTCAACGGGATCAACAACCGCAGCTTGATTGGTGTTTTCATCGATAATCTTTGATTAAAAATGAATTTAATAAAGTGAGGTTATGTTTTGGAAAAATTAATATAATTTACCAAGTACATGTAATTATCTGTTAACGCCGGAAGAACGCACACCCTCATTTTATCTAAAGTAAACTTCGACGGTTTGCTGTGGGTACCCCTTAAACCGTTGTATCGAAGCGAATTTACTGAAAATTGTAGCAATAAAACAGATTTGACAACTTTACAACCCAATTTAAGCATGATGCGATCGCTCCTTCGACAATAATTTAATACGGAGTCAAACTACCTTTAAAATAAGCCGCAGTTAATCCATTTTGAATCGATTCGGGTAGGATACGAAACGATACGAAACATACTTTTTTATTTAATTTTGAGTGTGAGGTTAGAATTTAAGATTGTTATCGAAATTGTTTTAATGAAGGGGGTTTTCATTGATTATAATCAATGGTGATAAATTATTAATTTCGATTAAGTTAATTAAATTTTATTGGGACATTTTTAAAACATTTTGATAAGTCTTAGGGGTTAAATTAAATAGAAAAGACGACATCTAACGGAGAATCTTCAATTTCTTTTAAATTGTATTACAGGTTTTTGTTAAGTGGGAGGTTTTTGTTTTTAATTATACTAAAGGAATGGAAAAGGATGATAAGACGCTAATTCGTTTTTGTAGGGTTAAGTTTTATTAATGAGAATTTTTCTTAATTAAAATTTTTATATTTTATGTTTAATTAAGTTATTAATCATGTTTGATTGCGTTTTGCATAATTAAAATATATATTAAACATATAATTAACGTAACGAAAATGTTAAAAAAAAAATTAATCACGACATAACCTTAATGTCAAATGATGTCAAAAAAACTAATTCTTTTTATTTTAGGTTGGTGGTTTTGAAATCGGCTATTTTGGTTAAGTTTGAAAGGTGGGAAATTTAAATCAGTGGATTTAATTTAACGAAAGATTTATGTTATTAATAAAAAATAAATAATCACTCGAGTACGCCTTAAATACATAATAAAATAAAATCCCATCTTCATTTTTAACGTCTTGAATTTTCTCCGGTTTTAGATTTTTTACGGTGATTTTGGTGATCTACTAACAACGGCCAAATAACAAAAAGCTCCGCATCTCGGAATTGGTTGCGCGGCAAGGAAAGCCCCCCCGTCTGGTGAATGTTGATACAACAAGGGTTTCTGCTCGTTTAATTGACTGGCGTCGGTCCATTTTCCATCAGGACCAGACATAGCTTCTGCACCTCCAGGTAACATATGAGCTATTGGCGGAAGCGGCCCCGGAGGGGGGTTATCTAGAAACGGTGGTCTTAACTCCCCATTTTGCACGTTCATTACTAAGTAATACATAAAATCATTTCTCAATTTCATTTCGTCAATAGTTCGATTACAAACCGCCAATTTCCGCATCCATCTCACAGCTCGTTGTCTATCTAAACAAAAATAAAGTTAATTTTTTTTTTTGAGGTTAATTTTTTTAGATAATTAATTACCGCTCACGTTATGAAGAAGTGTCAGCATTGTTTTCGCCAGGAATAGGTTGTAGTTAAAATCGTAATTGAGATCTTCGAGCGCTTCAGTCATCGTTGTTAATTTTTCTTTGGAATTTAGCGTAAAAATTACAAAAGTTACATGTTACAGTTGACGTTAACTGTCAATTTATTTTAACTCAAAAATTCAAAGCATACTATATCGCTATGATGATTCCTATTTGTTATCTTGAAAATTACAATGAATATTTTGTTCTAGTTAGCTTAGTTTGGGCGTTCGAGATAAGAAGTCATCGAAATTGGAACTTTCCATTCAAAATTGGTTGTAATAATTACAAATCATCGTAATTAAAGGAACCATTAAGCGGAATAATTAATAAATTAAGCCATAATTAACTCATCCAACAAATGTTTTTCTAAAATTTTTAAAATTCTCCAGAAAAAAATGGTTTTTATTTATTTATGTATTACTAGGCATGGTAACTAAGTTCTTAATTATGGTTTAATACGTTTTAAAGCAAATCAAAGGAGTTTTTTCGCTCCAATTCGATTGGAAACCGTATTTTTTATAAAATTAAAAGATGCGTTAAATCCCACGTGCTCCCCACCAAAGTGTTTCACGTGTTTCGTTCCATTTCACGAATAAAACTTAAACAATATCAGAGTCAAACCAGTCAGACGAACTTCCGATTTAAACGGGTTAAGATCGTGTGCTTTGAAATGGGCTCTTTGATAAATTTAGGATTGGCATAGGTTCTAGTAACAGGAGTAAAAAATTTTATTTGTGTTGTGGTGATTAAGAAAGTGTTTATTTGAGTTAATTAAAAGATTAATTGGGGGAAAGAAATATGTCTGAAGAGCATTTAACCGATCGTAAGCTTTAATTTAATTTTTAATAAATATAATAAATTAAAAAATAATAAGTAATAAATAATTTGTATTGATTTATTTATTATTTATTTTTAATAATAGAAATTCTTTGATTAATTTATTATGTTGTTAGATAACGCTAAAAATCTTTCCGAGAATAAAAAGAATTAAAGGGTTTTTTTTACCACATTATTAGCATAAATAAACAATCTTGAAAAAAAAAAGCCTGGAATCCCCGAGAACCTTGAAACTTTTTTTTAATAAGTTCTCAGCCACAACACAAAGAACACAAAAACATATTATTACGTCACTAAATACTTAATGTTTTTATTTTGCTGACTAAAATGAAATTATCTCTTGTTATAAACATTTTTTATCAATTAATACATTGCATAACTTCGATGTCACATAACTAATTTTTCAAGGATAAAGAAAATCGTAGAAAATAGTAACAAGTAGCTGTTAAATAAAAAAATAAATATTTTTCATTTGAGTAACCCAAAAACAATTTTATTTAATATTCTTATCGACTAAATAGTTTTTGTTGTCCATTTACAGAGAAGGCCTCGATCCTTTTAGGAGCTAAACGGATAAACTGCACCAAATTGGTTAAAAAACGACTTCCGATATTAACATGGTTACCTAACTACAGTATTATTAAGTTTTTGCAAGATACTTTAGCGGGAATCAGCGTTGGTTTGACCGAAGTTCCACAAGGAATAGCTTACGCTATAGTTGCAGGTATTAAAAAAACAAATAATATAAAATCATGTTTTTGTTGGGTAACGCTAAAAGTATTTGGAAAGCACATTTTATGACAACATAAAAAAAATATGAGGAAGAAAGTTTTAAAAAATCGTTATTTATGTAGTAGCATAAATAATAAATATTTGCTGAATGAATAATGAAGTGAGGAGTTAAAATCTATTTTGTGATGATATCTATAAATGAAAATATTTGTGAATGCTTTTATCTTAAAATTTTAAAAACACGTTTAAAGATAAACTGATTGAAACATCTAATAAAGATTTCAATCATTAATTCAATTGGCAATTTAGAGTTTAATCTCAATCATATTTCTTAATCTTTTATATTAAGTGTTTATTAAAATTATTGAATAAAAATTAATAATTTATTAAATATTTTATTGGGAATAATGTTTTTATAAAATTGTAACCTTGAGGACTATTTCGTCGCTTGCCTTCATGAAATATCAGAACCATCGCAGACATCACCTCGGTTTATAACATGTTAACATTACGTCTGAGGTATATACGATATTTTTAAGAGGCGAAATCTTTAAATTGCGTAGTTGAAATGCCTCTCCCACGAAGCGACCTCAGCATTGAGATATATCCTTTTGTTTCAAAATTGTTATGCCTCGGCCGCAAGCGACTTCGGCTAATAACACGTTAACATTACGTTTGAGATATGCACAACATTTTTAAGCTATCACACCAACTATTAATATATGATGGTGAAACTTATCAAGCGACCTCGGCTTATACACATTACATTACATCCGAGCAATATCTAATTCACTTACTTACTAAAATTGTTTTTGCAGGTCTTGAACCTCAATATGGTTTATACTCAGGTTTTATGGGTTGTTTTGTTTACGCAATCTTGGGTAGCTGCAAAGACGTCAACATCGGTCCAACCGCGATTATGGCAGCGATGATACAACCCCACGTAGAAATTTTAGGCGCCCCGGGAGCAATTTTAATGACATTTTTAACTGGTTGTATCGTTTTTCTATTGGGTTTATTAAACCTAGGTAAACCAAAACACACTTTAATAATTTAAATTGTAAATGTAATTTTTTTTCGTTGTAGGATTTTTAGTAAGATTTTTTTCTTACCCGGTAATAGCTGGATTTACATCCGCCGCATCGGTACAAATAGGAAGCACGCAAATTCCGTCGTTATTAGGAATTAAACGGAAAGCGAACGATTTTATTGATGCATGGAAAATTATTTTCGAATCTATTGGAGATACGTTACTTTGGGACGCCGTTTTAGGTGTTGTTTGTTTGGTGATATTACTTTTAATGAAAGTAAATTTTAAAATCATTATCATCTCAATTTTTTTTTATTTATTTTGTTTTTATTTTTAGGAATTAAAACGATTTGGTGGACTAAAATATAACCCAATTTGGAGTCGATCAAGGAACTTTTTCGGGCGAATTAGCTGGGTTTTATCAATAGCAAGAAATGCTTTAGTTGTTGTTGTAACAACCCTATTAGCTTATGTATTAATGTTAAACGATAAACAACCGTTTACATTAACTGGAACATTAGCCGAAGGGCTCCCTAACTTTAAATTCCCGGAATTCACCATTGAACATAATGGAACCACATCTTCTTTTGGAGATATTGTTTCAATTTATGGAAGTAGTTTAGCTTTTATACCGTTAGTTTGCATTTTGGAGAGTGTTGCAATCTCAAAAGCTTTTTGTACGATTGCTTTAATTTTTAATTGAGATTTATTTATTAAATATTGTTTTAGCTAAAGGAAAAACTGTTGATGCAACGCAAGAAATGATTGCTGTTGGTATAAGTAACATTTTAGGATCATTTTTCGGCTCCATACCCGTTACTGGTTCTTTTACAAGAACTGCAGTTAACAACTCATCAGGAGTTAGAACGACATGCGGAGGAATAATCACTGGGATTATTGTACTTTTAGCGCTACAATTTTTAACATCCAGTTTTTATTATATTCCAAAAGCAACATTAGCCGCTGTTATTATCTCCGCTATGATTAATTTGTTTGAATATGAAGCAATCTTTTTATTATGGAAAACCAAAAGTAAGCAAAGAGAAAAATAATCTTTTTGTTAAATCAATTAATCAATTTATCTCAATTTATTTTTGCTAAATCAATTCATTTTTTAAATCAGGGTTAGATTTAATCCCTTTCACCGTAACATTAGTGGCATCGTTAATAATCGGATTAGAATATGGCATTTTAATCGGAATCGCTACCAATTTGCTTTTCCTTTTGCATTCGAGCATGAAACCTAAACTCAACATTGAAAAGGAAAAGATGCCAGAAGGTGATGTTTTTATCGTAACCCCAACGGCGGCAAGAATCCATTTCCCAGCTGCAGAGTATATTCGAGAAACGATTATGAAGCGGTGTAACCCAGAAAATGATGACAAAATCACTGAAAATGAACGCGTTACTGTTGTTATCGATGGAAAATATGTAACTAATTTAGATGCAACAGTAGCTAAAGTAAGTTTTTTAATTAATTAATTAATTTTTATTACGTAATTGTTTTGTAGAATATTAAAACATTAGCTGACGATTTAAAATCAAGGAATCAATCGATAGTATTTTGGAATTTTAAGGAATCCGTTAAAAAAATATGCACAGGGGTTGATAACTCGATGTATCAGTATTTCAGGGATGGCAATTTAAAAGATATTATCGAAAACCCCGCTTTAAATAGAATACATCCTGAATCAATTGTATATATTACTGCGTAGTTTGTAAATAAAGAATTAATTAATAAAATAAATCAAATTTAATTATGTTAAGATAGGCAACCGGTTACACGTCTAACCCTAAAATCGTTTGTTGACGATTTGTTAACTTAACCTAAAAAAATAGCGTTTTTATTTTCGATTCGAAATGGTGATAGAAACGAAAAGAAAAGCCGAAGAATCGGCTTTAGTCCCTTCTAGCAAAAAAACAAGAAATGAATTAGCTGTAACAAACTCAAAAAATAAGGCTTTAGTACAAACGGTGATTAAAAAAAAAACTTAACCTAACTTTTTACATATTAAACAATTTTTTAGTCTGTACAAAGAACTTCGAATTTATTCTCACCCATTATGTTATTGGAGGGACATGAAGGAGACGTTTTTAGCGTAGAGTTTCACCCCGAGGGGCAATATTTAGCATCGTCGGGATTTGATCGAAAAATTTGTGAGGTTAATGTAATTATAAAAGTTGTTGATTTAATTTTTTTTATTATAGTGGTATGGTCTGTATATGGTGAATGTGAAAATATATCAATGATGTCCGGACATACCGGGGCAATAATGGAACATCATTTTTCCCCAGATGGTTCACAAATATACACAGCAAGCACCGATTATACTTTGGGGTTGTGGGATGTACCGACAGCTCAAAAAATTAAAAAGTTTAAAGGACACACTACCTTTGTTAATTGTGTACAAGGAGCTAGGAGAGGTCCCCAATATTTAGTTTCTGGTGGGGATGATTTTACCGTACGATTATGGGATATTCGAAAGAAAATTCCAGTTGCAACAGTTAATGCTACTTACCAGGTAAATAGTTTATTTATTGATTTTTTAAAATTATTTAATGATTTATTAGGTTACAGCTGTTTCTTTTAATGACACAGCTGAGCAAATATTTTCTGGAGGAATTGATAACGATATAAAAGTTTGGGATGTTCGTAAAAACGAAATTTTATATACAATGAAGGGCCATACTGATACTGTAACAGGACTTTCTTTGAGTCCCGATGGGTCTTATTTGCTTTCAAATTCGATGGATAACACTTTGCGGATATGGGATATTAGACCTTATGCTCCACAAGAGCGTTGTTTAAAAGTTTTAACCGGTCACCAACACAATTTTGAGAAAAATCTTTTAAGATGTTCTTGGTCTGCGGATAGCAATAAAGTTTCGGCGGGATCCGCGGATCGTTTTGTTTATGTTTGGGACGTTTCAACAAGGAGACTGTTATATAAACTTCCAGGGCATAACGGTAGTGTTAATGACGTTGATTTTCATCCGAATGAGCCTGTTCTTGTATCAGGATCGAGTGATAAACAAGTTTATTTAGGCGAAATAGAAGCCTAAAAAATAATTTTTAGGTTATATAGCTTATTAATAAAAGATTATTTTGATTGTCATAATGTTTAGTAATGTGTCCTTTAAGCATAATATATACAAAAAACAGTTTAAAAAAATTAAGGCCACACTTTTTCTTCAATCCAATTGATGTATTTTGAAACGCGAGTATAAATCGAAGGGAATTTACTTCCACATAATGGCCCATATGATGTTATTCCAACTAACGAAGCTGGTATACTCACTCCTTTAACTTGTTTGCTTTCGATAAACATTGGCCCACCTGAATCTCCCTACAAAAATAAATCCGATAATTGAAATTAAAAAGAATATTTTTAAACTAACTTCACAAGTATCCCTCGATGTGTCATCGCTAGATGTCGCGCAAATTTGTGTGTCAAAAACTGGCTTTGCTGCAATTCTAGTTTGAGCCGTATTGTTACAATCATTTATGTTTACGGGAGCTAACGAAGTTTTTAATAGAAATCGAGAGCCTTCTCCTACAAAAACGACTCATTAATTTAATAAAATTGATTTTTTAAATAATTACTTGTATTCCCCATTTTCCCAAATCCACAAACAATTAATTCGGGTGGATCATCATCTTTCATATGCAAACAAATCGGTTTAACATAACCATTTCGCTCGATTGGTTTAGTAAGACGCACAAGAGCAATATCATGTACCCTTTTGTGCCATGAATAATCATCGTGCGGGAAAACCTCCGCAACTGGGATATCTTGGGGTTTAACATCATCCTCCCCCAAAATATCCACCGTTCCGAAACGAACAATTTTTGGTACTTTACTAAAACAAAATTAATTTAGATTAAAATTTTTGATAATTAAAGTTTTAAGATACCCATCTTGTCTAACTAAACAATGAGCCGCTGTTAAAACGTAGGTATCGCTTATTAAAGCACCTCCACATTCATAAAGGTAATCATCTTTGGTTTCATCTTCGTAACCTAGAGAGGCCTAAAATATTTATTAAATCATTTTATTCAAGCTTTTACATTTACCATGTGGGGATACTCCCCCAAAGATACATTAATTCCTCCCAAAATAAACGGCGTAACCGATATTTCGTTCTGGAAATCTTTGCAGGCTAAAAAAAAATTATTTATATACAAATATTAATGAATGAAATATAATTTTACCTATGATGCTTTTTCGCGTATCAGGACGTCTAACGAGAACATCGCGGTGTTCGTTACAACAAACTATCTCTAAATCGCCTTTAAAGCCACATCTTTCTAAACCGTGGTGTTTTCTTTTCCTCAGAGCTTCCTCGGCTGGTTTACAATCCGTTACCAAAATACATTTTCCCGTTAATTTATCACCACATAAATCCCCTACATCACCTAATAAATAAAAAAAAAATCTTAATTTAATTTATAAACAAGATTAATCTTGTTTTTTGGGGTTTTCTTAATAATGATATAATAAAAGTGAGGTTAAATTGAAAGTTTTGCCATCTGTTGACAAATAAAGTAATGACACAAACAATCCAGATTCAAATAAATTAATAACTCGTTTTTTTATAAATATTCAAGAAAAACGGGTTAAATTAACATTGACCTTGCTCAGGTCAAGTTTGATCGGAGTTGATTTATACCTAAAACCAAATATTTCAATACTCACTTGAAGCGAGCGATATAAATCCGATGATTAATAAAACGAACAGTATATTTGCGATTTTTTCGCTGCAAACTACGCAACGAGTCGACATCTTATCGCCGAATGCGTCCTCCCCGAAGAACTCTGCTACAATACCACAAGATAAGTGATACTACTGTGTTGGGGATACCATGTAGAGAGACTGGTTTGTGGCCGTGAGATACGTCAGAATACGGCGATAATTTACAACTTAAAATGAATCCATTTCCGATATTAAAAAATTCCCAATAAAAATTACTAAATAAGGGATTTTACAATATTTTAACGCAAATTTGATTTCTAAGAAAGACTAAAATTAATAATAGAAGATAATTAAATTAACGCATTGATAATAATTAATCGAAAAAGGTTTGTTTTAAATTAAGTATTTACTAGAAACTTTTTAACAATTAATTAATATAAATGAGGTTAAATTTTTTGTAGGTTATATTTTTTGACGTTTTGTAAAAGTGACAGTTTTGACAGTTTAAAATGACCTTGATTTGATTTAATTGGAAATTATTAAAAATCGCTATAAAATAATTTAAAATGAAACTAAATATGTATCAAAATGAAAATATTTTAATTTACATTACTTTTGTGTTAAGTTTAAAAACAGCTGTTATATAAAAAGAGAAAGCAAAAAAAAATAGGAAACATCAACAATCTCCCTCTCCAATCTAAGAAGTACGTCCCGTTGGCGTCATCGTGTTGAAAAACAGACTTGGGAACCGTTTGGTGTCATTTCCGATTAAAAATCACCGGAAATCCCGTTTAAACATGTTCTAACCTGAAAATAAAACTTAATTGCGGTGCTAAAAACGTTGTGTTAAGGTGCTAAGCGACGAAAACAATCAACACAAAAAAAAAATGGAACAAAACAACATCGATCGTGATAACCCAATCGAGCGACAAGGAAGGTAATAAAAATGATTTAAACAACGTTAATTTAATGAAAAATTAATTAAAATTGTTTATTTTTTTTTCTAGTTGTTTGTTGTTAAGATATGCGAGTCAAAATTCTTTGGATGAAAGCTCCCAAAAGCATATTCCGAGGACAATCGGAAGAGATAAACCCCCATATCGAAATAATAAACATACTCAAAGAGCTTTTGATGTTATGGATCATATGAGAAGGTAATTAAAAATAATTAATTAATAAAATCGTTAAGTTTCTTTTATTTTAGAGATTTATTATTGTGTGATGTTACTTTGGTGGTTGAAGATATTGAGATACCCGCTCACAAGATGATTTTAGCCTCATGTTCACCATATTTTTATGCAATGTTTACAAATTTTGAGGAAAGCAAGCAAGATCGAATTAATTTACAAGAAATTGACCCCCAAGCTTTGTTGTTACTGGTAGATTATGTTTATACTTCCGAGGTGCATGTTACGGAAGAAAATGTACAGGTACATATAATATAACATAGCGCAACATCACCACTGCCAAGTTTTTTTTTTTTGGCACCAATTATCAACTTCGTCTTAAATTTATATTTAGTATCTATATTTACAATTTATTTACAAACACTTTTTATTTTTAGGTACTTTTACCAGCCGCCAATTTACTACAACTAACCGACGTAAGAGATGCTTGTTGCGAATTCCTACAAGCTCAATTACACCCAACAAATTGTTTAGGAATACGAGCTTTCGCAGATTTACACGGATGTTTAGATTTATTGAACAATGCAGAAGCCTACATCGAATTACATTTTCCGTATGGAATCAAAATCAATTATTATTTATTTTTTTAAAATTATTTTATTACATTTTAGGGAAGTTGTTGAATGCGAAGAATTTTTAACCCTCTCCCATCAACAAGTCTCAAAATTAATATGCAGCGATCGTTTAACGGTCCCATCAGAAGAAAAAGTCTTTGAATGCGTGATCGCTTGGGTTCAACACGACCTCAAAAAACGTCAGGAGCATTTATCCGCCCTCATGGAACACGTCCGCCTACCACTAATGTCCCAAGAATACCTCGTACAACGCGTCGAAGTAGAACCTTTATTAAAGCTTGATCTTAAATGTAAAGATTTTATTATTGAGGCGCTCAAATATCATTTATTAAAGGGCGACACCACCAAAATTAGCTTTAAAACTCCCCGAACCAAACCCCGACAACCCGTTGGTTTACCAAAAGTCCTTTTAGTTGTTGGGGGACAAGCACCAAAAGCAATCCGAAGTGTTGAATGTTACGATTTTAAAGAGGAAAGGTGGTATCAAGTTGCTGAGATGCCTTCGAGGCGTTGCCGAGCGGGTTTAGCGGTTATAAATGGAAAAGTTTATGCTGTAGGGGGGTTTAATGGCTCAATGAGGGTTCATACTGTTGATGTTTACGACGCATCAACCGATCAATGGAATCCTTGTGTTAGTATGGAAGCTAGAAGGTCTACTTTGGGAGTTGCTGTTTTAAATGGGTGTATTTACGCTGTTGGTGGGTTTGATGGGTCTACCGGGTTGAATAGTGCTGAAAAATTTGATATTCGAACTCAAGAGTGGAGTTCGATAGCTGCGATGTCTACAAGAAGGAGTAGTGTTGGAGTTGGTGTACTTAATAATCTTTTATATGCGGTAAATATTTAATTTTTAAACTTTTTTACTTAAATTGGTGGATTTAAAATTGTGTGTAAAATCTGTTATGAATGCAGTAACCATGGTTATGAAACTATTATGCACTTGCACTGTCCCACATAAAATGCAACATAGCTTAATAGTACAGCCATTAGGTAGTTTTGCAAAGGAAAAGTTTGCTTGGAAAAGGTGACGTCCTCATGACAACTCTGAGTTTCCGTCTTAAGAGACGCAAGGCTAAACCCGAATGGTTCTGGTTCTAGGTCTAGTGTTAGTTCTACTTTTCGTTCAATAAAAATATACCACAATCTAGCGCTGAGTAACGATTAAAACTAGAACTAACTCTAAACCCAGAACTAGAAACATTCGGGTTTAGCCGTGCGTCTCTAAAGACGGAGAAAGGAGTGTTAGTTCTAGTTTTAGTTCAATAAAAATATGCAACATAGTGATATCTTCTGTTAACTAGCGTTATCTACCACTGTCACTAGAACTAACATTAGATCTAGAATAAGAAGCATTCAGACATGTTCCATTTTATGTTAGACAAAGTAAGTAGGTACGCCTTGGTTTCTATGGAAATATATTTTTGTATATTGAATCTTAAGTGAAATTTACGGTATAAGGTAAATATTTAATTTTAGGTTGGAGGTTACGATGGTACTTCTAGACAATGTTTAAGTTCCGTAGAGTGTTACAGCCCGGAAACGGATACATGGAAAATCGTTTGTGATATGAGTTCTCGTCGTTCAGGTGCAGGTAATCACAATTAACTATTTTTATTCTCGACCTAACCTCAATTTTCATGTATCATTTCAAACTTAGAATTTTTTTTTACATTTTTTCCTTTAACCTATCTCTTTGTAGGAGTTGGAGTGTTAGATGGTGTTTTATACGCAGTCGGTGGTCACGATGGTCCTTTAGTTCGAAAATCTGTGGAGGCTTATAACCCGGAAACCGATTTATGGTCATCGGTGACTGATATGGCGTTATGCCGGAGAAATGCGGGGGTTGTTGCGATGGCGGGACTTTTATATGTCGTTGGTGGCGATGATGGATCATGTAATTTAGCTTCTGTTGAAGTTTACAATCCTAAAGCGGATACTTGGACGATGCTTCCGAGTTGTATGAGTATTGGTCGAAGTTATGCCGGAGTCGCAATAATCGATAAACCGATATGAAGCTTTCTCATTGCTGACAACGGCGCGGGGTGTTCAGGAAGATATGCGAATTGCGATGATAATAGTAACGCAGAGGGTATTGGAACCTCGCAAAATTACGAGAATCTTTATGAACCCGTTAATAACGACCCCACCGTTGCCAGCAATGAAGAGAACATCTACGAAAGTATCGATGAAGTGCGCAGAGCGCAACAACAAAATCAAGAACAAGTCGAAAATAACGTTACGGAACAAATTTCAAATGATATTCCAAGTTGTAGTAGTACTTATGGCCGAATTGGGAACGCTTACGGTCGGATAGATGTGATCGGGCATGGTATTGGAAGAATTGAGCGACATTTATCGTCATCTTGTGGAAGTGGCATTGATAGTCATTGCGGGACCGTTGAAGGTTTAGGAACTTCCGATTCAACCGGAAGAATTAGTAAGGTATCGGTTCAATGGTTGTTGGTAAATAAATGGTTGCCTTTGTGGATTGCTAACACAGAAAATGGCAGGGATTATCGAATCGTTGATTTTTTATTGGGACAAAGAGAAGGGAGGAGCGATGATGATGAGGACGGCGATGAACACGAAGAAAGTAACTCACAAAGGCAACCATCACCAGAACGACCCCCGTCTGAACAAAATTAATTTATTTTTCTTATTTGAGTTTAAGAATTAAGGATAAAAAGTGGATTAAGTTAACGTAAAGAGAATTTGTGATAATATATTAGAGTAGAACTCAATGGAGGGTTTATCTCATCATTTAAAAGACTAAGAATAAGCAATGTTTAGTTTAGAAACTAATAAGTTATTTAATGTCTATAAATAAATTGAGGTTGTGAATAAAAATTGATTTAATACACCTCATTAAAATCCAACAACTTCATCCACTTTTCCTATCTCATTTGCGCACAAAAAAATTTGAAGAATTTTAATCTCTAAAAGGGGATTAAACTATTCGGGTTTGTATCAATATCTTATAAAAGATTTGGAGTCTTTACTATGATATATAAAGTCGCCGAGGTCGCTTGCGGGCGAGACTCTTGAGTCTTGCCAGATGGACGACATCATGTTAACATATCAAATGTACCGCCTCACCCGCAAGCGATCTCGGCGATTTGAAGCGGAATCGTTTTTTATAGATCTTGGTAAAGATAAGATGCAAGTTTCTTTTAAAAGACATCTACCGTCACTCCGCCGAGGTCGCATGCGGGCGAGGCGCTATAATTACACAGATTAAGTATACGTGTTGATATATTAGACCCAACGCCTCGCCCGCAAGCGACCTCAGCGATTTGAGGATCAAGCTGAGGTTGTGAATAAAAATTAATTTATTTATACCCCATAAAAATCCAACAAAAAATTTAAATCACGATACATCCTCACTTTTCTCATCTCCTTTATCAGCACCGCCATAAACAATTTTTCCACCTCTAATAAATGCGTAAGGCATCCTTTTCGTCGTAAAAAATATCCCCATATCACCAGTTTTTGTAACGACGATAGCTCCTAAGTTAATTATTATCTTAATTAATAGTTTGGTTAAGTTTTGATTTAATTTACCCCCGTTATTTTGAAAAAATTTCCTCATCTTCCTAAAATGATCGACCAAAGCCTCCATCGGGGTAAGTCCGGCTTCGATACTTTTCGCGATTAAATTCGCCAAACACATCGTTGCTATCGATTCGCCGTGGCCGCTTGTGCTTACCGCGCAAATTAAATCGTCTGCGAAACATCCACATCCTGGTCTTGCAGCGTGCCCAACTCGACCCTCTTTTTTCCGGTTTAATCCCCCCGATGAGGTGCCAGCAGCTAAACGACCCTCTTTTGATAAACAAACAGCACCTACGGTGCCTAATTCTTTTTGATCAAAAATTGTGTTGTCTTTATGGCGTTTTCTAGCTCTTTTTGTGACTAATCCACCTGGCATAGCTAATTCTAAACCAAGATTTTTAGCAAACACGTGAGCACCTTCACTAGCTAAGATTATATGAGGTGATTTTTCCATTATTTTTCTTGCAACTCTAATAAAAATTGAATTGTGTTTAAATGATTAAGAAATTAATTAACAATTACGAAATTGGATGAAGAATATCTTTAACAGCAGCAACTCCCCCCGCTGTTAAATCAGATCCAACCATAATACTTGCATCCATTTCAACATGTCCATTTTCATTCAAAACAGAACCATGCCCTAAACATATTGAAGTTTAATAAAATTAAATTAATTAATATATTTTTTTAACCGCAATTGAAAACTTCCGATGATTCTAAATATCTGATTGCTTTCTCACACGCCTCCATGGGATCCCCTAAATCTTGTAATACTTGATACCCTAAAAGGGCGGCCTCTTTAACCCCTTTAATCTTATCCTTTTTGATACTATCCTCGAAATTTGATGCGCCCCCATGGATAATAATCATATCTTCACGAGGTAACATCCTAATTAAAAATAATTAATTAATCTTATTAAAAATTTAATGAAATTAATTACGAGAGGATCGGTTTAGTTTCTTTCGCGTAAAACCGTACTAAAATATTCCATAATTTAATAGATTTTAACAAAAATTTGGAGGGATACATGATTACCAATAAGAAATGTCAATTTGACAGCTAAAATGTCAATTAAAAAAATGGTTACGCTCAAAAATTAATTAAAAAAATTCAAAAAAAATATGAATAAATTCTTTTCGGTTAATTTAAATTTAATAAAAAAACAATTAAAGCCTACGATTATCGTTCATGGGGGATGTGGGGAATACAGCGACGAAAAAGTAAACAAAAAACTTATTGGTTGTAAAATAGCGGCTAGTCTTGGATATAAATCGTTACAAAAAACCGGAAGTGTTTTAGACGCGGTGGAAAACACGATTAGGTACCTGGAAGATAATCCAAACTTTAATTGTGGCTATGGATCGGTTTTAAACGATTTAGGAGAAGTCGAAATGGACGCTTCAATAGTTGATGGAAAAGATTTGAGTTATGGTGGCGTTTTCGTTATAAAAGATGTAGCTCACCCCATAACTTTAGCTAGACTTATAATGGAAAAATCATCATATTGCGTCTTAACTGGCAAAGGAGCCTTAAAATTTGCGAAAAATAATGGAGTTAGTGTCTTAAAACCCGGAGCTTTAGTAAGTCCCCAAGCAAAACAATTATTAGAGAAAAGTACGCAATTTGGGGCAACGGAAGCGGGTACTGTGGGGTGTTGCGCAATGGATATTCATGGAAATTTAGCCGCTGGAACATCTACAGGTGGTTTAAATAAAAAATTGAGAGGTAGATGTGGGGATACGGCTGCTGCGGGGGCTGGGACTTACGCTGATAATTCTGTTGGAGCTGTTTCATCAACAGGTAATAAATTAATACATTCTTTTTTTAAATAATGTATGTATAAACGTCATTGTGACAAATTAATTTGAAAACATAACAAAATTCCCTGTTAATCTTGCCAACTTAACAATAACTTGAAAATCTTGTTTAGGTCATGGTGAAAGTTGTGTAAAAGTATGTTTAACGTGTAACATATTAAATGAAATTAGTAAAGGTGTACCGCCTAAACAAGCCGCATCGATGTGCTTAAAAAACATTCAAAGGCGTTTTAAACAAACCGCAGGAGTCATCATTCTCACAAAAACTGGTGACATCGCGGCTGCTGTGACAGCTTCAAGAATGGTTTGGGTTGCTATAAAAGACGGAAAAGTTTTTTATGGAACCAAAACTGGTGAAGTCCTTGTTGATTAAGAACGAATCGTCCCCACAGCAAAAAAATCTATTTATTGTAAACAATCCTTATACAAATTAAATTTTAAATTAAACTCACTCCATCTAGCGGTAATTAGAGCAATCGTGTTTTTGACATTTCTTCTTCACAATGATAAGACGTGGCATATGGGCGATATGGGCTTAGCAATGGGATTTGGAAACTTGTCCTTATAACTTCCTAGTCACTGCGTTTTTGACATTTAAATCATCCCGATTCAATTTATTTTAAAATTGTGATTTTACCACGAGAAAAAAGGTGAAATCATATCAAAATATCTTTTTAAGTATCCAATCTATTTACTTACAGCGATTGTAAGTACCATCACATAATTTTTCCCCCGAAAATAATCAATCAAATTTTCATAATATAACTTTTTTGGCATCTATTTAAAATTATATAGGTATTTTTTAAAATCGGTATTATTATTAAAATGAAAACACGGTAAGTGATTTGATTTTATTAATTTAAAATCATTAATTAATAATTATTTAAAAAATTTAAAACTAATTTTGTTTTTGATAGTTGGTAATCCGTTGTGTCCGAAACGTCATTGGTTAAATTATTTGAAAATTAATAGTTTTGGATATATTTAAAAATTGGGATTATGTATCATTACAATTATTACAGAGGCAACACTTTATTTTACTATAATAGTCTATTTATTGTAAACAATCCTTATACAAATACAATAATTATTTAACGAAAGTCTTTCTCTTCAAAGAGAGCAACTCTTAAAATCTATATTATTATATCAACAGAATACTGAAATTTTCCTTAAATCGTAATTCTAATAAACTATTTATTTAATAATAATAAATTCAATGTGTGGAATTAACTCTCTTTCTCATTTGAACGGACGGAGTTGGAGGAAGAGAAGGTGGAGGAGTTGGCGGAAGATGGTGATGAGAAGGCGGAGGAACGAAAGGAACTGGAGTTGGCAGTAGAGGCGAATTATTCTGGGGAGGAACAATAAATTTATGCGGATTAGAAGAAATTGAAGGAGGAGCCGAATTAGAAACGGGATGAGAATCAGAAACAACAAGATTAATAGGAACATTTGGAGGAACACGATGAGGAGGCACATCGTAGTGGTGGAAAAGAAGATGAGGAGGTATAATAGGAGGAGAAATTGTGTTATCCTTCCTAGCGAGATATTCTTTATAACTCAAATATTGCGGTTTAAGACCCTTTTCGTTAAACAACTCCATAAACAATTTGAACCCAATCGGATTATGTTTATTCAGTATCTGCATTTTAGTCAAATACACATAAAACGATTTAAAATCGTCCGGAATTTCCGACAATTGCTTTAACTTCTTAATCTCATCCACATATTCAGTCGGATTAAGTAACCCTTTTTTTGATAACAAATCCAGCGGCCCACCAATCGCAACCGATCCATTTAGTTGGCGCACATTCGCAACCATATCGGACGAAATAGACGAGGAGGAAGATTGAGGGGAATGATGAGATGAACCGTGCGATAAATTAGGTTGAGAGTGATGTACTGGATGCCGAGAAATACGATAATTAGGATTAATAGATGAATCAAGCTGAATTGATTGAGGTTGATGAGAATTGGGAGGTTGAAATTGAGGCAAATGAGATGAATTCGATTCAAATTGAGATACATTTTTTGATTTTTCAGGTTTGGTTGATTCTGAATGAGGGGAAATAATCCTCCCGTTAGTTAATTGAGGCGGATGAGAAATTTGCGATGACCGAGTTAGCTGAATAGGAGGGTTAGATGAGTTAGGATTTTTTGTTGAGGAATGAGATTGAATTGATTGATGGGGAGATGTTCGTTGAGGATTAAGAGATTCAGATAAATTTTGTTTCTGACAATTTCTGTTCACTGCGAATTAATAAAGTAAAAACCTGTTAAACTTTGAAAGTAAGTTATATAAATTTCCACAAAAATTTTTACTTACTTTGGCCGCTTGAAACGTTAGGAACCGGTCTCGAACCTTCTGCAACCCTCCCACTATCCAAAACAACGACTCTCTCATTCGTTGATACATCATTCGTTGTATCACCATCAATTTGGGAGATGACAGTATTAGGAAATTGTTGCTTAAAATTTATTACATCTAAAGATTCGTTCATTCGCTTCAATTGCGGTTCGAGATTCGTTTCAACTCCAATTTTTTGATCTTTTGATTTGGTTCTTTTCGAGTAGGTGCGTTTCACCGGTTGTTTAACGGCAATTTCGTTTGGTTTCAATTGATTAATTTGCAATAATTGCTTAATTAATTGTTGGTACCGTTCTCGACATTGAATATTTTTGCGATGAATCCCCGTCATGTCAATTTCAATTTGTTGGATATTTCTAAGATGAATGTGTTTATATTCTTTATTAACCAAATTACTCAGTTGGATCTCCCTTTGTAGGAGCTCATTTAATTGTTTTAATCGCTGACTCATATCAGCATTTTGCTTCTCAAGTTTTTGAATTTCCTGTAAAATTTGATTTTCGATTAATGGGATGTCTCGTCTTGGTTCGATCATTTTTTGTTGTTCTGGGATTCTTTTTCTTTCTTCGTTTTGGACTATTTTTTCTTGTTCTCTTTGTAGTAATTGGTTTCGGATGTTGTAGGCTTCGATTTGTTGTTGTTGCTTATGTAATAACTCGCTCAATTGGTTTTGGTACTCCATTTGGGATCTCATTTTTTCTTCTTGTTTCTTTTGGAGTTCTTTTAGCTCCATTTGGCGGCGTAAAATTTCCGTTTTCTCCTCCTCCCTTTTTTGTAGCGCCCTTAATTGATCTTGATATTGCAATGCTTGCGCTTTTAATTTCTCCTGCTCTTTCTCTTGTATTTGTCTTAATTCGTTTTGATGTCTCAAAGCCTCCATCCATTGTTCGTGTTGTTGTTGCATCACTCTTATTTGGTTCTGTTGCAATAAACTTTGAATTAATTGTTGTTCTTTTTCGAAACGTTCTCGTTCCTTTTGCTTTTCCTCCATCTCTACTCTTTCTTTTTCTCTTTGTTTTTGCTCGAGTTCGAAACGTTCTTGTTCTTTTTGTTTGTCCTCAAGAAGCTTTTGAGCCTTCTCACGTTCTTCTCTCAGCAACTTTTCATTTTCCTGCAACTCTTTCTCTTTCTTTTGTAACTCCTCTTCTTTCTCCTTCAATTCTTTCTCATTTTCATTCGAATTTACTTCATTATTTGGAACATTTTTAACACTTTTCTCTTCAACTTTATTTTCTTCGTCCCCAACAGGTTCAACCTTAACCGGAACCTTAACTTGCTTATCCTTATCCTCCTCCGAGTCACAATCCGAATCAATTTCAATACAAAGAATCTCCGTCACTTTATATTTAGGCTTTTTCTTCTCCAGCTCAGCAATTTGCTTCTTTACCTCCTCTTTATTATCACCATCATCTTCATTAACTTCCCCTCCACATTTCTCATCTCGCTTCTCCTTCATTTCATTCTTTTCATTCATTTTCTTCCCTTTATCGCCCTCATTTTTAACTAAAACATTTTTAATGAACCCAAATTAACCACAACAAATTAACTTACCATTTTCTTCTTCCATTACAGGTAAAACGATCATATTAGTCGAATCAACGATGTGGACCCGATTCCAAATGATGCAATTAACTGAAGCCAAATCAAACTTGGGACTGAGATGTTCGAAAACCCGATAAAAAACGTTCTTATAAAATTTCTCTTCGATCGGAGTTAAAATTGGCCCTGTTATGACTTTGTCATCGAAGATCATCTCTCTAATTTTGCGGGTGAAGTCTCGAATGCATCCCAATAACGAATCGAAGTTGTCTTGATCTCCGCTAAGGGGATAATTAGTTGCGATGTGATTACACTTTCTTAAAAATGATTCAATATCAACCACGGCAGCGCTTATAACTTGTTTGTGGTCGTTAAAACAAGAGTAATCGCGAATTGCTTCGATTAAAGCTAAGAAATTATCTAAAACTTTTGGGAATTCCCGTTCTAAGGATTGATGGGGATCTTGATTGTCTTTTAGCAAGTTTTTGTGCGTTAAATCAGTTGAAGTTTGGGATCTTCGGCGATGTGTTGGACCGATTGGGGTGGTAGCTGGTAAATGGTGCCTTCCAACTCTCGGCCAATCATCTGATTAGAATAAAATGAAATTTCTTCGAATTAAGTGGTAATAAACTTACCGTTTGATCCAGAACAACTTGACGTGGCTGAAGCTGAGTGTGCGCGAATTAACCTTTTTTTAAAATGAGTAATTGGCTGATTTGGAACGGTGGGTTCTTCTTCGTCGTCGTCCTCCTCGTCACAATCATTCCTCATCTTCTTGCCAACATTCTCTGAGCGACTTCTTTTGTAAGCCTCTTTTATTTTCGCCCCTTTCGCCCACAGTTCCTCGCAACCCTTCAACTTGCTTCTCGGTATCTTTACCACAATTTCCGAAGAAGTTCCAGGTTGTGCTTCGTCCATTTCACAATCGAATCACATCGCAAGTGGTACCACGACTCAACGCGAAACATGTTTGCTGACGGTGATTTATATTAAAAAGCGACTTGGTGGAGGGAGTTCTTTTATCTAAAAGGTGATATCGTCTGAAAGAATGAACGGTAACCTTTGAATTATAAACGTGAATAGGTTTTTAGTTACGTGTGGTATGCTAGATTTTGATATGGTTTTCATTTGAGATTTTAATTTCTTTCTGGGTTTTATATTGCATAGATTAGCGTTGAATGTTTTTTTGTTCGGTTATCGAGAAAAGGAAGGAATGATTTTTTAAATATCTTATCGCTCATTGTGGTATGCGGTTAAATTGAATAGTTTTAGTAGCATTCACTTCAAAATAAATTTCGGAAAATTTTTGTACAAGATAACAAAATTAATTTTAATCAATTTCATTTAATTTTAGATCGAAGAGGAACATTTAAACCTTGAGGACGAATTTAATTATGTTTTAGTAGAATAAATTATCTAACTTTACGGAAATTTGGGTGGAGGCGGGGGTTTATCATAAATAATTTAAGATAATTCAAATTATATCAAACATAATTTTTTGAATAGTTACTCGCCCCATCTATATTTGACATTTTAAACCTCCAATTAATTATTCCTATAAATGTGATTTTACCATAAAAAGAAGGTTAATTGAACCTTACATCCTATCAAAACACCTTGTTAAGCACCCAAACTACTTATTTAAAATGATTAATCCCCGAAATTAATCGACGAGTTTTCATAACCAATTTTTTCAATCTTTTATAAATTTAAATTTAATTTAATTCTATTTAATTCAACTTCTAAACATTAAATAAAATTCATTTTTACAGTCACCCCATCTAGGGGTAACCGGCCGTATTAATCGTATATTTGAGATTTAAAACCACCCCATTTAGTTTATCTTAAAACTGTGATTTTGCCATAAAAAAAGTTTAATTGAAATTTAATCCGCATCAAAACACTTTATTAAGCATTAAAACTACTCATTTAAAGTGGTTGTAACTTCGATTAAGTGATTTTTTCCCTCGAAATTAATCAACGAAGTGTTCATAACCTTACTTTTTATCCCCTCAATCTTTAATGTTTAAATATTTTTAAAAATTGGGATAATTTATTAAAATAAAATCAGGGTAAGTCGATTTCTTATTAATTTTAAATCATTAATTAATTAAAAGTTTTAAAATTAATGTTTTAATAAAATAAATTTCACTTTTGACAGTTGGTAATCGCGGTATCCATGGTGATTTAGTTAATACATCAAAACGTCACAAACTAGTTAAATTATTTGACTTTTAAAAATAACTTACAGTAAAGAAAAGTTAATAAAACAGTGTATAAATTTATTGTGTGGTGTCAAAAAGGATATCGTGGTGCGTATACAATTTATTTAAATAATCCAAAAACTTTGGCGAAAATAGATTAGCTTGGTTTCGTTTTTCTTCTCGCCTCCTTTATTTATAGTAAGAATGAAAAGGGTCAATAAAAAACCGCTGACTCCTTTGAAATGCTAACTTGGTTCTTTTAAAACCCAAACATCAAGTAGTAAATCAAGTTTAGAGCCTATTGTTCTTATTGCGTTTTATCAGGTTGTCAAAAAGCATTAGAAAAGGCCAATTTGCGCGTTAAGAAAGGTATTTTTAAGTTTATTATCGAGTTGATTCGATAAAACCATTAAGAGCGCAAGAATCGAATCACTTAAATAATAACGTATTCAAAGATGAGGCATTATGATTAGTTATTAATATGTTTTTTTCTCGTTCTTATTGATTTTGAATTAAGGATGGGGTTGTTAATAACAATGTTTAAGGTTTAAATAAGACGGTGAAATGCTTAGTCTGAAATCGGTGGCAATTTTAAACAATCTCCTCGATATATTCCTCCGAATAACATTTTTAACGATAAGATAAGATACCTTCAAAGTACCTCTTTGATAAAAACTCGTGAGAGATAAACAAAAACTGTAGTTTAGAAATTTTTGGTTTGGTGTTTATCAATAAATTAACGAAGTTGTGCTCAGAAAAACATTGTAGCTTACTTACGTTTTCTTAAAAATCTTGTGTTTGTTTCGAATTTCAATTCAAAACAACTTTACGCCGGGTCAGTTAGAGTTGTAATAGAAGAAAAACTCCCGGATCACGTGAATTCGGCTCCGATAATGTGGCCGAAGAGCGTGTGGCCACGTCAGGGAAAGAAAAAAAATCGATTTTTAACCGCAATTGCAAACAACTGTGAAGAAACAAGAAGATGATTGAAAAAAAATCTCTTAAAACACGTGGTTGATTAAGGCGATACGAAACGATATACGCAACGTGCGCTATACGAGTGCTAACGATACGATTCACTCTTTCCTATTCTCTTAACTCGCCATATCAGCTTCGGTTTTCTTATCTTGGCCCCTTATCTGCAATGTTATCGGTCATGAAACGCCGGTGAGGCTGTATTTTCACGACCAATCGCATTCTTACAGCCAAAGTCGCTTCATGATAACATCCTATTTATGTTTCGTAAGCAATCTCGAAGAGTACAATCCCGCTAAGTTAGTTATCTAATTAAATATTGCAATTAATTGGATTTTGAGGTTAACATTTCAAATTAAAGTTCAAATTTTAAATTAGCGCCATCTACCCAAAAACGACGTTTACGTCAAAATAATGACTTTCAAAAATAGATGGCGCCACCAACACCGCTTTTTTTTTTACAACGCATTTTAAAGTGTCAAAAATAAAACATAACCTCTTTTTGAACACGCGTTTCGAAGAACACGCATTTAATTTCAATTAAGTTAAAATGACGAGATTCGCGCGTGCGAAAGGATCAAAATCATCCAACGAAAGGGTACCCGAAGAAGCTACATCATGGCAAGAAATGCAACAACAATTACAAGATAAAAAACGAGAAATTGACGATGAAAAGAATCGCAAAAAAGCTGAGGAGAAGCGCAAAGAAAATTATAAAAATTTTTTGGATGAATTAGACGATTCCAAAGAGGTATCATGGGCTGAAATTAAAAGTGAAAAAAATGAGACCCCTAAAAAGGGGAAAAAAAGGAAATTGAGTGTGTCTCAACCACAAAGTGAAGAAGTCAACGGTAAAAAGACCCCGAAGAAAATAATTAAAAAAAAATACGAAGAATTAACCGAAGAGGAAAAGAAAAAGGTTGATAAAAAACGAGAGAAGAAATCGAAACAAATAGAAAAAAGAAATTTACTTAAAAAAGAAAAAATCCAAAATAATAATAACAACAAAAAGAAAATTCCTAAACCGAAAGATAATAAAGAACACAAACGAAGAAAACCGATTGAAAAACCACAAACTTTACACATAAACGGAACAGTCATAAAAGTAACCAAATTTGAAGGTTTCCCGGTTAAATCTGACGACGCAGAGAGACTAAAAAAACTCCGAAAAGACATGATTTCGAAAGGAATCCCTCGCAGTGAAATTGAAATCGCCTTAAAATTAGAACGTAGAAAAGCCGAGAAAGCCCTAGCTAGGGAAAAGAAAAAAGTTTGTTTTAATTGCCGCAAATCTGGCCACGTTTTATCTGAATGTCCGAATTTAAACGATGATAAACAAGATACAATCGCTTCAGGTGTTTGTTTTAAATGTGGATCAACGGAGCACACTCATTTTGAATGCAAAGTTGTTAAAGATGATAATTATAAGTTTGCTACTTGTTTTATTTGTAATGAGCAAGGTCATATTTCTCGACAGTGTCCCGATAATAATAGGGGTTTATATCCTAAAGGTGGGGCGTGTAAAGTTTGTGGGGATGTGACGCATTTAAAGAAAGATTGCCCAAAATATCAAGCGCAACAGGAAGCTTTGAATGTTGAAGTGGATAGCGTTAATTTTGACAACATCGAATGTTTGGATGGGGAGAAAAAGAAGGATAAGATTAATATTTTGTCTAATAAAGTAATTAAGTTTTAAAACGTTAATTATAAATAAAATGATAAAATATTTACAACCTCTTAATTTTTATTTATTTTAATAATACACCAATTATTTTCTATACCATAATTGGATCATATTCATTCTTTTAACCTTCTTTTGTAATTGTAATACTCCGTAAAGTAAAGCTTCAGCGGTTGGGGGACAACCAGGTACATAAATATCAACTGGAATAATTCTATCACATCCTCGAACCACTGAATAAGAATAATGGTAATATCCCCCTCCGTTAGCACAACTTCCCATTGAAATAACCCATCTTGGTTCGGGCATTTGATCATAAATTTTTCGTAAAGCCGGTGCCATCTTATTAGTTAATGTACCAGCGATGATAATCACGTCTGCTTGCCGAGGTGATGCTCTGAATACTACACCAAACCTAAAAAAAACTGTAAGAATTTATTTTAAAAAGAAATAATTTTTACCTATCCATATCATATCGTGGAGCAGCAATATGCATCATCTCCACAGCGCAACAAGCCAAACCGAAGGTAAGAGGCCACATAGACCCTTTTCGACCCCAATTGAGCAAATCATCTAATCTAGCCAATGAATAATCGACCATATTATCAGTTTTAACCCTAAAAGGGGAATATGGTTTATATTCCGGAACTGGAGCCGGTGTTGATTGTTGCCTTACGGATGGCCCAAACGCACCACAAATAGCTTTTAACCCATTATTAGCTAATAAATTTTGAGTGCTAGGCACCAAAACCGATCGAATCATCTAAAAAATAAAAACATTTCTATAAAAAAATTTTCTTATAGGTTATGTTATGTCAAATTGGGCTATACGCTAAATTTATTAACTTAAACTAGAAAAATTAGTTAAATTAGGTTCTTTAATAACGCGATTAAGATTTCGTTTAAGTACCTTGTAAAAATGAATTGCGTACAATAATTTTTTGGATTTATTTTGAGATTTTTACGTAATAAAAACAGAGACTTCCATTTAGGGGAATTTAAAATGGTCAGGTTGACCTGTCAGATGAGCTTTATCGATTTATTAAGGAATAATTTAAAATTAATTAAACAATTAAAATTAATAATTATTTTCGATTAAAATTATTTAAAATAAATTAATTTTAGTTTAATAACTAAAAATTGTGTTAAATTTGTTATTAGGTAAGTAAGTTGGCAACAATGAATTATACTAAAAATTTTTGAGGTTATGTAGTAAAAAATTTATTTGATTTAAAAAAATAATTATTTTCGATACTATAATTGAACTGTTCGCATATTTTTTATTTTCTTCTGTAATTGTAAAATATCATACATCAGCGATTCAGCTGTTGGTGGACATCCGGGTACATAAATATCAACGGGATGATTCTATCGCATTCTCTAACATTCTTCCTTACAGCCGGTGCCATTTTATTGGTTAAAGTCCCAGTGATTATTATATAATATCAGCTTGTCTTGGTGTAAATCGGAATAGTACCCCGAACCTGAAATTAAATAATCAAATTAGTTAATTTGTTATAAATAAATTAAGAAAAATCTGGCTTAAATTTAAGTTGGTACTACAAGTTACTATTTGGCTTGTTGCTATCTTCGTGCGGCCCTTTTGGTTAGCGTCAGCGTGTTGTGATGGGTTTAAGTGGATAAAAATCATGTTTATTTGGTATTGTGGTGATTTTTTTTAGTGAAACTCATAATTTCCTTCATCACTACCTAAAAAAATGTAAGTTTATTAAAAAAAGATGAAAATCCTTTAACGTATTATTCCAATAAGGGCGCGACATTCGGGTTCGGAAAGTGAAGATAAAGAGAAGAAAAAACTCGAAAAATCCAGGGAAAGTCGAAAAAGAACCGTTTCAGGATCCAGCAGCAGCGATAGTAGCGGAAGGTAATTAATAAAATTAATCATATTGACTAATTTTTGATTGATTAATCTTTAGTTCATCCGATTCGAGTTCATCTTCGGGTTCGAGGAGTTCTAGTTCGTCAAGTTCTAGCACCAGCTCAAGATCGAGTAGCTCAACTTCCGATTCATCTACTTCGAGTAGTGATAATAACCGAACTAGACCAAAACGAAGGTCTTCAAGTAAACAAGCAAGGCGTAGCCGAGAGAAAAAACTTAAGGATGATGGCGGTGAAAAAGAAAAATCGAAGGATAAAGAAATAATTAAAGACGAAGCAAAAAAAGAACCCGGAAAACCGCTGTCTAAAGATCCCAACGCGAAACCTCGTTCGAAATCACGTTCGAGGTCCCCAAGACGTAAACGAAGGAGGCGTTCACCCACTCCTCGTCCGACGAAAATTCATATCGGACGATTAACTCGAACGGTTACAAAAGAACATATCATGGAGATTTTTGGCACTTATGGGATGATTAAACACGTTGAGTTTCCGAAGGATCATATTCACCCTCACATCGGGAGGGGATATGCTTACGTTGAATTTAATAATGCGGATGAAGCTGAAAACGCAATGAAACATATGGACGGAGGACAAATCGATGGACAAGAAATAACAGCCGCTCCCGTTTTAATCCCAAAACCCAGACCTTTACCCCCAAGACGAAGCCCAATGCCAATGCATATGAGGAGACCCCCACCTCACCGAAGAACCCCACCGCGATTTAGGAGGAGATCACCGATGAGACCTCCGAGAAGAAGCCCTCCGAGGAGGAGACCTCATTCGAGGAGCCCCCCTCAGAGACGCCGAAAACATAGTAGATCTAGTTCTAGTAGTTCAAGATGATATTTTGGTGTGGCGAAGTTTTGATTTATGAATTTGTATAATTTTTTTGACGTATTTTTTGCTTCTTTTAATTTAAGTTGTGAGTGTATTACAAAATAATGAAAACTAAATCTTATTTTTTGAATTGACATTAATTTTTAGGTTAATTAATGTCAAACACATTTAAATAAATCAGTTATTAGAAATCATGTCTCTTTTTCGTGCGATATCCGATATATCCAATGTTATTTCTTTTATTGCCTATTGCCGAGCTGATCACTCGATGATGTTAGCTCTTGAAAGCACAACCAGCGAATATTGGATACCTTCCATTAAAGTCAACGATGGTGATAATTGGAGATCGGAATTATCAAAGGAAATTATTGACGTAAGATTTATGAAATTTTTAATTGATTTTAAAATCTTTCTGTTTTAGATTTTTCAAAACGATTTAATCACGAAATTACACCGCATCTTTAAGATATGTTTACCCGATCAACAAAACAGCACATGGGTGTATCATTGTATTTATTTATCGGTTATCTCCGACGATGAAAGGAACAAATCAAAAGCGTGCAAAGGAAAAGTGAGTTAGGTGGTTAAAAGTGAAATCGACAATTTTTTTTAATCGACGGAAAATCACTCTAGTAAGCAATTATAAATAAAAAAAAAGTACGGGAAAAGTGTAAAACATACTGAAAAATCACTTTAAACTACAGGCTGAAGACTATTTACTGAAACTATTCTTCTGTTGAGTGATATCTTTCTGTGTCCCTTCCATTACAGATTTAAAAATTGCTGCTACAACACTCGATTCTTGGTCACCCAGATGCGAGATATCTTTTTAGACGGGGTGGGGCCACTCTGTGTAAACGTAACATTCGGATACACCTAATTTACTGATTTATTTCAGAATTTTGTGTAGAAATTCCACTTTGAGTTAGGTTAATTAACATTTAAACCGGTGCGAATTTCTCAAATGTCGGCTTGGGCATGGAGTAGAGGGTGGGTTGTAAATTCAGGATTGGGTTAGGATTCGGTCTAGTGTTAGTTCTAGTATTAACACAGAGTCTATTGACGCACAGTCTATTTAATGACAGGTAGTCAGTCGTTATACATCGAAAGCCTAGGAAAAACAGTTTAGTGAAAATAACTTAATTTGAAGCTTATCAGATTGATTTTGTGTGTGGCTATAAAATAAACAATTTGTAGGTTAGGTGTTGACCCGTTTAATAGGAAAATGCATGGTTAACATTGCTGGTGACGTCACATCGTAACTTTGTGATTTTTCGATATGTTCTACACTTTTCCGCACTTTCTTTTTATTTTTAACGTGTTTTTTTTTGAGCCATTTCACAGTGATTTAAAAAAAATCATCTATTTTTAAGCCACACGATGATTCTTGAATCTTTCCGATAGTGAGTTAATCCATTTTATTATTTGTATTTTAATTTTTTTTAGTTTCGAGGAAAACTTCGTTGGGTTAACGACTCGGAATTAATAAAACTTTTACAATCGGCGGGTTTAAGAAGCCCGGAATTGATTATTTATTACAACTCAATTAGGGAACATGTCCAACCAAATTTTGTGGCGAGCTATAAGATCCCTTGGGCCACCGAATACGTTCAAAATGGAAAACTCACAGAAATCGGAACGGAAATTTTAGTTAATCCAGGCCACTCAACGGTTTATGAACAATTAATGGAATCGGCTGGATTTGATATTCAATGTAGTTTGTTTATCTTTTTTTAGTATAATTTAGCTAAATCGTGTTAAATTTTTAGTACAAACCCAATTATTAAAGGAATTTATTTTTTTGTCTTTTCCGTGTGTGTATATGGGAAAACAAGCTTTTATACGATTTATAATGGAATTGGGGTGGGTTCGAGAAGATGCTCAATGGGTTTTTAAGTAATTTATTTATAATTAATCTAATCCATAATTAACCATTCATAATTTTTTTTTAGATCAGCTGATGTCGCAAATCGAAATGGGATATCTTTTCGTGAATACATTTATTTTCTTGGAGCCGTTGACCCGAATACATCTCATGGGGGTGGACCGGCGGAGCTTCGATGTAGATACATTTTTAGATTCTTCGATAGAGATTGTGACAACGTTTTAAACGTAAGCGAATTTGCCCAATTTATAGGAGTAATGAGAAAGTCGAAGAGTATCCCACCGGACGTCGCGGAGCAAATGAAGGACGCTGATGCTATTTACAAGTAACTAATTCAATTTTAATTATGTTCATAACCCATATTATTCTTAGGCATCTAGGATTCTCAAATAACAGCCAATTAACGGTCGCGGCATTTCTCGTTGCTGTTGGTACACTAAAGATACGAGGAACATCTCACATTTTTCGATCAGCAAAAACGGCACAACAATACATGCAACAAACCTTGTAAAAAAAACTTGTATTCATAATTTATTTGTGATTCATATCCTATTTTATTTTTATAGTCGAAGAGAACTTAAATTTAAAGCGCAAGAACCCCCGGATATTAAAAGAAAAGGAACTGAAGGTAACCTAAAAAACCTTTTTTCGGGATTATTTTGATTTTTTTGACTTTCGTTGATTCATAAAAATTTTTTTTTTAGGTTTTTTAACTGGATACAAACTTCAAGTTGAAACTAAAGGTTATGAATTAGCAACTCATATCGTGCGATTACAACGAAGCGCAACTTTAATTAATGTTGATCAAATATGGAACGCTCAAAGTAAATAATTAAATTAAAAAAATATCAAAATTAATTAATCAAAATCATTTTTTAAGCTGCTTTGAGTGCAACGGCTTTAACAATCCTCCAAAAATCGACTCCAGAACAATTAAGAAGAGTTTCGATGACTGTTTTCAACCAAGAATCGGCAAGTAACGAGTTATTAAAAAGTTTGCGATATCTCCACCAATTAAACAAGCAAAAAACTTATTCAAAAGGAAAATCAAGTTTTACTTGGGGCTTATTAGACGCCGCAGTGTTCGCTAAACATTTAATGGGAGTTTGTGAGCAAGTCCAAGGAATGATTAAAGCGGAACCAAGATTGCTCGAGTTACAATCGCCTATTTACGTAATGGGGGATCTTCACGGAAACTTATCGGATTTAATTAGTTTTGAAAAAGTGTTTTGGCATTTAGGGCCATGTTTGTGTCCGTGCAATTTAATTTTTTTGGGCGATTACGTCGATCGGGGAGCTTATGGATTAGAGGTGATCACTTATTTGGTTTGTTACAAACTTCAAACTCCCCAAAAAATTTATTTATTGAGAGGAAATCACGAAATTCGTGATGTTCAACGATTATTTTCGTTTTACGGCGAGTGTATTAATAAATTTGGAAATAAAACTGGAGAGGAAGTGTTTGAGGCTGTGAATAAAGTATTCGATTGTATGCCGCTAGCTGCAACAATCGACAGAAAAGTTTTTTGTACTCACGGTGGCATTCCACCTCCGTATCTTTGCCCGGTTATTAATGCAATCAACCAAATCCCCGTTCCGTTAAGGTGCCCAGACCAAGAAAGTGCCTTAGCTTGGGAATTAATGTGGAATGATCCTGTTAAGTAAGATGTTTGTAAATTAATTAACTAAATGTGATTAATTTTTGTTTTAGAAAATCAACTGTTAATGATACAACAGCAATGGAATTAATGTCAAATGATGGTTTTGCTACAAATATAAGACGAGGGACTGCCCACGTTTTTAGTGTTGAAGCTTTGGAAAGATTTTTGAATGCGAATGGGTTATCCCATTTAATTAGGGCTCACGAAGTTGCAGGAGCTGGATTTAATGTAACCTCATCAATTAAAAATAATACAGTACAACCTCGATATAGCTAAAAGTCTGTTACATGAAAAATTTCTAATATTGTTGCACAAAGCAACACTTAATAACAATTAGAACTAACATTACAACTAGAAACATTCGGGTTTAGTTGTACATCTTTTAATTCATACTTTTGTATGTTATTTGTATTTCCTCCAAAATAATTTGCCAACTTCGTTAGAAGCTGTAGATTTATTAGGGTTATAACCTGAACAACTCCTAAGATATTTCAAACGACGTGAACATAGGTTATGTCGTGTGTTTCCTTCGGCGGCTAAACCTGAACGTTTCTAATGCTAGTCTTAACTCTAGTTTTAGTTGTTCAGTTTGGATTGTTGTATATTCTCATTGAAGTAAAACTAGAACAAACACTAGACCTAGAACTAGAAAGATTCTAGGTCTAGTATTGGTTCTGGTTTTAATTTCTATTCAACGCTAGATTATTGAAAATTTTTATTGAACTAAAAGTGGAACTAATACTAGAATTACAAACATTTGGATTTAGCCCTCTCAGGAGACGTGGCGCTAAATCCGAGTATTTCTAGTTCTATATCTAGTGTTAGTTCCACTTTTAATTCAATATAAGATAATAACATTTAAAAGCAGAACTTCCGTCCTTGATTTTGGACATTCATTTTTATCCAGTTTTTGGATATGACATCAAACATTTTGTTAGTTCTAACGAGGTTCATTATATCGAGGTTTTACTGTATTTTTTTATTAAAAAAAATTAATATTTTCCAGATACAACAAAAAGCTAAATTATTAACCGTATTCTCCTCCTCGAAATATTGCGGTGGTCAAAATGAAGCAGCTTGCATTTTGGCGGATCAAGGGAAATTAAGAGTTTTAAGACTAGAAACATCGTCTTAAACTTTGTTAAAACATTTTAATGAATTAAAATTAAAATAATCCGTATTCAAGTTGTTCCCCGACTGAAAGGCTGCTAACGAATTTTATATTTTCAGCTATTTCGTAACAAAGCTTTGCGAGTCCGACTAATTCGTTCCCTTCTTGTTTGTTGAATTTATAAACCATCTCTAAATATTCATCGTAACTAACCCATCCGTCCATATCGATATCGGTCTCGTCAAATTTCTGTTTTCTATATTCGCAAGAACTTTCGTCGCCTAAACTTTCAAGAACGGCAGAACTAAAATGAATTAAATTTAATTTTTTTTTTAATTTAAAGAACATTCGTACAAATCGTCGAAATTTAACATCCCATTCAAATTTTGGTCGAACAATAAGAACAAACTGTGCAAATTTGAGATTGTCAATTCGTTCCAACCCGGAAATCTTTGCATCACTTTTTGTAAATTGTATTGGCGATTTTTCTCTTCATTTTCGCGACTTTGTCTTCGCTGTTCTAGTAATCGGCTATAAAAGGCTTGGACGAGTTTGTCGTATTCTGTTAAAGGGCCGTGGGTATCTTGTTCTTCTTTCGGTAAAGGTTCTCCGGTTGATGAAAAATCTTCTTGGCGATAAAAACAAATCGGTTTTCTTTTGATGGGGTAATCAAATAATCTTTTTAAAATTCGACTAATTCTATTTCCCATTTTTTTAGTTAAACTTTTCTAAAAATCTTTTATTAAATGTCAATATTTTTTTAACGAAATTTTTATTTGATTTATTTGACATTGTTACTATGAAATTTATTTATGACAGTAAGGTTAGTTTTGTTTTGTAATGCCAATTATACCAGCCTATCCAGGGTCATGTATGCATGACGACCATCGCAAGCTATCATGCAAGATTGACCGTGAATGGGGCTGCATGAGACGGTTTCTTTGATATAAGAAATGCCGTTTCTTACATCAAAGACTGAACAGCATACATGACGAGCATGCTTGACCGTGGATAAGCCCCTTTACAAAATCACGGGATGGTTTTCGTGTTGCAAAAAAAATTAGGAAACAAATTCAATAAAAGCGAATTCATAAATAAATAATTTTTCACTTGCCTTTGAAATTAATGAAACGCGTATGATGAAATACTGTATGTACAATAAAATATACTGTACAATAAAATTAATTAAATCAGAAAAAAATTTTAATATTAGAATTAATAACAACCAACTTGAAGTTAATAAAGTAATATAATAATTATTGCTTTAGGAATGAAAAAAAAAAGAAATTGATTTTTGGGCGGCATCTGTTTCACCCTAGCAGAATTAATTGGTTACTTGCAAAAGAGGGCTTTCGATTTGAAGGATTAGTTCTACTATTTAATCATAGATCTCGCTAGGTTATTTTTATTGAACCAACCCTAGAACTAGAAACGTTAGGTTTAGCCGAAGAGACGCAGGGCTAAACCAGAATGTTTATAGATCTAATGTGAGTGTTAGCTCTAGTTTTTGTTGTCAAGTCCGTTAAAAGAATTTTAAGAACCTTACTCAATTCAACACAAATGTATTGGTTAATTAATTACCAAACCAGCTGTGCTGCTGAGCCAAATGCATAAATACTTAAAATAAATAATGAAGCTTTTCTCAACACAGAAAATTTACAAATTATTTTTATTTCAAAGGAATAATTCCATGTTTCCCGTACAATTTATAGATGATTCATTTTTGAAGCATTTTAGAGCAAACCTCCAACCGTACACACCGATTTAATATTAACAAAAATGAATTCCACACAAACAAAAAAAAACTCAATCAGTTAACAACTTTATCCATCACAGTCGAAGCAACGACATCAATCGGAATTTCTCGCTTCCCATCGCCCAATAAAGCAATAGTGCATAACGCAACACAACCAAGCACCGGGACTAAAAGGTACGTATACAAAAATTTCTTTTTTTTCGGAAAATCAACCTTCTCCAATTTATTACAAATATCGTGAAGTTGCACCTCGATTTGTCTCATTTGCATATCGCGCTTCCTATCGTTGTTGGCGGTTACCTCGTAGGCTTCTCTTAATTCCGCGATTTCTTCCATTAAACACATACTAGGTGTCGGGGATATCGTCGCAATTAAATTTTTAAGATCACCATGAACGTAACTGATAGTGGTGTGGATCTCGTTTAATTGGTTACACATCGAGGTGCAAGCCGTTTTTAATCGATGAATATCCATCGGATCAATCGACTCATTACTCATTCGAGATTCATTTTCGTTTAACTCAACTTTATCGTTTATTATACTTTTTAATTCGCTTTTACTATCACCGTTTTGATTCGTCGAATCAAACATTTCAGTCGATTTATTTAACTTGGTCGTGGTATTATCATTCTTGGGGTTAAACATTTTCATTAATTTCATTAACGATTGGAAGTGTTCTCGTTTCGGATTCATTTGGTATTGGTGGTTCCAAATTCCGTAAGGGCGATTCATGTAGGTGTATTTTTGGCGTAAATCGCCGTTTAATCGCAACGATTTTAAGTAGCTATCTTCTCTTTGAAGAAGAGCCTTTAAGTTTAAATCGCCGTGGCTTCGATTTCCCGATGGGTGGATATCGTTTGATCTGATATTGTGTACATCAAATTGTTTTTGGAAACGATATTGAAACGAACTTTGATTTGGAATGTCGTTGAAGCTGTGTGGGTATCTCGATCTTAAATTGAAATGATCCGAGGATGGAAAAAGTTTTTCTTTTTCATTTTCTTTTTCGTTCTCCTTTTCGTTTTCCTTTTCGCTTTGCTTTTCCTTTTTTATCTCGGTGTGTTGCAAAGAAAGTGATAATTGACTGGATAATTGTTTTAATTCTTTTGAGATATCTTGACCATTTTTAGCGTTATTTTCTTCTGAAGCTTTCTCCTCCTCCTCATTAATTTCTTCTTTTATTTCATCATTGTTGGGCGGTGAAGAATTGATGGGTTCTTGAGTTTCTGGATTATCATCGGTTACCTAAATTTTGCTTGTTACAAAAAATTTAAAAATCAATCAATACCAACCTTCATGGTGAGGAGATTTTCGTTTAAGGTGAATCGATATAAATTTTTGGTTCTTGGCGAAGAATTCGATAAGGTTCTATCAACAGAAAATTCGCCGGGTTGTTGAATAGGGCCGGAAGCACTCTTACAAAGTTGGATCGTAACCTGGTCATCGACGATGTCAACTCCTGACTTGCAAGAGTCCACTTTGTGAAGCATAGTCTCGGAGCTTCTCCTGTAATCGCACACGCTCATCTTCTCGCTTTCGTAATGTTAATGTAAATTTCGGAATTTTGCAGGACCATTTAGTAGGTAAAATAAAAACGATAAAACCCAAGCGAAAAATTTTGACACAATCAAAATTGACGTTCACCACATAGATTTTTTTTGTTTTTTCCATGGAGGAAATGATTTAGCATTTTTTATAATCTTTATTGAAAAAATTAATTTAAAAACAACACAAATCCAAATAGACGCACAAATTCAATAAAAACATTTTCAAAATTTCCAATAAAAAATGGATCTCTTTATTGATATCTCCCAAAAGTCAGCGAATTAAGCAAATTACTCTTTTTATCAAGGTAAATCCATAACGGTCATATAAGTGTACTCATCCACCATAATCGCACTTTGATTGATTTTGGATCCGGGGGCCGGGACGAAACACACCGTGTCCTTGTCTCGTTCGCCTCCGCATCCGCTTTGGGGAAATCTGCCCGCCCAAACCGCGGTCATTTGGAGGATTTTCATCGAGTCCGTATCGCTGCATTCGAACCTTCCGATGTGGCCGTCTTGTTTTCGGATTGGGGCGTCGCATGTTATGCTTTGTTTCGATGTTAACAAAGCGTAGTTTCTTGTTACTTTCAAAGAATCCATTTTTATTTTTTTTTAACGAGAAATTTTTGATGAAAATCTGACAGTGATTTATTTGTGTTCTGTATTTACATGGTAACAAAATAGCTCACATGTATGTATTACGTTTAGTATTCCAATTAAATCTTTAATCACATTTTCTTCTATATAAATGTCAATATGTTATCGAAGTGGTTGTGTTATTGGGGCAAAAGCGTAAGCACTTTAGAAACAAATAATAGAGATTTTTTCAATATAACTGTGTCATTTAGTTCCGAGGCAACTTTGCTGCAAAGGAATGAGCGTTTAAAAGAAATAGGTGTAGCTTTCTTAGTTGCAAATGTATATTCTTGTAGCGCGACTACTTCAAAAACGAACGCTGCCTCGGCAAAAATATAATACATTCATAATGAGTAAAACCTTCGTTTTTTAAGTACTTACGCTCCTGCTTAAGCAGCTTAGCTGCTTTGGCAATTATACCAGGAATTTCATATAACTCGCAATATATGAATGCAATAACTATAGTTACGAAACCACTATGGACTTGCACTGTCCCACATAAAATGCAACATAGCTTAATAGTACAGGCATTGCAGAGTTTTGCAAAGCAAAAGTTTTGCTTGGAAAAGGTGAAGTCCGGAATGTTTCTGATTCTAGGTCTAGTGTTAGTTCTACTTTTCATTCAATAAAAATATACCACAATCTAATGCTGAATACAATTACAACTAGAACTAATACTAGACCTAGAACTAGAAACATTCGGGTTTAGCCGCACATCTCTATATGACACATTTATAATGAAGAAAACCTCCGTTATTGAAGTACTCCCGCTCCCGCCTCAGCAGCTTAGCTGCTTGGGCAATTATATAATACATTCATAATGAGTAAAACCTTTGTTTTTTAAGTCCTGACGCTCCCTTAGCAGCTTGGCTGCGTCGGCAATTATATGATACATTTATAATGAAGAAAACCTCCATTATTTAAGTACTTGCGTTCTCGCCTCAGCAGCTTAGCTGCTTCGGCAATTATATAATACATTCATAATGAGTAAAACCTTTGTTTTTTAAGTAGTCGCGCTTCTGGCTCAGCAGCATAGCTGCCTCGGCAATTATACAATACAGTCATAATGAGGAAACCTCAGTTTTTGAAGTATTTACGATCCTGCCTCAGCTGTTTCGGCAATTATATGATACATTTACAATAAAGAAAGCTACACTATTTTTTTTAACACTCATACCTCGGCAGCAAAACTGCCGCGGAACTAAAATTAAAATGATTTAATTTAATAAAAAATACATAGAAAGATCACAAAAATTTCTGCAAAAACTCCAATTTTTTTTAAATAAACTCCCATATTTCTCATGGTTACAGTAAACATTTTCAGTCGATCCTCTTGCTGTAAAATAACCTTTTTATAATCCTCCAAATATCTCATCGTAGCTTGCAACGAATTAATAATTTCTGTACTATAAGTAATTTTTTTCTTCGGAATCATTTTGTACCCATCACCGCCTTCAACCAAATATTTCGTGGTAACCACATCATAAATCTTCGATACATTCAAAAGTTGATAACTGGGCACTTCGCATTCGGCACATCTCACTAAAACTTCCATTTCAGGCGGGGAGGTGATCTCGTTGTAAACAACTTTTAACCCGGAGACTTGCAAAAAGGCATTTGACCCGATTCCTTTCATTGAATGTTCTAAAATTTTAATTAAAGTTAAACCTGAAATTCGTATAGTTATTAATTGTTCTTGATAGGGTAAAGCTTCGTAAAGAAAGGCTTCGTTTATTAATTTTCCGTCTTTACTTATATTTAAATTCGATTTAATTGAGCCGCTATTTATTAATCCAATTGCAGCTGTTGTCCAATATAATCCGGAACTTTGTGTTGCTTTAAAATCGCAAAAAGCATCGGTTATTAAATTTCCTAGAGTACATTCCGATTTCGCACAGGAGATTCCATCTAAACTCGTTAAGGTTTTTCCAATTATTTTTCGTTTCTTTTTATCTAAATCGTCTAAATAATGATTTAATAATTTTAATCCGGTTTCGTTTTGTTTAATTTTTTTATCCATCAATATTAAATTTCCTTTAATTCCAATTAATTCCTTATTATCGTTAAACTTTACAATCAATTCCCCTAAATATTTTCCATTAATGTAACTATGAGCGATGGGAATTAACGAATCATCACTTAATTTTATTATTGAAGGATAAGAACTCGTTACGTGGTTTGAATCGTTCAAAGGTGGCTTTCCGTTGTACATTAACATATTTGATCCAGAGCCGATGATTATTAAAACACAATCGGAGGTTAAAGCGATTCTTTTATCCACTTCGTAACGTGCGTGTCCAATTGCGATAACATAATCGATATCGTTCCGCTTATTAATTAAACTGCATTCATCTTTAATCGTTTGAACCACATCCAAAAAGTCCACTTCTCTCGATGTTATATAACCTCGATTTGTATAACCCAAAACTAAAATTTGTTTACCATCAATTTCAAACGTAACATATTTATAAATTAATTTGTATAAAGGTAATCGTTCATTAACGATTAAATTAGTTCCAACGACGGGACATTTCAAAGAACTTATAAATTGAGTTAAATCGTCAAGACCATCAGTGAATTCCCTGGTACCCAGCGCCTAACAAAAAAGGATTTAAGAATACTTTTATATAATGTTTTTGCTTTTACTATAGCATCGGGTTTAAGTAAATTAATAAAATCGGAAACAATTCTCCATCGGTGAATTGAATACCAAATATTTTCCCCAAAAAAATTTCCAGTCATAAAAACCAAAACGGGGGGACCAATTCCACTCTCAAATTCATTTCTTCTTTGTTGAACGTATTGAAGGATTCGAGAGAATCCTCCGATTTTATTTGGAGATTCTTCAAATTCCGCATTTATATCGCTTGCGTGAAGTATCATCAAATCAAAACTTACCACGCGGTTACACATTAACACAATTAAAATAAATACTGTTAATTTCATTATTAATGCATTTCCTATCTCGTTAATTAAGATTTTATGTGAAATAAATCTTTAAATAAAATCTTTTAGTTTTGACTTTTGACAGGTAATAATCGTGAAGTTAGAATCAAACCTGTGAATCAACAAACATAAAAACAGTCATACCAACATCTTCTTGCTTTTAGTTAACCTCAAATTTGTGTGGAAACATATATAATTTATTTTTAATAACAAATTCAACGTAATTGAAATAAATGTTTAATAAAACGTGTTTAAAATTAGTGCTCTTACCTTGACGTGATCCAGCAAATTAATTTGGGGGTTTGATACAATCAATTTTCGATGCAAAACTTTAATTCCTATTAAAAAATTAAATTGAAAGTTTATTGTTACATTTTAAATGTATATTTGCCACTTTTTTCTTCTCATTTCCCAAAGATATTTAAACTAAAAATTATTGTTGTTATGGTTTTTGTGGAAAATAAATGTAGGTAACTAATGAGTAACATCATTAAACTATATTTTTCATTATTTTTTGTCCTACGATTAATTTAATAAAATAAGACAAGAAATGAAAGCTTAAAACGCGTAATTACCTTTAATCTAGATAGAAAATTCATAGCGATCTCGGATTTCGTGGTAATCACTGGATAAGTTAATAAAACAAGAACGGTACTTAAAGAAAATGACATTTAAGATGATGATGTTTGTAGCGCCATCTATTGTTAGATGAGATAACAGTATTAAAATAATTTTAAAAAAAAGATTATTTAATAAAATAGTATTGATATTCGATTTTGTATCGAAAAAACATTGGATACATAATAATTAAAACAGAAATGTAAAAATATGTGATAAAAGAAATTGGTGCCTTAGCGCCATCTAGTATTAATAAACATAATTCATATTAAATAATTATAATAATAATAAAATTATTAAATTGAAATAATTTTGAAAGAAATCATAATTAAAAACATATAAGGTCAAAAAAAGTATTTTTTGGGTTATGTTTCATGTCGCCATCTATTGTCAACTTAACTATTATAATTGTTTTGAAAGAAATCAATAATAAATAATTATTTAAAAATTAATTAATAACATTTTTATAATAAAAAACCAATAAAGGAATGGTAATTAAAAAAGTATTTTTTAAAGGAATGAAAAGCATTCGTTTAATCCTCCGAAATATTAACCGGTTCAATAAGTATAACACATAATAAATGAAATATGATCCTCGGAAAATTTCGAATTAAAGTTTCAGTATTTTTCCTTTCCTTTCATTTTTAATTCTTTTAACATTTTTATTTTAGTTACGTGACTACGTTTATTTTTTACGTTTAAAAGCAAACTTATGTAGTTCAATTGCATTCGTGAATGTAATGCATTTCCAAAGAAAAAAAAAAGCCGTGCTTTCACTGCACTATAAAATAACTCATGCAAATAAGACCAAAGAAATTTTTAACCGGTTATTTATAAATAAATAAAAAAAATTAAAATCGAATTTTATTGACAAAAATTATATTGAGATTAAATTTAAAAATGATTAAACTTCAAAATGACATTTAAATGTCAAAAATGACGTTTGAGTTTTGTAGGGATAAAACGATTTTTTTTGGAGTTTGCGCAAAGTTTAGATTGAAAAATCGATTAAAACGGGTTGCGCAGATGTGTACCAACTGTAAGAAACTGTAAACGTTAAATGTTAGTGCGGGAGAAGTAAATAAAAGTGATATAACCGACTTCTACGAGAGTCGAAGTGGAAGGATAGTGCTTTTCTTATTTTGAATCGTTCAATACAGAGTGGTGAGCGCGCGTTGTGTTTGAGTTTCCTCGTTCAATTTAAACGAAAACCATCTTCGAAAATGTACTCGAATTAAAGAATTATTTTTAATAATAAAATTGTAAAAGGTGAGTTTTAGTAATTATTTTAATTGGTTTTAATTTGTTTGCGATCTGAATTTTATTAAATGCAATTATTTTTAATTATTGTGACGTCCCTGGTTTTGCGGTAAACAAGTTTGAAAGGAAACCTGTTGTTGTTAACAATTTTAAATTAGAGCTAGATAAAAAAAATTTGTTAAAGGGAAAGTTTTTCGTAGGTTTCCCTTTTATTGCTGTTAACACACGCATAAATCGACAAACGCATATAAATTGCCTTTTTAAAAACTACAAAAAACAAGAATGATTTGAATTTTTAATGATCTTAATCGAGTTTAGAAAGTTATTTCATAAAAAAAGGCACAAGTTTATTTTTTAAAATCGTTTTTGTTGTTTCGGAGGAGGAGATGTCGTTGTAACTTGTAATTTTATTTCTTTTTTGTGTCAGGTAATGGTGTCAAACCTTGTTTGAGAAGTGAATGACTCGTTGAAAAAATAAAATGAATACTTGTTTGTAAATCCTTTCACTTAGACGCTCGGCATTGGATTTGTTATAGAAATTTTTCGCAATTACATTTCATAATACTTATTAGTTTCAAAGTCCTTTATAAACGAAAAACGATTTTTTTGTTTACAGTTTGTTGTTTTTCCTCCAACAAAAATGGTTTCTGAGTCAGATTACAGCACTTTAAGATCAATTGTGGATATAATTGGCTTCGTGATGATATCTGTGGCACATATCATCTATGCCATCATTAAAATGTGCATCCCAAATTCTTATAAACCAAAGAAAAACATCGCTGGAGAGATTATTTTAATAACTGGAGGAGGCAGCGGCTTAGGAAGACTCTTAGCCATTAAATTAGCCCGATTAAAAGCAATCGTCATCGTTTGGGATGTCAATGAAGAAGGTTGGTAAAGATATCTAAGTGATGTAACACAAAGTGTCGTAACCTTAGAAAATTCTACATCATTACGTAACAAAACGAGATTTAAACTCGATTCAGTTTCTAAATAAGCTTCAAAATGGTCTTAATCGACGCAAAAAAGTAATTTTAAGAGTGTGTTTGTGGAATCAAGTTCATCGTCTTCTGATTCATTGCCAAAGTTCGATGAACTTTCGAAAGTTGCGTTTCACTTTCTTCCATTTCTTCGTTTTATGCTCATTTAAAAATTAGAAAAAAACCCAATTGTGTCCCCATGTCCTGTATAGAAAGTTTCCGTTAATTATCTAAAAAACATCAAATTGGTGTGAATTTAGAAAATACCAATGCAAAAAATAAATGTTAATAATAAAAAATTAATTGTAGGTATTAAAGAGACTGTGAAAATGGTTCAAGGTGATGGGGGAAAAGCCTACGGATACAAATGCGACTTAACGAACCGTGAAGATGTGTATAAAGTTGCGGAAAAAATTTTTGTTGATGTCGGAGAGGTAAAAAAGAGAACGTTTATGTTTTTAAATAAAAGTAAAAGTAAGAATCTACTGACACAGATTCAAAAAAATTTCTCGCCTACCAAATGTCATAAGGCTATTAACGCATTTCATTAACAACCGAACAAAAAGATCAAAATGCAAATTCGTTTCTTTCACAATTCTCCTTTGAAAATGAAATTGTGTAAGATCTAAACCTTATTGTTAACTTCTTTTAGGTTACCATATTAATAAATAACGCCGGCGTGGTTTCGGGGTATTTGCTTTTGGATACTCCGGACCATCTTATTCAACGTACTTTTGAGGTTAATGCAATCTCACATTTTTGGACGACCAAAGCATTTTTACCAAAGATGATTCAAAACCAACACGGTCATATCGTTACTATCGCTTCAATGGCTGGCCATACCGGAACCAAAAAATTAGTCGATTATTGCTCCTCGAAATTTGCAGCCGTCGGTTTTGATGAAGCACTTCGTGTCGAATTGGAAGCACTTGGTATGTTTAAAAATAATTGTAATCTAGTTATACACTTACCTCGATGTTTCTTTCCATAAAGACTGAATATCATTTTCTTGGGTTTTGAGACAGATTTGTTACACATCTTGTTAAGACACTTTCATACTAAAATCGACAAAAAATACTATTTAAAGAGATTAAAAATTAAAAAATAATTTACCTCAAAATTGAGAAGAAATGACAGCCCATTTTAGGTTATGTTTTGTGCCGCCATCTATTGAGAGCTTGGATAATTATTTTGAAAGAAATCTATAAAAAAAAACAATTATTTCAAAAATTTATAAAAAATTAATCATTTACTTGATTATTTAACGATAATTTATTAAAGAAGTAATAATTAAAAAAGAAGTAATTAAAACATTGATAATAATAGCGATTAAAGTATTCGTAAATGCTTAAATTCTTAAATTTTATTCTTAAAGAAATATTTAAAATATTAATTGTTTTTAAACAATTAGAAAATGATTGGTACAATCCAAAATATGACCTAATAATAACTAATAATTATTAATTTATGAAAACGAACAGTGTTTTATGATAAATAATTAAAAAAGGGGTTAAATCTTACTTTAAATTTTACAAGTGACAACTCACTTTAGATTATGTTTTATGTCGCCATATTGTCAATTGAAATGATTATTTGAAAAACATAATTATTAAATAAATTAATTGAAATCAATCATTTAATTGATTTTTAATCGATAAATTGTTAAACAATAAATAATTAAAAAATGAAATAAGTAAAACATTGATATTTATAACGATATAAAGTTTACCATGAAATTTACAAGAAATGACAACTCATTTTATGTTATGTTGATATCGCCATCTATTGTCAACTAAAATAATTATTTTTAAGGAAATCTATAAAAAAGTTGTTTTTTTAAATAATTAAAATTTATTTACTTGATTTTGTTTCGATAAATCATTAAATGTTGAGTCCTAAATACTTAGATACTTGTATGGGTTGGCCAGGAGATAACTTTTTGATCTATTTCCCCTCTCACAAAATAAATAAATATTTACCTTTATTTTCTCCTTTTTTGATTAGGTATAAAAGGTGTAAAAACAACCGTTGTTTGTCCATATTTTATCCAATCAACGGGGATGTTTAACGATGTAAAAGCCCGATTTGTATCAAAATTACAACTAACGCATGTCGCGGAGCGCGTTGTTAAAGGAATATTAAGGGAAGATATTTACGTTTTTATCCCATCGATTTTCCGATATGTTTTCTGGACGAAATGGATATTCCCATGGGCGATAGTTTCGATGTATTTAAGAAATTTAGTTCCGGATGCAAATCCCTCGACGAGTTTAACGCAAGATTCGATTAAGGATCCCACATTCACCGATTTGGCGATGCTAAAAAAGAAAGATGATCAAGATTTATTGTTATCCGATGAAAGAATATTGTGAGAAAAGAAATTATTTAGATTTATAATAAATGTTTTAAATAAATACGGTGAAATTAAAATGTTTTATTTCTAAATCTAATAAGATAAAGACACTCGAATCTTACGTGACCGAGCAAAAATCGTTATGTTGCAACCGATAAACATTACGTTATCGATGTTACTCGATACATTTAGTGGTTTATTTCAAGTGCACACGTTAAACAGTACGCCACGAGCGACATTTTTAATTTGTTGTTCCAAAAAATTATTATTATTAATTAAAAATGGTCGAGGCGATGGAAATTTTGCAACAAATCGGCCAAATTTTAGCGTTTTTGGTGTTAACGTTGATGTATAGTGTGCGGAGTTTAGTTAATTTCTTCATCCCCGCGGCTTATGAACCCGTTAAGAATGTTAAAGGAGACGTTATTTTAATAACGGGGGGTGGAAGCGGATTGGGGAGATTGTTGAGTATTAAATTGTCAAAATTAGGGGCGAAAATCGTTATTTGGGATGTTAACGAAAAAGGGATGGAAGAAACCGTTAAAATGGTTAAATCCAACGGGGGAACTATTCATCATTACAAAGTTGATATTACAAAGAGAGAAGAAGTTTATAAAGTTGCTGAACAAGTCAAAAAAGACGCTGGAGATGTAATTAAATAATTATAAATCAAAAAAAAAATTTTTTTTGGTGATTTTTTCTTTCTTTTAGATTACGATTTTAATAAACAACGCGGGTGTTGTTTCTGGTTATCACCTTTTAGATATCCCAGATCATTTAATACAAAGGACTTTCGAAGTTAACGCAATTTCACATTTTTGGGTAAAAAATGTATAATTAAAATGTTAATTAATTTAGTACATTTTGAAATTAATTTTTTAGACCACAAAAGCCTTTTTACCATCGATGATCTCCAATAAACGCGGTCATATCGTGACAATCGCTTCAATGGCGGGCCATATGGGGTGCTCAAAACTCGTCGATTATTGTTCATCGAAATTCGCCGCTGTTGGTTTCGATGAATCGCTCAGAGTCGAATTAGAAGCACTCGGTAATTAAAAAAAAAATTGTAATTTAAACTTTTAGTTTCAAGATAATTTATGACACTTAACTGATAAATTTATCTTTGTTTTTTTTAAACGTTTCTAACGCATCATCTCAATGTCATGACTTTTCTTTAATTAGTAATTAATTCTATTTTTATTCTTTAGGAGTTACTGATATAAAAACAACCTGCGTTTGCCCATTTTTTATTCATGGAACTGGGATGTTTGGGGATGTTGCCCCCAAATTTACCCCCGTTTTAACGACGGAACAAGTTTCCGAGAGTGTCATTTTGGGGATTTTACGCGAAGATTTATACGTTATGCTTCCAAAATCGATGAGATACTCGTTTTGGGTTAAATGGTACAATTATTTTCTTAAAAAAAAGATTTGTATTAAATTATTTTTTTTAGGATTTTACCTTGGCAGGTTATCTCCATGTATATGAGACACACCGTTCCAGATGCTTGTCCTACTCCGGGGATGAAATAAAAAACCATTATCTAAAAAAATAAATGTTTTATAATGTTTTTTTTAAATAAATTTGATTATAACCTAAATAGTAAAATTTAATAAAAGAACCCTGTATTACCGATATTTTGCAAAACAATATTTTCGCTAGATGGAGTAATCAATAAAATAACTTATTTTTGACAGCCCTTTTAATTCATAGGTTATGTCACCAACAAAACAACCCAATGATTTTTGCGTAAAATAACTTAATATAACGAAATCGATTCGTTTAGGGAATAAATATGAATACAAACGTAACATATAACATTTAGAACACTTAGATTTACTATCATTAAAGACGAAAATGACCGATATCGGCAATAAAATCAAACTTTATTTGTAAAGATTCAAAAATCAATGATTTAACATCAATTTATTCATTATTACCGATATCACTTCTATTACCTAAATTATAAAGTGTATTTTTAATAGGTACACGAAGAGAAAATGGGGGTTTTTACTCCTTAAATTATCCCGAGTTACACATTCATTAAAATTAAAGAGTTAAAAAACTTTTAATGGCCCACCCAATCGATTACGAAGATAATTATAGGTATAAAATAACTTTTTTCTATCTTAAATTACTCCAACTTAAAACGTTAACCGATCATGACAACTCCAAGCGAGCTTCTCGATGAATTAGAAGCCAGAGATCCTTTATTAAAATTTGCTATTCTTGGATTAGAAAATATCGGGTTAAACCCACTGGAAACGACTAAAAAAACTTTAATAAAACGATTTATTTATTTCGTTTCGGTGGCGATTCCATTCATCTTATTATTTTGGAGCATTATTGATCATCGGGGAAACGTGCGATATTTAAATATGGATGTGTATTCGCCAACGCAACAAGTAAGAATTTAATTTATTACAGAAAATTAATGAATATGTTTTATTTTAGATTTTATTTAAATTTTTATTCATTTTGTATCTTCGTAAAAACGTTGGGGAAGTCATGAAAGGCATCGTAATTTCCTGGCCGGATAATATATTCGGCAAAAAACTTGAAAATGAAATTAAAAAAACCAAAAATGATTATATTCAATTGTATCGCAAGTATCGGGTTGTTATTTGGGGCACGGTTTTTATTTATACGATTAAAGCCCCGATTTCTTTGTATAAAGTGCCGTTGTTTGTTTGGCACCAACTTTTCGATGGCGAAAATTACAAATTAATGATTTTGAACGTTATCTTTCAACAATATTACATAATTGTTGTTGGGTATTCTTTGATCGCTTATGATGCCTTATTTTTTGCTTTGATGAGTCATTGTTACACGCAGTTTCAAGCCATAAAACATGCTTTTGAATCTTTGGACTACGACGCTGACGAATATGTTTTGTATAAAAAATTTTCTGATATCGTTAAACATCATGGGTTTATTTTGGAAACTATTAATGATGTAAATCGGATTTTTTCGATTCAACTTTTAAATCATTTCTTTACTGTTATGATCAGTTTATGTAGTGGAATTTTTTTACTAAATTTGAATGGGTTTCCACCTTCATTTGAAAGTATTTTAACCTATATACCTTATTTGGCATGTTATCATTTTCAACTCTATTTATATTGCGCTAAAGGACAAGATATTTCAGAACAGGTAAATTTTTCGTTCTTCGTTTTGTATTGCGGCTACCGAACCAGAGATGGCGCTCAATATTTTAAATTTATTTATATTTTCCAGTTAATATTTATTTTATTCTTTATATAATTTCGCCAATCAAAAACATCAACGTAATAAATTCGTTTAATATTTACCTGAGCTCAATGATCAAAAAATAAACAAACATAACCTTACTTAAAAACAACTACTTAAAAAAGTGTTATATTTATCTAAGGTTATTTCATTTGCAACTTTTGAAGTCCTTCCCATTTATGACGACACTTTATTATTTAAACAACTTATTTATTCTTTTTTCGATTCTTCTTTAACACTTTTTCTTCTGCGTCTAAACAATCATTTGTTTCTTTTTACTTTATTGGTAGCTCTGAATATTCAGGAAAACTGTTTAAATAAGTGTCAACAAAGCCCAAATTCATTTAAATTACTTCTTTTTTAGGCTGAAAGCGTTAGTAGGGCTATTTACGAGTCCAAATGGTATTTATCTTATCACAAAATAATGAATAAACCGATTCGAATGGTCATGAACATCACAACAATTCCGAATAAGCTAACTATTGGTGGATTTTGGTTTTTAAATTTAAGAACGTTTATGTTGGTAATAAAAACGTCAATGTCATTTAACGCTTTTATGCAAACGGTTTATAAAAAGAATTAAATTCACCTAATTTGAATAGAATTAGAAATAAAGAGTTTTAAGCATGTTTCGTGTATCTTATAATTATAATTCATCCTTAATATCATTATTATTGTTACTAACTAAATAATGAAACAAATCATTCGGCAAAGTAGCATTGTAAAGTTCCTCAGCTAATTTGTGATATCGTTTCCTCAAATGGTGGGCCCCCGCTTTCGGTTGTCGATTTCTCGTGAAAATTCCTTTTTTATTACCACCTACTCTTGTGTATGCTAAAACAAAACAAATTAGCTCGTAATACTTGTATTTTTAAATATTACTTTGTGCCGTTTTAAAATCGGCAAAATTCCAAATAAATTCTCCAACAAAAAATCCTTTTTCTCTCAGCACATCAAACGCTTTAAAATGTTGCGACATCAACTCCACTTGGTATTCTTCAGACCAAATAAAATTGGGGTGCTAAAAAATGTTTAATTAATCGAAATTAATTTTAAGTTAAATTTCTCACAATGTGTAACCCCTCTAATGTATCAGCCCCATATTCCAGCATCATAACCGGCTTATTATGCTTTTCAAACCATCCGGTAGCTTCTTCAATAACATTATTTGTGATGGTATCGAGTCTCCCCCCGTTTTGGTACCAAGCGTTGTATCGATTAAATCCGATTATATCTAAATGCTCAGCCTAAAACGTTAATGATTAAACAAACTATTAAATAACTTTATAACTCACCGATTGATCCACTGAGACGCCTTGAGCTATTGCGATTGTAATCGGTCTCGATTGATCTAAAGATTTAACGTGGGTTGCAACATCCCTGCATAAGAAATGGTAAAACAAATTTTAAGGATGTTTAATTATTGAAATACCTAAAATAGGGTCCTGCGTTAATAAGTTGAGTCCTCGGCTCATTAGCTATCGACCAAGCAACAACACTCGGACGATTTTTATCCCTCTTAATCAATTCCGTAAGCGATTTTAAATGTTTTTCTAACAAAGCAACCGAAAATATCCTAAAAATGTAATACAGAACCCTGTAATAATGTTTAACATTATTTTTTTGATTTCGTTTAAAATCTTACTCAGTATTAACACTTGGGCACTCATCGATGATCATAATTCCTAATTGATCGGCTAAATTCATAATTTCTTCGGCGTAGGGGTAATGAGACGTTCGGTAAGCATTCGCCCCAATCCATTTAATTAAATTGTGGTCTTTAATGATTGTTGGGAAATCTAAACCTTTCCCGCGAATATCAGAATCTTCGTGGCGTCCAAATCCGTGGAGATATAATTTTTTACCGTTTATTAACCACGTTGTATTGGACCAAGATAACTCACGAATACCAATTTTTAATCGATAAACATCTAAAAGTGATCCATCGGAAGCGGACAAAAATACTTTTAAAGTGTACAAATATCCAGGGTTCTCATCCATTAAATACGGCCACCAAAAAGTTGCATTTTCCACAGTTAATGTTCCAATATCGTCGGTGCTATAAGCAACAACTTTTTCATCTTGAGATATTAACATCACATTGCAACTAGCTGATGTAGTTTTCGGAAAATATGATATGTTATAAGAAACATAGCCGGTTTTTCCAACTATTTTTGTATTTATCATGATGTCATCGATGTAATCTTTTGGGGTTGTGTACAAAGTTACTGGGCGATGTATTCCGGCGTAATTAAAGAAATCAAATGAGTACGATTGAGAATAAACTGTTCCTTCATCACTAAAAGAAGAAAGTTGTTAAATAATTTGGTGGATGAGGTAGGATTCGACCTTACGTATCTAATTCTATAACACTTCCTTGGGGAATCGTATCACTTAAAAGTGTGTTATCACAAGCGACCGTAACTCGGTTTTCTTCGCCAAAATTTAAAAGATCATTAACTTCTGATTGAAATGGTAAATGACCTACTTCATGGTTCATACTTAATTGACCATTAATCCACTAAAAAATTAAAAATGGGTGAAGGAACCAATTCAACCTAAGATTCTAAGTAAATTATAGTTTAAATTTAGTTGATGTAAGCTGGGGGAATTCCCCTTCTATATAAAGATCGATACTTGTATGCCGTTTTATTAATTCTTATTGGGCAAAAGCTATAATTTATAATTTTAATTAGCAATTAGAATAAATAGTGTAATGTAAAATTAGTAATTATGTCACAAATGACAGTTAGCAAATTGAAACGTCAAAATGGCATTTCAGACAAATGTAATAAAGCGTAATTAATTTTTAGTATTAAATAATTATAATTAATGTTTAATATTGACTTTATTAAATTAAGGGGTTAAAATTATATGCTAATCTTTAATGAAGGTAAATTTTTCCGTAGAAATAAAAATATAAAATTCAATGCCAACCCAAGAATTAAAATTTATTTATTATTGAATAATTAATGTCTTAATTGGAATTAATGCTTATATAAACTATTTTTTGTATACATTTGCATAAACGTAACGATTACTTGGAAATTAAAGAAATATTACTTGGAATTTTTTAAATTTAAATTTATGCGCCATCTATTGGTTTGTATTGTAACTTGTAATAGATATAAAATTTATCTACAGGTAATAAATGTAATAATATTCATACTTGGTGGAAAAGAGATGAACTATCAAGATTTCCATTAATTAGACGGAGATTAAGATAACCTTATATTAACTTTTATGATGTATCTGGATATTTAGTGCATAACCTCAAAATTAATCGTAAACAAATTAGTTTGCCCGTAAACAAATTATTAGATAGTTATTTATCCAAATATACTTAAAGGTTGCAAAAAAAGTATCTTTTTATTTTCTAACTAAACGTTCTTACCACTTGTGCTGCATAACTAACTGAAGAAAATCGGAGCCAAACCCTTTGATTTTGCCAAGATTTTGGTACAAAAAACGTTCTGTCGTACCAAACGATTCCGACATGATCTCGAATGTTTGGATCTTGCGTTATATCGTTGTAACTTGAGGGTACCGGCATCAAAATGCTTTCAATATCATCAGACTAAAGCGTTCAAAGAAGTAATTTAATCGACCCTAATAGAAATAAATACCTTTTGGAGATCCTTTCTGTACCAAAGTTGACGGAATCCGATTAGGGGATCGGAAATTGGCGCTACAGCAAAGTTCCAAATGCCGTCCAAAGAGATGGTTTCTCTCGTTTCGGATGTTTGGGGGAATAAAATACCTTCTTGTTGGGTACTAACCAACGAAATCGAGTAGGATAATAGAATCAAAAAAAACATTCTTTTAATTCGTTAAAACAACAAAGAAATTTGACTTGGTTTTGGCTTTAAATAGGTATTAACAATCAAATTTATGTTATCAAATACGACCTACTTGAATTTAATTTTAGATTATCGATCCTATAACAAAGAAACCAAATTAAATTTAGCTGTTAAAAGATTTAAATGCACTCACCGATTTAATTTTTATAAATAACATTAAAACCTAAAAAAAATTGAAAATTATGAAATTTTTCGTTTACATAACCGCGAAAGTAATTTTCGTCGATTTCTATCATTAAAATAACGGGTGTTCTCGATAATAGAACGTTACACAAAGAGATAAAATATTGTTGTGGCTCAAACATGTTGTTTACCAAAGCGAATCGTCGTCCTATCTCCCTCCTTAATAACCATTTAACATACACTTTGATATCGTTTAAATACGTCCGCGAGAAAATATTTTATTTAGTTTGTAAATAATTATTATATTAATTTAAATATCTATATAAAACTTCGATGTCAGAAGGTTAAAAACCTACAAATGTAAATTTAATTCAAGGTTAACCAGGAAGTAACAAGAAAAATCAGGTTCTTAAGAATCGTGATTAACACGGAGAATAAATAAATATTAAAACAAAAGAAATCTAATAACAATGTAATCAAATTAACAACACAAACTATCGATTAATTACTCCTTTGATTTATTAGCTTTTTTCTCGGCCTTTTTAGCCGCCTTTTCAGCTTTTTTTTTATCCGCGGCGTCGTGGTAAGCAGCCTTTTCGTCCGGATTCATATCCCAAGGTCTCCTATCCGCTTCGCCCCAAATAACGTAAATTATATTCGTTATTGAAGCTATCGCGAAGATAATCCACATCACGATAACCCATTGTTCGAATGTATGCTGGATAAATAACAAAATAAATTTATTTTACTTAAAAAAATATGCGCGATTTCCAGTAAATAAGCACAAGTCGTTTGCGGTCGAGGCATTACATCGACGCCATAGCATTACAAAATTTAACAGTGTGTAATTAAATACGAATTTTTATTCAAATGGAGTGTGATAGCGAGCGTTTTAATGTAACTATGTGATTTCGAGTAAGTAAGCCGAAGTCGCTTGCGGCCGAGGCCTTACATCGATGCCAATTCAAGCAGTGTCAAGTGTTTTATTAACAGTTAGTAGTTTTACGCAATGGAAATGTCTTCTGCCAGTAGTATCTAGATTTTTGCAAGCAATATTTAGTCTTCAAATAGTAGTTTCTGCACTTCTCCTATGATAATCATCTGTTTTTCCAACAGTATTAAGTGTTTCGCATGTAGTACTAAAAGGTTTATAACCTTTTTGTACTTCACTTCACAAATTAACTTAACATACAGGAAATTAATTACAGATTGGACCCGATACAAGTTGTGTAGATCTTCAAATAATATTAACCAAATTTGTTTTACATTATTATGTTAGCTAATTGGAGGAAAAGTCCAAGACGACAAGTTCGGATTCCTTTTAAAGGATTTTTTATGTAGATTAATAACTATTAATGATTACTATGATATCTTACATCAGGTGCGAGCCACCCGACTATTGAAGGGCTCATAATCCCGGCAACAGCGCCTAAACCATTAACAATCGCCATAACGAAGCCGGAAAAATTCTTTGTTAAATCGATTACGTTGACTTTTAAACCACAATAAAAAGGGCCCATTGTAAAAAGGGATAAACATAAAAGAATGATTACACCCATAACCTCACATTCTAAATACGGCATTATTAATAAGCAAATGCTTGGAAGAACAGACGCTTAAAAAGAAAAGGAAATTTAAATAAGAATAAAAAGGGGTTAGTTTTTTTTGATTTACCTACAGTTGTGTAAAATTTCCTTGTAAAATTAACATCCCATCCCCTTTTTTTGATGTTATAATCGCCCAATTGGCCACTAATCACGCTAGAAATCCACTGGAGGATATAAGGCATCGAGTTCACCCACATATTTTGTTTCATGTTAACATTTAAAACCTCAGAGAAATATTTTGGCATGTTCGTGGCCAAGAAAAAAATTAAATAAGCGTGCCCAAATTGGCCGGCTACCAAAGCCCAAACTGCCGGATCCAATAAAATTCCTTTTACGTCCAATTTTAATTCTTCCCTTTTCGCTAATTAATCAAAAATGAGTAAAATTATAAATTTAATCAGTTCAATTACTTACGAATATTTTCGTTTAAGAAGGCGTACTCTTTTTCAGTTATAACAGGACAAGAATCGGGATCGGAATACAACCAAATTAGCGCGAAAAAATACCAAGTGATTCCCAAAGCCCCCCAAATATAAAAAACCGATCTCCAACCTAACGCTTGGTGAAAAACCCCCGTCACTAAATTCCCGATTACGATTCCCCATGAATTTGCAGCAAAAGCAATTCCACCCATTGTTGCTCTTTCAGTTTTTGGTATCCATCGTCCCATTAAAGTAGTTACATTTGGGAAGACACTCGCTTGAGCAATCCCGATAATCGCTCTAAAAATAACAACGCAAACAAATCCACAATAATCAACAATTAAAGGGAAAAGAATCGTGCAAAACGATGATATGCAAATTGATAAAGTAAAGATGATGCGAGCTCCAAATTTGTCGGAGATGTATCCACCGGGGAGATGCATCAAAACGTATCCTACAAAGAATGATGCTAATAAAACTGCTTGGTCTTGTTGACTCCATTGTTGTTTGTTCTCATCCTAAAATTTTTAAGTTTCTATATAATTAAAAATTAGTATAGTGAAATTTCCCTAATTCGTCCTCGAACTAGTGCTGGTGTAAAACTAGAACTAACACTAAAACTAGAAACATTCACTATTATCTAGTGTCATCATAGGTCTAGTGTTAGTTCTAGTTTTAATTATTATTCAGCACTAGATTGTTGTATATTTTTATTGAAGTATTTGAAAAGTTAAATAAACGTAGGTATTTGAAAAGTACACTTCTAATTTTTTCTTTAAAGCTGAAATGAAGTTAATTTTTTTCTAACTCTTAAGTTTTCTTCCGCTCCTTTGGCGATTCGAATTAGAGGAATTTCACTGTATATTTTTGAGTATTATTACGTTAGCTCTAGATCGTAGTGTAGTTCCGTTAAGTTCTACAGCACAAGGACTCGGGGCTGTTTTCTCGCATTTTACAGCCATTTCAGCAACAACCATACTGAAATTAACACGTTGTCCATAACTAACAATTATAGCGGCCGTAATTAGCATCACCAAAATGAATCTTTGTGGTAAATAACATTCTAAAAAAGTTAAAACAAAATTAATTTTTTTAATTAAACCGAGTAAAAAAACTTACTTCCGCATTCAGATCGAAGAAGACTCCAAGGCATCTTTTAGTAAACCAATTTCTCTAAATAAATTTCTCAACAATTAATTTTAATTTAATCCCAAAACTTTAAAAAAATATATGTTTTGACAGTTAATGTTGACAACCTTCAAATTTGAAATTGTGTTGTGTCAATCACAACAAAAAATTTTAAATTTTTTTTTGGTGTTTTATTAAAAATTAATAAATGAAATGCCGTGTAATCCCTTAAAATGTCAATGTGGACGTAAGAAAAATCGTTAAATTACTGAAAATCGATTGTTTAAAATATAACGTTTTTAGAGCCGTTTTTACCACAAAGATACGTCATGGTCATCATCGTTTCGTTCGGTTTGATGATAAATTTTATACAAAGGGAAAATTTTGGAATCATCGTCGGTCATTTCGGAATTAGTCAAACGAATCTTTCCGACTTAAAGGAATCTGCGTGTGGTGGACCCATTGAAGAGCAATTCGTAAGTTTAATTTAAATAATCTCGTATTAATCGTATAATAATCGACTCAAATTTTACCAACTATATCAATAACTTAAATTCCTAGTAATATTGAACTATTTCACTTGTATTTTCTTTCTTTATTATAATTAAAATTGTTTGTAACGCTTCCTTTTCGCATCGCTGTCATATTATTGTAGGTATCTGCTTTATCGACATTGTTACCAACCTTTTCTTGGTTAGTTATAAAATTTTTGTTATCTTTCTATAAGTACATATTTAATATAAAAACATGCTATTAACTAACAATAATAAACAACTTATTGACGAAAGTAGTTACTTACACGCTGTTTGTCCTGGAAAGAAATGTTGACTGAGTTGAGCGACCGCCGAAATTGCTTGCGGGCGAGGCGCTAGAGTTTCCCAAAGTCAACGATTTTAAGAAGTTAAATCAATTTCAGCAATTCCATCAATATGAAGTCAGTTTTAGATGATTTTAGCGACCTCGGCTTAATGAGGATAAACGTTTTCTCGTTCAAGTGACTTTTCGAACATACTGTGTATATATGGTTTTTATGATTTAGTGTTAAAAGCATAAAATCTGAAACAAATGTTATGTTCTACCGTGCGTCTTTGACCCGAAAGTTTCTAGTTTTAGTTTTATTTCTAATAACACCACACATGGATTTCTGTGAACGATATCGTGGTACAATACCAAGAAGACATCCGAAACGTCAAATATTTTTTCTTAATCCAAAAGTTTTATTGTTCTAGGTGTACTGCTAGTTCTAGTGATAATAATAGTGTTAATTCTAGATTTTTATTTCTTTTAGGGTAAAAGCTTTGACGAATGGCAAATGCTAGCACAAGCTTCACTTTTCGGTTCATTTATAATCGGTCTGGTAATAATGATGCTTCCCAGTGGATTTATAGCCGATAAATACGGTGCAAGAAAAATATTTTTAATCTCAATGTCCGTCTCTTCGTTAATATCCGGTTTGTACCCGTTTATAGTAAAAAACGGTTTTTTTTGGCTGGTTTGTACCGGTAGAGCATTTCTCGGAGCTTCAAGTGCTTGCGTCACAACAGCTTCGGTTACATTGGTATCTCGATGGATACCGAAATCTGAGCAAGCAACCGTTTGCGGTGCCATTTTTACTTGCGTAACTGTCGCAATGATTGGAGTCCATGTTGATTATATCCGAGATAGTAAAGATTTAAGATGGGAATTGGTTTTTCATATTTGGGGTGGAGTCGGGTGTGTGTGGTGTATATTTGCGGCGTTGTGGTTATTTTCAACGCCTGATACTCATCCTTCAATGACATCTAGAGAGAAGACTTATTTAGAAGAAAACTTAAGTCATTGTTTTGTTATTATAATTTTTTTGGGTGTAACTTTAATTTTTTTAGAACAAAGGTTTGAATTGCCGTTAGATTGGGTGGCGATCTTTTTAGACCCGGCTATATGGGCGTTAGTAGCAGCTCAAGTTGGCAACGCTTACATATTTTGCAGTTTAGTAACGAATATTACGACCTATTACACTTACGCTTTAAGTGTATCGCTTCAAGATGAATTGTTTATGATTTTAATACCTTATATGATCGTTTGGCCATTCGCAGTTTTACTGGGATATTTGGCAGACTTTTTGGTGTATTATCGAGGAGTTAAACCAATTATCTTCAGAAAGGTTTATTATGGAGTCGGTGAGTTATTGATTATTTATTTTTTGTAAGAAATAAAATGAATTATCTTTTTAGCAACGGCACTTCCCGCAATTTTTATTATAACTGTCGTGTTTCTCGAATGTGAAACATTACCCATTTTTATTTCAGCCTCTCTCGGAATCGTGTTTTCAGCACTTTTTTATTGCTCTATAATCCCAAACGTTTTAGAAGTAACTAATAATTACCCCGGCTTTGTAACCGGAATTATGTGTATGTGCGGCGCTATAGTACTCGCATTAAAACCGTTCTATTTTATGTACATATCGAAAGAAAAAGTAAATATTAATTTTCGCACTCAAATTTCGATACATATTCTTTTATTTTAGAACTCGCTTACGAGCTGGAAAGTTGTGGGATTCGTAGTCGCCATGAACGCGTTGTTCAATACGTTTATTTATTCGATAATGGGGAGCTCGAAGCGAAGACTTTGGGACATGACCCAAGGAGAAAAAGATTTTTATAATGAACAAAGAGCGAAAGATGAAGCTGCTAAAGCAGCGGCGAACAAAGACGCCCCCGCGGCACCACCACCTAAGAAATAAAAATGATCTTAATTGATGATAATAAAAAAATTTATGTGCGATGATCTCACCGTCTAATAAAAAAAATCCAAAATCCTCCAAAACGTTTATCAATGTCAACCAAAGCAAAAATCTCGGCTTAAAGTAAATGAAAGTGAGGTTACCTGATTAAGCCGAAGTCGCTTGCGGACCAGGCGCTACAATTATTAAACACTACTCCTAGAACGAAAAAGTTTTGGGTTAAACTGTGCGTCATTAGATATCTACAGGCTTAAAATGTGTATTAGAGTGTAGTCTATCCAGAGAAGTGGATATGTTGCCAAAGAAATTATTATTAATCTCTACATTCCAATATTTGCAGGAGTATGTAATCAAAACATACAAAAAATTGAAATAATTCCTAAACTATGCAACTTTGTATTAGGCATATTTAGCGTAATCGATTGCAAATGAGTTACCATTTCTCTGACAGTCAGTCTATATATTAGTATTAGAGAGTGATTCATAAGTTAGGTAGTTTTAAGACAGTATTGTATCTTTTCCTTGTGTTTTCTTAGCTTATTTATTTTTGTAGTATTAAATTAGTTTAAGTTGGCTTAATAAGTATAAATTGTGAGTGTAGGTGATATTTCGCTTTATTGTATTCGTTGTAAATAGGTTAGGTTTAATGTGTTCTCTGCTAGTATTTGGCAGGTGGAGGCGATGTGTTGCCTTGGGGGTTTCGGTGGTTATGTGGAGAAAAAGCCGCATACCATAAGGCAGGTCAGTCGTCAAAATGCTTTATGCATGATGACGCTAAGATTAGTATACCAACGCTCTGTTGGCAAATGTTATAATATATAGGGTGTTAAAATAGACGTTTGCATTTAAGAGATAGTGTACAATAGTATTTAGTTTTTTCCTATATTCTATAGGAACTATTGCGGGTAGTATTTCTTTGATATTAAACATTTCGCCATTATCATTCTTAATAAGAATAACGCCACAGATAAGTATAGGTTGTTTATCTGTATTTGGAGCCTTACATCTATTTTAATTGACTGACTTAGTTAATTTAGTTCATCTTCCACTTCCTTCATTATCACTATTATCACTCTAGAAATTAGTAAGTTTTCTATAATCGTCAATATCAGTGAGTGATTTTGCAGTAATTTAGAAGTAATTGGTGTTAATAATTTAGTTGTTAACTCTTTTAGTAGAGCGTTTTCTCTGTACTATATTCAATATCTTATAGCGCATATCTATTGCAAGTAGATGGTTAACTTGGATTCCTTGTATTTCTATTAAGTCCCATCTACTGGGGTAGATAGATAATCCATCTCCACTTCTTTTGGTAGTTGTGTATCGTCCAGAATCCTTAAAAAGGTTAAGAAATCATTAGATATCTAATGGGACACAATAATTCTGTATAAAAAAACTTCCTTGCCTTACTTTCCGTTAAAATTTTTCTAATACACTATTAATTCACACACTTTCACGAATACTTTTATTAATTAGTGTACATAATCCATCTGATTTCACCGACCAAGTCAAATTTGCATCTGCACGTTTAATATGTCGTGTCGCAGCGCCATCTCTCGTACGCGTACTATTAAATAAAGTTCTTAATAACACTTGTATTATGCTGTAAAAATAGAAACCTTTAAAAAAACATGGTTGGATTACACTCGCCAAAGTAACAGCGACATCTATTATCTAAAAGTTGAACTAAACGGGGGATAACTTTCTTTTAACCCGAGATTGTTTTTATAAAATACAAGAAAGGGTAAATAAATAATAATAATTAATTTGTACATGTAAGACAACCTTTATTACTGAATGCATACTGGTCAAAATTGGGTTACAGAGTACAGAGCGTCGAAACAACTTACACAGTTGCACTCGAAAGCACTTATAACCTAAATTCATTATATTTAGTAATTTAACCTATGTATCGAAAAAGTCGCGCTACAACACATTCCGTTTTTTTAGTAATAATTATTATTCTTGAACGTCAATTCTTAAAAAAACTTCACCGTGTTATAACCTGGCTTTTATTTCGTGCCTTTTTTTTGTCTTTATTATTAATAATATTGATTCGCGTCTCGTTTATTTAATCTTTGTTTTCATTAAATAAATCATTTTCACCTCGTTTTATCTTATTCATTCTTTGTTTCGTCTCCTTATTAATTTCATTTTTTTTTGTATTTTTTGTAACCGTACAATTGAGTTCCTTAAACACTAATAATTATCGTTATTGAAATGTATTTTTTTCACCGATCAAAATCGTGTTATGTGTATTAGATGTGTATTATTAAATTTTATTTATTTGTTTTGTGACAACAGAGAAAATTTAAAAATTTCCCTTCAACCCCTTTTTTTTCTTTTTAAAATAATTTTCGTTAAATCAATTTTTTTCGCGTCATATTTCAGGTTTTGTGTTCAATTAGGTTTATTATATGATATCACCGTTTATGTTTTATTTATTTTTTTTTTAATTTGGCCCTGGTCCCTGAGTTTAACACCCCTTGATGTTTGATGATTTTTCGCCTAATTGATCTTTTTTTTTTGAATTTATAAGAGATTCTCATTATTTCAGATCTAAAAAAAAAGATCAACATTTTAAACCCGATTTAATTATAATCGATAATGTCTTAGAGACGGCCATATTTTTTTTTTAATTAATTAATTTCTTTTTCGTCGCTTTGTTTCAAATTTAACTTTAAAATTTACTTATTACTCATTAATTTTTATTTTTTTTTTTTTTGGTTTTTCTTTCATCTAAGTGTATAATAGCAGTGATGTTTTCTCAGTATTTTTAATTAATTAATTAATTTTTTTTGTAGTAAGTAGTTTAAACTCATTTTTTCATCTAATTTTAGAGGTATTTCTTTTCTTGTAATTTTTCTCTAAATCTTACCGTTTTAATTGATTTAAAAATTGTCAGCATATCACATATTTGAACCCTAGAATGAAACGCGTTTTAAATTAAATTAAAATTGTTATTATTGCCATCAATAAATTATAACAACTCAACAAACAAAAAAGAAATTGAGGAATAAACGCGGATAACTATCAAATTTTGACGTTTTAAACGTCAAATTAAAAAAGGAACTTAATAACTTTTTCGATTATTTTTCTCTTTTTTAAATAATTATTTTATTAATTTTTTTTTTTTTTTTTGGAAAAATGCTTATACAAATCGGAATATACAGAGTGAAGTGGACTAGATTATTCAAGGAGGGAACATGTTTAGGCCTTAATAGTTATAGTTTTTTTCACGAAAAACATAAATGTAGTATTTAATTAAAAATCAACAATTAATTGATATGTGTCGGTCGACCCGAGTGAAGTTGGCTCAAAACGGAAAGTAACTACTAGTAACTACTAGTAACTAGATTTAGTTCTTTTTATGGATCAAACTTCACGCGAGTCCGGGTTGTATTTTTGATGATAATTTTTATTTTATTTCTCATTAAAATGAAAAAAATAAAAAGAACAGTAGGTTCGTTTTAATAATACGTACTTTTTCCTTTAAAAAAAATCATTTTGCTACCTCTCGATTTAATCGTTTTTTATTTTCTATCAATTATCTTAAATTTGTTCCTTAAAACCTATGGACATCTTAAGATAAGACACACCCTTAACACCTAATTTCCTCGTATTTTCTTTTTAACCCTAAAATCGTTTTATTTAAGTAATTTTTTATACAATATATAATATATATATATACTATGAAACAATATAACAATTGTACGATTTACTTTTTATACACGATATTGCATTATATTTTCCATTTACACAGCTATGTTTTAAGCGTAAGCGTTTTTGGGAAATCTCCTTTTCACTTAAAATGAAAAAAGAAAAAGATTTTTCTTCCCTAAACGCAGTGAGCAAATTTCTTTTTTTGTCGTTTTTTTTTTTTTTTTTTATTTATTTGAATAGTTTTTAATCAAAAGCTTCACTTTTCCTTTAATTTTTTTACTTTTTTGGCACAAAAACGAACTGAAAATTTATTTTTACGGGAAAGCACCATTTTTGGTTCGAAATAATCATCAAAAACGAACAAATTTTCTCTTTTAAAACCTTAACATTTAATAATAATGTTAGAACGATCACTTTAAAACACAAAACTAAGAAAGAAAGTGTTTTAAAATGAATTTTTCACGTTCTAATCACCTGGTTATCCCTACTACAGTCTTTTAAAATTAAAAAGAGCCCCTATTTTATTACTTATTTTCCCGGAGCTTATTTTTTTGATCAAACTTATTTTAAATCAATAAATAAATTAACGCTAAAACAGTTTTAATTTATTTTTATGTTGTTTTTACTGATAATAAGGCATTTATTGGATTTGATTCACATATCTCGCTTCATCTTTATTATTAATCGGTTTTTAATTTAATTTTTGGTTGTTGTTATAAATATTATTGTTTTTATTTTGTGGAATGTGTTTTTAAAGCGATTTTTATTACTAATTCATGAATCAAAAAAAATCCGTCGAATTCTAACCAAACCTTTTTAATATCTAAAATTCTGGTTAATTTAGATGTTTGAAATACAATTATTCTTTTTAATTAAACGCTTTTTAACCATCTCTTTCAAATAAACAAAGAATATTGCGCAAATAAACCACCAATAATTAGAAAAACGATAAAAACTCACCTCAATAAAAAACACATCTTAGCGTCACCTAATAATTGACTTAAATCAATTGTTTTCAGACATTTTTATATTTAATTAATTAAACTTTAATATTTAATTTATAGTTTTTTAATGCGCGATTTATTTGATTGAGTACTAACGAAAAACATTAATAATTAAAATGTTTAAGTATGATTTAATTATCAATATTAAATATTTAATCATAATTCTGTTATTATGCCAATGGAATTTTTTTTACCCACAATGCAATTCAACACTACAGGGGTACCAATAATTGAGTTATTTCATTATTACAAAAAATTATTTTAATGAATTTTATTTGGAATTTAAATGTTAAATCAAACTTAATTAATTTAAAAAAGGAATTGATATTAACGAGAAATTTCGATCAAAATAGATTTGTATTATATACGGGAAAAAAATTTACGTTGGCAACTCTGCCTAAAGAAACATGTAAACACAACCTCGCTTTTTTCTTAACGCTCAATTCAAATTATTTATGAAGTTATTAATTAGTTGAAAGATATATTTATCGATTAAATAAGAAGGGAAATCAATTGTTAATTTAATTAGCTTGGTGAATTGTGTTAAATGAGTATACAATAAGGTAAAACAAATGAGGTTAGGAACAGAATTTGTAACAACTCTTTATTGAGTTAATAATGTTAATTATTACAGGAAAAAACACAAAAAGATTTTTCACCAAGAAGATCTAATAATCTGGGGGAAGATTAAAATGATTAAAAATGAATTATTTTTGTGTTGTGAACCATAAATCTAATTTTAGATCCTTTTTGGAGAGTTTGTAAGGATTTAGTATTGGAATTTCAACTCAACTCATTCAGATATTAACGTGGATACAAAAATATGTTCGGAGAATATTGATAATGATGAGAAATCATTTTAAATGACTATTAAAATGATCAAATTTATATTTCTGAGAGTCGTAACAATAAAAATTTATTTAATCTCGTCGATTCAAGATGAAAGACTGATATTAAAGGTATCGGAATATAAATTTGATTGACGATTAAGTAATAAAAAATTTTAGATTATGGATTAAAAGAATGCAGCGGAAAGTTTATAACAACTGAATTCCTGTCGTAAAAGACACAGGAATGAATTTAAATAGATAATTAATTCATTATGGATTAATATCTCAAAGAGAGATTGTGTTAACATATAATTTGACATTGTTTCCATCGTTACGGTGTAAAATTGGTTGCCTATATTAATTTTATGAAGTGAATTTTTATCGTTTTTAATTTTTTTCAATTTTGTGACGGTTTTAACCCAATTAATTATTACATATGATATCTTACATTTAATTATTTTAAGCTAATCGTATTTATAAGTTATATTACTTTAAAAAACCTGAGAAAAGGGCCTGTACTCGACCGTTAATCTACGATCGATTAGATTCCTGCTTATTAACCAAAAAGAATTAAATATAAAAAGAAATAAATAATGATTAAGAAATAAAAAGAATGTTCGTTTTTTTTTCATTCTTTGATATAAATACAATTTTTTTGTATTAATTTTAATTAACCCTAACCTCTAATAACTTTATTTTTTAACATACATTATCTTTTTACAAGGTTGGCAGTACCAAGCTAGCTCATAACCTCAACCCCGCTCGTTAAGCGGGGTTAAGAAGTCAAACTTCAAAATATCCACTTACTTCACTTCGATTCAAGCAAAGTTTTCAACTAGTTTTTTTTATATTATTTTTTTGTCTAAATGAAACCTCATCAATCGTTTTTTTTTTTGCGTAAACCTTTGTACATTTTACATATTAAGTGATTATTTTTTCGTATTCATTTACATTCTCGTTCTAATTCCAAGTTTTTAAAATATATTTTATTAAATTTTATTTTATTTTGAACACCCTGTACTACGATTTATTTATTTATTAATTTTTTTTCTTGAAATCAGGCCCAGTTTATGATTAATTTCTTTTAAATATTACGATTAATTAATTAATTACTATTATTAAAACGAATAAATTGCACATTTACAATCGATTTCTTATTGATTAATGTGTTTTTCTTTTAATAATAATAAATATTGTGTATAGGCACTTTTCGTAATTATTATTTTATTTTGTGCTTAAACATTAAAAGTTGGTTATTTATTATTCAATTTTATAATTAATTAATTAATATTTTGTGTGCATGGAACGATTCGTTTTTAATTTAATTAATTAAAATAAAAAAATGTGGGGGAAAAACATAACCTTAAAATTTTTCATTTAACAAGATCACAACCGTTTTTGAAATGGAAGAGGTTATCTTTTTTGAAATAAAAAAGGGGTGTATGACACAAAATGTCTTTGGTATACATTTACAAGTTATCAAGAAAGAATTTTTAAATCTAACAATAATTGTGTCAAAAATTGCGGTGGTGTTAGGTGATTACAAATTATTGTTAGATGACGTTTAAAATGGCAAGAAATCTATTTTAAAAAAGAACTAGATTTGAAAACCCTAAAAAAAATATAATAATAATATCTTTTAATTAATTAATAAGAAAATAATACTAGTTATTCAGGAAGTATTGCACGTTTAGGCTACACATTCGATTGCTTATTAAAATAATTAATCAATAATAATCAATCGATGATAATTAATTAATAGTAATAGTAATTATTCTTTAATAATACTATGATTTATTGACTAAGAAAAATGCTGCATTAAGTAACACAATCAGGATCTTTTTTTCTTTAATTATTGTTCGTGTTCTTTGTAGTCGATTAAGTAAATTAAAAAAGAAACTTATCATCTAAGAAAAAAGACCATGTACCTTAACGATAATAAAGACTTAGATTAAACACAGAGCTTTTTTTGGGTCATAAATCGAGAGGTGGCAAAACGATTTCGTTTCCTTCGGTTGTTGATTAAAAAGCACCTATTTCATCTTTTTAATGTAACGATTAATCATTAAAGCTGATCGTATAACAGTAATAATTAAAGATATTTTATTAATTTATTAATAATAGAAGTCTAGAAGACATTTTCTCATTATTCATCTTTTTATATTAAGGGCGATTTGGTTTTCTTATTCATTTTTGAGACCAGTTTTTTATTTAAAAGCCACAATTGTTTTATTTTATTTTCATTTAATAATTCTTTTTGGTATTTCAAGTTTAATAACCACTAAAGATATATGGATAAAGAGAGAGAAGAGAGAGAGTGACATTTATTTATGAGTAATAATTAGTCAATTAATAATTATAATAGGCACATTATTTGGTATATTATCAAAATATGGTGTGTGTTGTATGAGAATGTTCTTTTTAAACTACACTTTTTTTTTAATTTAATCATTATTAAGAATAATACGTATTTTTTTTGTTTTGTTTTAATCGTTTTTGATAGAAAAATTTAGAAATCAAGATATGTCCAAGAAAATAAATCAAAATAAACTTTTAATTAATTCTTGATTAATTGTCTCGAAAAAGGCGTCGTTTAATTTAATTATCTTTTGAGAAAATTGGCGTTTTCTTTAAGGTTGATATGAAAAATCTTTGGCATTTCGTAAATAAGTCAACGGAAAATGTTTCGTTGGAATGAAAAATTAATTTAATTAAAAAGATGAGCCACTACAAACTTTCTTTTTAATTATTTTAAGCTCAAAAACTTTTTTTTCATTTTAAATCTTTCTAAATATACACTTATTTACCTACGTTTTTCATGGAAC